GCTCCTCCAAGCATGAGATTGAGGGGGGATGTAGGAGTATCAATGATGATGATATTGCCAAGTGTCAACAGATCAATGAGTAAGCTGTTAGAATGTGGTTAGAGTTGTTAGCAAAGTGAGTAGCCAGCTAAGACTGTAGTTAGGTTGATATAAAGATTGTAATGTGCTCAGTTAGAGCTTAACGAAATACAGAAACCTACAATTCCTTCTCTGAAATTCTCTCTGCTTCTACAATTTCTTTACTCTATTCTTCAATTTCTCTTCATCTTAACAGATATCCTGTACTAACCAGTGCGAAGGGAATCCACAAGCTTAAAAATTTGGTACGACTAACTCATATTAACAGTAGTGGACCTTTACCTACCTATTTCAAATCCATAAAGAGGCAAAGATTCCAGCAATCAGAAACTTTCATTGTATAGAAGGGCCAAGATCCACCAAGAAATTCAAAAACAGATATTAATTAACAAATACTCACCTGAATCAGCAACAGAGGGCAACCAAGAATCCCATCAGAGCCTGGAACATTATAAAGAAACTCCTCTAAGAATGGAGAAGGGGGTGCAATCGTGTCCCCGAGTTGCGCAAGCGTGATGTCAGCATTAGCCTCTATGAACAAGACACCTTCTCCATTGCACTCCACCATAAGCTTCCTGTTAGGTCCTTCCCTGAGCCTGCCAGCCAAAGGGTAGTAATACACGAGTGCCCGACTCAATGCTTCCCTGATCACCTCAACGGCATCGTTTCCTTTCATTGAAGGATTGTTCTTGTACGACATTATGAATGGAACCTGAGACCTAAGGCTTTCCTGGTCATCAATATTTGAGAGTAGCTTTGTTTCATGAGGTGTTGGCTTCGCTGGTGTTATAAGTTCTGGCTTCAAACGGTTCACCTGAAATAGGAGGGCGGATGGGGAAATCATTGCACAAGTGAGTGGGCTCGAAAACCTAGTACTACAAAAGAAAATTTTGGAAACTTTAAAATAAAAACAGAAGTGTTTGAGCTTTCGTGGCTTGGCATCAATTGATAGTGTTTTGGAGATTCTCTAGAACCGCCCTTTCCACCATCAAATGATCAAATCCACCACGTTTTAATCAGTCCCCCAACGCTCCTCTTCGATCAGTACATCCTCCGTTACGCCACGTCAGCGTTACACTCAGACGAACGCTTCACACTTGTTAGGGCTTCGCATTTGCATTTTCTTGGAGCCATTCTCAAATCTTATCGGACCGACTGGAAAGTTCCACAGCGGTAAGGTCCGTTTTCTTCCTTGTGCTCTGTTTGTTTCCCCAGAAAACTGGCCGGGAAAATGCATGACTTGTCAACACTCCACTCTCTCAAATTCTGTGCATTGACTTAATTTGTGTCTTCGTGTCCTTTTTTTTACGCAAAACTTGTAAATGGATTCTATGTATTTCTATTTTGGTAGTTTCTCAGAACTCTATAATACTTGTGTCACTTTCCTTTTCCACGTCACACAATCAACGTGCGAGTCAATTACGTATAATTATCACCAAGTTTCACTTACTAGATATCTAAAGTCAACAACGGGCTCGGTGGAGTCATTTAATCGTGCCACTTTGCTGAAGAAGAAATGTATACTTTTCACCCCATTTTTCTCCCCATTAATTAATTTGTACAATCTTTTTAAGAAACAGGCATGCTACGTACAATTATTGCTCTTATTTGGGACCAACACACTGCTATTTTCACACTCGCCCGCCAACCTCCAACACCCCACCTACCTTATCTTCAAAATTTTAAAGATAAATTTATGCCTTTGTAAAATTACTTATAAGGTGTAATGACTTTCGTATTTCAGTGGAAATGAGGCCCTGTCGAGACACTGTGTGCCATTCGTTGACCATTCCGACCTTTTATAAGAAATTTCTCAATCAATCGTGAAAAGAGCAGCCAACTCTTTAATAATCCACACTTCATTCAGTTAGTTTAGAGTTGGTGGAACATCCTTCTTTTAGAAGTATTTGGTCGTTATTTGGTCGTTATCTAGACGGCAAAGAAGAGTGAGTTAGCCCGCCTATTTATTCATTTATTGGCCGAAGCATTCCTACCTGTTTGAAAGAGAGCCAAGTCTCGAAAGCAGCCCATTAAATTTGACTACAAAAATTATGATGAGGAATAATTATTGGTATTTTATCAAGTGATTTTGGATTGAGACTATTGAATTAAGTGTGTTTAATTTCAAGTTGGACAAAAATGCCCTTATACGTAACATTTTGTGATTTTTTTTATATAGAAAAGTTGATAGAGGTCCAAAAATCCAACCAATAATTGGGTCTAGTCCTCAAATTATTGTTTATTGATACAAGTCCCTTAACTAGTTTGTCACGTAGATTACATTCCATCTTTGACATGTTGATTCAAACTTTTGCATTTAATTGATTTGTATTTAAATTTTTTTGTTCCTATTATATCCTTATTGTCTAAAATAAGTAAGATGAGAATTTATATGCCATTATTTTTATTTTTGTTCACCCTATGGTAGAGGTATAGTATATACTCTTGTAGATAAATTATCCTATGGTGTTGGTATATTGTCATATTGCCTATTGGATAGGTATATATTTATTTTTTCATATTTTAGACAATAAATAATAGTATTTAATGTACATTTATTACAGGTAACATACAATTTTATTTGTCTATTTTTGTATCTGACTTCTAGGTAGTCTTCTAATTTATGTTCCTAACTTATAGATAGTATTCTAATTTATGTTCATGACTTATAGGTAACACGATTTATCACTAAGTTTTTTTCGTAGCTAATAAGAACACTATTTACCTGTATATTAGGTACATAATTTAATGTGGGTGCTTACCTAATTGATTAGTATAATATGTGGGCCTTTACTTCAATTAGTTAATTTGTATTTTACCCATATATTAGGTAAATATTATCAATAAAAGAATTCCAAATTTAAATTCTGAAATTTAATTACAATTAAATAATTCATTAAATTTAGATTTTCAATGTTTTCCTTATGTACCTCAAAGGGTAAAATCAACACAATAAAAAGAGTAATAAAAGTCAAAGGACATACATTTAAAACCAAAAACATGTGGACTAAACCCAATGACAACTAATCATTTTGGACCTAGATCTAAGAACCCTTCTTTTTTTCAAAGGAAATTTAAGAAATTGAAGTGGGACGATACTAGTCGACTCAACGAACACGTAGGAAATCGTTTCTGAATTTTGGGCTAAAATGACCAAAATACCCATATGTGTGAAAATTATTGTTCACCCGTTTTATATTTGTTCCTGTGATGTTAGGGTGAAGTTCCTCATTACCTCGAAAACCATTAATTGGTCAACAAGTCAACTTTCTTTGGTGTGTGAGCGTGCCACTGCTAGCAATGAAAATCCTAGCAGACTTCTTAAAAATAGATAACTTGCGCCCCAAATTACTGATTTCCAAACAATCAATTGTGAATTTGGGTGAGGAATATCTCCTAAGTAAGTTCTTTTCTTGCCTCAGACTGGTGAGAACTTCACAAGTTTTCACAGTACAAAACTGGTAGCTCTAGCCAAAATAAATGATAGGATAGTGAACTGTTTTAGGCAGAACTGCCTTTTACAAAACTCGAAAAGGAAAACCAACTCTAAAAAAGACAAAAAGAGGGTTGGACTTCTATTTATGCTTGGATAGATGCTTCTAATCCGGGCTGGACTGGGTATGCCTGTGCTGGACTGAACTATCAACACCTGCAACTATCAAGTTTCAGCTGTAAATCGATGCCAACGTTCGAGTTTGGCAGAGCTTTAATCTATTTCAAGTCCTTGAAGACTTTTGGAACGGGCAGAATTGGGACCTCTTCAATCTGGAAGGGGCAGAAGTGGCTGGACTTAATGATTATTGAGCAGGAACTGCATTGTAGTACCTGTTTTTCTTGATTAGGGCTCTCCATAGATTTGTTGAGGTTTTCATATTTATAAAACCTGAACTCTGCTTGATTTGGCTTATGCTGAACCAAATTTGTAACGAGAGAAACCTCGTTTTGAATGGCTTATTTCTCTAAGTCTGAATTGAAGTTGGAGATTCTGAATTGTAGCTGATTTCTTTCTTGTGGCTCAATGAGCTTTTTGGTTGATTTCAATGTTTCGAAGGCTTTTGAGATCAAGTGATCATTTTGAGTTTTTGTTTTTGATTTATTTTTTTTGGCCGTCCTTGATCTTTTCATCTCCTCTCATATTTATAGAAAATGTTAGGGTGAGATTTTTAATCTTTAAAATGGCCGGCAGATTTTTCTAAAAAAACAAGATCTTTTATTTTTTTAAGTGTTAAAGAAAAGGGAAGTTATCTTATTCTGGCAAGTAAACCATCAACAGTCAGTTCTAAAGCAATCACTTGTCTATTTTTCTGGAAAGAAAACCTAACCCTCCTTTAATTCTAACTGTTCTTTATAAGAGTTCAAACTGCCGTGATGGTTAGTTTGATTTTCCATATGAACAACTCCTTACACCCTACTTATCTCTTTTTTAGAAAATATAGCCTGCTTATCTCTTGCATATTGCACCTGCTCTGGAGCAGAATTTTTCTGAATATAGAAAAAGGGTTTCGATCTTCTTTTGTCTGAAAAAGGCTGGAGACTTTTGCCTGTTTAAAACTTGTTTTCATGAATTCCCCATCAACCCAGTTGAAATTGCTGACTTTTCAAAGCTAGGTAACCACGTGGGTTGCTCTTTTTTGTTTTTTTTTTTTTTTTTTTTTTTTTTCTTTTTTTCATTTGATTGTGCCCATGTTTGCGTTTTGGAACTTGTGGGCTGATTTCTTTTCTTTGTTTTCCGAAGCCCAAGTTTATTTTCGTGGGTCAACAAGTCCTGGGTTGGGCATGCAGGTTTTTGGCCCAATCATAACGAGAGCGCTGGTGGCTGTCCAAAATTGACATGGGCTTTTTGATATTGGACTGGGTGTGCCAAATTAGGCCCAAACAAGAAGACACCCCTCTTTGACTTCGACCTCACCCTCCATATTCAAATGGTGCAGTTCCTACTTCTCATGGTGGACTTGGACAATGAAGTTGCTCTGAGAGATCGCAGAGGGGGAGACGTAGGTAGAGCGGGAAGGATGGGTGCATGTTATTTGTTTATTTGTTTGTTTTTATTTATTAATAATTTAAGTTTTAATCATATTAATTTCTTGGGTTTTTTACTATAGAGGTCTCTGAACTTACCTCGAGTTGCAATTGGGTCCCCGAACTTGTTTTTGAGGCAATTAGGTCATCCAACTCTCTCATCCGTTCCAATTGAGTCCTCCCGTCAATTTGTCCGTTAATTTGAGGGCTAAAACCGTCCATCTCAATTAAAATATTTTAAATTTTAAAAATTGATAAAAAAACTGAAAAAAGTGAAAAAAAATAATTAAATATATTTCATTAAATAAATAAAAAAATACAAATCCAAATCTCTCTCTCTCCTTCTTTCACTCTCTCAGCTCTCTCTCTCTGTCTCTCCTTCTTTCCGACAACCCATTCCCCCCTCCTCCTTATCCCACCCCCTCAAAACCCAAATCTCAACCCAACCTGCAACCCACCCCCCATCTCCCAATCCGTAGAACCTACTTGCTACCCCACCCCCAAAAGATGCAAAGTGTTCGATTTTTTTTTCTTTTTCAAATTTTGAATTTGCACAGAGAGAGAGATAGAGAGATAGAGAGAATCTGGATGGGTCTTAGGTGAGGCTAGGGTGGATCTTAGGTGGTTGTATGGTGGCATTAGGCTTGGGGGTTTCTGAGTTTTGGGGTTTTGCCTCTGATTGCTTAATCCTTCCTAGGCAGTAGGAAAACTAGTGATTGGAATTTTATCAGCTTCTTGGCTAATTGTACTAGCCTAGAGGTCTTAGGTCTTGACACTGAATCATTTTGGTGGGGAATTGCCAAGATCCATAGCCAACCTTTCTACCCAACTAAAATCTCTTACTTTGGGGCAAATTTGATGCACGGAAGCATCCATGGCGGCATTGGAAATCTTGTAAACTTGAGCGTTCTTGCCATGGACTACAACTACTTCAGTGGTAGTGTCCCTAATGAAATTGGAAAGCTTCAAACGTTACAGGTATTGTATTTGACTAATAACAGATTTTCTGGGTCAATCCCATCAGCCCTAAGCAACTTAACTTCATTGACAAAACCCTACATGGGGCATAATAGGTTTGAGGCAAGTATACCACAGCCTTAGGAACTGTCGAAGTCTACTCGAACTTGACCTTTCTAATAACAATCTAACAAGCACCATACCCAGAGAGCTGCTCTTAATTTCATCCCTTTCAATTTCTTTGAGCATTTATAACCAGGATGGCTTGAATGACTTTTGTATTTGAAAAACTCACTCTCATAATCAGGATTGCAGTTTTGTGGGCGGTGGAGAAGGCTCTGAAGATGGAGGTGGGGTTGTTAGGGTCGATGATGGATAAAGAAGGTGGAGTTGGGGTCGATGATGGATGAAGAACCCGAAATGATGCTTTTACCCCTTCATTTTGACAGACAAATTGACAGAGTTGGATGATAGGACTCAATTGCAACTCTAGGCAAAATTGAGGGACGTCTACAATTAAAAACCTTAATTTCTTTTTAAATATATTATACTTAATTTTATATTGAAGTTAATAATTTTTAACTTAATATGAAATATTTTTTTAATTAATGAAACTGACGGAATTGAGACATTGGACTTGATTTGTTAATAGTTGCAAATACAGTGAACGAATCGGGAAATTGAAATCACAGTGACTAAATTTGATTTTGAGATAAACCTCAATGACCAAAAATGTAATTAACCCAAAAAAAATTTTAATAAAAACCCAAACTATGAATTTAAATTGATCTTTAATAAACCCATGGGTTTTTTTTTCCAATGAATGCTTCATGTTATGGGTTTAAATTTAATTTTTTATTTTAGAAATAATGGTGTGTGGAAAGATTGTTCTATTTCAAATTTACATGGTGTGTGGGAAGAAAGATGGTAGAGAAATATGATATATGTGGAAATAGCAGCACTCTAGCGCATCATCAACCCGGGCCTGAGAGGGCCCAAGAGCCACAATCCAACTCCACCGTGCCAAGTCCAACCCGGGCAAGGGGTGGGTCCCACGAGTCTAAGCTACTGCTAGACAAAATGACAAAAAAATTGAAAAAAATTCCAGATTTTTTTCTTATATAAATACTTAGCTATATTCTTTACTTCTCACACCAAAAACTCTATACAAATTCATCTCTTCATATTTCATGTGAAAGTAACTATCCTTACCTAACCTAGTGGTGGAAATAAAATTGCAAAGACTATCACTATTCACATAAATGGTGACAGGACAGCTTTCACCTTGCCCTTGCCTTGGTGGAAGTGCTCTAAAACAAATAAGAGATAGTGAAGTCTGGCCGGGGAAAGAAAGTACCAATCAAATCGAAGAGCAAACCCAAACTGCTGTTCCGAGAGCAAAGAAGCAACGACGTCGTAGGGTGGGGAAGAGATGTATGGGGCAGGAGGAGACGAGGAAGAGGGCATGGGAATGGGAATGGGAAGTGGAGGAACAGGGATGATGAAGAAGATGATGACCAGTCCTGCAGGGGGAGGGTCAGGACAGTGGGCCCCAGAGGAGACGAGGGAGCTGATCGCCATCCGTGGAGAACTGGAGATCAGGAACTCCAATTTGGCGAAGCGCAGCAAGGCGCTGTGGGAAGCAGTGAGCTCTAAGATGGCCGAGAGAGGCTTCAACAGAACCCCCGAGCAGTGCAAATGCAAGTGGAAGAACCTCCTCATTCGTTACAAGGTATGAATTTTCAGAATTCGCTGTACCACAAAAATACCCAATTGAATTATTTTAGGGTTTTGGTAGGGTTTAGGTTGAAATTCACATAACAAACAATAGTTAGTAACCCTAATTATTCAGGGGAAGGAGACGTCTGATCCGGAGAGTGGCCGGGAGTGTCCCTTCTTTGAGGAATTGCAGGCAGTGTTTACTGAAAGAGCAAATAATATGCAGCGCTTACTTCTTGAATCCGAGACGGGTTCAGCCCGGTCCAAGAAAATGGGGAAGAGGAAATTGAGGCCGGGCCGATCCTCGGACGAGTTCTCAGAGGACCCAGATGAAGAGGATGAGGATGATAAGAAGAGGAAGGGTGAAAGAGTAATTATGCCAAAAGCAACCAATGCTGCTAGTGGGACTAGTAGTAGTATCCAGGATATGCTTAAGGCGTTTTTTTCAGCAGCAGCAGAGGATGGAGATGGAGTGGAGGGAAATGATGGAGAGGCGGGCGCAGGAGCGGCGGATGTTTGAGCAGGAATGGCGGCAGAAGATGGAGAAGGTGGAGAGGGAGAGGTTAATGGTGGAGCAGGCTTGGAGGGAGAGGGAAGAACAGAGAAGGATGAGAGAAGAGAGCAGAGCTGAGAGGAGAGATGCCCTGCTGACCACTCTCTTGAATAAACTTATCAATCAAACTAATTTTTAACTCTCTGAATTGAAAATGCTTTTTGGGTTCATCTTGTGCTGGCATATGGAAAGTTGGATACTAATTTACGAATTTGTTTGATCTAACTGAAAGTTAGAATTGTGATTTGGAAAGTTAGGTGTTGGGTTTATTTGCAGTTCTTGACAGAGAGTTCTGGGGTTACTACTACTATACATTTCTCTATTACAAAATACCAGGAAGTGCTCATTGGCAGAGAGTATAGGAGCCAGTGTTATTTATGTAAAGTGGTTATATTTTGGAGATTGGAGATTGAAGGGTGAATTGTGTAAAAATCAAAAGATCTTGGAGATTATAGTGAATGAGACTGCACAAGTTTTGTATCAAGAGTTTCTTAATATGTATTTTCTGAATCATTCCCAAATGTGGTTAGCTCTGAAAGCTCAGTTTGTGCAGCAGCAGCAGATGCTCCTCTTCAAAGAATTAAGGAGATGAATGGGATGAAGTTTAATTATTTCTAACCCAATATCCCATCATATAAGCTGGAAACATAGAGAAAAAGGTGATGTAATCCAACATTAAACAAAATCAATACAGACCATCGACCCTTCTGCCCATTTGGCATTAATATTACTTTATACTTTGTGATTCGCTCTCCTTAGCTTGGACCCCTTGAGAAAAAAATAAATAAATAAAATTGCAGCATTGTCACCAAATCAATTATAGATTTTTTTTATTTTTTATTTTTTATTTAATGAAGAAGCACTCTAAGTGCTTGCTTTTTCAGGAATCACTTAGATTAATTATGAAAATTTCAACGTTTTTATAGTAAAAATGCGTTTACTAGAAGCGCTCCTGAGCATAAGTATTTTTTAGAGAAGTACTCACAAATGAGCCATAATTTTTTTTTAACTTTTTATCCAATTTCTTCTTGTTAACTTCTTTGTTTTACTCTTTCCACTTTTCTCATTATTATTGAAAGGTTGGTGTCGGCTCGTAGCCTTAATTCGAGTGACAGAAAAAAGGGAAATTGTTTAATTGGTAACATGAGTTAGACCTGAAGAAGACATGTTCTCATATCACTCAATTTATGTCATCTATAACTCAGATTATAATGGAAACACAATTTGAGCCAAACAAGAAAAACAGTTCTTTTTTTTTTTCCTTTTTTCCTCTTTTGGTTTTGCTAACACATTATTCATTAAAATAAGAATTTACAAAAGTTGCCAACGAGTTCCAAGCAACCACCAGAAGCTCTTCGTTTAGTAGATGCTAATTAAGGCTCAGAATCAAACGATGCTTGCACTGAACGATGCTAATTAAGTTTCATCTACTCTGAACGATATGCTAATTAAGGCTCAGCACAAAAACAAACAAGAAAATGGGATTCTGGCACTAACATGCTTGCCATTGTTTGCGGTGGAGAAATTTCAGCAGGAACTTGAAAGGATGATGATTGTGGAGCCTGTGGAGGATCATTATCAAGTTAAACCTACTAGGATTATGTCCACACTGTAATGAATACCGCTACATTTTAAAATAATTTCGCACGATTTTGATATGGCATTCATATCCAAAAACAAATTGTTTCCAGATTTAATTTAATTATGTTTCTCAATTCAAACTTGTAACATCTCCGAACATTATGAAAAGAAATACCAATAGACCATGAGCCAATTGGTGTCATTAACTTCGCTTATGCGTTTAGTATTGAAGGAGTTGATAGCTGTGGAAATCCTTAACCACAATATTCCAAGCTTTATACAGAATCAAACGATGTAACTATCTAATTCTGGTGCTTTTCTGTCGCTTTGATACTTTTGATCTCCTCTTCTAGCACTTGCTCATGCTGGACTTTTGTTAATCAATGATCTATATATAAAGGATTGTGACATATTTGAGTTTATAACGCAAAACAAACAAGAGTAGCAAGGCCGATCAGACTGTTTATGCAAATCTGAAATCGTATCAGTAGAACCTGGTCAGCTTTCACAATAACATAAATTTCGAAACGCCTCTTCTCCTCTTGTGGAAGATGATTATCAGCTAGACCAGTGAGTAGCTGGTTCTCAATGGTTTCAAAGATCTCATCCGGCCATAGTATTGTGCAATTAATCTCAGCATATCTGATTCTTTCTCATTGTGGGCTTCAAAATAGAGAACAAAACATAGAACACTAGTCATTAGGGTACCAAACTTTTTCTACAACAGTCAAATTCAAAGTTGCCCAGAGATATTGAAAACTTGACAGGTTTTGCCACCTGAAAACAATTTGGGTTTTAAAACCAACAATGCTCGAAGGAGGCTAATTTTCACTTGGTAACATACATCCCCAAGGGACACGAAAAATCTTTAACAAGGGAGAGAATTAAATACTCAACCTGGGGCTACAGCACAAAATTTCTGGTTTCTATTAGTATCATTCTGTCTCCCAGTAGAAACTTCAAGCTAGCGGTGGTTAAAGGCATATGGTATAAAATGGACAAAAATTTTATTTCACAGCTCACATAACTCTAGATATGACAACATCAACAATCATCCTTCATAGTCATACAACGTTCGCGAAGGGAGCTGGAGAGATTTAACACAAGTCAATGTATAACAAACTTTCTGATACGCGTCATAAAACACAGCAAAGGATTTTTTTTACTTCGTTTTTTATTGTCATACTGTATTCCACATGAGATAGGGATCATTCTGATTCAGCTGGAGGCTTTTCTCTGGGATGTTTGGAGGTATAGTGATCGCCAAGCTGCTTTGGATTTGCAAGTTGCACCTGAAAATACACATTTCATTCGATGTGGTGCTTAGTAAACTGTCAAAATATATAAATAATAAAGAACCCAGATAATTTTTGCTAAACATGCATTGTCTCCATACCATAACTATACGCATTCCAAGTCCTAACAGATCATCAAAAACACTTGTAGTACCACGTAGACAAAAGATTGTGACAAACCCAGCCACATTCAGAATTTTAAATCACAGGCCATTCCCACATATGACGTGACATGACATAACATAGTTGCAATTCTATACAGAAACAGGATAGACAGCTGGCATTCCACTCTAGCTTCTATTGTGTGCACCCTCAAGAGAATCATATTGCCAATGACGCTGAAAAGCACGTGAAAGACAATCTGATGATATACTCAAGAGACATGTAGGAAGCTCCCTGCAAAACCTTTATACGGAAGTAGAGGGGATTCTTTAAATGGAGGTCATTCAGTAAGTCTTGGTATGAACTTGAGCTCACCATACCACTATGGTGGATATACCGTCTTAGGTTGCTCCTCATCCATTTCCGCCAAAGTTTCCACATATAAAACTATCAGGACCAATTGAGACAGATCCGACATTGTATGTCTTATCAAGGGACATCCACTATTTCCACATCCTTTCATTCAGTTAGGTACAGACCCACTATCTTAAGTGCATCGCAAACCTCTTTCAATGATATACAGGTCACTAACTCTAAGGCAACACCTCTTCCAAAATGGAAACCCAATGATACTTTTTCAATTGCATAAGTCAAAGAATTGCATTTCCTTCAAAGAGATCTGGTAGTGAAATTGCAGGACACCCTGCTTACTTGCTTTTAAATAAAATGTTTCCTTTATTGACCTTTAAATTGGAGGTACCTAACTTCACCGTGATATTTGTCAAGTCGCAAAGCTCGAATGCTTACTATTGATCAAAATTCAGTTCCCTTTCTCTTAGTTAATTCTAATGTGTGGGGTCCTCCTGTTAATTTATATGGGTCTAACAATGCCCTGTGACATTTATTTATGGCTATTCTCAAAAAACTTAAATTTATGTGCTTACAAACAAAAGTGAGGTTTTCTCTCTCTTTCAAGTCTATCATAACATGGTCCACAATCCTCACCCAGTTAAATTCTAGAATCCAAGTCCCCAATATGATAATGGGCAGAATATATGAAGATATTGTCCATTATCCATAAAACTATCTTATACTCGTAAATAATATGCGGTTGCTGATGGTAAGAATTGTTGCCTTTTACATGTTATAAGATCTCTCTTGTTTACTACGGATTCATCAGTTTAATACTGGGGGTGCTGTACTAACTGCACATAACTGATCAGTAGGATGCCCTCTGGGGTCCTTGCATGCAATATCTAGTCAATGTTTGTCCAACAATTCCCAACCTCTCAAGTATTTGGCCATTTTCTACAATTCCTATTCTCCAACAATTCCCAATCTCTAATTTTATTTCCTCAGATTTTCTCTCACCCTCCATATCATCCCAGCTCCTCTAGGTTAACTTCAGTTTACTTCCCAAACTCTACAGGAAACTCTACAGGATGATTTGAATGATCCCAAGTGGATCGAGACAATGGAGGAAGACAATCAAAGCACTTCATCATAGTTGCACTTGGGAGTTGACTGTTACCCAGACAAAGAGATTGTTGGCTGCATGTGGCACATGAAACATAGGGCAGAGGTATTCATAGAGAAACATTTTTCTCATGTAGCCAAGATGGATTCCATCTAGGTTTTGGTATCCTTTGTTTCCAACTTACAGTCCGAAAAAATATGTTTCCACTGGATATTTAAAAGACAAGGTGTATTTGGATATTCTCCCGGATTTGCGAGCTGAAGGAATCACCGAGAGCTTGATTTGAAAGGTTCTCAATATTTATAGCAGAATTTGGCTACCACAGTCAAAAGGACCATACCTTATTCTCAAAACATTCTCACCACCAAGGTAAATTGACTTAACTGATTGTATATGTCAATAGCATTGTAGCTACTGGTGAAGAGTTGAAGAAATAGGGAAACTAAAGTCTCACTTAGGAAAGGAATTTGGAATCAAAGACTTGGGTAAATTAGCAGTTCCTAGATATTGAAGTTGCAACAAATCAGGGGGCATCTTCATCTCAAAAAGGTCCTTGTCCTACTTCAAGTGACAAGATTGTTGCAATGTAAACAGATGAAACTCCTACTGAGATAGCAAAACCATAAGTTGGAGGATACCATAGAAAACACTGCCACCGATCGAAGGTCATTAAAAAAGACTTGTAAGGAAGCTAGTGCACTTGTCTCATACTCGACCAGATATACGCTAGCCCCTTTCAGTGTGATCAATTTACCTTGAGTAACCCATATGTAAGATGTTTACAGGATTCTGAGGACTTAAAATTAGCACCAGAAAAGGGGTTTCTTTTTCCAGAGATGATCATCAACAGGTGGAATTCTATATAAACATGTATTGGTTGGCTCAGTCACAAATAGGAGGCCAATATCGCACTACTCCTCTTTTGTAGGTGGAACCTTGGTAACATGACACAGAAAAGAGAAGTTAATGGTTGCCAATTTGACACCAGGAGGTCAGTTTTGGGCCATGACCAATAGCCAGTCGGGTTTGAGTTAATTTGGCTAAAATCCTAGTGCACAAGGGACCTGTAAAATCATATTATGACAACAAATTATGACAACAAGGTTGTCATCAACATTAAAAATAATCCAGTCAAACATGAACAAGCTAAACACATTGAGGTGGATTCACACTCCAAAGAGAAACTAGACTTTTCTGTAATCTACACTCCTTTTGTGAAGACAGGACGACAACTTGTTGATGTATTCACAAGGGGGTGTTTAGTACTCTTCCATTCATTGGTTGATGAGCATGGTATACGGTTTCTCATAGGTTTTCAAAATACTGCCAAAAAACATGCTATGTCATTTTTTGAAAGTAAAAAGTTAATGAACATCAGAACGTTTTGGGCTCCTCTATTGTATGAAGATTTTTTTCCACCCTATGTTTCCAGTCATCTCTCATGTCAACTTTACTCCCATAAGTTCCCTCCACTAGCATTTCTAGAACAAAAACACAAATGAAACACACATGCTCAATCCTTGAAATTGAAAAAGAAAATATTATATTGAAAAAAGGAAAGTGTGGAAGGCGAAGGGGGAAGGAGGTTGTGGTCCTCCAAGACCACAGCCCACCTCTTCTTATTCTTACGCAACACCATTGTCTTTCTCTATTGTCCCATTAAAACCAAAAACCAAGCATCATATCTGCTACACCCGTCACCACCACTCACCGCCTCAACCCAGTCACCATCCAACCCAATCACAACAATGAACAAACCTATCCAAAACCTATAAATGTCCCTAGTCCAATGCAAAGATAAAATATTCAAATTGATATCAAGGTAAGGCTGCAACAATAAATTGTGGAAATGGTCTTCTGATTTTAGTTCCTTATCTTGATGAGATCAATAAAATATAGCATCCACAAGCTAATGCTGATGTTTTAAGATTGAACAAAGCACCAACAAAAAAAAATTATTAGCAGCGATCGCTAAAGTAGCATAGAAACAAAACCACAAGCTAGCAAAGTGATATATCACAAGGGGTGTGGTAGTTCACAACAGTAAGTTGATCTAAAAGAAATATAAACTCCAGATGGAGCCATCCTTGATGTATACAAAAAACACAAGAATATTGCAACGAACAGTCTTGGTCCACTATCATTGTGCTGTATAAGCCAAAATCCCATAAAATATAACTTATCTGTTTTCCTGGCCTCTAAATCACTTCTTTCTTAATCTGTATAAAAAAACACCTTAAGTCTAAATTTCTCAAGGATGTTCCCCTTAATATGATTATTCTGGATTGTTCGGCTCATTGAGCTCTGGGGTGTTCGGTTTCTCTGTTTCTTTGTTCTCACTTTGTAGCAGTCTTTGGTGGGCCTCTTGTCCATCATGTCATGTACTCCCTTTCCTTTCTGTAATAAATTTTCGTTCTAAAAAATAATAATAAAACTATCATACAAATTGGATCCGGAAGAACACTAGCGAACTCCATAGGGTCCGTAAAACTAGAATGACCACAAAGTGATAAACATAAATCTGTATTTGCTTCATCCCACTTACACATCTAGATCGAAATAACAACTAGAGTCACTTCTTTGAACATAAAATCTCACTATGAACCTTCATACAAAACTTTCTCTACTTTTGTAATCTGTGCACGGCAATTAGCACCATGTCACTTCAAGCGCTTTCTTTTTTCACACAAAAAGAAAGAATAATAACTAGAACAAAGTAAGGGGAAAACTGATCAACCCATATATACCAAGCAAATTGACACATGAAACAATACTCATCATTGATTTGGCCTTTCTGGTATAATCTATCAAAAAAATAACTTCAAGACCTATGATTGTTTATGGAATCACAAAATTCAAGAGGGCTCCAAAATATAAATATCACAAAACAAAACAAAAAAAAGAAATTGGGTTGATGGGTTGGTTTCGTAACACTAAGAATTCATCATCAATCATCATAACTAAATTGGAACATAACAGAAAAAATGCAGGAAAAAAAAAGACCAAGAAGATCATGATGATGATAATACCAAGGTGCAAATGATATGATAGGTAGGTAGGTAGGAGCGGTATAGACCTTGCAAATAGGACAAGTGATTTTGAGAGCAACGGCTCTGGCCTCAAATTGAGACCCTTTTTGCTTCTGATTCTTCTCCGCATTTCGTTTTTGCGCTTCAATCTTCTGCTTTCCCCGAGTCATCTTTCCCGGTCTCTCTCTGAGGCTCTGGAAGAGGCAAAATGAGTGTAATTCTTATTCAAAGAATGAGAAGAGTGAAAGAAAGAGAAATTTGATGACATGTGGGTGAGTGTTTCGTCTATGCGTTTGCGTGTGGTGTGTGGGCCCCAACCCACGTTTACGATGAGTCCATGAGCCACCAACTTTGCTCCGGTTGGCTGCTGCCCTTTTTAACCCACGTGGCATTGTTTTCTTCATTTTTTTTCTTATAAAAAATCTAACTTTGGATTTAAAAATACTTATCTTAGCACTCGAAGTCATAAGTTCGATTCTTTCATTTCTAATATCACTTGTGTCAAAGTATAAGTCAAACCTTTTTTTGGATCATTTAACAAAACCTGAACTTGGTTCTAGTTGGAGATCACATAAGGTATTTAGGCCATCACCAGGTGGAGAGGGCTACATTTAGTCCTTTAAAAAATAATTTTATAAGGAATAATGTCATGCTACATTTTAAACATCTCCAGCAACAAAGGCTAAATTTCATATTTTAATAGTTTTTAGTATATTATGTAAACTTATTAGTTAATTTAATCAAATTACTATTTAAAACACATTTTAGAAGAGAAAAATATTTTGGGATAGGATTTTTGATATCCACATGTCGGCACGTGATTAGCCCTATAGATTTATGATTATATTCTTTCTTGTTCTTAAAACAACTTAAAAATTAATTTAAATGGAAAAAGATGAAGGATAGTTTGTAAAATAATGTAGAGATTGTGAGAAATTATCTAAAAGGATGAAATTGAGGAAGGATAATATGAAAAATGATGAAGATGTTGTGAGAAATTATGTAAGAATGAGATAGGTATTTATAATAAATAATAAAAATTTTGAATTTATTATAATTATAAATTTTAAATAAATAAACTAGCTGATGTCATCTAATGGCTAGGTGACGTCAGCTGGGCCCTATCCAAAATATTTAGCCTGAGTTGGCCAAAGGGCCATTGACCCTTTGTGTAGTCCTCCCTTGTTTTGTAGCCTTTTGTGTAGCCCACTCTTGGAGATGGATTTTGGGAATTTTAGGCTATAATTTAGGAATTGGCCCTCACTTGGAGATGGTCTTTTATCTCAAACTCTAAGATATAGTTTCATTATCTAGCATGGTATTCCTTATTTCAATTATTTCCATACTGAAAGAGATCTTAAGTTTGATTATCAAAATTAAGTTTCTAGAGGAAAACAATGAAGATGGCCATTAAGTTTCTAGAGGAAAACAATGAAGATGGCTAATTAAGGAATTCAATAGATGACCCAGTGGAGACCGACATTCTTTATAATGTCATCTATAAAGTGATTTCAAAAGTGCTCAAAAGCTGTAAGAACAAGTACAGTATTGGTGATGGAAAGGGGTTTTCAAAATGTTGTCTTTGAAAGTGATGCTTTCCAAATTGTTATAGCACTTCGAAGTCACTCCATAGATAGGTCCGTCATAGGACTAGTGGTGGAGGATACCAAGAGCTTGTTGACACAAGTCACTGGGGAAGGTTTTACCCATATTCGTCGTACTGCTAATGGTGTAGCTCATCGTTTAGCGCATTTTGCCTTGCATATCGGGGGTTCTCTACACTAGTTCGAGGAACCTCCTGATTTTATTTCTGATGTACTGTATGAGGATTGTAACTCTTGACCAAGAACTTCCTTTGCCCTTGATACGAGTTCAAACCTCTTGTATTAGCTTTTTTCACATCAATATTATTCTATCACTTATCATTAAAAATAAATAAATAAATAAGTGCTCACCACTTATCGAAAAAACACTCCTATATATATATTTTAAAATCATAGCCCTCTCTCCCCCAATAAACACTCCTAGCGCCGTTTTTACTTTGAGGTGGGAAGAACCCACTCTTCTTCCTACCCTCCATTCTCTCTTCCTCCCTACTCCTCTCTTCCCCCATTTTCAGTGACATAAGTTTTCCCCTTTTTATCTTCGTTTTGTTATGATTTTCTTCCATCCATCATAGGCGGCTGTGTCTTAGCGTTGGATCTCCACCACTATCATTTCTCTTATAAGCCAACATCCTTAATGTCATCGTGGGCAAAGACTCCGTCAATGTCCCTGTCAACCGGGAAACCTAAAGAGACTATAAAAGCCCAATGGAGTCCTTGTGGAAACATACGGCGAACCTAGACATGTGTATCTAAGGCCACTAGCTAACCGAAGACATATTGGGTAATAGGTTGTCCATGTCTTAACAACAACTTTCCGCATTCCACCTTTAATGCCCCCACGTTGGATCACAAGCCCGCATTACTAAGCTCGGCCACCACTATTATTTCTGATGTTTCCTTATGTTTGGAATAAGTCGCAGAGACTCATTGGGTTTTTTGTATAGTTTTCATATCCCCTTTTCTGAGAGTTTTCCACCTCTATATTGTGAGAGTTTATTTGTATTTTTATGGCTTGATCTTTTTCAAGCTTTATCTATTTTTGGTTGTTTTGAGTTTGCAATCTTAGTTGGAATGTCTATTCCAGAGTTTCTTTCATGCCAAATAGAGAACTTAGCAAGGTGATCCGTTATCTCCTTTGCTTTTCCTTAGAGCACTTCCACCATAAGGGTTTGGCCTGGGAAAAAGAGGGCCCAAGCCCTATTTCGAGCTTCTAACGTGCAAGTGTGGCTCGAGCAGGAGGTGGGTCCCTGCAAACCGAGCAAACCCAAAGGCAAAACGAGCTCGAGCTCCTGTCTGGGGGCTACTAATGCTAGCCTGGCGTCAGCCCTGATTTTTGCCAACGGCTAGAAGCTTGGCTTGTCTGATCATGTTTTGTCCTCTAATCCAACAACTTTTTTTAAAAATTAAAATTAAAATTAAAATTTTTTGTTCTCTATAAATACCTACCAATATTCTTCACTTTCCACACCAAATCTTCATACATTTTCTTCTCCTTCCAATATTATTCACTTTCACACCAAATTTTCTTCACTTTCCAAATTTCATTTTTGTTCAAATACAAATGGCATCCATCGAAGCCGGAGGGGCATGGACAACCATGGAAGAAGTTTTGTTGTTTGAGTGTTGGGTCCAAGTTGGTCATTGTCCGATCATGGGCAATAAAATGAAGTTCTCTCATATGTGGAGAAAAATTCATGAATTTTTTTGAAAGATCGGGTTTTGCTCGTACGAAAATGACCTTGGCTAGTAGATGAAAAATTTTGAATAAAGAGTTGGGGAAATTGAGAGATGCATTGGTAAAAGTGAGGGACAACATTAGAAGCGGTGAAAATCTTGGCAACGAGGGAAATTATTTGTAATTTCTGTTTTATTAAATTTAAGGTCCTATTTTTTTTCAATTTTTCTTGCATTTCCAATACTTTTTTTAATGGATTATGCAAGCACAAATGTGGTTTGGTGCCATTGGCCAAGGCAAAAAATCTTTTAATTTCGAGATTCGAAATTATTCCCACTTGTCCCACCGTTGTGTTAAACAAGACGCCGCTTCATGATTCAACGACATCAAATTCGCCTTTGGATTCTCCAATGAATCAAGACTCACCAATCCAAAAGAAGCCGAGGCCTATTGGGAGAAAGGCGGTGAAGGCCAAAAGAGGGAGTAATTCCACTAATGACACTGCAAAAAATTTGGAGCAAATTGCTCTAAATGGCACAATGAGAATTGAGAGAGACATGAAAATATATGCAGATGAGAAGGCAATGCCTTTCCACATCTTTCCTATAACCCTCTTGATAGGCAACAAATGATTTTTCCTTCTCCAATCGAGGATGCAGAATTGTTTTGACGAATGTCGTCCACCTCAGGTTGATTCCATCTGCTAGGTAGTGCCCATTCTAGTAGATGGTATTGTTGATTTCATAGGTAATCTAAGAGGCTTGACCTCTTAAAACATCTTTGAACACTGGAGATTGATCGAGCACGTTGAGGTCGTTTTGAGATCCCACAACTCCGAAAAAGACATGCCTAACCCATGTATCGAATGATGCAACGACTTCCACAATAATACTTTTTTGCCCTTTCCTATTCTCATAATCTTCTTACCAAGCAGTTGAGCAATTCTTCCATTACCAGTGCATACAGTCAATGCTTCCAATCATGCCTGGGAAACCTCGAGCTTCAGCTTTTTGTAGAAGCTTTTGGAAGTCCCTATGCATAGGTTTGCGAAGGTAATCCCTTGTGTAGAGAGTTTTGATTGCATCACAGAATCTGACCAAGCTCTCTAGGATAGTGGATTTCCCCATCCTAGTAATCTCATCCACCTGGTCTACAGATGTGTCAAACGCCAGCATCCGTAAAGAAACTATAAGCTTTTGCTCCAAAAGAAGCCCCAAAACCCCAATAGCATCACATTTCTAAACGAAGTATGCATCGTAATTGCAAACATCATGCATAATTTTATTGAACAAATGGGGCTATATTCTATATCGCCCTCGAAAATTAATAGTAGAGTACAACGAATTTGGGATAAAGTGAATTTCCAAAAGATTCTTACACAGAGAATGCCTATATCAGTCCACGTTCTGGCCCTGGCCAACTTGTGATCCATGGTGGCGGCCTTGGCTTGATAGATCAAGCATATCCATTGCCATGGCAACTTGTTCATCATCTTCTTCCTCCTCCCTTTCTTCTTTAGCTCGTCTACGCCTTCTTTCTTTAATTTCTTGCTCTTGCCTCTCTAAGCATCTCCTCATGTTCGACATTGAGAGTGTACTATGAAATCTAAAATATGAGAAATGAAAGGATAGAAAGGATATGGTGTGAGAAGTCTAAGTTAAGCCTCTGGTTTTATAGAGGAATTTTGAAGATAGAGATGACACGTGACGCAATTTTAGAGGGTGAAAATCTTATTTGAAATTTGAGATATGAATTTTATAATAAATATTGACACGTGGCAACCAAAAATCTTCTCCAAATTAATCTAAGTTAAGTTATAAAAAAAAAATTTGGTGATAGTGATGAATGAAATTTTCCTATTTGATCCAAAAAAAAAGATGTTTAAAAAAAATTAATAATAAAATGAATAGTATTTGTCTTTTGCCATGGCAATGGGTGGAAACACAACAAGCCTTTTGCAAGGACTGCCACTGTTCACGTGAATAGTAACAACCTTTGCCTTGCCCTTGCTCTTTGTCATGACAAATAAGTGGAAGTGCTCTTATTTATGTTGAATGATTTACAACATTAGTATGACAACTTAGGTCCTCCATCATTTTCCTGATTTTTCCTTCAGCTTTCTCATCCTATTTTGTACTTTATTCATACATATAAAATTTATTATTTCATTGTTTCCTATGTCTAATCAAATCCTAACATTATTATTATTATTTTTAAAATTTGTACAATTTTGTCAAATTCTTAAATGAAAAATAAATTATCTTAATAGACACTTGTGCTTTAGAATTAATAATATTAGGGTACCATGTGATATAGTTTTTAAGTCCATTCGATCATAGTTAGGGGTTGGATTGATCACAATATGTTCACTTATGAAAATAATCACTTACTTAATTAGTTGGATTTTTAACTTCATTATTTGAGTTGGGATTCTCTATTGACATTTTTTGTGTTTGTCTCGTACTTATTTAAAAAACTACGTTGTTTTACATTTGTATATAATTGTATTCAATAATACTCGAGATACAAACTTATTACACCAAATTTTGGTGAGCGACTAATGTTACAACTTTTATTCGTTGTGAATAACAAAGGTTAGAGTGAGCCCATACTTGAAATAAATGAAACATTGTCACGTCAATTGTAATTTTAGAATTTGTGTAATATGTTGTTGTCTCTAGTACTACTCAATTGTATTTTCTAAATTTAATATAAAGTCCAAGCTGTTTATCAGAAATGGTCCCTCAGGTTAGCGAAATTATCACCCTTCGTCCTTAATTATTATTATTTTTTTGTGACATTAATAATCCTTAAAGTTACTCTTTGTACATCAAATTAGTCCCTATCATTAGCTTCCATAAATTTTATGTTAAAGTGCTGACATGACACATACATGGAGCCCACACATCCAATTATGTAAAACAAAGTGAATTTTGAATAAAAGATACCATAGAAATTAAAATCTAGATAAATGAGATTAATAAAACTTCAATTAAAAAAAAATTGCAGTAATCCCTATGTCTCTCTCTTCCACGACCCAAATCACCCCCCCAACCGCAACCGCAACTGCAACTGCAACCCACCCACCAACCATACCTGCAACCCACCCCAATCCCAAATCTCATACCCCAGTTTCTTAAATTGAAGTTTTAAATTGATTTTTAGGTAGACTTTTGGCAGTGTAAGAGCCCTTTCTTCTGCTCTCACTCAACTCAATGCCCATGACCAATTTTGTATTGCTGCCATCTTCTTTACTTGATTCTTTCTTGGAAGAGAGAGAGAGAGAGAGAGAGAGAGAGAGAGAGAGAGAGAGAGGGTCGTGTTGCGGCTCTGGAGAGAGAGAACATAGAGAAAGAGGGCAAAAGAGGAGACAGAGAAAGAGAAGAGGGAGATACAGAGGGGTAGGGGAGGGGGAGGGATGGTTTCAATTTTTTTATTTATTGAAGTTTTAATCTCCTTTTTCTTAAATTTTTTAGCCAATTTTTTATGAATTTTAATTTTTATGATATCTTTTATTTAAATCCACTTGGCTTTATATAATTGGATGTGTGGGCTCTACATATGTGCCATGTCAACACTCTAACAACAAATTTGACATAATTAACGATAGGGACCAATTTGTTGTATAGAGAGTAAACCTTAAGGACCTTAATGTAAAAAAAAAAAAAAAAAAAAAAAAAAAAAAAAAAAAAAAAGGGGAGTAATTTCATTAACCTCAGGGACCATTTGCACTAAAAAGCCTAAATTCTAAAGAGTGTTGCTATTTCCACCCACCTGTTCTATTTCCCCACCCATCTTATCTTCAAAATTTTAAAGACAAATAACCCTTTGTCAAATGACTTCTAAGGACTTAGGTAAAAAACCCTAAACTCACAAACCCACCTATTCTACCATTTCACAAAAAGAAAAAAATAATTAAAATATATATATTTTGTCATACCCACATTTAACCCTTTCTCTTCCAGCCGCAACCTCCATTCCCCACCACAGCCACCGACGTCACCATCAACGTTGGCACCCATGTCCATCTCCCCCTCCTACATCGTGGCCAACATCGTCTCTCTCTCTCTCTCTCTCTCTCTCTCTCTCTCTCTCTCTCTCTCTCTCTCTCTCTCTCTCTCTCTCTCTCTCTCTCCATCACTTTTTCTCTCTTCCACGCTGGCAACGATAGAGCTCGACAACCTTGTCGGACTTCAAATAGGTGTCTGATATCATATCTAGAGGCCCGCGACCTTGTCGTCCTCCATCGTTGTTGGCTCTAAGAGAGAGAAAGAGAGGGAGAGATGAGAGAGATCCGCTGAGTAGAGAGAGAAAAAAATATGGTTCGAGTAGCAGGGGAGGAGTGGGAGAGATGAGAGACACAGTAAGAAGAGAGAGAAATAAGGGAGATATGAGAGAATGACGGGGTTTGAGTTGCAAGGGCGGGGGACAAGAGAGGAGTAGCTGAGATGAATTTTCTTATTTAAGTTTCAAATTGATTGACAGCTGTCCATAAGTGATTGGGTGGAGAATTTACTTGAATTCATAATTAAAGTGTATTTTAGGAATAATGGTGGGTGGAAAGATAAAATTGTTGTTTTTCAAATTTACACGGCGGGTGTGAAAATAGGATACAGAGGAGGAAATAGCAGTACTCATTCTAAATAGGGAATATATTATGGCCTAATAAATAACTAGTTTGAAAAAAACAACTATGACTTAATAAGTGAGAAGTTACTAATGACATTCGTTTCTTTTCCTTCTGATAAATAATGTCATCAGTTTAGAATTAGATTGATGTCTGGAAACTGCATTTACATTCTACCATCAATCTTTAAACCCCACTTGTAGCAAATATAAATAATAAATTTACATATCCTTCAAACTACAACACCTAGAAGATGTATTAAATTTCCTTTTTACATACATTTCGAAATGGAGTTTTGGTTTCTTCTCCTTGCCTTTGTTTGCCTCTACATTTCTTTTAATGCACTACTAAAGCTCCTAAGCAATAAAAGACTACCACCAAGTCCCCCAACCTTACCTATCTTAGGGAACATCTATTGGCTTCTCAAATCTTCTAGCAACTTCGCTAATGTTGAGCCCGTTCTCCACCATTTGCGTTCCAAGTATGGCCCTATTGTTACTCTTCATATCGGGTCTTGTCCTGCCATTTTCATCACTACCCACGAAGCTGCTCATAGAGCACTTGTGAGAAATGGTACAGTCTTTGCTGGTCGCCCTGCTGCTCTCGAAACCACCCAAATCTTCTTTAGCAACCAGTGCACTGTTAGCTCTGCACCATATGACCCAATTTGCGGTCTCCTTCGTCAAAATCTTATGTCCATAATACATCCTTCTCGACTCTAGACGTATTCGCATGGTCGTAGATGGGCATATAATCTTTTAAAGGATAAGATCTTAGATGAAACAGAATTTGGCAACAAGGCCATCCATGTGGTGCACAATTTTCAATTTGTCATGTTTGGTTTACTATCCTATATGTGTTTTGGAGTCAAATTTGATGGTAAAACCATTAAAGATATTGAAAGCGTGCAACAAGCACTGCTTTTGAATTTCGCTAGGTTCAACAAACTAAATTTTATGCCGACCATATCAAAGATCATGTTTCGTAAGTTGTGGAAGGAACTCTTACAGATTCGTCATAATCAAGTGTGTGTCATTCTCTCAATCATAAAAGCACGTCATGAATGGTTAATGAGTAAAAAAGTCAACAATGAATTTGAAGAGGGAGAGTGTATTCTCTCTTATGTTGATAGTCTAATGGATCTTCAGCTCCTCGACGGTGGTGGACGAAAGTTTACGGATGATGAAAAGGTAAGTTTGTGTTCGAAGTTTCTGCTAAGCGGAACTAATACATCCACCACCACATTACAATGGGTTATGGCCAACTTAGTGAAGAACCAAGACATTCAGAAGAAGCTATCAGATGAAATCAACTCTGTTGTAAAACCGAAACAAGATATTGCGGAAGATGATTTAATGAAGATGCCTTATTTGAAGGCAATTGTGTTAGAAACTCTACGTCGACATCCACCAAGCCACTTCATCTTGCCACGGGCTGTCTTGAAAGATATTCAAATGGATGGTTATGACATACCAAAAGATGCAATGGTGAATTTTACAGGCAGAAATGTCACGTGATTCAAATGTGTGGGAAAGACCGATGGCGTTTAGACCAGAGAGATTCATACAAACTGGTCAACAAGAGGTGAAGTTTGATATCAAAAGAGTTAGAGGTATTCAAATGATGCCCTTTGGTGTGGGGAGGAGGATTTGCCCAGCTATTAATGTGTCACTGCTTCATCTTGAATATTTTGTGGCCAATTTGGTTAGAGATTTTCAATGGAAGTTGGGAGATCAAAATGAGGTTGACTTGGCAGAGAAGCAAGCCTTCACCATGGTCATGAAATATCCACTTTTTACACATATTTTTCTTGATTCAATCATAATTAACTGATATTAGCATGAAAAAATATAAAGACAATTTTATTAGTATATATCGTTATTTTAACACTAGAAAAAATAAACTTTCATTGACTTTAAAAACTGATATTCATTAGAAAATTCAGTCCAAGCTTTAAAAACTAAATAAAATAATAAAATATAAAAACTTTTCAATCTCTCAAATTTTTTACTTCATAATTCTAAGAATTAGGGCCTTATTTAAACACCCAGCTCTATCAGAAATGAAACATATACTAAATAAACCAACACCCCAGACTAACACCCCAGACTAAAACCAAGAGAACTCATAATATCTAAAATCTAATTAGCCAAAAAAAAAAATGTCAGTCATTTCCCCATAAGAGAACTACTTATTAGGCGAACGTTAAAGTAAATGAAGGTTGGTCCTTTCCGGATTATAAAGTATATTGCCCACAATCGTATATATCTACTGAATTTTGCATTTTGTTGCAATCCACACACGTACACACCTTGTTAACAATATGCACCATTATAACATTGTCCATTATATTAAATAAGAAATTTTGATCACGACACTTAATTTCATTTGTTTTGTAGGAATTACTCATTAACACAATTGTTATCTCTATAGACTAGGCCTCGTCAATGGGCCGGGCCGGGCTAGCCCGGCCCAAAATTTATGGGCTTGGGCCGGGCCGGGCCGGGCTCAAACACGTAAAAGAATATTAGCGGGCCGGGCCGGGCTGGGCTTTTTTCAATAATTCAAAGCCCAGGCCCGAATCATAGGCCGGGCCTTAATGGGCTTTATCGGGCCGGGCCGAGCAAGCCCAATTGGGCCGGGCCGAAATGGGCTTACTATTTAAAAAGTCAAATATATAAAATTCATTTCATTCTTGCTAAAGTATGAAGCTAACAAAATGTCTTACAAATCTTATATCCTTCCAAAACAAAAAGGTCTTACAAAATCACAATCTAATCACAATCAAATTAGAGTCACTAACAATCTAATCAAAAACTTCATTGCAAGGCAAACACTCAAAAGCATAATAAAGTCTGAAAGTCCATTACTACAACAAACATCCCATGCTTGCAAAATAAAATATAATCCTATTACATAACATTTCAACTTTGAATGGTCTCATTTTCAGATTCACCAACAATCTCAACTTCACTGTCTGCCATCCAATCTGGTCTTGATGCTCTTATGTTCATTAATTCTTCAGCTTGTTGCTCATCTACTGCTGCATCTTGCTTTCTTGAATCTGCCAAGGCCCAATCTTTCAAGCAAATTAAAGCTTCTATTGTACTCGGACTCAAACTGGCCCTTTTCTCTGATACAACTCTACCACCTGCACTAAAACATGATTCTGATGCTACAGTAGAAGCTGGAACAGTTAGCAAATCTCTAGCCATGAGGGAAACAATAGGGTATGTTAATTTATTGTTTTTCCACCAATCCAAAAGACTAAATTGATTATCATCAACTACTTCTATTGTTGGTAAATCAAGATAAAATTGTAATTCAGAAGTGTTAGTGGAAGAAGAAGAAGAAGAAGATAGCCTTTTTCTTTTCAAGCCTTCAATCGAAAAATTTCTCATTATAGGGACAGATATAGGACTAGAAGTTTGACTCAAAGTAGTAGAAGTTGCAACATTTTGCACATTTTGAACCACATCAGGAATTACATTCTTCTTGTAGATATCAAATAACTGAAATAACAAAGTCTTTAAAGCTAAAATTTTTGAGTCAATGGTTAATTGATCAATACCTATCATGTCCAACCATTCAGCAATTGCAAATAATTTAAACCTAGGGTCCATAATAGTAGCTAAGCAAAAAACCATAGGAAACTCTTTCCAATATTTATCAAATTTTATTTTCATTGCAGTCAAAGCATCCTTAAGAACAGAAAATTCAGAATATGCAGCAAATGATCCATGAATATCTATTAAACAATTAATAACACGACTTGAAGTAGGATAATACACACCAGAAAATATCTTAGTTGAAGAATAAAAAATTTGTAAAAACCCACTAACAAGTTGTGCTATTGTCCAATCTTCTTCACTAGGTACATGTAAATTACAGAAACGTGATTCATTTACCTTTTGAACATACCTATGCAAAGGGGCTTTATATTTTATAGCAACATGTAAAAGCTCATATGTTGAATTCCATCTATGAGGCACATCAATATCTATATTTTTCTTTCCCATATGGAAATCACTACAACATTTAACCCAAATTTCATGTCTCTTGTTAGATGAATTCATGCTACGAACAATATCAGTAATTTTTTCAATAGAAGGAGATAAAACTTTAAGTCCATCTTGCACAATCAAATTCAATATATGACAACAACATCGTACATGAAACAATTTTTCATGCACAGAATCCAACAAAAGAGTTGATGGAAGTATACTTGCAGTTGAATCATTATTTGATGCATTATCTAATGATAAAGTAAATACTTTGTTGTGAATGTTCCAAGATAACAATTCATCAAATATATGAGTTGCAAGTGACTCTCCGGTGTGTGGGTACTCAATCATTTTAAAGCAAATTATCCTCTTATTCAAACACCAATCTTTATCAATAAAATGTGCAGTAAGTGACATATAACCCATTTTTTGTCGTGATGACCAAACATCAGAAGTTAAACAGATTTTTGAATCAAGTTGGGCAAAAACAGCAAGCAAATTAATCCTTTCTTTATCAAATTTTTTTAGCACATCCCTTTTACATGTAGAGGCTGAAATTCCTTTATATTGAGGACAAAATGCACGCTGAATCAAGCCTTTAAAATCATGACTTTCAACAAATTTAAATGGCAGCTCAGCTCTAATAATAAAATCCACAAGTTCTTTTCGAGCAATATCATGATCATAAACAAAATTAGTCAAATTTCCAGCAGCATCAACATTTAATAACATTTGACCTGGATTTACCCTAGCTTGTGCATCTTCATGTCTTTTTAAATGACGAGATAAATGACTAGTGCCACTACTAGAATTACCAACCAACAAAGTATTACAAATAACACACTTAGCCTTAATTACTGGTTTACCATTTTCAATTTTGTTAACCTTTTCAAAAAAAGACCAAACTTTACTTGTTAATCTAGATGCACTAGGTGACTCTGAAGGGGGATTGAAATCATTTGTACTTTCAGTTTCAGTCAAAGGTGACGCACTAGAAGAATCCATTTTGATGATATTACGAAACTAAAGACAAAATGGAAGATGTTACTTGATTTTCCAGCAGAGCACAAGCTTTACTTTTGCAGCACAAGCACAAGCTTTACTTTTGCAGCACTAACTCCTGCAAAATAAACAAAGAACTCATTAATAATCAAAGTTCAGCACAAAAACAGAAAGATATATTAACAAACTAAAACAATTAATATTCCTTACCTTTTTCCACCAACAACCATAGAAAATGAAAAAAGGCCTTGCAATCCTCAAAAAAGCAAGACACAAACTCCTGCAATAAAAATGAAAATAAATATTTCATCAATAGTTATCTCAAACAAGCTAAATGTAGACGAAAACAAATAATACATAAATTTGATTTCATAAGAAAACAGATAATACATAAATTTAACAGAGATGGGAAATTAAAATGCTCTATAAAGAAAAGATATATAAATATAGGATATCCGCAAGTGATACATAAATTTAACAGATAATACACCAATAGATTAGTAAGTTCGGTAGTGTAGTGTCCATTTTGGAGGCTTAATATGACCACAGGTGTCTCTGTCACAAGTTCACTTTTTTCTCTCTGTGTGTGTTTGTGGAGAATTGTAGGGGCTGGCCAAAATGGGGCTCGTTCCATGGCCACTCTGAATTTCCACGTATTTGGGGTCTCAGATTTTTTTCTTTTTTGACTTTCTGAAACTTGACTGATATTGTGATCCATCAAAGCTACTTTACGTTTTAGTGTTCTGAGATGGTTTTTTGGGAGGGCTTATTGCTATTGGGTTTCAGGCCTTAAACTACATAGGAGAAGATCTTGGGCTGTCTGTGATAGAAATCAAATATATAAATATAATTTATATCTATACAAATCTGGAAAAGGAACCATAACAGAACCAAATTAACAGAGACTTCAATTTACACACACAAGTAGAATTTCCAGATGCAATCAACAAAACCAAATTAAGCATAAAAAGTCATAAAGCCAAAGCAAATCATCACAAACTAAGAGCTAAACATAAAACAATAACAATAAAAGAAATAGATGAACTTCTATACAGCAAACAGATTTTAGCAAAAGGATACAGATGAACTTCTCATAATCTCAGTTTCTCTTGCACTCAAATAAAATCAAAGAGAGAGATCTTAGCTAAAAGAAGAAATTCAGATGGATACCTGAATTATTGGACTTGGATCGTTGTTTTCGATCTGCAATCTTAGTTTCTCTCAGACTTGGATCTACAAGATTGAATGAGGAGACAGAGAGAGCCGAAGAGAAATGAAGAGGTTGAGAATCGAGAAAGCCAAAGAGAAATGAAGAGGAAGACAGAGCCGAAGAGGAAGAGAGAGACTCAGGCAAGAGTGTGGGTGCGGCGCTAGGTTTAGAATTTGGAGAAATGAAGAGGAAGACAGAGCCGAAGAGGAATAGAGAGACGCAGGCAAGAGTGGGTGCGGCTAGGTTTAGAATTTGGAGACTGATCTGATAATTTTCTTTTTATATAAAGGTATTGTATTGGGCTGTCTGACCTAAATGGCTATTGGGCCTTTTCCCCTTATTTATTTATTTTTTTCCAGAAACAAGCACAACCCATAACAGTTATATTATATAAAGGCAATATATACGGGCCTAACGGGCCGGGCTTTTGTGGGCGGGCCGGGCTGGGCTCTCTTGGGCTTAATCGGGCCGGGCCTATGGGTCGGGCTGGGCTTTAGACACCTAAGCCCAAGCCTAGCCCGGCCCAATACGGGCCGGGCCATCCAAAAGCCCATATCGGGTCGGGCCGGGCTATTCTCTCGATGGGCCGGGCGGGCCCCCATCGGCCCATGAGCCCGCGGGCCAAATGATGAGGCCTACTATAGACCGTCATCATTTTGAATTCATTGCCCATGGGGCACTTCTCTTTTGTGATGTGAATGAATTGCGTATTTTAGCCCTCATCAATTTATAATACTTTTCTTTCAATTTAAACTTACAAGATCATTCATTTATGGAGCCTATTAGTATTGGTGATAATTCTAGTACTATTACAAAAAAAATTGATGGGCGAAACTTCTCTTATTTTTTTTTTTTTTTTTTTTTAGAGACAAAATATGACAAACTAAATTTACAAAGCCGAAAAGAATTATTTATCTTTTCTACACAGAATCTAAACTAAAGAATATAGTTAAAAGTGGGGACCTGGAAGTAGAGGTGTGCATTTGTGTAAAAAAAATTGAATATTGACCATATTGAACCAAGATGGCGATATACCAAATCAAATTAAACCAATTTTATAAAAAATTAATTACGATTTAGCCAAATTATTGCTGATATAAATGAGTTTGGTTTATTATGAACCCGAACCGAACCAGGCCGAACTCAACCAAATCTCCCTGTAAATGAAGGAACCGGATAAATGCTGGAAACTTTTTCCACCAAGAGAAGTTATGCATGACAACTTTTGTGCACCATTCAACGGTCCACTCCACTCCACTCCGCTGTAAAATAGCGAACTGTAGGAGAGCCAATCATTTTATTTATTTTTTCTTGGGGGTTTCCAATGTTGGGTGTCGGTCGGGGGCACGTACGGAAGGTCAGCGTAGGCACGTGCGAAAACACTTTCCCTTAATGCCCTATTTTTTAATTGTTTATTTCCAAAGCATCTAAATTCCACACATTCACTCTCTCTCTCTCTCTCACTCTCACAGACACACACACACCCTCTCTCTCTCTCTCTTCTCGCTTTCTCTCTCTTGGCGTAGGCACAAATCTCAGAGACTTCAGCAAGTGCGGTGGCGTTTTGGCCTTTCCTGCTCGTTCTTCGTTTCACAGCTCAAGCTGCATTCTCTCTCAGATCGATCACAACCAACAGCTGCTTCTTCATCTTTCACATTTCTCGGTAAATCTCACTCAATTTCAGCTCAAGATTTTCTTTTTGCTTTAATTTATGCGATGCTAGCTACTTCAATTTATTTTCGATTATGTTGAAGTGTATGGAAATGTATTAATGGTCTAATTCACTAAGTTTTAGCTGTTAGGACTAGCAGTGGACTTGGAATGAGTAATTGAGAAGTTTCTAATTTGACCAAAAAAATGAAAGAATGATTGATGGTGCTTAAGATTTTTCTCGGGTGGAAGTTCTTTCTTCGCTTGAAGATAAATTCAATTTGTTATTTGGTTTACTAATTGCATTTATTATTCGACTTGCTTTTGTAATCCTTGACAGTTATGAGCTTGTTATAGTAAATTACATATCGTTTTAAACGTGCATGTAAATCCAACCTAGATAGTTTGGCACACAATGGGTCTATATGCAAAGACTTCTGTTTTACCGTTAATAAAATAATTTATTGTATGAGTTTTGTTGGGTTGGAAATGAAGTATATCATGGTCATTATAGTTAAGTTTTGGGGTTATGAAAGAGCTTAGTTGGTGACCGGAAGGTAAAATGGGAGAACAAGAGGGTAAGGTTGACATGATTTGTCATCCGCACTCTAAACTAGGTAGCTTTGAAATGGTATTGTACTCAGCATTTTCCTAGATCTTTTTAAATGTGGTTGTTTATTGTCTGTCTGATGTATCTGTTGTACTAGTTCGTGGATGCACTTTTGCTGTATTGCTTACCGTGAGTATAGTAATTTCCATTGTACCTGATGCCATCTTCAGTTATTTTTCATTTTCCAACACATTAATGGAAACTGTTTTGTGTTTTTTTAGGAAGCTTGAAGGATTCCTAACATGTGATATAGTATAGATCTGAACTGAACATATGACAATTTATAAATAGTAACTTGTATTTGCTAAATCTAAGATAATACATTCAAATGGCTACTTTTTTTGGCCGAGTTCAAACCACTATTAAACACAGAAAAATGCATACAAATGTTAAAATGCTTTGGTCACTTTCTTGAATGAGGTTCTTGTGTTGGTTCTAGTGTTAGACTCCAGGCTTCCTTGTTCTTGCATTTCCGGCTGCTGGATGTCATCATCAACTAGAGGGAAGCATTTAAAGCTTGGCGTGTCAGATGAATTATAGTTGCTGTATTATGCTTGACCAGTGCCACCATGGGCATCTTTTTGGTGAAATGGAGTGGACCCTGGCTTCTTTACATTCTACTGCTTTACATAATAACGAACGAATGCAGAGCTATCAGTCGTGATGGTAATTTGACATATTTTTGTTTCTCTCTTGTACTTTTTCTTCTATTTAATTTTGAGTTGTCTTGAGGCATGCCAAATATTATAACTAATGAAGAAATATCAACTGACTTCTTACCATCAAAACAAAACCTTGGCTATGTGAAGTTTGGTTCGAAACACTAATCAGGTAATCACACAAGTGATTCCAAGAATGTGCCCGTAGTAGTGTGTACGTTTACTTAATCTGAAAAAGTAGTCTATTCTTGTGTATTACTAGACTGACACACATGCCCTAATCTGATATGCTTGGTATATTGAATGCTGTTTCTAATTTGCAGGTGAGGCACTTCTAAGCTTCAGGACAGCAGTTGTTAGTTCAGATGGTATCCTTATTCAATGGAGACCAGAAGATCCCGATCCTTGTAATTGGAAAGGAGTGAAATGTGATAAGAAAACAAAGAGAGTAATCTACTTGTGAGTTCTGAATACCTATAATTATGTTCTGTATCACTTTATATGCATATTGAACTAACACTTGTTTCTTGATATTTGTGTGGATGGTTTTGGTTTTTTCTTTGCTTTAGAGGACATCTTGTCCCCGGTAATGCACCATTGCTCTTTATTAATAAGGTCTTGTCTCCTATTAGAAAAAAATAATAGACTTGTGTGTTTATCTCCACATTGGTATCAAATGTGTCAAAAAAGGGGAGAATGTTCATCAAACCTTTTAACATTGTTCTTTCACAAGACAAGTATACTCTCAATTATTGGGGATGTTTGACATTTTGTGGTTTGATCTCAAAATTGTCATCTTTTGTTGGTGTATGATACTTTGTTAGTAGGGAATAACAAGAAAGCAGTGACTTTTTGAAAGTGTGCGACTTTTGCTCTTCAATGGACTGTGTGATCGAAAAGAAATAGTGGAGTTTTTGAATGCAAGTTGAAGAGGTGGATTTACTTAGGATAGAATTAAGGTCATAGCTTCTCTTCAGGCATCGTTGTCTGACATTTTAGAGACATTCCCTTCAGTGTTATTCTTCTGGATTCGGAGAAAGTGCAGTGGGGCATGCTTTTGTTCCTTGGTCCATTGGCGGATAGACCTTATAATTCATTATCGAGACCTAATTTCTTTTTTGCATAAGAATGAAAATTGTTACTTGCAATTATAAGTTTGCTTCTCATGACTTATCTGGCAGGAGTCTTGCTGGTCACAAGTTGAGTGGATCTGTATCACCTGACCTTGGGAAGTTAGATCAGCTGAAGATTTTGTATGTATCTTTGAGAAATATAATAGCTTTTCTGGTAGTTGATGTATCTTTGATATATCAAAATGTCTTCCTCTGACTGATTCTATGAATGATGTATTATGTTGTAGAGCTCTTCATAACAACAACTTTTATGGGACTATTCCTTCAGATCTGGGGAATTGCACGGAGTTGCAGGGAATGTAAGTTCACCTGCACTAATTGTTATCTTGTAAAGTGTTGTTATGTTCGCTACTGAGTGATGGTTGTTCATATTTCCAATTAGTTGGTTGGAGATCATTATATACAGTGATTCAACAAAGAAAATTTGTTTAATAACATATATGGGCTCATCCTTTTAACTGTTTTCTTTTTATTTTTTTTCCATCACTGCTAAAAAGGTGACTCCTTTTGTTTTCTGGATATCACATGATAAGGTGATTTGAATAACTGATGGCTTTAGATTTGAATTAGTTAACTAAGTATTTTAACTTGTTTGGCTGTGAGTGAACCTTGAAATCATATAATAGACATATTAACTGTCAATTTGGTAAACCCTTAACAATAAAAATTAGTAATACCAACACTCCTTCTCAAGGTGGTGTATAGATTACAGATGCCCAATTTGCATAAAGTTTAATGAAAAACTTTACTTGGGATGCTCCTTTGTCAAGAAAAATTATCTTCCGTCATGACAGCATTTTACAAATTATGCTGGCATCTAATTTCTCCTTGATGAAATTCTTGTCAAATTTAATACATTTAGTCCTATCATTTTCAATCTGATAGAGCTTTACCGATTGAAGGCTTAATATCACTATAAAGTGTCATAGGAACTTGTTTAAAACTCAATTCCTTGAACAATATTTGTAACCACAGCTATTAAGAAATCCAATACACCATAGCCCAAAATTCTGTTTTTGCACTTGACCTCGCAACCACTGATTGTTTCTTAGTTTCTGGTTACCAAGGTTCCAATAAAGGTGTAGTAACTTAAAGTGGACCTTCTATCATCAACAGAACCAACTTACTCAACATCTGTGTATGCTTCCACCTTTAAGTGTCCATGCTTAGAAAATAAAAATCTTCTCCAGGAGCATATTTCAATTATTACATGTGAAAACTTACATCTAGATGCGGAGAATAGGGTGCATGCATAAACTGGCTGAATACACTCATAACGTAAGATATACAGGACATGTGTATGAAAAGAATCAAGCTTTTGATACCTTCCTCATAAACGTGACCAGCTTAGTTTGAGTATCAACATTTTTGCATCCTACCATTCGCCTATCTTGAAGAAGATGCATTTTGTTTGGAAATATGCCTTTTCCTGATCTGGCAACTTCGATATGTAGACTAGGTCTCCGAATCTCTCTCAAATTCATTAGCTAAGCGAATTTTCAACTTTTAAGCATCACCCCAGTGAATCACTTGTCATGAACACACACAATAGCTGCTGCAATTTTACTTTGAGAGGCAAATGTATACGGTGTGATTATCATGAGTAAGTTTATAACCAGATTTCACCATACTGGCATAGTTGTCTGAAACTCATCAAAACAAGCACTAGGGAATTGTTTCATTTAAATATATTTTTGGTGGACATCTTGTACTCTGTCCACTGTTGGAACTGCTTTCAGGTGAACATTTTGTGCTCTGTAGGTTTTTGTCAGAGTTTTCTAAGTTTGTCAATAAATTTTGTTTCTCATTAGAATAGTGCAATTGAATAGGATCAAGAAATTGGATGTTCTTGAAGGGGAAAGAGTGTTGGTGAGGCGTTGAGAAGGGAAGTTCTGATCTTTGGAATTGTTTTGAGGACGGTGATGAAGGAGCAAATTTCATGGAGGCAAAAGAACAGTGGTGAAATGGATTAGAGAATAGGATAACAAAGTTGTTTCGTAGCTTACCTTCGGTAGAAAAGTGAATAAGTTGAGGATGGCAAGGGTAACCTATTGAGGGTGAGGGCAATCAATATGATTTCGGATTTGGAAGTGAAAATGATTGAAGAATCCTAATCACTCTTTTATTTCTTAATGTGTTGTGAAACTGTTCTCCTTGACCATTAGGAAAGCTTAGTTCAGTTGTCTTCATCTCTCAATAATTTTGCCAACGTTTTTAGGTTATTTCAGGTATTCTTAACAGCTTATGTTAATACATGGATGACGTAAATTTTTGCATTTAACCTTTGAAGAAGTAGAACTTAAATCAAATTACTCACCTGAAATGGACTGATTTGTACTATGAATATGACCTTGTCATGCATTTTTATTGTCTCTATTAGATATATGCACCTCCTTGGATCCCTTGGAACTGTTTCATGTGTGGTTAAACCTGACTCAAGTATGAGTACTTTACTTATATTAGTATGTATTGTTTGCTTAATACTAGTGTTGTTTTTGTTCTAGTATATTCATATTTCAAAGCAGCAGTGCTATCTTTCACTTCTTAGTATTGTTTTTCCTCGTAGCATCTTTCATTTAGCTTGTGACAAGAATAGCTTGTCCTAGGTGTAGCTTAACAATTTGTATAGAAATATCTGTATTTTATCTGTGTTTCAGTCTGAACTGAGTAATTTTGCTTATTTCTGAAAGTTAAGTTATAAGTTGCAGCTTTTACAATTTGTTTTCTTTGATTGTCAATAGAAAAATTTCCAAACTATCTGTATTTTATCCACATTTCCTTTTCATACCGAGTAATCCTGTTTGTTTCCTGCTGAAGTTGAGTTTATTTTGTTCATACAGATACTTGCAGGGTAATTACTTAAGTGGATTAATTCCCAATGAATTGGGAAAGCTTTTAGACCTCAAATATTTGTGAGTTGTTTCTAACATTTTTTATATCCTTTAAATGTTTTTCATATTTCCTAGTTTTAAATTTGATAACTAAGGTGATGCATCCATTGTAAGATTGTAGCTTGAAAGATATCAGATAAACATCCCAGGACCAAATTGTTATCCTGTAGGCGTGAGATTTCTTAATAACTTATGCTTTCTTGTTTAACAACTGTTTTTCATTGTAATGATAAATTTGTTTAATTCACTGTCTTTTAAAGCAATATGCAGGAGAAATTAAATTTCGCACTGTACATGCATTGATGTTTTCATGTATACAGTTTTACTATAGAGCTGTTTATTTAGCTTACCACAAGACAACTAAGCTGCTTAGATATCGATAAAGATACGAAATGGTAAAGATAAGGAATGAATCACTTTAAAGTGGAACCAGAAATAGGAGAATTGCCCAATAAGAGTTTTCTTCACTCATCAAATGAAGTGGATATGGTAGATGAAAGGGTTGCCTGATTCTTCAACCAGTTATTTATACATTTTAATCTAGTGAACCTGCCAGGTAAAATTTTCTAGATGTACCTCGGGGAAATTTAAATAGTTATCTGTTTAAGCTGGGCCAGCAATCTTCGTTTATAGTGTCCTTTACTTCATTTAACTAATTCTATATGGGTTAAAGAATTTATAGCTTTAAACAAATTATTTTGTAGATCTGTTGTCTGCGGTTATGGCTAACAAAAGTATTTAACTTATCATCACTGGATGTGACAATGAGACAGTAAATACTGTACTGATTAACATATTTATGTATAAAATTTTGAGTTTCATATTATACCATAGTAGTTAGTGAATGCTCTCATATGTCGCCTTATGATGTGCATTTATTTTTTATTTTGAATGCTATAGCTTATTCAACAGTTATAATATTTGTACAAATGTTTGGAAGAAATAAACCTATTAGAAGCAATAATGATGTAGGATATGGATGAATTGAGTATTTAAGTAGTTTAGCGGAAGCGGAAACAATGGAAAACAGAAAATAGAACTAAAGGGATAGGTCTGGCATCATTCCAGCGGTTTGGCTTCACACCAAGTAGTCTCCAATCTCTGGAAAATAAGCTTTTCTTTATATCTCAACAACTGAATTTTAAAGAATTACATGGGGGTATATATAGCAAACTAAAACCCAGATTCAATAGGATAAAAAAATCCCTTGCTAAAACAGAAATTCTAACCTAAATAAAATAGGAAACTTATAAATCTTACTAAAATCTGGAAAACTCAGAGAACAAGTTAGAAACTAATCGCAGGAATAAAAAATTGCCAGATTTAAAGGCCAAATTAAATAACTTCCTCTTCCATCTCTTTCTTTTGTAAACCCTAGATGTCCTCATCAAATAATATGCATGATATGGTTGTTAATTCCTCGCACACATTAACTTCAGATGATGCAAATGACTATGATGTTGAAATATTCTTGGAAAGCATGAAGTCCAATTTATCGAATCAGTAGATTTATTATTCTTGTGCATTTGGTGTTACAATGTGGAACTCATCACTATTCTATGTTCTTAAATTACAGAGATATTTCAAGTAACTCTCTCAGTGGGAATATTCCTGTGTCACTAGGGAAGTTGGATAAGCTTGTCACTTTGTGAGTAGCCTCATTCTTTTTAGTTATATCCAAACTTGATAATTGGTGCTTTGTTGAACATAGGAAATTCGATCTATTTTATTGATCAATGGAATCTTGATTTTCTGTAGCAATGTGTCAAACAATTTTCTGGTTGGACCAATACCATCTGATGGCATGCTTACCACCTTACCTCAAAGCTCGTAAGTACAGCTCATCTTCTGAAGTTTATGTGTTCTGGGTCATCATGAAGCTATTTGATAGCGTACAGTTCTCACTTATTCATGATTCGTATGGTTTCTACTTCATTTCACACTCTTTACATTCCTATGTCCTTTATCTTTAATCTTCCAGTAGGGTGAAATATTTCTAATGTAAAAGTGATGAATGATCAACATGGGAAGGGATTGTTATCATATTATTGCCCATCTAATGTCTACTCTGATAGACTTTCTTAAGATCTATATCTTGCCACAGTTACCGACAATTTATATGGAACTATGGAAATGTGGTCCCCAAAGATTCCCATGTTATTTAAATAGTCAATTGCTACATTTCATTGCAGCTTTGATGGAAATCGTGATTTGTGTGGGAAACAAATCAGTACTATATGCAAAGATGACCCTCGAGAATCTCCACCAAATTCCCAATCTCCAAACTCAGGTAAACCTCCTTCGAAGTGAAATAGATGGGTGCAATGTGTGTGAATATCCAGAGAATCCTTAGGAAGTGAGAATTTCTATCATTACAGAATTTAAAATGTTTAAAACCTTATGGTGTTCATGTTTTGTATTTAACCCATTGTAGATCAAAATCAAGGTGGAAAGAAGAAATACTCTGGCCGGCTACTTATTAGTGCATCAGCAACTGTGGGTGCACTTCTTCTGGTGGCTCTCATGTGTTTCTGGGGTTGCTTTCTTTATAAAAAGTTTGGTAAACATGACAGTAAAGGTCTCGCAATGGATGTTAGTGGAGGTACTGTTCCTAGCTATTTTATGGGTTATATTTGATTTACATGTAGCAAATCTTGAGTTCCTGGACTTCGATATCTCTACTAACACTTTGTTACTTCAGGTGCATCAATTGTAATGTTTCATGGAGATTTGCCATACTCATCTAAAGACATAATTAAGAAATTAGAGACTTTGAATGAGGAACACATAATTGGTTGTGGGGGCTTTGGAACAGTGTACAAGCTTGCAATGGATGATGGCAATCTATTTGCATTAAAAAGAATTGTAAAGATGAATGAGGGTTTTGATCGTTTTTTCGAAAGGGAGCTAGAAATTCTTGGAAGTATAAAACACCGATACCTAGTGAATTTAAGGGGATATTGCAATTCTCCTACATCAAAGTTGTTAATCTATGATTTCCTATCTGGTGGAAGCCTTGATGAAGCTCTACATGGTGAGATGTTTTTCTTGTGTTTAACTTTATTGCTTTGACATGCTACATGTGCATCTGGTTTAATGTAATAATATAGTTATTTAAACATGAATTAGAATCCAGGAAACGAAGGTGAAAGAAAATCCTTTTTAAAAGAGAGAGAAAACCCCTAGAAGGCAAACTAAGATTGGAATATATATTTTGTAAAAAAGGAAAAGAAAAAAGAAGAAGTAATGCATATAACTATTTCAATATTTAAGACTGTCCAACAAAAGGATAGTGGTGTCTTTTTATTGAGGTTGCGAATAGACACGCATCATGATCTCCATCAGGGGGATATGCATCACTTATCAGGCTCAATAGTGTACGGTATGGTACATTTGTCGATTCAGGATTTCCACTTCAATGGAAATTTTGTGCTTCAAACATTCTTATAACAAGGAGCATAAAATGTGGCCCAAAATCACCTTAATATAAATCAACCGTGTCTGTGCAGTTCCTGTATTCCTTAATAACATGTTAAAACACTTGCATGTCATAGACATCAAATATAAGTAATTTGATTTGCAGAACAATGAAATACCATGTAACTAAATGAGGAATTGGGTAAGTTATTAGTGATCAAGTGCATTTTGGAGAAAATAATGCTGCTATATTTTTCCGTCATATTCAATGTTTTAAGCTTTTGTTTTATTAGGTTGTTTGTTGCTATTGCTTCCAAACGAGAAACAAAACTTAACGAACTAACTTAATTGGTGAAGATATGGTGAAGAAGCTGCCCCTTGGATGCAAAACCTAACACCATCAACTTGCTAACTGATAGCAAAATGATGTTGCATCAAAGCAAGCTAAATAAAATCTTCAGAGACAGCAGCCCTTGGAATTCCCATAATCAAAACCAAATCCAATAATGACTTATGAGATCCAAAATTGCACTTTGTCCTACCAAAGTTGATCAGTAATCCTAATTTTCATAACATCACTTTCATTTTACCAGAGACTTTTTTGTTTCTTGCTTTTGTACAAATTTTTTCCTTCGCATTATACATATTTGTTATGTAGAAATAAACCCTTGGAACAATAATATTCCATTATGCATTCCACAGAAAGATCTGAGCAGCTAGACTGGGATGCACGCTTGAATATCATAATGGGAGCAGCAAAAGGCCTGGCTTACTTGCATCACGATTGCTCACCTAGGATCATACACCGAGACATAAAGTCAAGCAATATTTTGCTTGATGGAAATCTTGAGGCACGAGTATCTGACTTTGGACTTGCCAAACTGTTGGAGGACGAAGAATCTCACATTACGACAATTGTTGCTGGAACATTTGGTTATTTGGCTCCAGGTAAGCAATATGAATTTGATTAGACTTTCCTGTTTCAATATGCTGAGCTCTCAACTCTCTGAATTCTTATATTGACTAGATCCACAGTAGTTGGAAAACAGTAATCAGGATTTTGACCTAGAACAGACTTTCACACACTACCAAAACGATTTGCGGTGCATAAAAGCTGGTGAGGTCAAGACCCGCTTTTTTTGTTTGGTCAGTAAGCTGATTTGGTTATAACAACAGAATTGCAATAAAACAAAAGTGAAACAGCAGTCCACTAAACTAAACACCCAAATAGAGCAGCCAAGCTGCCTAAGAGAGCCTAGACAGAGCCAGAACAACAGATTAACACAGTAGAACACCCAAGTAACAACAAAACCACAGAACAATCCTGACAGAATCCTAAGCAGTAAAACAAGAATAGTAATCATCAAAACAATACTAAAAGCTAAAACAGAACATCCAAAAGCTGCCAAACCACAAACATCTAAATATATCCTAGGAATGGGGGTTACCAATTCATGTTCAGGATGAACAGAGTATCTCTGAATTCATAAGAAATGATCATAGTGAAGCCCAAAATTTGACTGTTTTCCATAAGGAAACCACTACTAGAAAATCTCTAGCGCACTGCAGGACCTCTGCCTTCTTTCTTCCACTGAAAGCACAATGCCTGAATGATTAAGTAATCACAAGCACAGGGCATCACCCAGCTCAGTCTAGCTACCTCAAATGTCTTAGACCGCTCTCTCAAAGCAACAAGAAAATATAGGAAAATTTGGTGTTTGGAGTCATCAGGATTCTCTTGTAAATCCTTTTCAAGGCATCTGTTATTCAAAGGGAAGGTGGGGATGGTGCTTGGGAGGTGTGATGTGATGGCTGTTTTTGGTAGTTTGAGTGGAAAGAAGTAGAAGGATTTTGACGATGTTAGAGGGGAGGAAGTGGATAATTTGTGGGAGAGTCTGATTTTGGGCTACTTATGGGCTCCAGTTTCTCCAGAATTTAGGGACTATTCTTTTTCACGTATACTGTGGGATTGGAAAATTGTGGCCTTAGAGTATTGTTATGGTACTCTGCATTTTGTTTCAAGTCTTTTGGTGCCTGTTTTAAATTTTAGTATTTGTTAGGTTCGTTGGGTCTGAGGAAACCTTGTCCTCTGTTTCGTACTCTTTCTTTTCCTCAATGAAGTTTGTTTTCTTTAGAAACAAAAAAAAACAAAAAAAGAAAGAATAAGAGCAAAGGTTAGATTCCCCTATCCAAAAATCTTCCCAAAAATGAATTCTCTCCCCATTTCCCAATATGGAGCAAAGGATAGACTCTAAGACAAAAAATCTGTGATAAATGCCCCTCCATGGACAGTAAATGGAGCCTGTTAACCACCACTTTAGAGCCCCACCCATTGACATGCAAACCATGTTTACTCCGGATGCCTGAATGCCTAAGAGAATGTGACTTTAGAATTTATCTCCACAATTACTTCTCTGAAAAAGCCAATCTTTCTGTTGAGCAAGTTTACCATTCCTAAGCCACCGTTGGCCCTGAGAATGAGATGCAACATTCTAATTCACTAAGTGATCTATCTTTCCTTCATCCATACCCTTTCCGTAAAAAATCATGCATAAGCTTTTTGTTTTTGTTTGCCACCTTGCAAGGTAACCAAAACATAGAGAGGTAGTAAATTGGTAGACTTGCAGATCTGGTTGAACCAAGTTAAGCCTCCTGCTCTGAGATAAAAGCCGCTGTTCCAACTATCCAACCTTCTTGGATTGTCCCAAACCATGGGGACATGTAAACTGGAAGCTCTGGGGTTTCTCCCTCTAAAAGACAACCGAAGTACTTATAGGCTGACCTTCCACAACATCCCAACCATGCCCGTAAGAGATTCCAACTCTCTTTTAATACCAACTACTAGACTTTTGACTATTCACTTGCAACCTTGACCAAACACCAGAATCGCTGTCACTGTAATTTTTTGGGGGCAACAGTTTCTGAAACTAAGTTCCCAAATTTCCACTCATCCCCGAAAAACTAGAAAATTTTCATTTGCAAACGGAAGGTGTCACACCATCAGAATTAACGTGTTCAATTGCTTTTTTATCCCATTTGAGTAATAATTTGAGTGAGCTTTTAATGAAACCTCTTCTGGATTTTAAAATATATATATATATATTTATCTAGAGGGGGAGAAAAGATTGATTAGGGAAGCCAAGTGAGTTGGGATACTCCAGCTTCATGTAAGGTTTTATTGTGGGAGGCATATAAGTTTGGTGGAGAAGAGATGGTCATGGTGTGTGAGAAATGTTCTGCGATGACAATTTTTTGGGTGGTATGGATGGATAGGAATGTAAGGATATTTGAGAGAGCAGTGGATGAGGAGGTGGATCATTTGTGGGATAGAATTCGTGTTGGGATTTCCTTTGGGCTGTGTCTTCAGAGTTATACAGATAGTTTTGTTCTGGTTAGTTTTTTATAATTGGGGTGCTGCTATATTTTAGTTGTCATTGTGACTGTTGTCATGCAATCTTTTGATGTTTAGATCTGTTTGTAGCTTTACATGAGTGGTCTAGTTAGTTCAGTGGAGAACTTGTCCCTTTACTGTACTGTACTGTACTGTTCTTTTTCTATTACTGAAAGTATGCTCCTTATTGAAATAAGAAAATACAAAAGACTTTTCATGACATACAAAAGAGTGCACAATGCATTCCTTGTGTTGCTTTGTTTGAGATGATACAGAATTTCTTTGAGAATGAATCCGAAGGAATAATCACATAATCAACAAAATGACCTGGTGATTTCTTCCAAAGAATGAAAGACTATGGATTCATATCTGAGTTGGATAGAGTGAGCATTCCCTTGTGTCCAGCTTTAGAAACATATTTTTCTAGTCCACAAGCACGATTATAATGTGTTCATTTTCGCATACAACACCTCAAACTTTCAGCTGCTTATAATAGATGGGTTTCCAAATCAGCTGCTTATAATAGATGAAATGTGTCTATGTTACCCAAAAGGGTGGAAAAGTTTCTGATGTCTATTTGCAGGAAATCTTTCTGAAAGAGTAAAAATGCAGTTTATCTTACGTTTATATACATTCTGAGTTACTTGACATCATTGGCAGAGTATATGCAAAGTGGCAGAGCAACTGAGAAGACTGATGTTTATAGTTTTGGGGGTCCTGGTGCTTGAAGTGTTGAGCGGAAAACGACCCACAGATGCATCATTCATTGAGAAGGGCCTCAACATTGTTGGCTGGGTATGTCTCTTTTCTACTTGCGTTTTCTGTAGAAAGTGATCTTTTTCTTGTGGTTATTTTGCTTTTTGATACAAAGTTAGATCTAGTGGTGACATTCTGTGCAAATTGTGTACTCTAAATTTGGCTGCATATCCACATCAACTATAGGAAAGCAATTACTCCTCTTGTTCAATATTATAGGTGAAAGAAAGAAAATGGAAATGCTGCGGGTTTTGATTGATTGTTGCAGTCAAGTAGATCTTATGTGAAAGTTTTGGAGCTACTACCTCCTTAATGGTCCTCCTAATATGATTTTGTGAATTCCACTCTGAGTCAACTCTTCTAATCTATTTATAACGCCCTTTGCAGTTAAATTTTCTGGTCACAGAGAATAGGCAAAGAGACATTGTTGATCCACAGTGCGAGGGGGTGCAAGCTGAAAGCCTTGATGCCTTGCTCTCCGTTGCCATTCAATGTGTTTCTTCAACTTCCGAAGATCGACCCTCCATGCATAGGGTGGTCCAGGTGCTTGAATCTGAGGTCATGACACCATGCCCAAGTGACTTCTACGATTCCAGCTCTGATTAAAAAGGCTTTATGCAGGCAGGGCAAGTCAGAATTTGCATCTACATCGGTCTCATCTCATGTCAGGCATGTAATGCAAACAGTGAAAGGGACTCAGAATCTGCAAAGGTACATTATCCATTCGATTCGTTCATTCTTTCTGCAGATTAGTGGCATTTAGAAGGCGGCCTGTACCATCTGTTGTCTACATGGCCAAGCATCTTATTCATGACCAATGAGATTCTGAGTGTAATTTGCTTGCTCGTCTTTCCCTCATTTTGCTTGGGTGCGTTAAGACTCGTCTCTGCATGCGGATGGAAAATAATTCCACCTGTTGGAGTCATTTATTTAGTCTTTATTTTTCTTTCTTTATCTTGTAATTCCTCTCGCCTTTTGTTACCCAAAATTAAGTGTATATGATATTTATATAAATAGAAGGTGGTCGCTCCGGAAATGATTCTTGTTTATGCCATTTTTGTAAAATGTGATTTCATGACATAACCAGTCAAGTATTGTAGTGCCCATGGCCCGTTTGTTATGTAATATTATGTTTCCCTTCTGTACAAATTCAATTCTTAAATCTGCTTTAATTCTGGTTTTACTTTTGAACAGAATATGTAAAATGAAAAAGGAATTGTGGAGTGAGTTTATTTTACGTATTACGGTTCCATAATTTTATTTTTATTTCTTTGTTCCAATCGGATGAACCGAATTTCATTGATAAAGGACACTCCCATAATTTTATTATTTAGTACGCCTTTTAGCAAATACGATTTTCAATGGCTATTCATTTTGCATATGATATTAGCCTCTTAGAGCATCCACAATGAACTCTCTAAATCACTTCCTTAGACAAATTTTAGAGAGAAATCGTAAAAATGCAACTCCAACCACGCTCCCTATCTACCTCTTAAAATAGTCTTTTAGGAGTTTCTAAATCTGAGGAGAGAGAAAGGACTCCTAGTGACTCTTTATAATTTAATGCTGCTTTATTTAATGAGTATTTCAAATCTGTATTTAATGTTAACTATTTTTTATTTTATTTTTACTAGAGATGGACAAATCAAAAAAGAATTATAACATTTATGACTCTCCAAATTAGGGAGTATGATTGGAGTTAAAATTTTTTAGAGAGCTCCTAGAATAGCTTTCTTATATTTTTAGCCAAATTTTAGCTAAGAAATAGAGAGCATCATTGTGGATGCTCTTAAATAATGCATCAGCAGAGGGAGATGGGCCGACCATGTAGATAATACAAACCAATACTTGTGGGGTTTTTTATTATTTTTTATTTTTTATTTTTATCAAGAACTTGCAGCGAGTTGTTTACTACAATCAAACAAACAAGGCTCCCATAAGCAGGACCACCACCCCATAGCATGTTGCCGACAGTCCATATTTCTTCTAGAGAATCTCTTAATTATGCCCGAGCAACTAGAAAGAGATTCTTTAACCATAAAGAATTCAATTGTTGATCTAGCAAATGTGCGTTAAGATAGTTGGTCGAGGAAGTGTGCCCATGGCTGGCCAAATATGGGGAATTAGCCAAAGTTGAAACAACACAAGGTTTGTCTAATTAGGCAGTAATAGATACAAGATGAACATAAGACCAAAACATAAAAAACATTTCCACCCAAAAAACATGAAAAATAAAAAACATAGAAATACATGAGAACACGTGGCATGAGCAGGGAACCTACCTTATTCTACCAAATTTAGAGTTCCCCACTTGGTAGATTAATTTCATTCACTCTGTTTGGATGAGGGAAAACAACTCGGAATTTAGCTAAAAGTCGGGAATTTAAGATGAGAAATTGATAATTCCTTTGTTTGGCAAGTTAAGTGTGGAATTTATTAAATGACAGGTGGAAAAAATCGTGGAAATTGGAGCATTAAATTCCCGAGTTTAATTTCCATCAAAATAGGCGTTATTTCACAATATCCATAGTGCCATTTACAAAATTCGACATACATAAATCCAAATACTGAAATCTTCAATTGTCAGAAATTGAAATGATGGAAATTGAAATTCCGTCATTTTAAAATTCTATGTAATTTTTTAATTTTTTCATCCAAACGGAGGGTTATAGCTTGTATGAAATCATCATCGGACTCTTTTTTTGGGGATATAAAAGGTTTTTTTTATGAAATTTTTGTTGGGGGGGTGAGGAATCAACCCCAAGTACTTGGTCAAAACAACTCTCAACATATCAGTACACAGTTCATTTTTCCCCTCCCCCGTTTCATCAAAATAATAATAATAATAATTAAAACCGAAACAAACAAAATAACACAACCAGAACATGTTTGAATGGCCATAGTAAAAAATATATATTATGTTTTAAATAAAAATCCATGATACATCCGCACATTACATCACATCACTATTACACTAAAAATATCATTTGTTTTTTCTGCACAGCACATGCTAGGCTAGCTGAAAGAGCCAAGTACCTCATCCAAATAAAACTATTATTATACATTAAAAATATTGGTATATACAGTTTATACCAAGTTTATATAGTAGGTTCATATACGAAAAATAATTTATATAGGAGGTGTGGGAATGAAATTGTAATTACATTAATTTGGCCGAAGGGGCTTTCTCCTGCCTCTCTATATATGCAGATGGAAACCATCCGGCCTTGCCATTACATTCTCCTTCAGACCATCCATTAGGGCCCACCTATAACATCCATAATGAAAATACGTAAAAAATTAAAAACACTACTAGAAAATAATGGAGAATAAAGGATTATAATTCCTTTCGTTTTAAATGTGTAAAATAGAAGGAAAACAAAAAACAAAAAACAAAAATGATTTATACGACGCCTCCACTACACCATATTCCTTCGCTTAGTTGAGACATAAAACATAAAAGTGGAGTATGGAAGATGTCACTCTATCCATAAATACTCTTAACCACTTGAGCTACAAGCCACTCCGACTATAAGTTATCATTCCTCCTATTTCATATCCAAATAATGATACGAAAATGATCCTACCTAATTTTCCATTTAGTTCTTTCTGTTCCACACACTACTAATCCCGGCAATTTTCAGAGTGGGCTATATATATAGACACACACACACACACACACACATACATATATATATATGTGTGTGTGTGTGTCCTGTATGTGGTGAGTGACTGAGTTTTTATGAAGTAGACCAATTTTACTTTTTACTAGGATGTGGTGAACTAATTTCCATTGAGTGAGATGGACATCATAACAATTAGGATGTGGTTCACCAAAAAAACAAAAAAAATAAAAAAGAGTCCACATTTATGCGGATAGCAATGCATAAGCAACAACTAAATTAAGGGAGGTTGTGGTACCTGACGAACCACAACATAATCATCAATTGCTAGATTCAACTCTCCATCTGCTTGAGCATCAAACGGGTGTATAGCCTACAAAATGAAGTAAGGAAATTAAGAGGGGTGAAAACTCAGAATTACAAGAGAAAAACAAGGTAGATCAACTAACAAACTTATATTTTCAGAGAAGTCCGATCATTCAATAAGGAAATATTTTAAAACAAAATTTGGGAAGATAAGAGGAAAATCATTGTATTGCCATTAACAATAAGCCTGAAAGATAAGCAAATTAAACAATCAGACCAAATGCCATTAACTAAAATGACTAATAATCAGTAACTCCAGCTTGTCGCAAATAAAATGAATACCATTTTACGATCTTGAAGAAAAACTTGTATGACAAGATTCAAAATCTGCTCTAAAGATTTGCCTTGAATTAAGCTAATCAGAATTTGCCAAAAACAAGATTTAGCAAATTAGACAAGGAGGCTCAACTTAAGCTAATAAAACAATCAGACATTAATTTAAGCTAATTGACTTAATTTAGGCTAATGCCCAACAATCACTCTAAATGAATAATTATCAGCCTATACTTCTAGGCAACAAAAATTCACAAACTGTGAGAAATGAATAGCACATTAGCAGTTTCTTTAGGATGTGGGGAATCAAATTTCAAGTTTTTCAAAGGCCTTACTCTTGCAATGAAGAAAGTGTCATCCTGGTAAAGTTGTCCATGATCATCAGACCTATTTGAATTAGTATCAGGATCCATTTTCTCAGATTGTGATGAGAATTCTTTTGGTAGTTTTTCCAGAATCATCTAACCATTTAAAAGAATGCAGGAGTCATAAATTTTCATGTACAGAAAAGAGATAAGAAAACAGAACATAATGATAAAAAAGGTGGAGATCCAGGCTACATAATGCACACCTCAGAATGTAGCTTGTCTAAAATAGCAAGAGCATGTTGATGATAAGATCTCTCAGCATCGACCTGCAGAATATAGTTAAAAGGTTCAAATACACAAGTGTAATATCAGGAGCAAAATACAATAAGTTACCAGTATCCAGCCAAATTTAGTATAAAGAACAATCACAGTTACGACAAATCCACAAGGAACTAGGGGCACCATTGCATTACAGTCATAAATTTAGATACATCTAGCAAGAATTTCTGACAGGAGAGCTTTGCACAAGTTTGAGAAATAAATTTCTCCAATATCAGCGTTAAAACACTTTTCGAATCAGAAACTTTGCTAGTGGACAGACAAATTATTTTCCCTTGGTGTGATAAGCCCTTTTTTCTCATTTACTCTACTTGCCCTCTCCAGCTAAAGTGAAGTATCTAGAGTAAAGAAGATATTTATTTCGTCTATTGCTCTGACAATGTGCAATTGTGGCCCCAAAAAAGACTGATGGTGAGCAGCAATGGCATCGACGAATGTGCAAGTGCAAGTGATGGTGGCACGCAAAAACCTTATCAATTCTACCTTTAACCTTCTCCTTTCCCTCTTATAAGCCATAGGTGCTGTCAAGAGATAGCTTTCTTGTGCTCTCTCACCTTCCTTTTTTACCTCTCCATTCTCAAGTGAAAATTAATTTAAGTATAAAGGAAAAACCAGAAATCATATGTTCTTCTGTGTATTTTTCTTAGCTTCCTTGGGGCCTATTTGGAGTGCTTCTATAGAATTACTTCTGCTCAAAAGGCTTTTGTTTTAAGCATTTTTATCAGAAGTGCATCGAGATTCCAAGTGCTCCTAGAAATGCACTTGGAAATGTTTCTAGAGGAAGCTCTTGATAGGTGCTTCTCCTGAGAGCACTAAAAAATGCTTTAACAACCCTGAAAACACTTTAAAATATTTCAGCCAAACAATACGAAAGGCATTTATTGTTATCTGAAAGTGTTTTTTAACAATTCTAGAGGCATTGCTGAACAGGCCATCACTAGATAGTTGATCCACCAGTTCCGTTGTGCTCAACACAAAGGAATCATACAATTCCAGCATAACAGTTATTCAGAATTCTACATATGAATGGATGCTATTGTAGAGACTACATGTAACATTTCCTTACATTCAGCACTACAAGGTGGTCGAAACTTCTGTGGGGCTGAAACAGCAAAAGTTGTTTAAACTAGTAATCGTTTAAAAGGAAAGGAGAAAGAAAACCACTAATATATGAAGAAGACTTTCCCTATTTACTCAAGTGCGTCAAAATATAAACCAAAATAGTAGATTAAAACAGGTGCATAATCTGAGATAAGACCTTGTGAATTTGAACTTGTTTAATGACAGCCAAAACTCATTTAGCAACACAATGACGCAATTCCTAAGATATCAAAGGAACTACAATGACATGAAATATTTTAGCCTGGTACTGTTGATTTAACTCTCTGAATGGAGTTCAGGCACAGGGAAAACCTGGAAATTAGATTTCTTTAGTTAACTTTTTATTATGAAGTCTTTAGGATTTCATTATTATTACTGTTTATTTATTCCACGGGGGTTATTATTAGATTGCCTATGTAATTGCAACTTAGTTCTTGCCAAAAAGAACTTATGTTCCAAGCTGTTATGCCAAAAAGAAACACTCATATATACTAACTGAAAGGGGCTGCAACAGTGGATATGCCAACAATACCATTTGTTCAAAAGACCGTATGGTTAAAGAACAATAGCACCATTTTAGGCCACCATCAAGAAAGGAAAAAGCATCCCACTCAGATGCATCACCAATCCTCTTCTTCTTGTGAGGTCCTATGATACACGAAAAGAAGGAATAGATGTCATAATGATTGACAAAATTAGGTGATCAAAACATGGAATAGGCAACAAAAAGTTTGGATAGAGAAGAAAAGGCAAGCAATGAGACATAGTTGGGACGAATAATTGGCCTAATGATCTTATGAAAACTACAGTCAGGAAATTTTTTGAAGCGGAAGTAGAACGACTAATTAAATGTGGATTCACTCATAAATATACTAAGAGCAAAAAATCAATCGTGTAGGATTACCATCAACGGGCGATATTGGAAACATGACCTCCAAAAAGATTGGAGGAACACTTCTAACCAGCTACTATGTCTTTCAAAATCATGAGAAACTGATAATGAGTCCCTCACAAGGATAACTAAGAAGACAGTGCATCCATAATTTACGACAACATGCTCAACCTTTAAGAATTGTTAAAAATATATGGCCATCCAAACAACTGCAAAACATTGCCTTCCCCATATAGTCCTGACCCTCCAAAAGCTTGTCCTTAATTAAAGCCAGTGGACTTCCAAAGCACCAGTATACCCTCCCATGTTTTAGATGAACCAATTCTAACCAAAGAAGGCCACAAATTTCCAACAGATGACATAGAAGGGCAGAAGTCACAGAGATGAATAGACAGGCTAAAAGAACTCATTACTCCCTTCCAAAGTCTAACCTTTGCCACAAGATAGATATACAAATTCAAATTGTATAAAAATAATATAAAATTGAGATGCGCTAAATTAGTGATTACAGAGCTCTTTCATTGGATAATCACCCAAACAACCGTGCCTGTTCCTAAAAACCTTCAGGAAAATCATAAAGTGCAGACCAAATGGTCGCACGTGCCAATCAATTAGTGAGTGTCAATTGAGAAGCAGACTGAATAAATACATATATACATATAAATACATAGAGTGCATTCCTTAATGAAAAATTAGACGGCCAGATGCCAATGTCGTTCGACCCCCCATTGATACTGTTCAAATGTTGAATCAATTTTTACCAAAACACGATGCTTAGGGCTTAAGGCTTAGGGCTTAGGTTTTAGATTTTAACTCTCGAGTTTTGAAAAACTATAACGGCTTCAAAAACCAATTTGTTAAAGAAAAAGAATTTGCATGGTGAATATGTAGTGCACAATGATTCTGCTGTAATGAAATGATGTTAAAATTGCTAACAACGATGCAAAAATTATTCAATGAAACTAGTTTATCAACAATGCTAGTTTCTGTATGCATATATATTGAGCATGAAAAGTAGTATTCAGTAAAGCTATTATGTTTGAAATATGTTTTAATTTTCAGATACTTTTCAGGACTCAACTTCATCTTCTTATTATTTGGGAACTAAAAATTATACACCTACAATAACGTATAGTAATTACTTATGGATTATAAAAATAAATAAAAACTTTCCACAGGTATTGGGCAAAAATATGAATTCAGTGAATGCATATCTTGTACTAAAACAAAACAAAAAATCTAAAATCTAAAATAAAAATCTAAAAATGTACAGTACAGAGGAGGCAGCAAATTAGGCTACTGAGACTGTAGGCAAATTAATCATATAAAATCTTCAAGGAATCAACATAACAGCTATTACATTAATAAGCCTTTCACATAGAGAATAGATCTATTTATATCCATAAGTGGCAACCAAGATGTAACAGCATGTGCAGTTCTCACAAAAAATTAGTAACAATACCATGGTACAAAGCTTATGGAAAGTCATCTGTTGCTGATGCTCCTCAACTGACAACATTGCGGCAGTTGCTTCTCGCCCAAGTGCCACTGTTGTAGATTTAAGTTCTGTCAATCTTGCTTCTGCATTCTGAAGCTTCACAGAACTCTCTGCAGATACAGAGCCCCTGGATTTCAGCCGACGCCTCAATACTTCGGCCACCTGATTAGAAGATAAATATTTATTCACTAAGCAGAAGCACGTTCCAAGACCCTTATATACAGGAAGTGAAATCAAGATATACCTGGGCTTCCACCTCCTGACGCAGTTTATCATAACGATGAGTCAAGTGACGAGCATCCTCCAAAGGAGCTCCTGTTATTTGCGCCCGTAAAGGTTCAGCAACCTACAAATTTCAATCCTGTAACATGATTATAAACCAAAACGAAAGGAAAAATGGAAGAAACTAGAAAATGATACATTAAATTTTGGTAAGTTCAGCCTCATAAAAACTATGAGTAGATTCAAATGGTAAAGCCTCTTGTCATCGTGCAAAAGGCCTGGAATAATACTGCCAGCACTAAGGTTGAGTGAGTTTGTGAGATGTGAGAGTGCTACCTCCAGTTGGGTAGCCCAATGGTCCAATGCATCTCCAACGGAGCAAAACAAAATCAACACTTATATAGCTAACCAGAGTCGCCCATACAAAAATGGCACAGATAAATTTTCTTCCCAAAATGGTAAATAATTTTGAAATACACACACTGAAATTATATTGGCATGTTGGTTTCAAGAAAACGTTATGAAGCTTTCTGTCACAAGATTATTTTCAAAGGCCACATCCTGAGATTTTTCCAATGTTTATAAATATAAAATAAAGAAATAAAACATAAAAACAGTGAAGAAATTACCTGCTCACCAAGGATCTTAAGAAATATCTCTCTCTCCTCTTCAATTGAATTATATGAAGTACCAAAATAATCAGAAGCTATCACTAGAGGAGTGCTAGTGCTTTGATTTTCAGCTCCATATTTGCAGCAATCCTCGGCTAACTTTCTCACTAAATTATTAAGATGAAATTTAAACTACTAGACTTGTAGAATGAACCAAATGCAGTAAATTAGAGAAAGCATTGTCACCTATTTCCATTTGTTTTGAGCTGATTGATACAAAAGCTTCAACTCCCCGAACAAGACTCCGCTGAAAATGCTGGGTAACATATCTTATCATTAGAATTTGGAAAAATTAAACCACTGATGATGCATTAGCAGATGGTGCATCCCATAATTCATTAGTGACATGAAATACGATGAACCAGTAGCAAAGAAAAAGCCAACTTCATAGCAGCATGATAACTTTACCTTCGCTGCCCTCGTCGAATTATATAAATCTTGAAGATTTTGGTGGCACAGAAGTTCAGCTTCATCAATCATAACAGCTTCATTACCTAAGGTTCCCAACCGTTTCAATACAGCCTGCAACATATTCAACACTACAATCTTAACATATGACTGAAAACTTGTCCACAAAGCTTAAGCAGATAGGAAATATCAGCTTCAGACACATTAGCACCCCCTCCCACATGCAAGTCCAGTCCATAACAATGAGCAAAATGCGACATTGCAGAGACAGAAATCAAAAGATGTTATCACAATCACGTCATTCATGATTCCTTGCTCACTCTCAATAAACTACCCTCCCCATCCTCCAATTTATCACAACTTGTTTACCCTTCTACCACTACTTATTTGTGAAACAATTCCAACTTAATGTCCCAATATCCCATCTATTTCACTTAAAGTCACAATAAATATCTCTATAGAGCATCTAAACAGAGAGAAAAGTGCTCTGGGTTTCTCATAATGAAAAATTTAGTTAGTTTCCATGCTTTGTATTCACAGTACAGGGAGAGTACCATACCACTGATCACCTATAACATAGATCAGGTAAGAAATTTCCAAATTCTTCACAAAACAAATAAGATAGGTGTCATGCAATAAACAATGGGTTTGTAAGTGCCTCTGAATTTGAAAAATAAAAGTGTGTAGATTTTATAGCCACAAGCAGGAGATGGGAATTATTTTTAATTTAGTTGCTTTCTATTAGGGATTTACCTATTTGTTTTGTTTTGTTTATAAGAATCCAGGGATGTAATTAGTTTATTAATGTTGGGAATTTTATCAAACTGGGATTGATTAGATATGTAGGACTTACTGTAATTCAAGTTCCGAGATTTGTATATTGAATAGAGAATAAAGTGATAAACTTTCCTACTTTCATATCTCTGTTCTTATTCTACTTCTCTTTTGTACTTCAGTTCTTGGTTCTACATCAATTGGTATCAATGTACACAATTTGACACAACAATCCAAAAAGCCAAGAAATTTCATAATATGACCCCTAAAGAACACAAAAACCTCCACTAAAGACAAAAAAATTGACAAATTTGTCATGTAGAAAACACAAAAAATCCAACTTTGAATCGTTCAAAACCAAAAACTCCGCGGTAATTCAATGTTCAACAAAAAGTTGACTTAGCCAATGTCTTGTTAACATAAAATTGAAAAAGAAAAAAAAAAATTGAAGTTAGTTGCTAAGCTTACTTAACATTCAAAGACAAGAGAAGCACTTAAGCGAAAAGCGAAAAGTTAAAGCATACGATTAGAGCAATCAATAATAATAAGCACCTGCTGCTGCTTTGCGACTTGCTCCCTGAGCTTACTGGCTTGCTTCCGTATAGACTCCATACGGAGAGAAGGCCCTAGATAGAAGAATGATCTTGGCGGTCAGAGAGAAAGTGGTTTGGCTTTTACTGGTAACAGAAAGGAAGAAGAAGAGAAAAGCGAGTATATAAAAGAAAAGAAAAAAAGTAGGGACTTTATGAGTAAGCGAGATCGAATATGAACAAGTTCATTACATCATTTTCTTTTCATTTTCTAATCGTCCTTTCCTCACTTAGAAGGACAAATGACATTTTTGGATTTGTAGTCTAATAAAATTTCACTATGGTCCTTGTAATTTTCATTTTGACAATATTAAATGTGATCAAATTCATAGATGAAATTCGATGTGGTAATATGAAATTCAATTTGTTTTTAGTACAAGTGATCGATTGAGGATAGTTTATACAAACATTCATTGGGTGTGTGGGAGTTTCGAACTTTTGTCCACATGAGTGAGGGTGAAAGAGTTCAACCAACTAAGATATTCCACACTAGCGAAATTCATCTTTTATTTATTTATTATTATTATAACAATTTTGGACTTGTAGACTCTGATTGTTACGTAAAACAGGTATAGTATTGGCAATGGAAAGGGGTTTTTGAAATGTTGTCTTTGAAAGTGATGCTCTCCAAATCGTTACAGCACTTTGAAGCAACTCCATAGATAGGTCTGTCATTGGACTAGTGGTGGAGGATATCAAGGGCTTGCTAACACATGTCACTGGGGAAGGTTTTACCCATATTCGTCATACTGCAAATGGTGTGGCTCAACGTATAGCACATTTTGCATTGCATATCGAGGCTTCTATGTACTGGTTCTAGGAACCTCCTTATTTTATTTCTGATGTGCTGTATGAGGATTGTAATTCGTGATCAAGGAATTTCCTTTGCCCTTGATACAAGTTTGCCCTTCTTGTATTAGTTTTTTCACAATAGTAATATTCTATCGCTTATCATTAAAAAAAAAAATTAGAATACTAAAATTGTCAAAATTGAAATGACAAGTACCAAAGTGAAAAATCTATGATATTATAGGGATCAAAATGTAATTTGGCGAATTTTTAATTACCAAATTACTTTTTCGTTTCTTGTATACAGACAAAATTACTTTTAAATAAAGGGGTGTCTGAAAACTTTTTCTTATTACCTCAAATGTGGGTGTAATGTTTTGTACTTTGACATTTGTATGTAACCTTAGTTTGGGCTAGACAAAGCTTTTTTACTATTGATGATGGACATTTGAAGAATCTCAAAGTGGTTACCTCTGCAAGCCTAGGTTAAATGGGTAACGGTTCTTCATATTATGCATTTATTACTGATAGATTGATCAAAAGTAACTCACATTTGTGTTGATCAACCACAAATGGCAAAAATGTCCTTGACTTCTGCTCAATGTACTGTAACGTGTTCAATATGCCTCGTGTTCTAAACCGACCAAGAAAAAAAAATGGTATTAATTAGAGGTGTTAAACGGCCGGCCGTATAGCCCGTTTAGAGTTGGCCCATTTAATAGTTAGACTCGTTCATTTATGAAAATTATTAATTTCGGTCTGAGAGGGGCTAGGGTCATGTTCATGCTGGTTCACTAAATGGGCCGAGATGGGCCCAAGCCAAATTTGACTTATGTATTGCATTTTATTTTATTTATTGTAATTTTTTTACAACTTCATTTAAATCTTTTCTACATATAAATAGAAAATGCGATGACATTTCTTAAATCTTAATTTAAATAGAAATGGTGATTTTATTTGCACCTCATTATTTGCTCTTTTCACTCCATTCTAATTTTAAACTTGAATAACCTATTTTACCCTTGTATGGAATTACCGTTACGGACAAAAAATATTTAAAATAAAAATTAAATTTGCTCACTACACCCACATGCGTTCTTGCAACTCTAATTAGACTTTTGTTCTCAAACCATCATGTTCCTACAACCCTAGCACAGGTTTATGCGCTTATATTTGTGAAAAAATATCTAGTAATTATTCATGAAGGGCAAGATTGAAGTTAGGGAGGTTTTGAATGAGGTATGAGTTTATTTTTTGGCTTTTTTCAAGTTTAGGGTTGCATGGTGGTTGCTGGTTATGTGCAGCACACCAGTTGGTGGCATGCCATTGAAACATTGAATCTATTTCGATTGTGTTTGACCGGTCGTTAATTTAAGATACGGTGGAGATCCAACATAATGTGGAAAGGACTTCGATGACGTATGACCGACTTTTACCTATCCTTCAGTGGTGACAAACCGAAATATATTTGCTTTTTCAGTAACTTATTATCGTCCACAAATTTAATGCAGGCTGTTTTGACCTTACTCTTATTGAAGGAACAAAAACAAGGTGACGCCGCTACAATGTTGGAACATAATGTATAATGGACAATAATGATCAATTCACAACTTAATCGGTAATCATTTTGTATTTTTTTTTTTTTTTTTTTTTTTTTTTTTTAAATAAAATCCTTTTTTTTTTTTTTTTAGTTTTGTGTCATTAACGTGGCATTTTTAATTTTAATTTTCAAAAACATGAGTTTAATGTGTAGATATTCAAAGGTAGAGATGCATTAATTAGATGGGCTTGACAGGACCCGCCTCGAATTCCTCGGAATCCGGGACGAATCCTGTGGTATTTCTGACATCATACATATGTCGGGCCCATTTACAAAAAGGAATGAGACTTTCTGCCGAAATTTCGGCAGAGTCTCCCTTGAAAAATTGACATTCCCAAAAATTTTAAACTTGTCAAATACATTTATAAATCTCATCCGACAACATGAACAAGATAATAAAATGCAATTTATATAATAGGCCTCCGGCCTTAAAATCAACCCTAGTATGGGCGACATCAAAGCAGTTTAAAGAGTTTCAGTTTACAAACGAAAGTAAAGTTCAACAGAAGAGAAACGAACAAAAGTTTATCCTACATAAGCTCGAGTTTAGAGTTTAGGACTTGATACGGCCGCTTGATTCAAAACTATCTATTGCCTGGGGGGCCCAAAACAGAAAACGTGAGTGGACAAAAACAAAGTTTGTGATCTTTGAAATCAATATATAATAACCCCACCATTTGGAAAACGATGCTGAAAACGACATGCATTCAAATCGATGTAGTTATATATATATATATATGTATACATAGTTTAGTCAAAACCGTAATGAAATCTGTAATCTCGTAATAGTATACTATCACCAATCCCATTCCGCCCCAAGCCCCAAGATTTTAATTTGGGCAAAAAATTGAGGAAATGATATCACCCAAAACTCAAGAGCGAGGGACGCTGAACACACTCTACTTCTTTGATTTGGTTTTCAAAAATTGTGTTGGTTGTTGCTTATGTTATTATAGATGAGAAAAAAAAAACAAAGGGGAGGTGTGGGAAGGGGAAAGCAGATAGCTGAGATGGGGTTTAGTTTATATAGACGGTTTTACCCCTCAATTTAACCTTAAAATTGACAGACTTTGACGGTATGACCGTTTTGATACCAAATGAAAAAGTTGAAGGACCATTGAAATGAAAAATATAGTTGGTGAACCAAAATGATACTGGAGCAATAGTTGGGATACCATTTTGGTCAATAACCCTTCTTTTTTATAATTCAAAAGCGCAATTTGATCTGAATGAATCCTTGAGCCGAGAAAATTCGCAAATGAATGGACTACTTTGACGGTATATGCTTGAAAGTTTTCTTAGAGCGATATCAAATTAACTTCATTATATATTCTTTCCTTAATATAATTTTAATTTAAATAAACTTTGAACAAAGGAGAAGATTATGAAGAATGATCCTACTTTGGTGATTCAGCGTTCAAAACTTTCTTAGAGCGAGGCAAACACATTTTTAATGTGAAAAATAATAAGTAAAAGAAGAAAAATTAAATGCATGACAGTTAATTGCGCAAAAGCTAAGATCATATTTAGTCTCAATATCTTAAATATATATGAAATTCATCAACAAACTTATGGAAGAAAAGAGACCACATAACATAAAATAACTCCCATTAATTTTCCATGATAAAAATACCACATGAATCTTATACATCCAACTCACATCTAAATTCAGATCAGAAAATCAAAGAAGCCCTAGTTTTCTCATATCAATGCTTGGTGCAATCAGTTGGCTTGAAGGACACACTTCTTTCCTCAAGGTCATAACCCACCAGGAAGTTCATCTGAGCCAAGTTCCCAAATATGGCCACATCACTAGATGGTATCATTGTGAAGCAAATCATATCATCATCCATTCTAGCAAATGTGTTCAACGCCTGCAACTTCACATCAGCACCTCCACTAAAATGGGCAGTTATAACAGGAACACCAATATCATCACTTTTGCTTTTAAAACAAAGGCTCAGGATCCCTCTTGGGTCACTAACTCGCTCGGCGTTGATTGCTGTCTCCAACACCGACACCAAATCGTCATGAAATCCAGGTGGAAGGAGAGTCAATGTAGTTCCAGAGTCGATGATAATATTGCCCTCATTGGCAGCGACGGCAGCTTCCTCGCAATCTGGTGACTTTGTTTTGTAGGCCAACCTCTTCTCTCCAACACTAATGGCCTCAAGTGTGAGGTAGTAGAAAGTGTCAGGATTTTTGGCAACTAAAGGAGTTGAAACAGCGCCGCTACCGGAGACAACGCCCGCACTGCCAAAACTTATCTTGCTCGCTGCAGTGTTCACTGTGGGCACCAAGCAATATGAAAACTTCCCTCCGCTGGTCAATTTCATGAGCTGAGAAATGAGGGAAAGGGGGCCGCCTCCGAGGCCAATCAAGCCAGACCCGGACTCATCAAACGTGCCACCATTTTCATGTCCGCAGCCGAACACAACTTTTGGAACTGAAGTTGGGCGGCCGGAGGTAGATCCAACGGTTAGGGTCTCAAGAGCTAGAGTCCCTCTAGTGAACGAACGGTCTCCGTATCGATAGCTGTACTCACACGTGTCGTGATCACCGTTAATTAGGGTGCCACAGGCGGCTTCTTCGAGATAAGTGCAGGAACTGGACTGGCATGGGATTGAGTGGTACGTGTAGGATTTTTTAGGGTCAAAGAGAGGCGGGTTTTGGTTGAAACACTGCTTGCATGGCTTGCATTGTGTCCAAATGAGATCACTGCCGGTGTCAGCTATTCCCAGGACTTCAACCGGCGGCGTTCCAATAGAAACGTTCATGAGATATTCGCCCGCGCTTGGGATTATAATGGATTGGATATTTGCGGCGGCCGAAGAAGATGAGAGGGAGGTCATTGTTGGCTTTATAAAGTGATGGACACGTGTCACAGATCGACGGAAAGCGTTGTGGAGGCGATCAAGGTGGGACATGGAGGAATTGTACAAAGGAGAGAGAGGGGAGTCACGGTGGATGAGATCAGCAGTGAAGCCATGGCTGCTGGCTTGTGTGAGCAAAATGAAACATGCGAGTAGGGCAAGTGGAAAATATAACTTAGTGGGAGTAGAAGGAGCAGCTGCCAATGCCATGTTGGTTTTTGGTATGTAAAAGATGAAAGCTGGGATCGATGAAGAAAGTGTTGGCATTGCAGTAAGTATTTATAGGAGGAGATAGAATTTTGAAAGGCAACGGTTTAGAGATGTGAATTAAAGATTGAAGTTCATCCAATATTCAATATAATTATACAGATGATGATACATTTTCTAGGCTACCGTTTAATAAGCTCACGAAACAAAAATGAATTAATTCCATAATTGATCAATTTAATTCAATTTTTTCTTGATTCTGTCTCTCTGGATCTCCTGCCAGCTTAATATGTAACAGCTCTCCTTTCATATTCTGCACCTTGGGCTTTCTTTTTCTCTTGTGCCGTCGATGAACTTCAATATCCTGTATTTATTTAGATAATTATTGACCAAAGGGTTCTAGCGGGAAAAAAATAAATAAAAAAATCATGGTGGCAGAGAGCAGCCATGAGTTCTTTTTTCAGGCTTGGAGTCGAATGAAAATTAGTACTATTAAAACTTGTAGTACCAGGAGCCTTTTCTGTTCTCTTTCTTTTTTCCTGCATGGCTGCTTTGGTTACTATTTTTATTTTTATTTCTTTATTTTTGTTATTTTATATATTATGGTGTGTTTGTGCTATATATTGTATATTGACTTTGGCGACATCAAAAGAATGGATTTTCTACTTTTTGCTGTTTTAGTTTTTTTCCTAAATGATGAGGAATTTTATTCCATATGAATACATGAAAAAACCTTAACTCATGGTTATGAAATTGTATTTCTATGTTTGTTAAATACATTATTGGGAATGCAATATCTAATGGCAGATCCAGGAATTTTTCTAGGGGTGGGCTAAATTTTTTTTTGGGAGATCTTTTATAACTAGGAATTTTTGGGCTAATTAATATTATATGGTAGGATTATATATATTTTTATAATAGAAAATATAGTAGAATTTCAGTGGATGAAAGAAAATAAAATCTTATTTGGGTGGCTAGAATAAGCCGAATTCTAAAAGATAAGTGGGCTAATATTTAATTGTAGTGGATTTTGTTGTACAATAAAGACTAAAGTACAAAACCAGCACTGGGCTAAAGCCCAGTTGAGCCCCTTCGTAAGTCCGCACTTGGCAATATCTAACTTATGGGTATGAACTTCTCATCTAGGGGGAACTTCATACCAAACATGGAAATGAAATGAGAGAAAATGGCAATTCCCAGGGTTCCCAAATATGGGAATAAACATCTTCCATTCCAATCTAGTAGGATTAGACATGGGAATTTCATTCCCAGGAAGTTTAATACACGAACCAAACGAGCCCTAAAATAATAACTAACATCAGTGGCACGGAATGAGTTTATTAAAATCACTATCATTTCTAATAGCAAATAATCCAGAAATAATCATGACTCTTAGCACTAGCGGAACTAGGTAGAGGGCTACCTTGGGCTTTAGCCCGTGTAGCTTTTTTTAAAATTAAAATATATTACATGTATTTTAATGTTATTTCATCCCATAAAAGCTTAGTAGCCCACCCAAATGTAGCCTAGTAAACCATTGTCTACTTACAACACCTATAAGAATAATCATGGGCCTATATTATATTTAATTTGTTTGCTCATTTAAGAAACATAATCTCTTAATAAACACTCATGATGATTTAACTCTCTACATTTTACTATTTCACCCCAAAATATACTTTTAATTCTAGAAAAACTATAGAAACAATAAGTGCAATATATATATATATAGGGGCCTTCTCCATTGCAAAGTTCTAAGATGCAGAGTGGTTGCGAACTTTTGTTTTTAACTGTTGGATGGCTTGTATGGTTTAGATTTAAAACAAAGTTTAATAACTCATTTTTCTCTCTCTTTCCTTTCCTCTTCTTCCGCGAGTTTGCTCATATATATATATATATATATATATATATATCTGTCTCTCTCTCTCTCTCTCTCTCTCTCTCCTTTTGGTCTTCTTTTCCTTTGTCAGATATTTTCCTCCTTTTCCCTCATGTTCCTTTTTCTCTCTGTCTTATTTTCTTTCTTCTCTCTTCTTCCTTTATCTTCCTCCTTTTCTCTCTTGTAACAAATCAACAAATTAGTCAAACCCGAATATGCATCTTTGGATTTACATCGTTTCTCATTGGAGCACAAAACGTATTTACACTCTTGTATGTGTAAAGGGGATGTAAAAGTGGCTTTACACCCCTGAAAATACAATCCCCCCACCCCACTGTGGATGCTCTTAGGAATAGGTTTAATAATTTAATTTATACTTGTTTGTATTATTCTTATTTTAATAATCATACCTGATTACATATGTGGGTTACGCTGGTTGACTAGGATAGTGTCCGTCCATTTGCACCCAAAGTTCGTATTTGGGCGCACTTGCAACATTCGAATGAAAATTTAGCGTTCACATCCCTCAAGTATAGACATGTGAGTTCATTGCCAAATAACTCATTCTTGATGAGGGCAGTTTTCGTGGACATCTAATCAATACAGAATACAGATACATGTACTGTGACTTAGCAAATGGAAACTTAGCTTCTCTTCTGCCGGCACCACATTAACTATTTATTCAGTTGAGATCCTGTTTGAACAACCATGCTTGGACTGCCAATTTCCAGTTTTATAATTTATAACATTTAAGCATTTTCAGCATTTCATTAAGGACTTTCCATGATCGATAAAGCAGCCATCAATTTGGAATAGGCATATTAGCAAACACCTTATGAGCAAAATGCCAACACAAAAGCACAATACTTACAATTTATTCATCAGCTAAAGCGAATCAAGTAAACTCCAGAGACCAATTTGATCCAACTGCTGATTATCAGTCTTAAAACTGCTTCAAAACATCACCCTTTACAATATATATGATCTTTTTATGTATAATATACGAGATGAAGTCACAGAGAAACCAAAACATATTTGATATGCTAATAATTTGTTTCCATGAAAACCGAAGTTACCGTTGTATTAAGAACTCTAATCATCACTAAGTTCGTCTTCAATGCCAGTCAGAGTCATTCTAGCAGACGCCTGCTTAGCCCACTTCACAATTTTCTCAGCCTCTCTGCAAACCTTCTCTTCCTCTTTCAATGCCTTCTTCAGCTTCCTCGTTTGCTCTTTCTTTGAAAAACTTCCCAGATCCGTTAAAAGCTCGTCGTTGTCGATGAAATTCAGACCAACCCGAAATTCACTTGCCCCATTTTCTTTACTCTTTGTTTGAGAAGCCCTTTTTGCCTTTGGGGAACACCAGAAGCAACCCGATTTTCTTGGCGGCGATGGGGAATCCATCAAAGAGTTACAAGAACCAAATGGAGAAGCAATTGATCGAGATTTTGATTTGGGTTTCGGACGGTGCTTCTTATCTGGGTCCTGTTTGGATGGTGAGAAAATTGCGCTTTCCGGAGAGGAGTTCGAGGAATTCGAAGGAGATGAAATTGACCCATGTTTCGGTTTCGCCTTTGAACCTTTTTTCCCCTTTCTTACTGAAAATTCTGAGGGATTCAAAGGAGATGAGACAGACCCAGATACTGATTTCGGATCGGAACCCATTTTCTCATCTGGGTTCTGTTTGGAAGGTGAGAAAATCTCAGAGTCTTCGTCTGAAACTGGCTCTGCCTTACCTTCAATCGAGCTGCGGCGAGCTGAACCAGTTACTGGAGCTGTGCTTTTGTGCTTAGTAACTGGGAACGATTTGAGTTTCCGAAAGCGGCATTCGAGCTCTGTGGGGAGTACAGAATCGGTGAAACCAGAGCAGTTGATGGCAGAAACTTGCTCAAGAACACAGAGCTCTTGTGCTTGAGATATAAGTTCTTCTACAGCTGATTCGTCAGTATCAGAGAGGTAGGAGAAATCCGCCATTGGTGGCTCTGAGGAAGCTTTCACTGCTTAGACAGCAGAAAAAACAAAGGCCTAACGGCTAATAGGGAGCTTGCTCACGCTTTCGGCATTTTGTGGTTACACTTTCAACGTGTGGGTCGCACTTTCGTTCTTTCTGTGGGCCCACTGAGATTTCTACTCCCATCTTCGGCTCCAGTGGGCCCCCGAATCAGGACAAAGTTCCTATCCCAATAGTCAAAAGACGACCGCGCCATCTTCTAGACACACTGCATATGTTTATATGTTGGCCTAATTTGCGGTTCAATGAGAGCCGTCAGATTGATATGAATGGCTAAACATAGGCTATGTTTGGTACGCCTCGCTGGACTGGACTGAGTTAAATAGAACTCGAAATTCTTGTTTGGTAAGAGACAAGACTAACTTAAATGAGACTGTATAGTCCAATAGTGAAAAAAACTCCTCACTTGCTCGTCTAATACAGTGAGCCTGAAAAATGGTTCGCTAAATAGCACGCTCGCTAAATAGAACACGTGAATTCGACGCCTCACTTAAAAAAATATCATAATTTTATTTTTTTTCTTTTAATTGTTGTTTTAGATCTTTGAATGGGTTTTTTTTTGCAGCAATTATTTATTTTTGATAAAAATCCTTAAAATATTACAATAATATTTTTGATATTGCATTTGGAAAATCAAACTATAGTAATTTACAAATGTTTAATATTTTTTTGATATTGAAACACGTTTAATAATTCATGATGTGATGCTTTCTTTATCGCAAGTAATTTTTACCTTGTCAAATTATATTTTAAGTTTGAAGTCAAAAGTCAAATATACAAAATTATACATATATTTTTTAATTATTGTTTTACTTGATCCCTGAAAAACCTAGAATTATATAGAGTGAGCTTAGCTCATTTAACAATGTTTCGACCAACTAAGATTAATCTTGAGAAGCCAAAAAATAAATTTCATAATTTTATTTTTCATTAAAAAAAAACATAATTTTATTTGTTTTCTTAGTCTTACGCATCACCAAACGTAAGTTAGTACTTAATCCAGCTTAGGCCAATCCGAGCTAATCCGAGATAGTCTTAGGATTTAGTCCAGTCCATGACAGTCTGCTGTACCAAACGACCCCTTATTAGTTTGGATAGAGATTGTACCTTTTCCTTTTGTCTCCACCATTGCTCCATTTTCCAGTTTTACTTGGGATTTATGAACTTTTCTATGTTGGAGAAGATGCTTTCATCTCCAATCATGTGGTTACTACAGCCGCTATCAATATATCGATACCATTTTTTGTTGTTTCCTTCTGATGTGGCTTGAGGAGCATAAAACACATGCTCAATTTTCTTACTTTCTTTTGAGTGATTGGCTTGATAGTTCTTAGTATGACAATCTTTTTCTATGTGCCCAAATTTTTTACAATTTCGACATTTGAGATTGCCATGGAACCAACAATATTTTTCTAGGTGGTTTGTATTTTTACACACCCTATAGGGAGGATAGTTTTTCCTCTCTTTCATTTCTTTTTTGATTTCCCTAATAAGATTGGATTTATAATCTTCTCCTCTAGAACTTTCTCCAAATTTTTTTCCCCCTTCTTTATTATTATGAGACCTTAAATTAAGTTTTGATTGAAAGGTGCTTTCAACTGAATTTTCATTTCGCCTACTCAATCTTTTATCATGCTTCAAGAGAGCCCATTAGTTTTGTCATAAACTAGTTAAATCTTTTGTCTTCAATGATAGTAACTAAAGGATCATGCTTATCAGGAAGACTTATAAGTATTTTTTTTCTACAATTCTTGAATCATTAATATTTTCTCAATAGGTTCTCAATTGATTGATTATTTCTTTTATTTTAGTATAATAGTCTTGTGTGGTCTCAGAATCCTTCATTTTAATGTTTTCAAAATCTCTTCTCAAAGTTTATAGTTTAACCGCATGTACCTTAATATTGCCTTGAAATTCCTCCTTTAAGGTATTCTATGCTTCCTTTGCAGTTGTGGCTCCCATAATCCTTGGAAAAGTCGTATCATGGAAGGCTTGTTGCAAGGCATATAAGGCCCTTGCATCTTTTTGTTGATCCTTCTTTAGTTGCCTCAACTTTTCCACGGTTGGATTTTCTGGATTATTGAAGCCACTATCAACTATGTCCCATAAATCTTGAGACATAAAATAGGTCTTCATTTTAATACTCTAGAAGTCATAGTTTTCTCTGGTGAAAATAGGAAGAGGGACAGAGTTTTGGCTAGTGGTAGACATGATGAAGGACTTGCGTGAACCAATGCCCAAGGTTGATTGGAACAAGCTTTGATATGTTAGTCTATGGGAGAAGAGGTTTAGGATAAAATAGCTTAACTTGGAACGGAAAACTTTTGAAAGAGTAACAAAGTAGTTTCATTTGATGAAGCAGGAAAGGTACAAGGCTTGATTACTTGAGTTAGACAACTGTAGTTTTTCAGTTTGATAACTTGATTGGGTTGCATGCTTATTTATACAGATGCTAAGTCGACAATTTTGCTTGGACAAAGTCGGTTGTACAGTAACCGCGCGACTTTATCTAAGGCATTTTTAGCCACAAGTTACTCCTATAATTCTAGAATTCTCTAGTTACAATTACAATAAATAATTATTAGGATGGTTCTAGTGAGAGCCAACCATCTTTTACTTAGTAATTCTCTCAATTATTCTAGAATTTTCTAGTTTGAGAATAATGCTACACCTGCAACCAAGAAGACGACCCAACTCATCATAGCTATGTTGAAGGTAGACTTGTCCATGTTTTTATGATTTTTGTGACACGTTAGGGTTAATCTGAATATTAGGGTTAATCTGAATATCAGGGTTTACTTTGTATTACACTGAGTATGTAAGTGAGGTCTCTTGGGTTGTATCTATTTGTAGGGGTTCACACACGTCTAGTTTTAACATCAAAGAAAGCTAAAAATAGTAGGTTAATGAAGTACTTTCCAAACTATATGGGATGCTCCCTTGATACATATCTAATGGATGGTTTCCGTAAATGACTTTTTGAATTAAAATTTAGAGAAGAGTTAAAAACTCTCAACTTCAAGTATGCTTCATGATCATCTCCTAAAATAAGTAGAAAAGCGTTGTTAGATGAAAGGGTCAGTTTAGGATATAAGGGAAAAGATATGTATTATCTTTAATCTTGCTAACACATCATCCAGCATTTAGATAAGGTTGATATCTTTGTTAGCCAGGCAAGATGTTAGAAATTATCATTACTGGCTTTGCTCAAGAAATCGAAGGGTTCCAAGACCACAAAGATATATAATATAAGGCATAAATAATATTAGCCATGCTCAATTCGAGTACCATTTGTATTTGTTGTTATTATTCATAGTAGGAAGATAAATACATCCCCATAGGCCATAGCCACTTGTTAATAATCCAACACTTACGTTGCACCTCTCTAGATTGGACCAAAACCAATAGCCATCAATTCACGCCTACGCATATGCATTTCCCATTAACACATTTGAGGGTTCCTGATCGACATAGGAAATTAATTTTGTCGCAGTCCTTCTTGTTGACGCAGAAAAATGGTTCGGCACTTTCCCGCGCAACTTAGTGATTTAGTCCCTTCGGTATCTGATGTCCTCGGTAGGGTGTGCGATCTGTAAGATAGCAAACGCACGGTAAGTCCTAGGGCACCGGTGTGGTACCGGCCGAAGGCTCTCCGATGCTTAAGTAAGTACGGATTTAGTAAGTTTGAACTACAGATCAATAGGCAGTATGCCGTAAGTTCTGATTGATTACCTCCAAGCTGGGATGGTCGTCCTCTTTTATAGGCCTTGGGAGGCGTGCAATTTGTTTAGGATTTCGATGTGGGACTCTGGACATCAGTTGTGGGACTGCCACGCGTCCGAGGGGGCGAGGTTGCCCTAATGTTTCGATCGGTAGGTCTTATACCGAAGGAGGGTGCCGAAGGCAAACCATGGCCCTGGTTTAGCCCACGTGTTCGACATTCATTGGCTGTTCATTTTGGTACAAACAGGAGTCCCCCAAGTCCCCTTGCGAGAGTCTTCGGAAGGGGATTTGAAGTTGTCTTCGGAAGGAACTATGGCCCTACCGTTCGGTAACCCAACTTGGGGAAGGGGCTAGACCTTGTCCCTTCCGGCATTATCAGTTCAGAGGCTGACGTTGGCGAAGTCAGAAGGTGGCGTCGAGCTGACGGGTGAAGGGACGTCTGAGCACTTCGACTTCCGCGCCTCGCGTGCCGTTTGTTCCCCACAAGATGAGCGACACGTGGCGAAAGTAATGATGGCGCGCGGCGCATCAATGCGCCGTTTGGTTTTTCGAGGAGCACCGTTGCCAACCACCCCCCTATAAATAGGGATGACCCCGGAGGCGAATTCACTTTGCATCTAATGAGAAGTGATAGCTCTGTTTGAGGCGATTTCCGACGAGGGCTTCTGGTAATCAGGCGATTTCCGACGAGTGTTAACGGTAACCAGGCGATTTCCGGCGAGTGTTAACGGTAACCAGGCGATTTCCGGAGGTTCGAATGGCAAGAAAGGTGATTCCCGATATTGCGAACGGTCGTGAAGCATTCTGAAGAGCAGATCGCGCTCGTCTTCCGGAGCACACATTAAGGTACCGTACGACACTTTTCTCTTTAATCTGCTGCATGCTTTAAGAGTTACGTCCTTCCTTGGTTCGAACTAGACTGATCATAGGGTTCCATTCGGTAGTCTAGTCGCTATAGGTAGCGATGTAGGGATCGGTAGGATAACATCCGGCATGAGCCTTAGTTTCCCTTTTTTTTATTCTGTTTTTGTAGATGTCTGATAGCGAGTCATTCTCCGAGCGTGAGCCCAATGCGTTCGATGAGGAGTCATCGGACGGTCTCTTTGACTCCGACGGCGAAGCGGCAGGGCCTGATGCCGAGGGTGGGAGTGATACCGACGTCGAGATACTCGGCGAAGGGCCCAGCTCCATTCCAATACACGGAGTCGGAAAGGGGTTAATGACCGCTCCCGTCCCGTTGTCAATCGTTTATAGTGACGGCCGCCACGTTGGCCTCGGTATGCCTGGGGAGGCGAGCAGTAGCCGTCAGTCTGAGACTTCCACCTCCGGCCGCGGAGAGTCGGCAGTTAAACCACCATCTGGGCCCAGGGTATCGGTAGTGTACCCAAGCAACCCTAGGATGCCCATGGGGGTGTCAAAGGAAAATTTATTCGGCGTCGACTATCTTGGGCCGAACAAGATTACCGATCGGGAGATTGCCAAATTTCGAGCGGAATACCGCATCCCCGACTCGGTACGGATGAGGATCCCGGGCCCTACCGAGTCTCTTAGTACGCCGAAGGACGGCGAGGTAGTCTTTTTTACCGACGTCCTTGTACAAGACGTTCGGTTGCCGTTGCAGCCGGCGGTACAGAGGATCCTTGCCCAGATCGGCTACGCTCCGAGGCAATTCAACCCCAACTTCTGGGTGGCCCTCATGGGAGTGATAACGGCCTTCGACATGGCTGGCGAAGGGAACCCCTCCTATGAACAGTTCTATTATCTCTACAGCATTACCAAGTCCAAGTGTGCCGATCACGGCGGATGGGTGCAGGCGAACTGTCTCAGGGCTGCCGATCGTGGCCACTTTGTCAGCTGGGTACCGACTTCGCAGAAGTCGTGGAGGAATCGGCGAGTGCTCCTCTCGGGCGACTGGGAGTCGCCTTCGGGATAGCCTATCCGATTTCGCATTCCCACAACCTTCCAAATCGCCGGTAGGACCACGTGCCGTTTGGTACCTTCTCTGGGTTCCTCGTTTACCATAAGTGATCTTTCCTGTCTGTTCTTGTTGTAGGTAAGTTGAAGCAGCCGATCGCAATGCAGGCCGAGATCCAGCAAGTAGAGAGAGTGAGTAGAGGCGTAATTTGCCGATTGACCATGCTGTCGGCAATCGCCAATCCCTTGAACACATCGGCAAAAATCACGTTCACCGAGCTTCCGGTGTCAATCAGCACCCGACCCACATCGTAGTCGGCGATCTCGGCCCGAATGATCATTGGGTCATCGTGGGGGTAGATGATCCCCTCCTCCTCTTCTTCATAAAATGTGATGGGCTCTTATCCCACCTTCGGCAACTTTCGGCACCGATCGTCCTCTATGCCGAAGACCTGAGGGCAGTGGGCGGCACGCACATACTGCTTCATCGAACGGTTAGAGGGTCCTGCCAGAGTGGGGCCGCCGCGATCGTGTTGATCATGTTGATCTGCCGATTCGCATTCGGTGCTGGGGTCTGCGGTGGCCTGGCGAGGTACTGATCCAACTTTTCTTCCCGAATCAAACGCTCGACAATTTTCCTCAGACTGATGCAGTCTTCGGTATTGTGGCTGTTCTGCTGGTGGTATCGGCAGAATTTGCCAGTGTCCTAATTATCCTGCCGACTGGGCTTTCGGTTGGTTGGCTTTGGGATCTGGTCGTGTTCGTTCATTAGAACAGTCTCGTAGGTTGTGTTCAACAGGGTAAAGACTTCCTGAGCACGATCGTGATTCGGTAGGGGCGCCCGGTGGTCGTTACGACCGTACTTCCCACGACCTTTCTTTGAGTTTCCCTGACGGTTGTCATGGTCGTCCTTCCGTTTGTGTCCTACCGACGAGTCGTCGGTTCGGCCCGGATAACTTTTGGTGGCCGACTCCTCCTTCCGAGCCGAAGGCCCGGGTTTGGAATTGAAGTATTCGGCCTTCGCATGGACTGCCGCCTGCTTCATTAACTCGTCGTACGTGCGCCAGTTGCTATTGTGCACGAGGTACCGAAAGTGAGAGGACCGTAGGCCACTCTTGAAGGCGCTGTAGGCTGCCCTATCGTCCGTTTCGGGATACCTCGAGTACTCGTGACTGAAGCGCGCTGCGTATTCCCTTAAGGGTTCGTCCTCCCTCTGCCGAATCGTGTACAGATCGTGGACAGAGTACAAACGGTCCGTCTGGATCATGAAATGGTTGAGGAAAATCTGCTTCAGCTCGTCAAAGGAGTCTACCGTCCCTGGTTCGAGACGGTAGAACCAGTTCAGTGTAGCCCCGGTAAGGGATGATGGAAACAGCAGGCATTGCCTCTCGTCGCTGAGGCCCTTACACCAACTGCCGATTGGAAGGAGTGAAGGTGCGTCAAAGGGTCCTCCACACCGGTATAGAAGGGTATGCGCAACGGCTGCACCTCCTTGTCCGGTCTGGACTTCTTGATGCGCTCGATAAATGGTCCTGGCCGAAGTTTTCCCCAGTCAGGGACCTGGGACTGGGTTCGGTCCTCCTCCATCTTCTGGATTCTTTGGAAAAGTAGGCGGATGGCGGGGTCTACGCCCTCGGAACCAAAGTCTTCGGAAGTTCTCCTCGGACTCGGTGATCTCGCCTTCGAGTACTCCGGGGGAGCTTCCGAACGGTAGCTTGATTCGGTGCCCCTGGTGGGGATGTACTCATCATCGGACTCCAGCGCCGAATCCAAACCCTGAGCCCTCCGAAGGGGCGATTTATCCCCTAGGACCCTCATCCGGGAGTCCCTCAAGCGGGCGTTTACTCCGATTAGGGACCTATGCCATTCGGCATCCTTCTTGTCGTTGATCCGATGACGACAATCGGTGTACACCTTCTTCGGTATGTGGGGTTGGTCCTGGGGAGCCGGGACCACCAGTTGTTTGGAGGGCGCAGGCGTTGCCTTTGCCCCCTGCTTTCCCTTCCTCTGCCGACCGGGGGTCTGCTGACTCTGGGAGGATTCGGTGGCCTGAATGTTTTGTGTTTCCTGCTGATTAAGCAACCGTTGGGTTTCGTCTACCTTGGACGAAAGGAGATTATTACGTTCTTGGAGTTTAGCCATCTCCCTCCGAAGGGAGGTCATCTGAGCCAGAAGCTCCGCTTCGACCGTGGTCTGAAGCGCAGGAGGATTACCGAAGGGGGTGCTAGGGTGCAGCGCGGGGCTTGCTCCACTTGGCATACCGTACGGTAATCCATCATCTGATAGGAACTGTGGTCCTGAAGTGGTTCCCATTTGTTTTGTTTAGGAATTGTAGGTTGATTTTTATCGTTTCCCACATACGGCGCCAAACTGTTGACGCAGAAAAATGGTTCGGCACTTTCCCGCGCAACTTAGTGATTTAGTCTCTTCGGTATCTGATGTCCTCGGTAGGGTGTGCGATCTGTAAGATAGCAAACGCACGGTAAGTCCTAGGGCACCGGTGTGGTACCGGCCGAAGGCTCTCCGATGCTTAAGTAAGTACGGATTTAGTAAGTTTGAACTACAGATCAATAGGCAGTATGCCGTAAGTTCTGATTGATTACCTCCAAGCTGGGATGGTCGTCCTCTTTTATAGGCCTTGGGAGGCGTGCAATTTGTTTAGGATTTCGATGTGGGACTCTAGACATCAGTTGTGGGACTGCCACGCGTCCGAGGGGGCGAGGTTGCCCTAATGTTTCGATCGGTAGGTCTTATACCGAAGGAGGGTGCCGAAGGCAAACCATGGCCCTGGTTTAGCCCACGTGTTCGACATTCATTGGCTGTTCATTTTGGTACAAACACTTCTGACTGGAACATGGTCTTTCATTTTCAGTTGTCTGGGCGGAGCCATCACTATTTGGTATTTTGCATTCGCACAAGTTGTCAATGCAAATCTTTTTAAACTCTTTTGAGTAACAGGGAAACGTTTCGCAGTCAGCGGTAGTAGAGCATCTTCGCTTAATCACCATGGCTTCTGAGAAGGATGGTACACCTGCCCCCCCAAAACAAAATATAATCGTTTAGAGACCTTATATAATACAGTGTTCTGCTACAACAAGATATATATGAAGAAAAAAACTCACAAGATGCAATGACCAAGAAGACGATGAAAATAGCTGCCTTAGATGTTGCCTTCTCCATGTCTGATTTTGATTTTGTCACCTGAGATGGATGGATGTGAATCGTGATGATCAACTTCTCCAAGGTTTTCGTTTTGCACTATAGTAAGGAGCCCCTTGGGCTATATTTATACTATAGGCGTGTAGACATTTGTGGTAGTTTTAACGCCAGAGAAATCTAATATGTAATTTTTTCAAACTTTGTGGAAAATAATATGAAATTTCCAGATAATACAGTCCAACTTTTGGCTTTGATAATATGGATTATCTTTAATCTTGTTAACTAATCAAGAAATATAGCATCCCTTAATAGGCATTTCTGTATACGTCGAGTGCAATGAACCCCACACTAATACATTAATGAGCTTGATATAATATTTTTTTATATAATTTTTATAATTAAATTGTTGCCAAGCAGGATGTTAGAAATTCTGATTATGTAGCCTTGTGCCCATATCAAGACATTCGATAGTTCCTAAAGTTCATGGAATTCCTGTACAATCAGCCGAATTGGAACATTGATCCTCATTTGGATGTGCAAGTCCAGTATTTGAGAGTAGGCATTCGCAATAGTTGTCACAACAAATCTTTGTGGATCAACCACATGGAAACGTTTTGCAGTCGGCTTTTGAAGAACATTTTTGAGCATTCATCCTGGCTTCTGCTCTCCTGCTACTCTTTTTAGGGGTTAGCCTGTAAGTAGGTGTTCTTATCAGATTGATTGAGATTAATTTATGAATGAATCCACATTTTTAGGATTAATTTATGGATTTTTGAGCAAAATTAAACCACTCTTTCCAAGCATTAAGAGGCATTTTGATAGTGCAGTTTTGTTACTTAAGGAAGGTAAGAGAGTAAAGTCCAATTTTGGTGGGTAAACGCTAGAGGAATGCCACTATATTCTTTTAATCTTACAACAATCACTCTGCAGGGGATGACACTTGTGAAGAAAATTGGAATATTCAATCTACTTTTGCTGGAAATCCAAATATTCCCAATCTTGTACTTTCAAAATCTGCAGTTTCTACTTCAGTATTCAAAGAAGTGCTTCATTGCTACAGTGCGGTGAACATCAACTACCTTCACTTATTTACGCCATGAAATTAAGGAAAAACTGAGATTTTTTTAAATACATATTATATTTTTATTCAATAATAGCCGCCCGGTTTTATTGTTTTGACACATGGCACCTAAGCTTTGTGTACGACCTTTTTTTCATATAAATAGTATCGCCGGGCGGCTATACTATTTAAAAAGAAAATTTAATATGGAACAGGTTATTTATTTATTTATTTATTTTTTATTTTTAAATATAAAAGAATTAGTTTATTTAGTTTTGTTTTTTGGCCTTCTTCTTTAATTAAACATATTTAATTAGTGCTTATTTTAATTATTATTTAATATAAAAAATTAAAGAAAAAGTCCACCAAATAATTAATTTATATTTATTAAGTCTTTTGTGAAATCGTTTGGGTGTCTTAATTAAATTTCTCCATAGCCCAAGACCCTATCCGTTATTATTAGGCTACTACACTACTACAAAAAGTGACAAAGACGACTAGAAAAAAACGACGGTCTAAGTGAAAACCATCGTTGTTTTTTAAAAGACGACGGTTTTATAAAACCGCCGTGTAATAACATCTTAGACAACTAAAAAATGGAGATTCAAATGGCTGTTCCTAAAACACGACGTACCTAATTAAAAAACCGACGTCTTATTGAAATAGGATTTCCAAGTGGTAAAATCATAGCCAACAAATAACGGCGGAAGTTATGAACCGACCAACGTAGAAAGTAAAGACGACGATTTCAAAAAAAGCCGCCGTTTTTACCCGGAAATTAACACGACCAAGTTTTCGTATAAGGCGTCGTATAATTACAAATAAATCCACGGCGGTAAAATACAAAATACCGCTGTATTAAATTAATGTACAACTACGGCAAAGATAAATATAACGACGTCTTTCCCGTATTTCTACGACGATATCTTTAAATCTCATCACGTTGGGGTTTTCATTTAACGACGTATTATACAATTTAACGTCGTATTTATTCACTTTATACGTCATACATTATATTTAAACCGTCGTCTGAATAAGAATTTTTTTTAACAATTTATTTCTTGGATTTTGTTATCCTACGTCGGTAGATCTACTTAATGACAAGAATTGAAATAACCACGACGGTTTATATAGAAAACCGCCGACATAATCAGATTTTTCTGAGATCACAAGGGTTAGGAAATCTTACAAGATGGAACTTTGTTCCTCATCATAATCTTACCAGAAAGACAATATTTTAGAGGTTAATGATGTATGTGTATTTGTGTCTTTGAGATACACAAACGCACATACACATTAACATCCAAAAAATTGCTTCTGAAATTTGACGACGGCAGCCTCAGATTTGCAATCAGAGAGACAATTTTTTGGAAGTGGATGATGTGTGTGCGTTTGTGTATCTACACAAACGCACACACACATCAACATCCAAACAATTGCCTCCTAAAACTTCACGACGGCAGCCACAGATTTGCAATCAGAGAGACAATTTTTTGAAAATTGGTGATGTGTGTATGTTTGTGAATCAGATACACAAACATACACACACACACCAACATTCAAACAATTGCCTCCTAAGAGATGAGGTGAGACAGAGAAAGGGGCAAGAAGAAGTTGAAACCCTAATCAAATACTAAAACTGAAAGCACCCGTGAAAAAAAACCCTATTTATAATTAAAAAACCAAATCCACGTCGGTTATATTACACATAACGACGTTTAACAAAAATAATCCACGTCGGTTAACAAATACATTACGTCGTCTTAGTCTTACTTAAGACGACAAGAAAGACGACGGTATAACAAAAAACAGTCGTTGTTTTTATATTCGTATTTGATTTAAATCAGTCACCCAGAAAAGAAACTTTACAAATTCTAGAACATTAATTTCCTCGGGAAAAAAAAACTCTATTTATAAGGCACTGTTTTTGAAAAATAAACTGAAAGAACAAGGGAAAAAAATTATATTTATAATTATAAAAATAAAATCCACGTCGGTTATATTACACATAACGACGTTTGAAAAACGAATCCATGTCGCGAAAAAAATATTGCGTCGTTTTAGTTTAAAAAAGACGACGGTATAACAACAAACAGTCGTTGTTTTTATATTGGTATTTGATTTAAATCAGTCCCCCAGAAAAGAAACTTTACAAATTCTAGAACATTAATTTCATCGGGAAAAAAACTCTATTTATAAGGCACTGTTTTGAAAAATAAACTGAAAGAACAAGGGAAAAAAATTATATTTATAATTATAAAAATAAAATCCACGTCGGTTATATTACACATAACGACGTTTTAAAAACGAATCCACGTCACGAAAAAAATATTGCGTCGTTTTAGTTTAAAAAAAGATGACGGTATAACAACAAACAGTCATTGTTTTTATATTCGTATTTGATTTAAATCAGTCATCCAAAAAGAAACTTTACAAATTCTAGAACATTAATTTCCTCGGGAAAAAAAAACTCTATTTATAAGGCACTGTTTTTGAAAAATAAACTAAAAGAACAAGGGAAAAAAAATTCTATTTATAAATAAAATCCATGTCGGTTATATTACACATAAGACGTTTTAAAACGAATTCACGTTGCGAAAAAAATATTGCGTCGTCTTAGTTTAAAAAAGACGATGGTAGAATAGAAAACTGTCGTTGTTTCAATTTCTTTAACCGTTCTCTTTCTGCAGGACTTGAATAGTTTAAAGCATTGACAGCTGAAGCCATCTGATTCGATTGCTCAGGCTTTAGAGGTCATCTAAAGCCATTTCTATTCTTTATCGCATTCTTGAAAACCCATCTTCTTCTTCAGAAGCTCTACGAATAAAGGAACATCTTCTTCACTAATGCCGGTAACCCATCTTCTTCTATCACAAACCTGACGGATCTTCTTAGCCAAGAAAATCGAGCAGAGGCTGACATCTGATCTTCAGGTTTCCCTGAGAAGCGAACTTTCCTTCGACAGCGAGTTGAGGCCAGGCTTGCATCTCTTTTGATGGAAAGCAAGGAGTATTCAGAAGCACTAACTCTCCTATCAGGATTGACAAGCTTCCTCTTGTGGACATAGATTTGTTGCAGAGTAAAGACATCCAAATTATTGTCTTCGAGATGTGAGAGAGAGTGTCTGTGAGAGAGGAAGAACTTGGAAACCTAAATGAAAACTGAAACTGAAAGCGACAACTTTATACAATAAATTTTTAAAACCCACGGCGGTCCTTACACAAAACCGCCGTCTATTTACAAATTCCACGTCGGTATATGACAAAAAAACGATGTATATTATAAAAATAAACGTCGGTAAATTACAAAAAACTGTCGTGTTAAATACTTCTACCATGACGCGAGATATTTATTTATCGACTTTTATTCAGGAGTTTACTACGGCGGTACCTACAACACTATTGTCACATTTATTTACCACGTCCTAAGTTCAAATTATCGTCGTAGTTTGTCTATTTATATGTCGTCGTTCTATGTAAACTGCCGTCTTATTACTATGAAACGGTTTGTATATATATACAACTTTTCGTCTACCTGACTTACACATGCACTGTTTCCAAACCCGAGAAAAAATTTCAATCTCCCAGAGAAAACTTTTGTCTTTTTTCCTTGTCAAAGCACTGTCAGAGTATCTCATCGTCTTCCTCTCGTCTTCGTCGTCATCTCTGAACTTAAACACCAAACTCCGAGAGAAAGCTTTCATTGCACGCAAAAGGTAAGCTTTCATTTCTCACTATTTTTGTTGCTATTTTGCATGCTCATACGATTTTTGTTTTGAAAATCTTTTTACCTTTTTTCTGCGAAAATCATTTTATTCTTTCCTAGTTTGATAAAATACACATACAAAGAGGGAAAGTTTCCAACTTTGAACACAACTACTTCAACTAAATAAGACGACGGTAGCTTCTTATTTACGTGGTTAAATATGTAGACCACGACGGTTCGTCAGTCGTCCCTAGCGTCGTCTTAAAATTGATCTAAGTTGTTTTTAAAATGACAGTCGATTTTTTATTTGCTTGTTTATTGCAGGTTTGATTTCTCTAAACCATGGTTTTCGTTTTTCCTAATTTGATAAAATACAAAGACAAAGAAAGTAGGGTTTGGTATCTTATATAGACGACGGTATCTTATTATTGACGCCGTGTGAATGTTCATACCACGACGTTATACTAAGATACCGTCGTCTATAAAAGATGCCAAACCTTTCTTTCTTTTTCTTTGTATTTTATCAAATTAGGAAAAACAAAAACCATGTTTCAGAGAAATTAAACCTGCAATCAAACATTCACAGGAAAGAAAAAGGTTTTTGGATTCTTATAAAGACGACGGTATCTTATTATTTACGTCGTGTGAATGTCCATAACACGACGTTATATTAATATTTACGTCGTGTGAATTTGAATATCACGACGTCGTGTAAATATCGCCGTAATAAGTTCTTATTACGTCTTCTTTAATATTGTTTCGTCGTTGTTTAAGTACTCTCGTTTTAAACATTTATTACGTCTGATGTTATGTTATTGCGTCGTGTAAAATTTTATAATACGTCGTATTTTATAAATAACCGTCGTTTGTGTTCTTATTTTTTCCTGAAATATTTTCACTTGCAGGTTTGTTTTTTCTGTAACCATGGTTTCTCAAGACCAAAGTAAGGACTTTGGCTCCAAAAAAAATGGAGGTAAGGAGCTTGGAATGGTAACTCCTCCAGACAAGCCCTTGAAGAAGATGAAGTTTGTTTCATCTGCTGAGACAGAACCAACCAGCACGACAACAATTTCTGAGGATTCAAAGTCAGGTCGAGGTATGAGCACAATGCCTCGTGTTGTGAAGAGAAAATTGCAGAAAATCAAGCCAATTGTTGAGTACAATAAAAGGGGGAAAGGATGTGGCCCTGCACATACTGAGATGCAGTCCTACATTGGTGTGTTGGCACGCTCCAGAGTCCCACTTGTGGACAAGAAATGGGCTGAAATCCCCAAGGATATAAAGGAGCAGATTTGGGAAGCCGTTGACATGGCTTTTGTGGTAGGTCAAGGGGGCAATACCTCGGTGTTATCTTCTGCTGCCAAGAAATGGAAGGATTTCAAGTCTACACTGACGAGGCATTATATCCTTCCATACATCAAGGAGAGGGAGAAATTAAGCCAACCCCCTGATAGCTGTGGGGAGATGTGTACCAAATACCAAATAAGAGAGTCCATGTGATTGTTAATGGTGTCAATGAAGCTGACTTTAGCGAAGATCAAAACTTGGCCAAGAGTTTAGGTCGTTGATCGGCATATCGAAAAATGTGAGTTTGGTGTTTGTTGTGGCTGGTAGACAGTAGATTGGTGAAGGACAAGGGCCATCCTATACTTTATGAAAAAGGGCAGGGATGGTGAAGAGACAATGAAGGAGAGGGTGGTGCAAAGATTTGATTAGGAAGAGGAAATGGGTTTCTTGGGTTTGATAATGTTAGAGGCCATATTTGTTGGGAATTGAGTGGGGGAAAGGGAGAAAATGGAGGGGGGGATTAGGTTTTGGTAGATCGATGTTTGGTTCATGTGTTTTGAATTTTATAATGAGATTTTCTGTTTAAACCCCACACTTCTCTTAGTCCACCCCATGTTCTAAGTTCATCCCAACTTTTAATCTAAATTTTCACAATTTCTAAGAAAACCCCACTATTTTCCCAAACTACCCTTAAATACACCCCAAACTGAAAAATAAGAACTAAAAGAGATTTTCTATTTAAACCCCACAATTTTCTTTGTTTCTAGCAAAAAAAACACAAACACCAAATCCGAAATTTAATACTTTCTAGAGAAAGAGAACAACTTTATCTCTCTCCAAGAACTGTAACTGGAATTCTAACACTTGGATATTGTTGAGTTGAGAACTTGAGAGAGAGAGAGAGAGAGAGAGAGTTTGTAAACAGGAAGTTTGAAGGAGGTTTCTAAAACTTAATATGAAGAGTGGTGGGATGTGTGGATAGATGTACTAGGGTTAATTATTAAGTTGGATGACCTTTTTTGTCTTTTACACAATTATAAAACTTATAGCTTAATGATTTAAGTATTGGGGTGAACAAAGAGAAGTGCGGGGTTTAAATAGAAAATCTCTTTATAACTTGTATTGTTGTATGGGAACGTGGGGGAGGTGCCCATGCACTAAATCAAGTGCGTCGACTAGTTGGAATTTCTTTGAGTGCGTTTCTCACACCCATTTTCTAAGAAAAAAGAATATTCATGTGCCATAAGCATTTGTTTTGACTTGTTTTAAGGGTTGACTGAATTATAAATTAGATTCTCCCGCAATAATGAAAAAGAGACAAATTCTATTTCCGTGGGGGGGCAGTGAGGAAAATTGGAGCTTGTTTTATACGAGAGTTACATAATGAGTCAGGAACAATGACCGATTTACAGAGAGACACTACTACAAAAAGTGAAAAAGACGACCAGAAAAAACACGACGGTCTAAGTGAAAACCGTCGTTGTTTTTAAAAGACGACGGTTTTATAAAACCGCCGTGTAATAACACATTAGACAACTAAAAAATGGAGTTTCAAATGGCTGTTCCTAAAACACGACGTACTTAATTAAAAAACCGACGTCTTATTGAAATAGGATTTTCAAGAGGTAAAATCATAGCCAACAAATAACGGCGGAAGTTATGAACCGACCGACGTGGAAAGTAAAGACGACGGTTTCAAAAAAGCCGTCGTTTTTACCCAGAAATTAACACGACCAAGTTTTCGTATAAGGCGCCGTATAATTACAAATAAATCCACGGCGGTAAAATACAAAATACCGCCGTATTAAATTAATGTACAACTACGGCAAAGGTAAATATAACGACGTCTTTCTCGTATTTCTACGACGACATCTTTAAATCTTACCAAGTTGGGGTTTTCATATAACGACGTATTATAGAATTTAACGTCGTATTTGGACACTTTATACGTCATACATTATATTTAAACCGTCGTCTGAATAAGAATTTTTTTAAAACAATTTATTTCTTGGATTTTGTTATCCTACGTCGGTAGATCTACTAACAACAAGAATTGAAATAACCACGACGGTTTATATAGAAAACCGCCGACATAATCAGATTATTCTGAGATCACAAGGGTTAGGAAATCTTACAAGATGGAACTCTGTTGCTCATCATAATCTTACCAGAAAGACAATATTTTAGAGGTTAATGATGTATGTGTATTTGTGTCTTTGAGATACACAAACGCACATACACATTAACATCCAAAAATTGCTTCTGAAATTTGACGACGGCAGCCTCAGATTTGCAATCAGAGAAACATTTTTTTGGAAGTTGATGATATGTGTGCGTTTGTGTATCTACACAAACGCACGCACATCAACATCCAAACAATTGCCTCCTAAAATTTCACGACGGCAGCCACAGATTTGCAATCAGAGAGACAATTTTTTGGAAGTGAATGATGTGTGTGCGTTTGTGTATCTACACAAACGCACACACACATTCACATCCAAACAATTGCCTCCTAAAACTTCACGACGGCAGCCACAGATTTGCAATCAGAGAGACAATTTATTGAAAATTGGTGATTTGCAATCAGCCACAGATAACCAACATTCAAACAATTGCCTCCCAAGAGATGAGGTGAGACAGAGAAAGGGGCAAGAAGAAGTTGAAACCCTAATCGAATACTAAAACTGAAAGAACCCGTGGAAAAAAAACCCTATTTATAATTAAAAAACAAAATCCACGTCGGTTATATTACACATAACGACGTTTAACAAAATAATCCTCGTCGGTAACAAATACATTACGTCGTTTTATTCTTACTTAAGACGACAAGAAACGACGACGGTATAACAAAAAACAGTCGTTGTTTTATATTTTTATTTGATTTAAATCAGTCACCCTAGAAAAGAAACTTTACAAATTCTAGAACATTAATTTCCTCGGGAAAAAAAACTATATCTATAAGGCACTGTTTTTTAAAAATAAACTATAAGAAAAAGGGGAAAAAATTATATTTATAATAAAAAAATAAAAATCCACGTCGGTTATATTACACATAACGACGTTTTAAAAAACGAATCCACGTCGTAAAAAAAATAATACGTCGTTTTAGTTTAGTGTTATCCACGTCGGTATATTACAATAAAACGACGTATATTATAAAAATAAACGTCGTAAATTTAAAACAACCGTCGTGTTAAATATTTCTACCATGACGCGAGATATTGAGTTATCGACTTTTATTTAGGAGTTTACTACGGCGGTACCTACAACACTACGTCGTATTTATGTACCACGTCATAAGTTCAAATTAACGTCGTAGTTTTTGTCTATTAATACGTCGTCGTTCTATGTAAACCGCCGTCTTATTACTATGAAACGTTTTGTATACATATACAACTTTTCGTCTACCTGACTTACACATGCACTGTTTCCAAACCCGAAAAATTTCAATCTCCCAGAGAAACTTTTCGTCTTTTTTCCTTGTCAGAGCACTGTCAGAGTATCTCATCGTCTTCCTCTTGTCTTCGTCGTCGCCTCTGAACTTAAACACCAAAATCCGAGAGAAAGCTTTCATTGCACGCAAAAGGTAAGCTTTCATTTCTCACTATTTTTGTTGCTATTTTGCATGCTCATACTGTTTTTGTTTTGAAAATCTTTTTACCTTTTTTCTGGCGAAAATCATTTTTATTCTTTCCAAGTTTGATAAAATAAACAGACAGAGAGGGAAAGTTTCAACTTTGAACACAACTACTCAACTAAATAAGACGACGGTAGCTTTTTATTTACGTGGTTAAATATGTAGACCACGACGGTTCGTCAGTCGTCCTAGCGTCGTCTTAAAATTGATCTAAGTTGTTTTTAAAATGACGGTCAATTTTTTATTTGCTTGTTTAGTTGCAGGTTTGATTTCTCTGAACCATGGTTTTCGTTTTTCCTAATTTGATAAAATACAGAGACAAAGAAAGTAGGGTTTGGTATCTTATATAGACGCATATCTTATTATTGACGCCGTTGTGAATGTTCATACCACGACGTTATACTAAGATACCGTCGTCTATAAAAAGATGCCAAAGCTTTTTTTCTTTGTATTTTATCAAATTAGGAAAACACAAAACCATGTTTCAGAGAAATAAACCTGCAATCAAACATTCACAGAGAAAGAAAAATGTTTTTGGTTTCTTATAAATACGACAGTATCTTATTATTCACGTCGTGTGAATATCCATAACGACGTTATATTAATATTAACGTCGTGTATAATGAATATCACGACGTCGTGTAAATATCGCCGTAATAAGTTCTTATTACGTCTTATTAATATTGTTTCGTCGTTGTTTAAACATTTATATTTTTTCTTCTTCTTTAAACTTTATTACGTCTGTTGTTATTTACGTCGTGTAAAATTATCATACGTCGTAGTTTATAAATAACCCGCGTTTGTGTTCTAATTTTTTTCTGAAATATTTTCACTTGCAGGTTTGTTTATTCTGTAACCATGGTTTCTCAAGACCAAAGTAAGTACTCTGGCTCCAAAAAAAATGGAGGTAAGGAGCTTGGAATGGTAAACTCCTCAAGACAAGCCCTTGAAGAAGATGAAGTTTGTTTCATCTGCTGAGACAGAACCCAGCAGCACACAACAATTTCTGAGGATTCAAAGTCAGGTCGAGGTATGAGCACAATGCCTCGTGTTGTGAAGAAAATTGCAGAAAATCAAGCCAGTTGTTGAGTACAATAAAGGGGGAAAGGATTTGCCCTGCACATACTGAGATGCAGTCCTACATTGTGTGTTGGCACGCTCCAGAGTCCCACTTGTGGACAAGAAATGGGCTGAAATCCCCAAGGATATAAAGGAGCAGATTTGGGAAGCCGTTGACATGGCTTTTGTGGTAGGTCAAGGGGGCAAGACCTCGGTGTTATCTTCTGCTGCCAAAATGGAAGGATTTCAAGTCTACACTGACGAGGCATTATATCCTTCCATACATCAGGAGAGGGAGAATTTAAGCCAACCCCCTGAGTATATAATTCATAGAGAAAGCAGAATGGGATGCCTTTGTAGCTTCAAGGTTATCCAAAGAATTTGAGTCTGTGCATTCTCAACATTCACAGATTAGGAAGAACTTGAGTACAATCATCGATTGTCTCTCGAAAAGGATATGCGATTTTTTTTTTTTTTTTTTTTTTTTTTTTTTTTTTTTTTTTTTTTTTTTTTTTTTTTTTTTTTTTTTTTTTTTTTTTTTTTTTTTTTTTTTTTTTTTTTTTTTTTTTTTTTTTTTTTTTTTTTTTTTTTTTTTTTTTTTTTTTTTTTTTTTTTTTTTTTTTTTTTTTTTTTTTTTTTTTTTTTTTTTTTTTTTTTTTTTTTTTTTTTTTTTTTTTTTTTTTTTTTTTTTTTTTTTTTTTTTTTTTTTTTTTTTTTTTTTTTTTTTTTTTTTTTTTTTTTTTTTTTTTTTTTTTTTTTTTTTTTTTTTTTTTTTTTTTTTTTTTTTTTTTTTTTTTTTTTTTTTTTTTTTTTTTTTTTTTTTTTTTTTTTTTTTTTTTTTTTTTTTTTTTTAAAACCTAACTCTCTCATACCCGACCCGACCCGACTTTTAGTTGCTAATGCCGGCTCTTCTGTATATTTACGCACATACACGAATAAAAGCGCAAAGATTTTTCATCACTTTTGTGTTCTTTTCTTTGAGCACAAGCTAAATAAGGTGTTTTTCTGGAATTCGTATAAATACAAACCAAACAAAGCCTTAGGTCTCCCAACCCTCGCAAATTCTCTCCGAATCAGGCATGGCCGCGCTGCAGTACCTGGAGTCGTTGCGCAACGCGCATCCGGAGCTCTCCGATTGGTACAATTCGCTCGCAGATCTGTACCAGAAGAAGCTATGGCACCAGCTCACTCTCAAGCTCGAGCAGTTTGTTGCTCTCGCCGTGTTCCAGGTCTGTTTCCCACCCCAATTTCTGGTTTCTTTGATGCTTATGCTTCAGTGTGTGGATGTGTGACTGTGAGTTCGGGAATTTAGGGATTGTGAAATCCTTAGTTTGCGGCTTGAAGTGTTCTTTGGGTTTTGTTGCTGAGTTAGGGTTTTTTGGGAACAGTAATGGGAAATGGGCGTTTGGATGACAAAAATAGGTTTTTTTATTTTTATTTTTATAATTTCTTTTCTGGAATTAGGGTTTTCTGTGGTTACCATATAGTTTTTTTTTCTGCACTTAGGTTGGAGATGTTGCTTAGTATTGGAGAAAATGCAGAAGTTACGGGGGAAGAAAGATATGGATTTTAATGCTTTGGTTGCATTAAGTGAAACCCTACTATAAATCTCTGAAAGCTTGTGCTGATATTTTTTTGTTCACTCATTTTAGGTGATTTGAGTAACTAGAGGTCAAAGAAATGGGTTATGGATTCTAGTTTTGAGAGTTCTCCTCTGGGAGCAATGAGTTATTGTAGATCCTAGTTTTTTAATCATTAGAGAGTGGTTTAACCCTGGGGTGACATTTTTTTTTCTGGGTTTTAATTTCCTTGGAACTCATTCTAATTAAATCTAATTTTTATTTGGGAGGGAACTAGTTGGTTTGAAACTGTTGATCCGTTCAACTAGCATGGATTGTGGTCTATCCCAGTGGAAAGCCTTGACTTGCAGACCAGTGGTCTCAGGTTTGAATCCCTTTGGCACCTTGGTAGTGTGTGTGAGATAAACTCCCCTCCTCCTTGTAGTTTAGACTATCACTTGTATTTAAAATAAAAATAAAAAACTAGCATGGACTGTGGTCTCAATGCATCTATGATCCTGGTATTTTGTTGGTATGAATACATACATATGTATATTTTGTTGAATAATATGACTCTCTTTGCTGCCTGGAGGAGAGGACAACGTAGGATGTTAAATTAGGTTCCTGTATTGTGGGTATGGTGTTGTGCGATTATAGCAAAATTGTTTAGAGTGTTTGTATTACCCATGTATTATATAGCAACTGATGGCTCAAGTAAAGTTAAGTTTAACATGTAAGTTTAAGCTACTAACCAAGTGCCTTTACCAAAGTTGCCCCATGCTCTGTGTTTTTTTCTCTTTGTCAATGTATTTTCACCAGATGCGAGGTTTTCGTAGATTAAGATATCAAATTAATTAGATTGGAGAGTCTTAGCACACAAAATGTGGCAGTAATGGAAACTCCAAATTGTTTACTGTACAATAAATGAACTCTATAAAGGGGCTATCTGACAATAATATTTTTCTAAGAGCTTGTATTATGACATATTTGAACATAATTTGAGCACTTCTTGATTGTAGTTGCCCCAAATGTGAGGTAATAAGTATGATAATTTGTCTACAATTTTCAATTTCTGTATAGTGCTTTTATCACGAGATATTTATTCTTAACATTTAGGCATGCATGTAACTTGATTGGCATTTAACCAGATTAGGCATGCATTAGTATGGAACTAGGTGTGCTACCCTTATCCCATGGACACTCAATGATTGCTTTGTAAGTTATTAGGCCTGGTTTGTTAGGGAGGACTAGACTAGACTAGACTAGCAAAATGCCTACATTTCATGTGCAATCAAGGCATAATATGGATATTGTTGTCTAACTTGGAGGATGAAGGAGGACTATTCATAAGAGGTTGATGACTAAAAACTTATCTCTCATAATCCCACCAATTTCAAGGGGATTAAGGGGATAAATTTTAGTCATCAACCTCTTATAGATAGTCCCCATTCCTCCTCCAAGTTAGGCAACATATCCATATTATGCCTTCAATGCACATGAAATGTAGGCATTTTTCTAGTCTAGTCTAGTCCTCCCTACCAAACAAGCCCTTACTGGTCGTGTTTAGCTTCCTTTGTGCCTTCTAAATATGAATGGTGAAGAAACAATCTTGGTTATGGGTGTGTGTCCTAAGGAATTTAATTTTTGAATTTTCTTAATCAGGATAATGTTATGTTACAAACTTGTGCATCTTGAAATGAGATTAGGTTGCATTTTTTCTATTACTTTGTAGAAATTGTCAACAGAATTGATGATACCTACAAAGCTAATTTGCATGGGGGTTTATCTGGTTTTATGTTTTCTCATGTAATCCATTTGCACGAAAAATCTCATTAACTTACCAAGTTTTGTTTTTTAATCATTGAAGTGCTGAATCTTTGTTTGCCAGATGATTTTATATATGATTTTTTAATGCTAAAATGGTAGTAATAGAACATTTTGTTGCTAACAATATGTCTGGATGTAGTGCAAGTGTGTTCTACTTGTTCTTGACAGGAAAGAATTCCAGTAGTATATTTCTATTTTCTGCATGTCTCCTTCCTTCCTGCATCTGACTTTTTCATCTTATTATTGAATATCAGGCTGGCGATGCTCTGATACAGTTATATCACAATTTCATCACTGATTTTGAGACTAAAATCAACCTTCTGAAGCTTGCACACTTCGCAGTAATTGTTTCTCGGCAGTATCCAGAGAAGGAAGCTGCTATCAATTACCTTGAAGGGGTGATTGAGAAGCTTCAAGCCACTAGAGAGCAACGGATAGAGGAACCAATCCTTTACATTAAGATGCAAATAGCAATATTCAAACTTGAGCAAGAAGACCAGAAAGAGTGCAAAAAACTTCTAGAAGATGGAAAGAGTACACTTGACAGTATGACTGACATCGATCCATCTGTATATGCTAGCTATTATTGGGTTTCATCTCAATACCATAAGTTCCGTCAGGAATTTGCTGAGTTCTACAAAAGTGCTCTTCTTTATCTAGCATACACATCAGTGGAGTCTCTCTCAGAATCATTTAAGCTGGTACGCAGTTATATAATCTTATAGCAAACCATTTTTCTTTTGCAGTTCCTAAGTTTTACAGCCCATCGCTATTTTGAAATTCTATGTTATTGGGAAGGCTTGAAACCTGTGGTTGCATACTTTAGATGAATGGTTTCTTATAGTTTTTATTTTCCATGCCTGGATTCAAGTCTTCCAAGGCATTCGAAGATAGGCTTTGTCTTCTAAATCTTTTATATACCAAATGGAAAAAATAAAAATGAAAAGGAAAATCTTCTACCATCTGCTACGATTACTTACCAATATGATTGTAAACATAATCTGAACAGTCCAGTTTAGAGAATGCAACTTAACATAAAGGAGATATTGGGTAAAATGTGGAATAAGGTCAATCTCAGGGAGCTGAATTTTAAGCTCTTGAATAGGAATGGTTTAGTATGAAATTTATCCATCATATTATAGATTGATGAAAGAGGAGAAAACGCGTTCATTTTTGTTTGTCATTTAATTGAAGATTTCTATTTGGTGAAAACCTGGAAATATTTGTTTTATACATGAGGATTTCTAAGAGAATCCAGTGACTTGGTTAAATGGAGTTGTGTGCATTGTTTTGAACATGGACTTAGTTCAATCCATAATTAACTAAGGATTTCACACTTGCCTTTTATCTTTTCACTGGTTCAGTATACATTTGAAAGATTTTGGTTTGGGCACAAATGATAGCCTCTATCGACAGTAAGATTTGTCTTGCAGATCCTATGAATTAATTGTCCATATGTGGCTCACTTAATTTTACTGCTGAGTAGCCGTTAGACAGTTTGCGTCTTTAATCCATGATGTGATTTTGTCAGTTTAATTTGCTTTTAACGTATGCAAGGATTTGGCATTTGATTTGTCCCTTTCTGCGCTCCTGGGAGACAACATCTACAACTTTGGAGAGCTGCTTGCACATCCTATTGTAAGAACATTTGTGCATAATTTCTCTCTCTTTTTTTTCGCTTTCATATTACACTACTTAAAGAGTTCCCTTTAAAGATAAACAAGATGTTTTTGTTGCTGTATTTGAAACCAAATATTAAAACATTGGATTTGAATTGATCAGAAATGAAGATTGCAAGGCACATTCTTGTTGATACTGCTATTTATTTTACACTTTACAGTTTGGCTTTATTTCCACTCTCCCTGCTGAGATCACTCAGTATGACAAATTACTATTAATTTCAACTGCTATAGATTATCACGAAGTGTTTGAGTCTCCAACTTGACTTTATGCAGCCTATTATGTGTACATGCTTCTTTACATGGATAAATAAGTTTGTACATGTGTTTGTACAATGGTTTAGAGAACCATGTGGTTTTATGATCTGAATTCCCTGTAGTACCCCACCGAGGATGCCTGCACCCTTCTGTCCATTTGTGTTTTTTGGATGACATACAGCTTTTATAGATATTAATTATGTATCTAGTTGGCAGGTGCTTCTTCTGAAGTGTGTAGACCTCATTATATTAAATTGTTTTTCCTGCTTTTCTTTTCTGATAGATGACTTCTTTTAACAACTTATGCAGATTAAGAGTCTTCTAGGGACAAAGGTAGAGTGGCTTTACTATATTCTCCAAGCGTTCAACTCTGGTGATTTAGTCCGTTATCAAGAATTATGTCGTGTGCATAATGCTGCTCTTAGAGCTCAACCAGCTTTAGTTGACAACGAGAAGAAGCTTTTGGAGAAGATTAACATTCTCTGCTTGATGGAAATTATCTTCAGGTTTGCATGTTGTAGATCATCCTTCTTTTTTTTTCTTTGGTCAATGATCATCCTTTCAATTGTAATCTGTGCCAGATGAGAAATTATTCTTCTCTGCATCCTTTTGAATTACCATTAAGTTGACATGTTCCTTGCAGCCGGCCATCTGAAGACAGGACTATACCTTTGAGTATCATTGCAGAGCGTACAAAACTTTCTGTCGAGGATGTGGAGCATCTTCTTGTGAAGAGTCTTTCTGTATGTTCTTCTTTTCTGAGAACTTGATGGACAGTGAATGAATTCAGATTTTGATATCTTTATTAATATTAGAATCATCCAAGGTGTACAGCCCCTGCCTATTCAGATATCCCTACTTACATATCTATGCTAATATGGAAGACTTCAGTCTTATGGTCATGGTTATCAATATATGACTCTTGAACAAGTAAAGATTAACTACCCTACATTGAAGAAAAGAAAAAAAAACTTTTAGTTTGAGAGACTGAACTAACTTGGTAAGAGGGCTAGTATTATAAATTTGGCCAGATGAACATGGTATATCTGATGTATATGGTATTTAGCGTCCAAACCTTATTTGCACATATCTTGTAGGTTCCATGATTTATTTAGTTTTATAGCACTGGCCTTTGATATTTTGTGTGTACTTTATGGGTATGCAATACAGGTTAAGCTGTGCGCATGACGAACATGAAAATGAGTTTAAATAATTATACATATATAGCATTTATGTGTAACCTTATTTTACATAATGATTTAGTTTCTGTTGCTTTAATTTTTTGAATTAATCAAAATATTCCTTAAAATAATAATCTTTGGAAATATAATTATTTTCTTTGAATGAAATATATCCAATTCTACGATTGCATTCATTTGAGTAGGAATTATATATCTTTTTGTTGAAACATGTGTGAGGTATTTGTCGAAGTGTGTCCAACCAACCCCCTCTCTTCTAGAAGTGTTTGTGCTACATACAATATATCCTAATTCTAAGCATAGTAATGGCGTGTTTGTTTGCCAGTTAAGATAATCGGATCTCAATGTTTTGGTAGTTGTATAGCCGTCTTGCATGATCATTATATTAAGGAAAGACCTAGAATGGAAGTGATGTTCTGGCTTTGTTCTTAACCCATCATTCCTAAATTCTTTTGTTTTTGTGTTTTTTTTTTCGTTTCAGTTCCTTTTTTTTTTTTTTTTTTTTTTTTTTTTTTTTTTTTTTTTTTTTGGGTGTGATTTTCCTTATGACTTTGCTTTTGGCACTACTAAGAAATAGAAAGAAAACAAATACCTTATCAAATTTAACCGAGATAGAATGCTCCTTGTGTTGTCTATCTGGTCGTTACATGATATATGGTTTATGGTAATGGTTCATCTGGACAATTGTATGTTTGTAATTCAGAAGTCTTTTTTGTTATTGTGAATTTTCTCAATTGAATAATTATAGGAGATGCTTACTGCAGGTTCATTTGATTGAGGGAATAATTGATCAAGTTGAGGAAACCGTGCATGTGTCCTGGGTGCAACCAAGAGTTTTGGGAATTCCACAGATCAAATCGTTGCGTGATAGGCTGGACGGTTGGTTGGACAAAGTGCATACAGCTTTGTTATCTATCGAGGCGGAAACACCTGATTTGGTTGCATCATGAGTTGGGTCTCTTGCTTTGTTTTTCTGCCTTTTGGTGTAACAAATCCTAATCGAAAAAAATGTGAGTTTAAAATGCAAGGGCGACCAAGAAAACAGTAGTCTCAGTTAGTTGAGCACTTGGGCCAACGTTTTTTATGCTGCTTTTCATATTGCTGATGCTTTTCTTGAATCATTTTCCTGGAAGGAGAAGCCTCATGTACTGCACTTGGGACTAAATTCCATTTCATATATAGGTGGCATGCCTAGAGACATGGTGAATCAAATTCAGAGATGGCTGTGTAACCTTAAGCGTTATTAAACTATGTATTTGGAATATTTCTTAGATTTTTACCGTAATGTGATGATCCACTTTATGCAGCTGAACAATGTATCTGCCTTTTATCACTTCTCTCTATTCTCAAACTACTGCTACAGCATTTTGCTCCTCATTGGAAGATTTTTATTCTTTGGGGTTCCATTCCTCAATACCAAATGGAACTGAGGATGCAGTTAGTTTAAATGAGTCGTGGCTGCTAATGCTGTCCAGTGACCGATTCTGGCGCTGATTGATGGTTCTGCAATTGAAATCTTCCACAAGTGCTCAGCTGAGGACCAAATTTTGAGTAGCTTAAGATATCCAACCAGACCCATTTACATGTTCGAAGCTCTCTTATGCTCTCAAGAATTTTATAGTGAGGGCCTTATTCAAGGCTTTTAGATGAGGTTTTATATCTTAACTGTTTGACCAATAGATGAGGCCTTATTTTTGAACCGTTGGATCAATAGATGGGGTCATATCTTTTAACCGTTGAATAAAATTCGTTAGTTTGATCTAACGGTTAAGAGATAGAATCTCATCTAAGAGTCGCCCTCACTATAGAATGATTCCTTATGCTCCCTCTTCCTTTCTATCACCTATTCGAAAGGCAAGTGAAAGACCAAAAAATGTGGGCTGCAGCTTTTCTCCTTGCGGGACCCATTTGGTTTCAAGGGCTTCAACCAAGCTTATAGATTTAGCTAGTGTTCTGGTTGGGCTTTAAGTTTTAGAGCCTTAAATTTGTACCTTTGTGGATGCTTTTTTAAGGGCGCTCGGATCAAGTGAGAACAGCTATGTGAGAACCTTATATGAGGGTCAATCTCAATCGTTGAAATGCATCTAAACGGTTTAGGAGAAAAGCAAGCTTACGCTGCAAACGGGTAGGCTACAGTTTCCCCTTAGGCCATGTGTCAAGTCGCACTTGTTTCGAAAAAATGATTCTTTGTTCTTCCTGACAGTCGCGCCTTTCTTCTCAATGAATTTATGAATTAACCCTAATCATAGCACCCACAATTTCACCTACCAGACATAATTTTGTGTATTCCTTTCTCTTGTGGCAGAAACTCCCTGGTCTACTTTTTCTCTTTCACTTCCTCTTATGTTGTCGCATAACCTCCCTCATCTAGTCTTTCTCATCCAAACGTATGTTTCCCTCGAATTCCCTCTCTCTCTTTCATATTAAGGTTTGCATGTTATATTGCATTTGATTAATGTTTAAATTTTGTTTAGGATTTTAGGGCTTTGATTTTCTGGGTAAGAGTACTTTATCTCTGTAGTAGTTGTGTTTGAAAAAATATAAATTGGCTTCAGTTGCTTTTTTGTGTTGTGTTTTCTAGTTTCTAGTAATTTGTTGAAGCAGAGTAACTCTTTTTTAAAGTTTTGTTGTGGTTTAAATATTCTTTCATTATTCCAAAATTTGGTTTTGTTGTTGTTGTTGTTGTTGCAATTCTTTGTGGTAATTTGTCTTCACATGTCTCTTTGGTGCTTCTTGCTTTCTTTTTCCTTGTCTTTTCTTCAGAACCTTTATCTGTTCCTTATTGTAATCCTACTTTGGGTGTGAGTGTATGGCATCATTTTGGTGATTTAATGGGGCAATAATAAGTACCATTAGAATAAAACGCATAAGAGAAAATTGAATCTTAACTGTGAATAATGAGATGATTTGGGATGCATAAGGATCAATGCATCTTTTAGTAGGTATCAATCCTGCATCTTAATGTGTTGAAAATAGTGTTTGGTAGGTATCAGTTACATATCTTAATATGTTGAAAATAGTGTATTAGTTATGTATCTTATTGTGTTGAAAATAGTGTATTAGTTCTGTATCTTAATGTGTTGAAAATAGTGTTAGTAGATATCAATTATGTATCTTAATGTGTTGAAAATAATGTTTGTAGGTATTAATTATGTATCTTAATGTGATGAAAATGTATTGATAATATTGTGAGTAGGTATCACTTCTGTATCTTAAAGCCACACTAAAACTCTTAGCCCACATTACCACAATTAACCATAAGTCCAAACAAAGCCCATGTGCCCAACATAATTGAACCCTTAATGCAATCTATAAGCCTAAACGAACACTACCACCACCATTTGAAGAAGTTTTGTCGCGGCAACACCCATCACCTCATCCATAACAGATATTGGAAAAACATGGTTTCCAGCGACCCACCTACGCATAAGAGCTAACAAATAAATGAAAACAACTACCTTGATAAAGAACATTGAGTGATTTGCAGCAACCTCTGTTGAAGACGATGTAGCGCTAAGTTTAGAGAACATGAGTAGTGTTAGAGAGTGGAATTTGAGAGAATGATTTGTTTGAGAACGCCTAAAAGGGGTGATGAGCTTCAATATGAGAATGGCTTAGAAGAAATCTTCACAAATTGCTTCTTTTTCAATAACCCAATAGAAAAAGGCAAGGAGAGAGGAGGGAAGGAGGGGCAATAACGCTTCTTCCTTCTCCCCCATCTATGGAGTTTTTCTGGGATTCACAGAAGGAGAGAGTGATTAGGATTTTTTCTCTCCTCCTTTCTTTATTGGGAGTTTCACTAAAACACCCAAAATGTGGGCTGAAATTATAAAAAAACTCAACACTCAAAACACTTTATAAACACACCCAAAACCCATCATTACACACCCAAAAAATATACAATTGTTGATTTTGGGTGTGTTTCTATGTTTAAATAGTGTTTGTGTTTTTTTTATAAATACATGTCTAGGATTGGATTTATTTATAAATTTGTATCTTTATTTGAAACCCTTTTCTTATTTAATGAATCGTTTATCTAGTTTGGTTAAATGCAAATTAATTGATTAAATTGTTTTAATTCGTCTTTTTGGGTTATGACATTGTATTTACCCTTGCTATATCATTATTGATTTTGTAAGTAATTTATTTAATCAATTTTTTTTTTACAAATTTATAAATAAACCCAATTCTAGACATGTATTTATAAAAAAACCTAAGCACTATTTAAACATAGAAACACACCCAAAATCAAGCCCAAAGTCAATTTTTTGGGTGTGTTTATAAATGGGTTTTGAGTGTGTGTAATGATGGGTTTTGGGTGTGTTTATATATTTAAATAGTGCTTGAGTTTTTTTATAATTTCAACCCCATTTTGGGTGTTTTAGTTTTTTTTTTTTTAGGTTAATTTTTCATTGGTGGTTTTTTTTTTGTGTAAAAGACCGAAGGTAAAGAAGAAAAAGAGAGAAAAAAAAAAAAAAAGAAAACAACCAAAGCATGAAAAAAGAATGAAACAAAAAAACCCTTACGGGGGGTGGCTTTGCCTTATGAAAAGTCTCTTGCTTGTATTTACTCCAACTCAAACGATCATCGACGCATAAAGTGTGAGTTTGTGAGTGGTTTGAAAATTGAGTGTGTGCAGAAGAGTGAAGACGATGAGCGAAGAGCGATTAGAAGAAGACTGGGACACAGATTTCTTGGAGCAATTGATCCAAGTAGAAGAGCAAGCCCTCTCTTCTCAGCACCCCAAACCTTCCAAACCTCCTCCTCAACCCCCCCATTTGCTGCCGTCTTCTTCTCACTCCAATCCCATTAGGGCCATTACCTATCCCCTCCGCGAGAGCTCACTCAGAGGTCCTCTTCCAATGGCATTTCCCATTCTGCTCCTCCTCCTTCCAGTAGCTGCCCTGAGCTTGAGAAAGAACTCGAAATTGCCCGCTTGAAGGTTAGGGCTTCATTGCATAGCTGTATATATTTATATGTATACATGAAAGTAAGTACCGTTTTTTGTTTAAATTTTTTAAAAATCGATGGTTTATTAATATGTAACAAATTGGGTGTGTTAGTGTTAATATTTATGTGGCATTGGCCATAGTTAATCAAGAGATTTATGTTTTGTTTGGTTGCTAACAAAAGGGTTTTTTAACTCAAATGGTCCCTAAATGAGGGAAAATAGATGTCAAGGAAACAGTTTTTCTTCTTCTCTAGAATCGTTCTGCATCTTAAACTCCTTAATTTTCGTTTGAATTGTATGCTATGTCTGGATTTTCGGCTTATACTTTGATTTCTGACCTGGGTTTGAAGAATAAGTAGAAGTTTTGTTGTCTTCGTTTTTCAATCAAAGTTTGATGAATCTTAATTGCAGAGGGAGCTAGGACATGTCTCGGAGAAGCTTTTGCATTTGGTACGTTTATTTGTCACTGCAATTTCACTATTGTTGCCACAAGATTAGTGCTTTTGTCGTTGGTTTGCTTGTGCTGTAGTTATTCCAAGTCATACTATAATGTAGTTTTGGTAGAAGTCTTCAAATAGGTGAACTTTTTCTGTAGTGTTATGCATTTTAGTCTTGTTCATTGGTTTTGAAAAGAAAAATAATGTCATTATACAGTTTTCTGTACTTAACAGTTGGAATTACATGTTCATACCTAAGTGAGCTTTTTATGGTTTAAAAATTGGCAAAACAGATGATTTATATGCTTCTCCTTTTCGTTTGTGTGCGTGTGTGTTTGCATTTGTGTTTTCAGGATGTATACTTAGAGTGATGTGCATGTTGTCTTTGGCTGAATTCTATAATGGGAAGCAATCCAAACTTAATGCTGTCTCATATTCTGAACTTTATTATACCACAAGCTATTTTATTTTAGTTTCAGAAAATTTGATGTTGGTATGGGAGAATGAGGTGCTCTGTGTAGCTTTTATTTATATTTTTTTATGCCGTCACACAAGATGCTATATTTTACAACTTTATATGAGTGCATATGAAGAGCATTCAGTTTCTATTTCTGATAGTATCCAGTTTCTCAATCCATTGATTTTTCTCTTTATTTTCCATCATGACATTTCGGTATTTGGGATTTATTTCTTATGAAAGTATCTATATGCAATGAATTGTCCTATACTTGCAGGAAAAAGAGTCCTCTGAACTAAGGAAGGAAAATGACAAAAAAGATAAACAGCTTAGACTTGTAACTTCAATGAATGAAAAGAAAGATGCAGCTGCTAGGAACTCTGAGAGTACAAATTTGTAAGTAGAAACTCTTTCTCTGTCGCATGGCATTGGCCTTACATGGTGCAAGTATAAACCAGTGATATTTTCAATCTGCTTGCCTGTTGTATATTAAACTAATTACGCTGAAGGGGTGCTTTACATTATCCTATGTTCCATTATTATCATAAGGTCCCATGGCAGCAGGAAATCTGGAGATGTCCTGGTCAATCATGAGGTTTCTCGACAATTTCAATCTGCAATGTGTTCAAGTGATCAGCCTGGCTCTCGTATTAATACTGGTGAGATAAGTTGGAGATCATCTTCAATTTATTTTTGCTGTATTTTCTGACACCTGTCTTTATTTATGGTGATTTGTGCTAGATGTGCGAAACTCTAAAGCCCCAGGCGTTCAAACTGATGAAATTGGTGCTGTTCCCCAAGCAATCTCACATGATGATCTGCAGACATATGATGACATCTCCAAGAAATTACTAGCTATCTGGGGCTCTCCAAATGAGCAAGAATTGGGAAGAAATCTAATTTGCAATTTGCTTATGGCTTGCCAACAGATTTCCATTTTCTTTTTGGGTGCATTGGTATGACAATGCGTCCAAATTAACAATGGACAAGCTGGGAGATGATAGCTCTTCTATTGCAGCTTCAAAGTACTATTCACAAATGTCTCATACTCATACTCCAGAAGCTGAAATGGTGTCTCATCTTTATTCTGTCTTGACCAAGGTATTCTTTGATTATGTAATTTCATATAACTGTTTAAACAGGAAAAGTCTTGAGATTGTGTAATTTATTAATTTACTACCCTAGATTACAAGGCAAGTGCCAAAAATAAACTTGAAACTTCTGGTGAAACTTAGATGTGCTGATAATGATCAGAATTTGCGCCAAGATTTTCATGACAACCTCAAAAGGATCATTATTTGTTATATGGTTGGGGAAGGGATTAGGAGGGAGGATGAATGATGTTTGCATCTGTGTTGTAATCATTTTTCTTTTAGTTTGGACATGGAGATACATCTTCATTGGATTGTTTGACTATTTCAGAAAGAATTCATGGCTAGAAACAAGGAAGTTGTAGATTTAAAGGTGGTGTTAGCCTCTTCTATTTAAAAAAGGGTGTTAGTCACATTAGATCCTAGTGTTATTCCACCCTGTGCACTAATTGTCAAGTGAAGTAATGAACAGGCCAATCTATCTGGTCATCATACATTCTGTTGGACTTTGTTTATTTCATCTTTATATGTATTTCGTGGGCTTGGGTTGATGCACAATACATGAGGGGTCTTCTCACAATGTTTTTGTTTCATAACCAAGTAAATAGTAAAATCTGTGTATCATTGTTAAACTTATATTTAAGGGATAGTTTTATAAGGGACACCATGTCTTATCGTATCAGGTTGTCTGTAACAGTACAGATTTTTTTTTTCTTTTTTTCTTTTTCTTCAGTGGTAGAACTGCTTATGGTGATTGAACTAAGTTCTCTTATACAGGCCAGGTCTTATTATGCTACTTTATTTAACCTTTGATTTCTTTAATCTTTATGCCATACATGTGCAGTGGAACTTAAAGAAAAAACAAGGAAAAAGAATTAGAAAATCCATTCATATAGTGTTGCGGAGATGTTATACCTTTTTTGTTCTAACTTGGATATGAGTATTTTGTATCTGTTGATTGTTCTTTTTGCAGGCTAAAAGTGGGATGGTAAAGTTGGAGGATTTATTTCAACCATTAGTCAACCTCTGTAGTCTTGAAAATGTAAGTTGGTGAATTGATATGCTTTGACTTCTTGCAACAATTTCATAGATGTTCTACTTTTATTTTTGTTATCCACCAACGTGTAGTTTGAGTAAATTGACATTACTCTAGATTCAGTTTACCCTATGGATTGGGAGTTGGGACCACATACTGTTCAATAAGATGCGTTTTCGGTACGTTTGATTTAAGAAACTTTTGATACGCTGGGTAATATAATTATGGTTTTACTTCCTAGAGGATGTACTCTTCAAGGATACTCATTAGTCTCTTTTATTTAAGCTAGCCTGTAGTTTTGGATTAGATTGGCATGGAACTTCATCTAAGTTGGACGATCAAATTAATTAATAGAAAATTGAATTGAGTTAAATCCACCCGATACATTTGGGGATGTTGATTACTGATATTGACTTACTAAAATTGAAAGTCTGTAGTTGTCTGTTAGGATGTGATAGGTCCATGATTTTAAAAATATTGGTGTTTGGGGATTTTAAATGTATTGGTATTAATGACATTGTTTTATTTATTTATAGGAAACAACAATTTTATTTAAAAGCCAATATGTACAATCGGTGAACAAGAAATCCACCAAAAATACAGCAATCAGAACCTTTAAACTAAGACACCACTCTACCACATTTCACTTGAAATAAATATCTCTACGGTACTACTGCTTTCCAATACAAATAGATAAAATGAAGGGTAAACTCCCTAAACTCTGATGAAGTAGATGCCCACAAGGATGCCCAAAACAGAATCCGATCCCATAACTGATCTATCTCATCACCCTTAACATTATAAAAGACAATCCTATTTCTTTCCACCCACACTAACCAAAAATCTGCCACATAGCACATCTTCCCAGAACTTCTCCAAATCACATGGGAAGGTGTGAAGATAGAAGGAATAGAGGGATTGTCCAGAAGGTGCTTTGAGAATGATTTACGTGAAAAAAAATCCTGAAGGCTTCAAACTCCAAATCTCGTCTGCTCTATGAAAAACCAACACAATAGATTTTAAACTTGACAATTGCTATGACTCGTGTATGTTTATTGCACAGGGTGAGGTAACATTGAAATGAAATTTGACTGGTGGAAGTTTTCTAATGTTGTTTTTCATTGGTTAAGGAGTGACACAGACATGCAAACTTTAGCCAAAGGCTGGACCACACAAGTCCTCTATTTCTGTAATTAATTTCCTTTTTTGTTTCAATTTCATAGTTTTCTTAACCCTTAAAACTTTTTTTTATAACAATTTTACTAATTACTTAGAAGGTTTTATGGCTAGGGTGAGGGCTACTTTCTTTCAATCCGTTGTTTGTCTTTTAACTTTAGTGCCTAGCCCTTAACCTCCACCATGGAGGGAGGTGCCACCAATATGGTCTCACATATACTTTTGCCTCCTTATTAAGCTCAACTCAGCTAACCCCTGTTCCAGAAGCAATTGTTGTTGGTGTGTAGTTTACTTCCATATGGATTTTATACTTGTAATGCTTGTGATCTTAGAAACTTGAAGTGTTTCTAAGAGCTATCATTAAAAATTTAATATTGCACTGCTTATTCCATATGTTTTTAGAGACAAATGGGTAGCTGCCATCAATTTTGGCACCATTGACATCTTTACATCTTCAACTGTTGATACAAATTTTAAGATTGATAACTATTTCTTTTGTTAAATTATTTAATACTTTATGTTCTCATAATTGGATTTGGAACGCCATTGCCTTGCTCTATTTTTGTCGTGGCATGTACAAGACAGTATTACAACATGATAAGTTTTGTTTGTCAGAATATTCCTGCTTGCAAGGCCCTCTAATTTTTCATATCATTTTGTAAGTCCACTATTGTATTTCACCATTGAATGAAGTTTCATAAGTTCAGTATGGTAGTTATTTCCTTAAACTCTTTCAGTTTGGTTTTTTTTTGTGTTTTTTTTGGTGAATCAGTTATTTTTGGCATAGGTTATCATTGTTCAGGCGTCTCTACATATACTGCATGTGTATCTGAAGCACCTGATTAGTCTGGAAAGGCAATTCGAGGGAAGGTATATAACATACTCTGTCTCATTTGCTCTTTCTGTATTCCAGTTTGATTTTGCATGAGCGAGAAACCTATGTGATTGTATTGCTGATTGAGTGATCCCCTTCGACTGTCCTTTTTTTAAAAATGATTCTACTTTAGAGTATCATCATTAGTGTTCATCATATGTCTACAAGGAACTAATATAAAAATATGTAGGGTGCCATAGCCCTTTTACAGAAAGAAGTACATAAAAAGCGTTAGCACGTATATGAACAATTATTTCCTGAAAAAAGGATAAAAAGAAGAGATGTACAGATGTGATTGCTAATGTGCCATCCCTGCTACCACCGTAATGGGTTGGAGATTTGAAGATATGTGGGTTCACTTAAATGTATATTTGTGTGTTTTGTAAATGAAGCAACTAAGTTAAGTTTTCCTATCTGCCCCTTGGCAATGGAATGAAACATAGAATATATATATATCTCATGGTCAATGTCATGGTCAATGTCATGCTTATCAACTTTGATTTGATTTTTCCAGTGCACTCTACTCAGGGTCAATGTCATGGTTGAAGGACTTCACTGCAGAAACAAGATTGTAAATCCTCATGGATCTGAAGGTGCAAATAAAGGAGCCTTGTTTTGTGTGAACATGGATCAGATGTCTTATGCATGCTCACTTGGAATGAAATTTTCGTATCCCGAAACTCAAAGCAAGAATGGAATTTGGAATAATGGCATTGCAACTTTGTTTTCTCATATAGACTGGGTTTCTCTCTTTGAGGTGATCCTACAAACTGCCATGAAGAATTCAAAACCAGGTGTAAGGCTAGAAGCAGTCTCTATTATGAATATGATTATAATGAGAAGTAATCCCTTTATTGAGAGGGAAAAGTAAGAATCAAAATTTCTTTTTTTGTTGAGATTTCTATACTGCTACTTTTCCTCATTTTCTGATGGAGTCCCGTTGGAGGCAGGTTTGGCCAGACACTGGTATTTGAAATTCTTTCACATTTGCTTACAAAAGCAGCTGGTTTTGAGGTGCGAATACAAGCCGTGCAACTTCTATATATGCTACTGAATTGTAAGTTCACATCAGTTTAGTTCATTCATTTTGTATTTTGTTTTGTTTTTACAATAATTGCATGGAGTTGGAGCTTATAGTGATTATAATTGGTATTATTGCTTAGTGGAACTACATGTAGTTCAGTTTATTTTTTTAAGAAACATAAATTTATTGATAGCGAAACAGAGTACTATCAAAGTGGACAAGATATCCACCTCATAATGTAACAAAGAATCAATGAAAGAAAAGAAGAAAAGGAAAAGGCAACCGAACAACCAAACAACCAAACTCTGATTATTACATTGTAGAGTTTGTCCTATAATACCTCCATCCCTCCATCCCTCTCCACTATAGCTTTAAAAAATCCTTATATATTCCAAAACTTTCTGTAATTTTTTGATTTTAGAGTTTCATACATTTCATCTTAAATTAAGTGTTCCATGCACAATTTTTCTGTTTCTTCAATGTACAAATTGTTGGGAAAATTAGTCCTCCTCATCATGACAAAACCAATGGAAAGATAAAAATAAACTGCACCAAGATGACAATGAGTGAAACGAGAGAGTACACCAAGAATTTAACGTGGTTCGGCAAAAACCTGGTCCACGGAGTGTTACCACCTTCACTATGAGAGAAATACAAGTACAAGAATCCTCTAGATGAGAACAAACCTCCCTTTATATAGCCATGGAAGAAGCCTCTAGATGCATTGCACCATCCATGCATATCACAAACCAATGCACCAAATTCCATGAACCATGCACATACAATAAATGCATGCTGACCACCATCCACAAACAGTGGATGCATGTACCATGTGGAATAAAACTGTAGTAGAAAATGACCGGTCATATTTATATGTGTAGGGTCACAAGAGACCACACTTATGCATGCTGACATAAACTTGTATTAGAAAATTGGCCCCCCTCGTCATGACAAAACTGATGGAAACATAAAAAGAAATTGTGCCAAGATGACAATGAGTGGAGCAAGAGAGCACACCAAGAATTTAATGTTCTCACTGTATAGTGCACATTATATGCGTTCATAACATTCATAACCTTAAACCTTTCTGTTTGCTGGTACTGTTCTGTTTTAGGTTCCGTCCATTGTTTAAACATTGCTTTTTAAGCTCTTTTTTCCCCTCTAACTGGTAGCCTTCTACTGCTCGTTTATTTTGGTTGGGTGAAGCCTGAAGATCTTATTTTATTAGAACTAACCTTGAGCAGCCTACCACTCTGCACAACTCAGCTTCCTTGCCTGTCTTAAACCCTGAAGACCTTATGTTTCTTTGCTGATTTGAAGGTCCTAAAATACTGGTCAAGTTCTGTTCATATTATAAAGATGGGAAGGGTGCTGGTGCTATGGATGGTGATGTAGGAGATGCTTCAGCTTTCCAGAAATATAGTATGATCCTTCAAGGATTGGCAGATTGTATAGCTTGCTGTGGAAATGGTTTACAGGTAGGCATCCCCACTGCTTTTCTCTCCTTTTCAGTTGTACACTTTTCTTTAAATTATTTATTTTTTTGCTTTGCTTGTAGATATATTAGTGTGTAGATTGACCTGTTCTCCTATGGAAGAAAACTGTAGTAGAAAATGACCTGCCATATTTATATGTGTAGGGTCACAAGAGACCACACTTATGCATGCCGACATAAACTTGTATTAGAAAATGACTTGCCATACTAATCCATGTGGAGTCACTAGAGATGAGACTGAGTGATGTGTTATCTTTTAGTTGCCATACTAATTGCTTTTGGTTTCACAGAACTTATGTTACATTGGTTGTATGTGCACTAAAGTATTTCCAGGTAGTCTCTGTTCGAATTTCTAATCGTGCACCTATTCCTGAAATGGCCCCCACCCATTCATGCTAATTGCCATTCATGTTACTTGCAAACTATCGTTGTAGCTTTTGATCAAAAGAGAATAGAAGCCTCATCTACAGGCTTTAAACCTTATCATCGACAACAAACTTTATTCAGTCCTATATGGAATAGGATGTAATGTAAATTAAAAAGTGAATCATCATGCATTTAGGCCTTCTATTTGTGTTATTTCTTTGTAGATAATGCTGCATTTCATGTTGAAAGTTGAGCTGGGATTTTATTTTGTTGCCTGATCGTCAATTCAAAATGTCTGTTTTGCTGTTAAAGTCAAGAGAAAGGTATCTTTATAATCTGAGAGATTTGAAAAGTCTTTTGAAAGGATCCTTGATTAAATCTCAGCTTGTTAAAGTAAAAAAATTTAGTTGCATTGCATCTGCTTCATCAATAACCATATTTTGGCCTCACCTCTGTCTGAATGGCATTAAGAACTTTGTTTCCCACCCCTGTCATGTGTGGTATACCGTACAGTGGGATCGCCTTCTATATTTAACTTTTTGTTTTCCCAATCTTATATCATTCTATCTTCAGTTCCCAGTTTATGTATTTTTGACTCACTGGAGGGCTTCTGGGCCTTTGAGTTCCACAAGAGAAGGTGGAGGTGCTTCTGTCCCATCTCATAAACCCTCAAACCTGAGTTAAAGGTTTATGTTTAGTAATATGTATTTCAATTTATCAACTTCTTTGTTGTTATTGTATTTTCAGGAACTGAAACTTCGCAGAAATTCTGTTCTTTTGCTGGCTTTCCTATCCTCATCTGAAAAATCTGGCTTCGAAATACTTGTGGCTTACAAGCTCTATCAAGATGCAAACTTTCTAATGTTGATTTTACAAGTTTTGATATCAGAGGTAGATATAGAAGTAGCAGTTAATGCTGATCATGCACAGGTTTTCAAAGAGAGGTAATTGACGAGTAAGAGGTTTCTAGATGCCCTTGAATTTTATGTTCTCTTATTTTTACTTAGATGCAAGAATCAAACGTTCTTTTCTTGGGCATTACTTTGCCGAGTTCTATTTTTCTGTATTCTACTTTCATTGTAAGTGCCACTAAATATCTCGTAGTTATTTGGTGATATCATGGTTCTGGTAATGCAGTTTCACCTACCCCTTCTGTCTTCTCTGTTCCTGATTTCCCTTTTTCCTTCTTCTGACATTGAAATGAGTTCATAATTACTTGTTGTATTGTTATTATTGGTGTTGAATTTATTGTAGTTCAATTTGTGTGCTAAAAAACAAAGGGCAAAGAATAATGCTTAGTACACACCTTTGACCACATTTAACAGACCACCTTATGTGGCAGCTTATGTGTTCATGTCATGTCAATTAAAATGGACAATTGTATTTTTTTCTTTAATTGTCTTTTATTAATTTAGGGTATTTTTTATAATCTTTCACCTTTTCCTCTCTGACCCTCACTCCTCTCTCCTATGATATCTTCGAATTTCAATCTCCCTGCTCTTATCTCATCCATGATTTATGGTTTTTTTGTTTGTTCGTATTACTCTTTGGCACTGGTCTTTCTTTTCTGCATCAAGCACCAAAGGCTGTACTTACCGGAATCAATGATGTAGATAGACAAGTGGGCTGGGTTGAGTTGTTGATATAGTAGATCCATACAACTGAAAAATCATTTTAGTTTAAATGCTATGAGTCATCAAAGAGGCAAGAGGTTACTTGGTTGGCATGAAAGGATGCTTGTTAATTATCTTTCTTCTGTTGGATCGTTTTCTCCAATGACAACAATTTCATTTTATTGGTCCTTGCAATAGCCATGGATGGGGATCAGTGAATGGAGGAGAAGAAAGGGGGAGGGGCAAAGTCGGGGAGATTAGAAGAGACAGGAGAAGGTTAAAAACAAAAAAGAATTAATTAGAATCCTAATAAAAGACAATTAAAAAATAAAAAACAGTTTTCATTTTAATTGACATGGCATAAACATTTAAGCTGCCACATAATGTGTTCAATCTAGTGTACAAATAGCATTACTTGAAAAGCAAGTGGTTCCTATTTTTTATTATTTATCAGAATGCTTGTACAAATTCAAATGCCATTTACTAACCATATGAACAATTGTACCCACATTCTAGTACATTGTAACAGTTGAATAAAGGCTATCCCACATAATTTATGAGAACTGAGATTTTCTTCTAGGCTTCTTTCTGCATCTTGCAAGGAATACATGTCATGTCTCTGTGGAGTACGTTCAATATCTGTATATCTACATGACAAAAATGGCCTATCTATCTCTTAATTGTTTGCTTATATTGTGAGGGCATTGTTGTGTAGGACCTTGCTGATGCGGGAGGCTCTAATACTACTTAACAGGCTGGTATCAAACCCGATGTATTCTGCTACTGTCTTGCGTTTATTAACAAAGAGCAGAGACATGGCCAGCTTGACCATCGATGTTGCAAACAGGTTGTCCAGGAAACACCAGATATGTGACAAGTTTGATGGCATTGCAAGGCAGATGCGGGAGTCTGAAATTGTAGACCTAGCTCGAGTGTTTAAGAAAAGGGTGTTCACATATTTAGGAGATAACCTATCATAAAAGGTCTTGTGCCCGTTTGGTTAAATTTATTTGTATATTTGTATGTATCAACAGTAGACATGCAAACAGTTGTCATCAGCTGTAGAGTGCAAAGTCTGGTGGCAGAGTTAGGTACGGTCATTCTTTAGACGATTAGCCCCTCAGCTGGAAATTTTTTGATACACCGGCACTGGTTACTCAGTCGGAAAATTTTGACAGGTATTGGTGGATAATAGATACGATTCCATATTACCTTTGTAATGATCAAATTCCTCCTTAAAGAAAAAGAAATGTAGCTTCTACTGGTTATTTTGGTACTATTGGATATGAACTATAATATAACATCCTCAACCTCAAGTTGAGAGAGGTGGTACGGTACTGTAGAAAATGTATATTTTGGCATGTTTAGTAAGAGCGTTCCAAATCCAAGTATTACCGGTAGAAACTTAAAACTAACCAGTGCCTGTAATTTAAAGGTGCGATTGAAAGACTGAAAAAGAAATATAGAGTGAAAGGGCCAGGGCACAGAAACAATTCGCAGGTGACAAGCAGTCATCTTGCTCAGGCAGGCAAGTTGTTGCTAGGAGGTTGCGGCGTCGAATCCATACAGCCTCCGGCTTTGGATAGTGTAGACTAGGTCCCCTCTAACAACACACTAGCCAAGCAACACCTCAGTAAATCTCCAAGCTCATTGTCAATCCCCAGACAGATCACCCAAAGCAGAAAAAGAGAAAAATAAGAAGAGAAAAAAACATTATTTAAAATGAGCTCTACTTGTACTACCGTTATTGCAGAACATTGCTATAGTTTTGAGAGCTTCCTTTGAACATTGCTATAATTGCAACAGAATTAGGGGTCAATCAGATACTAATACTATTTACAGAATTAGTTACTGTGGAGATACTGATAGGATTGAGTTGTTAAGTTGCATGGGAAATGAAATTGGAGAAACAATCAGATACTAATATTACTTATAGATCACTGCAGCTTCACACCCATTTTAATTTGTACTAGTGCCATATGCTATACAGACCTGCCAGTTTATAACTACCAGCCACAGGTAATCTCTCTGATCCTGGACCCAACTACATTACGTATTAATTTACAAGTATTTACAGATACAAGTATATATAATCGTATTTACGACGTATTTACAAGGATATGTATAACCCCATTCCCATTCCCATTCCCAGTCGCAGCACAAGTATCATTTCCAGGACTTCCAACGAGTTTGAAGTTCATGGCTAAAGGGATTGCTGGGCAGGGGACAGTACTCCCCATCAGTCATGCTCTCTATGGAGTAGACTTCCCAGCCACCTTCTCTCCAGTAAGTTGAATAAACTTCTGGAATGTGGGAGACTTTCCAGTTATCTTTTCCATCTGTCCTAATCGTCTTCATCAAATCCACCGGCATATCAGAAAACTCCAGAACTTTCAGCTTCGTTAAATGTTCAATCCCTGATGGCACATTCTCCAGAAGCTTGCAGCGTTGGATGCTTAGCTTCTCAAGAGAAGCCATTGCACCCATCTCCACTTCTATGCATCTCAGTTCATCAAACTTGTCCATGCTTAAAATCTTCAACTTTCTAAACCCATCAGCCCTGAAACACAATCTGTCGCCAAGGAATGCTTGACATAATTCAAGTTGAACAAGATTCGGAATGTATCGCAGATATATGAGTGGATCATCCTTCAACTGACTCCATTTCAAAGACAATCTGACTAGGCTGGGAAGAGAAGGAATCCAGTGGGGTAATGCGTCCAAACGTCCTCTCATATACAGCCGCTGAAGCAACAAAGGAGGAGAAGGTAGATGTTGAAGATCAATGATCTCATCTTCTTCGACTGAAGCTATAGACAGGGCGCGAAGATTTGTCAGCTTTTCAATAGATGAACATAGAGCCTTCCCATCTTCTTTTCTCAATTTTAAGAGGCCTAACCTCCTAAGTTGATTTAGCTTCCCAAGCTCTCTTATTATGGTGCCCCCATCTTGGTTTACTTCTATGAAACAAAGCTTCTGTAATGCTTGCAAAACTCCTATGTTTGACATGACTTTAAAACCCTTTTTTGAATGAAAATGTTCGTAAGATACAAATTCATGTTGATATACCAGAAGATGGCGTAAACGCTGGAGCTTCAGGATCTCAACCGGAAGTTGGTTGACATTGGAATGCTTAAGATCTAGAGTTTCTAGACTCTGAAGCCTCCCAATAGATTTGGGAACAGTTTTTACCTTTGTTTCCCTCAAGCTCAGGTATTTCAAATAATACAAGTCCACAACTTCAACTGGAAATTTTTCCAAAGGCGAGTTTTGCAAGTCTAACACATTTAGCAGCCTAAGACCACTTGGGAATAATTTAGAGATGGATGGCTTTTCAGAGGCACCAAACATAAACAGGGAACGCAACTGGGAAACTGACCTGTTAGGCTGAACAATTTGTAGCGTGCTATGTATTGATAGGCGTCTAGCTCTGTCAAACCATTGCAAGCTTTGGTCTTTCACAATTGTGGTGAAATTCTGATCTCTTGACTTGGAGATGATGATCTCACGCAAAAGGTCATGGATCCGACATGTTTTGACCCTTCCATCAGGTGTAGTAGTAGCCACTTGCATTAGGCTTCTATTCAAGAGTTCATGGAGATAGTCATCTGCTACTTCTTCCAGTGTTTTTCCCTCCTTTGCTTCGACAAATCCCTCTGCTACCCATAACCGGATTAGTCTCATTCGTTCAATCAGATGATCCTCAGGAAAGATGCTCAGGTACAAGAAGCAGGATTTGAGGTAGTATGGCAAATCATTAAAGCTGAGTGAAAGAACTTTTTTCAAATCCTTGAGCTTGTCATTTCCCTCAATTTCAGCCCCAAGGCTGCGGCCAACCATATCCCACTCGTCAATTCTACGTTTATCTTTTGTTGCCAACACACCACTGATTGCAACAATTGCAAGGGGAAGTCCCTCACATTTTCTTAAGATGTACTTACAAATTTCCTCCAAATAAGGAGGGCATTTGTTCCACTGAAATGCCTTTCTGCAAAAAAGATCCCAAGACTCGGGAGGAGGTAAGGGCTTTAAGTTATAGGCCTTACCTTCACATAGTACACCCGTGGTGGAGGCTACATCTGCATTTCTTGTAGTGAGCATAATTCGGCTGCCACAACCATTGCTAGGCAGTGCATATTTTATAGCATCCCATTCATATAGATGCCATACATCATCCAGAACAACCAGGTACCTCCGGTTTTGCAGCAATTCCTTTATTGTTCTCTTCAGCTGATAGTTATTCATGTTTGCCACGATTTGTGGAATTCGTCTTCTGATTGCTTTAAAGAGTTGTTGAACCATGTCTTTGAGTAGGTCGCCAAATTTGAAGGACCGATTAACAGTGATCCACGCACGGACTTCAAAATGCTTCTTCACTTCTGGGTCATCATAGACTTGCTTGGCCAAGGTGGTTTTCCCCATTCCTCCCATTCCAGCCAACGAAACTACTTCGCGGCCAGAACTGCCGTTAAATAGCCACCCCACCAGCTGATTTTTAGGCTCATCAAGGCCAACAAGATCAGATTTATCTAAAAGAAGGGCATCTCCTCGACAGTCTTGCCATGTATTTCCTGCACTGTCGTCGGATCCAGGATTTTGTTCAGCCTTTCTGAATTTGTGACGAAGTCTCTTGTGAACCTCACAAATCTCTTTGATTCTTGAGTTGATGGCTTGCAACTCGGAACCAATACGGTAACAAGCTTTGGCATTCTTAATACAGCAACCCAACCTGCATATAGAGCCAAATATTCCTCGACCGTAATCATGATCATGCCCCTGGAGAAGAGTGTATTCATCTAGAATGTCTTCAGTGTCGTGAGAAATATCTCTTAGTTGCTTCACCCAGACTTTGAGTTCCTCGTCACTTTCCTGCAGTGCGTCTGCGATCCTTAGGAAGGCCTTCATCCTTTCCAATTCTCCTCTCAGATACACAGCTTCTTCTCGAACTCCTCCAAACAGGTGTACATCCTTTTCGAATAGGGTTGCAAGCTTCTCCAGAAGAAAGTTAACAGAACTCTCTGCCATCAATATGGATTGTTTTTCACTTCATTGCAACAGTCTAACTTGTCACTCTGAAATTGTATTGCAGCAAGACATTGGCTGCATATCCAAGTGACTTGGCTAGCTGCTGCACTGCATCCAAGTAAGTCCATTGAGTTCAATCCCCGCAGTTTTATACTAGTATTTGTGCTAATATAATATTCTTTGTTACAAAGCCTAGCATTAACTGTTAAACAGACTCCAAAAAGTAAAAGCGACTAATTGATTTTATAAAGGGAAATAAACTTGTTGGTAATTACCTAAATTTGGGAAGTTCCAGTGAAGCTTAATTTCACAGCTGGTGGGCAATTTCCACGAAACCCAGTTTACACATCCCAAATTTGTGGGAATAAGATTGTTAGCTCTTTTCTTTTCTGTTCCATTGATGACTAGTGGTCTAGAATGAATAAGGATAGGGCAGACAACATATGTGTGGGCTGGAATACTAGTGATCTTATCCAAGCTGACATATATTACTTCAAATGAATGCCAACATCAATACATATAATATATACACACGCATTAGTATCTTACATCACGACCCTCTTCACAAGTAATTGAGAAGATTGACTGAGGAAAAAACAAAAAGCATTATATTTATTATCTGCGTGTGTGAATTCACAAAAGGTTGTGTTAACAAATATCTTCTTAAGTTTCTATTAGACATGGGGAGATTCTCCGATTAGTATTTTATGTTAAGGATTGGTTACATATTTATAATCACCACTGTTAGATTGCTTTTATGTTGCATATTAAATCTACCAACACATCTAATGAATGCAATCCAACACCCGAGATTAGATATGTAACCAATTCTTAACTTAAATACTTATTGGAGAATCTTCCATTTAAGAAATGGTTAATACATTCTATACGTTATTTGAAAGTTTACTTTCAAAGAGCTACCCAACAGCTTCCTATTTCTTTTCCAAAAAAGAGACATTTTATTAGTCCAATTTAGTAAATTACCTTCTTTTTTTGACAAAAATGTTTAGAAAGGGGATGCAAACACTAGACCTTAGGTGCTGGGGTAGCTGTTGTTGACCACTTCAGTCGTATTTCGCTTGCTTTTATTTTTCAACTTTTAAAACAAAAGCAATTGCTCAATTTCTTAATCCGTTTGCGATGAAGTTGTATGGCTTGAAGGACCTCAATGGTTAGTTTGCAAACTCATGTAAATATTTAACACAAATTTAGATTTCTTAAATAAAAATATTATATATATATATAATTAAAGAACCTGAAACTATTAATAAACTTTTTAGTTGAAGAGCAAGTGTTAGTCTACTCTAAATCAATATTTATATGCTATTTGCTAAAATATGAAACCTAATATGAGAATATTTGTTTGTGAGAATTTTCTGTGTATTCTTCTCCTGATAGGAGGTCATATTTATAATACAACGGAACTTTAGTGGGCAAGTAAATAATAAATTCATATTTATATTTACAGTAGAAAATCAGGAATTAAAGTAAATCAAATATAATTATAATGGGAATCCTTGGTGTGTAAGGAAAGAAAGTTAATGGTCCACAAGTCACGCAAGCACTCCCCCTCACGTTGGTGCATAGATGTTGCCAATGCCCAATTGGTCCAGTGAATTGTGGAACACTTTATTGGAAATTGCATTTGTCAAAATATCCGTCAATTGATCCTCGGACTTTACGAAAGGAAACTGAATCACTTTAGCTTCGAGCTTCTGTTTGACATAGTTTTGATCTACCTCAACCTGTTTGGTGGGTTCATGTTGAATTGGATTCTGTGCAATAGCTATTGCAGCCTTGTTGTCACAAAAGAGATTCATTACAGATGTAGGTCTATATCCAAGTTCAGTAAGCAACCTCTTTAACCTTATGAGTTCACAAATTCCTTTGGTCATACATCTGAACTCGACTTCTGCATTGGATCAAGCGACCACCTTCTATTTCTTGCTTTTCCATGTAACCAAATTACCTCCCACGAATGTGAAGTGACCGGATGTGGATTTCCTATCTGTTATACTTCTCGCCCAATCTGCATCTATGTAACCATCAATATTCAGATGACCATTGTGGAAGCAAAATATCTCCTCCTACGTCAAATAATTAAGCCATTGGGAATTATTTGACCTAATTGGGAGTTACCTAATTTAAGTGGGAGGTTATCTGATTTAAATGGGATGTATTTGATTCTTTCCTTAATTAAGGACTTGATTTAAATCAAATCCCTAAGTACACCAACCTCACCAAATCAGGAAGAATAATTCATTTCCAGCTACGGAATTATTCTTCTTAAACCCTCGCCTCTGAGGCTCCTATAAATAAATGGATACTCACAAAGGTTGAGGTACGTCTAAATTCCTACTAAAACTCTGCATAAATTATCCCTCACAAACCCTAGCCGCCATACTCTTTCTCTCTCTCTCACAAGGCTCCGGCCACCACACACGGCTTCGACCACTCGGTTTTCTTACAAACACCCATTCTAACTTAGGCATCGAGGGTCTTTGGCCAACACATCCCGGGTGTGGTCCTGTTACTTCGATTTGTTTTACAGGGAGAAAGAGAAGCGAAGAAGACAAGGGAATCTTAGGCGAATATTTTTGTGGGACGAAAATCACTCCCACAAAATGGTGCTTTCATTGAGAGCGCGAAATAATACTCAAAGTGTGCTCCAAATCCATTTTCCACACTTTATGTCAAACAACCATGGTTGATATAAGACCTACGAAGAGTAACGCCACCATGACGGGCCAATCTCATGGTTTCGTAGTGGAAACCTCAATGCAACCTCACAGAATCGTGGCTGCCAACACCTTGCAGCATTCTCCTAGTGCTCTACAACCGCCTTCAGTTGTTGGAATTGCAGAACAGCCGCCGCAGACAGCTGCTGGAATTGTAGAACAGCCGCTACATGACCCTGAGACCTCCACAGCCTTGCAGCCGCAAGCGTCGATTTCCGGAGCTGCTCTGACGCATTATCCTGCCGTCAGAGCACATCAGCAGCCACCCCACTCAGTTGCCAAAATTGCTGCACAGCCCCACGGCTACTTTGACACCATCCCAGTCTTGGAGCAGATCCATTCTCTCCCTCCACTACAACCACACTTGATGTATGCACCTGTGTACGAGTCTAATGAAGCCCTATCCCATATGTGGTTAGGCCCAATGCACACCACTCTACTTAACCCGCACAGTCAGGTGCACTTTAACTCACAGGTTGATCAACTCACACAGAGGGTCGACGATCAAAACAACCTGATTGGCCAGCTACTCAGGTAGATCAACTTGAATCAAGGCCCTAACCTTGGACCCTGTGACTAGGAGAAGAGGACACACGAGCATGACGACGAGCAGTTCTAGAAGTCCCAGGCTAGTCAGACATGGGAAAATGGGCAGGGGAGAGAACGAGATTGTGCATACGAGACACAGACAGCTACAAGTCGTACTCTGAGCCGTTCGAGGTTAGGTCCAAGGACTAATGTGCTTGAAAGGTTGGGCTTGCAGTCCAATGTCCATGCTCATTTGGGCCCACAATGAGCTCGAGTTGGTGAGCAATCTCATGATAAGCGCAACGATCGACACCCACCAGCCCTCTTAAGGACCAACACGAGGCGACAAGCTGTAGAAGAATCCTCACGAGCTCAACTTTATCATCTGCTCCGCGGGCAAGGCAACCAAGGGGATTGACCCTTGGGAGCTGAGGAAGAAGTTAGCTAGTCGTGCTCGAGGCACCTAAGAAGTCAACCCGAGTGACCTTTTTCGCAGGCAGAAGATGTCGATTAACGCCCACCAGCCCATTCGAGGACCAACACGCTGCGGCAAGTTGTAGAGGAATCCTTACGAGCTAAATCTCCTAATCTGCCCCCATGGGCAGGGCAACCAAGGGGATCGACCCTTGGGAGCTGAGAAAGTAGTTAGCCAGCCGAGCTCAAGGCACCGACGACGTCGACCCGAGCCACCAGCCCTGCCGGCAGAAGATGTCAAGAAGCTAGTAAATGATCGACTCCAAGGTCTCCAACTTAAAGGGGAACTCTGACCCTGAGAGCCATTTGAGGCACTTCAAGAGTGTCATGATCTTGTACAAAGCAGACGACGCCCTGATGTGCAAAGTGTTCACGATGACTCTGCGAGGAGTAGTTCAAGACTAGTTCCACACTCTACCGTCCGCGTCGATAGGCAACTTCAAGAAGTTTGTCCTCATTTTCACAAAGGAGTACACCTCATATCGGAAGGTCAGAAAGCATGGGGACCACCTGTTCAACCTGTGCAATAAGCCAAACGAGTCTCTTCGAGACTACCTCAGACGGTTTAAGGCTGAGAAGGGAAACATCATATGATGCAATGACTAGGTTGCATCCTCAGCTTTCAAGAAGGGCTTGCCAATCAAGCACGAGCTATACCAGGAGTTGGCCATAACTTCAAGCCAAACCTTGGCAGAAGTCTTCGTGACGGCAGAGCGCTATGCACTTTGGGACGATGACCATAGTGCTGCGAAGAAAGCCAACATTTACTATCGCATTTACTATCAGATACTCTATTAAAAATTAATTGTGGTATTCTTGGAAATTGCTTTCAAGAAAATCAAATCAAGGATCTAAAGGAGTAAAAAGAGTAGTGGGGGAAAGGGAAAAGAAAAAAAAAAAAAAAAAAAAAAAAAAAAAAACCTTGCTTTGGTTCATATCTATTTGGTGGTTTACTCTTGATTTTGGTTTTCACTAGGAAACATATCTTTAGTTATTTGGTTAGCCTTCAATGAAATTGATTTTGTTTTGGACGTGGGCTTTTCTTCCTAGAGAAGACAAAGTTATATAAAATAAGGCTTGATCTTTTTTTGTTCAGTATAGCTTTTCAACATTAGTTTTGTGTGCTTAAACATTTAAGAAAGCTGCTTTTTTATTTGATATAAATCATCAAGTATTCCATGTTTACTTGGTGATTTATCAAAAACTTTTGTCATTCATAACACATTCATTTGCATAGTTTGGTAACTCATACGATTGAGGGCACCAAGACCGTGGTAGCGGTTTTTTCTCCGGTGAGCTTGAATCGATCATGACTAGTATCAGAATCAACATAAGGAGAGTTGAAAGAACTCCAGCAAGCTTGAAGCAATCATGACCAGTATTATGTTCAACATAAGGAGTGTCAAAAGATCATCCTGCGACAGAAGTTGAGTTACGAAGAAATCGGTAAACATTATCTAGAATGTGTCTAGGATAAGTGTGTGAGTACTTCTTGTAATCATCATTCTATAGTGGATTTATTTTGAATTGAGGAGTTCTGTGGATTTTCCCTAGAGGTCGCATTTTCCCACGTAAAATAATTCTATGCTTATTCCTTTATTTTATGCTCTTCACGTTTCAAGATTGATGAGCCATATCAATCCTGCTTCCGAAGTTTGTTTTTATTTATTGATTATGCATTATTAGTCATCCTACAAGTAATTTCACACACTATAATTAATTAAGATCATTCTTAAAATTAAATAAACAAACAAATAAAAAAAATATGGCATTATATTCATGTGTGAGAAACTTTTTTTTCTCTTAAATGAGCATGATGAAGTCTGATGGTGAGTACAAAGAAACTTAATACCATGTGATGACTCTAGCTCATATAAGAAAAAAGAAAACATACCAAGAGCAATGTCGTGTTGATAACGTGTTATAAAACTAGAGCGAAATTGAGAGAAATAAGAGGAAGAGAAAGACATAGAATTTGTTTTATGAACTTGTATCATTCATCCTTGATAATCACCTATTTATAGGCTTACAACCAAAGGAAATTAACCCATAAATTGTAGGTTAAAGGTACATATTACAATAGTAATACAAAAGGTTATAAACCGTTAAAACTTGGAGGTAATGAATGTTACAGTGGTCATCCACATTCCATATATTTATAACATATTGGTAATATTTCAATTCTTTTAGATTGTTATTCAATTATATATTGTCAAGACGTAGCATTTTACTTAATAAGTTAGTCAAACAATAAAATTCACAAACTCTACAACTTAAGTATTTACATTTAAATCCCCATTGTTGTCCCTGGAGATTTTGAAAATTACACTAAAAAACACACCTAGATTGAAGTTTCAAATTGTTTTCACAAAACCTATATTAATTTTTCCTCAAAAAATTGTTGATGTAATTTTTTTTTTTTCTGAATGACAAAGTTAACCGAAAGATTAGATTGCATATACACCCATGAGACCTAATCATTGAGGATTGTTTTGTCATTTGAAGAAGTTTTTATATTACATCAAACAGCTTTTGGACGGAAAATTAATGAAAGAGATTTTGTGAAAACAAAAAGACATACCTCAAAAGTGTTAGTGTAATTTCTAAAATCTCAAAGGGATTTTGTGAAAACATTTAAAACCTCAAGGCGTGTCAATATAAATATTTCCATTTTTAAAATTTAAATTCTATTATTTTGAACTTTCTCACTACAACGTCGTCCTTAAAATTCCTTAGAAAGATGTGGATTTTTAGCTTTCGCAAGTCTTTGCTGGAGGAGAATTGCTCCAGTATCAAATCTGTTCTAGAACTATAAAACCTAGTTGCTATAGAGCATCTAGTCAAAAATCCACATCTCACTTCAATCTGTCTATACTTGCCGAGAAATTTCGTTAACTTCCAAGTCCGGCTACACCAATTTTATTGAAGTTTCACAATAATTTGAGGGTGACAGGTTTGTGCCAAAAGCAAGTAACCATAATCCGAGGGTGACAGGTTTGTGCGTAGTGCTAAATAAAGAAACTACTGGATAATTTCATTTTGGATAAGTAGATGGAAGCAACTGTTCAGAGCATGGATGGAACTTACACCAAGTCAAAGCATCTAACTTTCGAAGATTATTATTGTATTGGATGCTTACGGTATTGGCTTTCCTTGAAAGTCCTATGAAAACAAATGCACCGGTAAGCCTATAATGACTAAAATGGATTTTAAAAACTAGTTATGTACTGTGAACCGGACGGGTCGACTTAATTAGCAGACAAATTTAAATATTTATAAGATTATATTGTTGGTGTAAATAATCTCACGAGAGAATATTCGCAAATGATTCTCTTTTTTGAGCTCGAACCTCTTCTTCCTCGATCCCTACAAAATAGATTTAGTCAACGGAGCACACCCAGGGGGGTGTTGGCCAAAGACCCTCCGATGCCTAAGTCAATTAAATGGTCTCGGGGAGATTCAAAAATAACTGAAACAATGGAGTTTTCTCTCACATGGCGAAAGGGTGGTGTGAGAGAGGTGAGAGAGAGAGATTTCGGGATTTAAAGGTTAAATTCAGTTATCCAAACAAAAAAACTTTACAAATTCTACATTAATTTCCGTCATTTATGAATTCCCTTGTACTTTTAATTTCCTCATCCAAACACATTGTAAATGACAGGATAATAAAGGAGATTTGATGGAAATCGGATCTTTGATTTGGGGAGATATTCCTATCGTAAATCAAAGATAATAGACTAATTAAATGGATTCAATTAGCACAATTATTTTACCTAAGGAATATTCCTTCATACATGTGTCACCTTGTGATTGGTTGCCAAAATTCATGTTCCCGCGTACATATTTACGCACCAAGTTGAGCAGTTGGGTCCAAGTCGGGAGGTCATAAACATCGATTTTTTGGTAATTAAGTGCAGTGTATGTGTGATGATGTAAAATTGGTGAATGAGCAAGGAGAGGTAAAATGAAAGCGAAAATTGAAAATACTTCCAAGTTCTTTTTAAAAAGAATGGTGATTTTGAAAACTAATTTTCACTTTTTTGAAAATTGTTATCAAACATGTTTTCAGTTTTCAAAAAAAGTGAAAATGAAATGGTTATCAAACGGGAGCTATTTATAAGATTATATGTTTATGCTTAAATTGTAGGATGAATGGAACTAAAACAAAAGTCTAATCAGGCTAGTCTTATGATATAGAATATAGATCATAGGACTTTTGCTGCATCTCCCTCAAACCATTTTTTACCTGCCAGCCAAGATCTTTCTGGGTACAAGTTTCATACATTGCCATCTCTTGGCTATCTTTTTCTCACCAAAATTTTATTTGAAAACGTTTTCTTCAAGCATGCACTTGGGTATTTACACTTGCAGAAGAAAAAGGTACAAATAAAACGTGACATGAAAATGTTCAAAGTACCAGACATGTGAAGAATGGAGAGGACAGTGGCTCAATAAGACGGTTCTAGCTAGGAAATCAACAACCAACATTTCTTTCTTTTAAGCTGAAAAATGGATAGAAATGAAAGGGCTAAGCTAAAAGATTCAAGCAGAAGCAGAATGAAGAACAGATCTATAAATAAGTTTTTTACCCAACAAAGACATATTGAACAAAACAAATAAAACACCTGAAATTCTAATAATCGAATCTTACAGAAATTAAGTAGCATAAATTGACAGCATAAGATTTACACAATAATGACCCCAGGCATCACCAACCAACACTATAGACTCTTGTGTACAAACCAGCTTTCTACATTATGAAACACTTTTTTATTCTTTGGTCGAAAGCATTAAGAAACACTTGAACCAAGGGAAGGGAGACTATTCACTATTTACAGTTACAAGAGTTTGAAGGCTATATACAACAGAAGTGGGACTTTTGTGCCTCGCTCAAGCCCTCTAAGGAGCAGACCTTCCACTCCCACTCTCTCCAATAGGTGATATAAACTTCTGGGATGTGTTCAACTTTCCAATAATCATTTCCTTGTTCATGTGGAAGTAGTGTCCTGATTAATTTTTCTGGCATGTCAGAAAATTTCAGCACCTTAAGTGTGATGAGATGTTCAATGCCTGATGGGACCTTCTCCAGTGATTTACAGCGCTTGATACTTAACTGTTCAATACAAGGCATTGTTCCCGCTTCCACCCGTATGCATCTAAGTTCATCAGATTTATCGAGACCTAGATGCTTGAGCTTCTTAAATCCTCCAGCTCCAAAGCACAGTGTGTCTCCTTCAAACACCTCAGATAGTTCAAGATGTACTAGATTGGGCAAATACTGAAGGAATACAAGTGGATCATCCTTTAACCTACTCCATTTCAAATATAATTTTATGAGGCTATGAAGAGAAGGTATCCAGTGAGGTAATGTCTCCAGTCGTCCACGCAAGTAGAGCCGCTGAAGCAGTAGAGGAGGAGAAGAAAGGTACTCCAAATCAATGATCTCGTCCTCTTCTACTGAAGTTATGGACAATGAGCAAATTTTCGTCAGTTTTTCAATGGATGAACAGAAAGCCTTACCATATTCTTTCCTCATCTTAACAATGCCTAACCTTCTCAACTGAACTAGTTTCCCCAGCTCTATTAATATGGCACCACCATCTTGGTTCCCCTCTATGAAACAGAGCTTTTGAAGGGATGTCAAAGCCCCTATTTTTCCTAGCACCTTAAAACCATATTTTGAGTGAAAATTTTCATGAGGAACAAACTCATAACGATATACCAGGAGATGGCGCAGATGTTGGAGTCTGAGGATTTCAACTGGAAGTTCAGTAACCCAAGAATTTTTCAGATCCAAAGTCTCTAGGTTTTGAAGCTTCCCTATCCAGGTCGGAACAGTTTTTACCCTGGTATCTCTCAAGCTCAGATATTTTAGAAAGAAAAGGTTGACAACTTCAGCTGGGAAAACATTTAAAGGTGTACTTTGCAAATCTAACACATTAAGCAGTGTAAAGCCTGTGGGGAAGAACCTCTGCAGTGATGCCTTCTCAGCAACTCTGAACATAAAGAGGGAACGCAGTTGAGAAGCAGACCTGTATTGCTGTACATATTGTAGTGTGTTATGTATTGACAGGCGCCGGACCTTGTCTGGCCATGGCATATTGTACTCTTTAGCAATTGTGGCAAAGTTCTGATCTCTTGTCTTGGAGGTGATAATTTCGCGCAAAAGGTCATGAATACGAAACTTTTGGACCCTTCCATCAGGTGTTGTCTCCGCTGCTTGAATCATGCTTCTATTCAATAGTTCATTGAGGTAGTCCTCTGCAACATCTTCCAATGTCTTGCTTTCCTTTGTTTCGATAAATCCCTCCGCTATCCATAATCGAATAAGTCTCATATGCTTGATTTGATGATCCTCAGGAAAGATGCTGAGGTACAGGAAACAAGACTTGAGATAGTATGGCAGATCATTAAAACTGAGTGAGAGAACTTTGTTCAAGTCCTTGAGCTTGTCATTGCCTTCAATTTGACCCCCAAGGCAATGGCCAACCATATCCCACTCATCAATCCTGCGTTTGTCTTTGGTAGCCAAAACGCCACTGATTGCCACAATTGCAAGCGGCAGTCCCTCGCACTTTCTTAAAATATAATTGCAGACTTCCTCTAAGTGAGGAGGACAGGAGTTTCCCTGAAATGTCTTCTTGCACAGAAGCTCCCAAGCGTCTGTTAGGGGCAAGGGCTCCAAGTTATAGACTTTACCTCTGGATTCTACGCAGGTTGTAGAGGCTACATCCGCATTTCGTGTAGTGAGTATGACTCTGCTGCCACAAGTATTGTTAGGCAATGCATATTTCAAGGCATCCCATCCGCACAAGTGCCATATGTCGTCTAGAACAACAAGATACCTCCTTTTCTGCAGGACCTCCTTGATTACTGTTTTAAGCAGGTTGGTGCTCATGTTATTGATTCCTTGTGGAACTGGTATTCGAATTGCTTGGTGGAGTTGTTCAATCATGTGCTTGAGGATTTCCCCAAGTTTGAAAGACTGAGTGACAGTGATCCAAGCACGAACTTTGAAATGCTTCTTCACTTGTGCAGCATCATAGACTTGCTTGGCCAAGGTAGTCTTCCCCATGCCTCCCATTCCAGCCACAGAAACTACTTCACGTCCAGAAGAACCCTTGACAAGCCACCCAACCATCTGCTTTATAGGCTCATCGATGCCGACTATATCACTTCTCTCCAAAAGTAGAGCATCTCCTCCTCCTCCATGTGTCTCCCACCATTTACCTGCTACTTCACTTGTACAGAATTTATGGCTCAGTCTCTTATGAACATCAGAGATTTTTCTGATCCTCATGTTTATGCCTTGTAATTGAGAAGCGATGCGGTATCGAGCTTTTGTGTTCTTAATACAGCAAGAGAGCCTTCGGATTGAACCGTACAATAATCCCTGCTCCTCCGTCCCATGATCATGTGCCTGAAGAATTGTAAATTCATCAAGAACATCTTCACTGTCATGAGCAATGTCTCTTACTTGCTTAACCCACACTTTGACTTCCTCATCACTCTCTTCAAATGCATCAGCAATTCTCAGAAAAGCTGTCATGCGCTCTAACTCTCCTCTCAGATACACAATCTCTTCCCTCACCCCTCTCAAGAGTTGCAAGTCATTTTCGAAAAGGGGGGTGAGCTTGTCTAGCAGAAACTTTACTGCACTCTCAGCCATTAATTCTCTCTCTACTAATTGTATCTGTGGTTACCCTTTCTTCCTCAACTGATTTTCATCTTGAGTTCCAATCCAAGTTGGTACACACACACACACACATATATATATATTATATTAGATACCAAGTTGAAGAAGTAACAGTGAAGGGTTGCATGGAATATTCACAGAAATTTGAAGGGTTGTATCTGTGTAATTTACCACCCACGCTGAAGAACAGTGACTGAATGGATTTTAAATTCTCAATTGGAAAGTAATTGGATTGTTCTTTCCAAGTCAGACTTTTAGAAAGTATTTGATACAACATTGTTCTACCCCTTCAAAGAAATCCAACTTTCCAAGAAATTGACTTGTTATTGCATGCCATCGGATGGCTAGCAATAAGCTTTAGATGTCCTTTTCTTTTTTCCTTTTCTTCTCTTTTTTGGTCAAATAGGTTGCATGCTCACAGAAGCAAAGTAACCTTCACATTGAGTGTGACAGGTTCATGCTCATGCTAAAGTTTCCTCTAAACGAATGGAAAGCTATTGAGACCAGGCCACCTAGGTCATTGATTCACTTTCCTAGAAACTCTTATAAAAACGAATGCTCTTGTGACCCTATATAGCGACTGAAAAATTTAATATTTATCCAACAATAAAATAAATATAATTTAGTAAGTTCATATGTCACTGACCATTGAATTGGATAATGCTATTCCATTGCTTCCTTCGTTTTCAGCTCCGTTTCACAGATTTTTGGTAAGTTGAAAGCTTTGTAGGTTCTGTGTGTTTTTTTTCACGAAAACCTAGTAAATGAAGTTGTTTGAGCTTCAATAAGGCGGATCACAGAAGGACACACGGGGCAGCTTGACCCCTTGAACCCCCAAAATCCTCCATGGAAGCTCCAATCTTGACCCTTTGGAGCGTTGGTGGCCAACCCCGGAGTGCCCACCAAGTGTTCGCTGAAATGTCCCGTAGAGAGGGGCCTTCTGTTCTGTTTATGCCTGTAGGCTGGCGTCGTTTACGTTGTTTTTTTGTGATTCTGTTCCATTATAATTTAAACAGTCCATTCTAGGTAAAAGAACCGATCCGAATCCTCTTCTTGGTTTTTCTGCCAATTGACTAATTTACCTAACTTGTAAACATTACCGCGGTCATTGTGTGTCTTTTTTTTTTTTTTTTTTTTTTTTTGTTCGCATAAAGAGAAAGAATTTCATTGATAACGCAAATTACAGAGAATTGATCAACAGAAAAGCCCCCTAAAATGGAGGGTTCTAAAAGATGAAAACATAAATTCAGCACAAAGGCCAGAACAATAAGCCAAAATATTGGCAATTAAACCAGCTCACTAGAAGCCAAACCATGAGGAAAACATAGTAATCCCACCGTGCATAGCAGCCGAATTGGAACCCAGAAGACGCCAATTTGTCTAGGACTCAAGAAGGAGACAGAGCCACCAAGAGAAAGGGACTAAACCAGAGACTCAAGATTTTAAAATGAGATGGGCTAAATTTACCTTACGTACAAAACCTAACTGCAAATTCCTAATTGGTAATTCATAACATTGAATTGAAAATCCCTAGTTTATACTTCATGAACCTTAAAAAATCCCCAAATTTTAGTAAAAATAAATTGAGGAAAGAAAATTGTAAGATTCCACCAATAAAATAATTTGTTTGCTAACATTCCACCAATAAAATATGACCCACCTAGGGATGGCAACGGGTCGGGTAGGGGTCGAGTATGACAATACCATTCCCGTCCCCGATTTCCATCCCTGCCCTAGTCCCCGAACCCATCCTATCCCTGTTTAATAGGTTTCAAGGAATCCTCGTCCCTGTCTCGTCGGGGAACTATCCCCCATACCAGCCCCGAATCCCCCTTTTTTTTTTGCATAAAAAATATTTATCATACATTTTAACCTTAAGTTTCATATTAAATTATCATTCAACACATCCAAATTAACTATAAAGTTCAACTCAACTATTCAAAATCACATCAATATGAAATTTCATAGAAGATTAGGAAGAATTAGGAGAGGGAGGTTAACTTAAGGTTAAACATAAATATTTAATTACATATTTATATATTTAAATATAAACATATATATTTTCAGGTCGGGTTCGGGAATGGGGACACCAATACCATCCCCTCCCCATACCCATCGGGGATTTTTTAAGTTCAGGGATTCCCGTACCCAATACCAGTTTGGCTTCGAAATCTCCCCCCATTTTCAGGTACCCGACGGGAACTCGCCCCCGCAGGGATTTTTGTCATCCCTAGACCCACCAAGAAAATTGAACATGTTGAAGAGCTGATGCGTGAAGTGGGGTAGGCTGTAGGGTGGGTTACATGTGACTTTGGACTGGAAAATAATAAAAGCCACATGGGCCATAGCCCAGGTTAGCCTGTGTTGGGTCCGTCCTTGGCCTAAACACCTAGCTTCCTTCCGACACTCGTTAAAGCGCCAAAGTATCATCTCACTTTATCTAGACTCCCAGACCACATCTTTGAAATTTTCCACATTAGAGAGTGGCTTCTCCTCCAAAAAAGGAAAACCCCAAGCCTCATCAGAGAGTGAAGTCCTCTTACTTGAGGCATAAAAAAAAACCTATTCAAGCCAAATTCCCCACTTGAAGTTCAATGGCTTTGATTAGAGGTTGAGATCAACGAGTGCAACACATTCATCATATCACTAAACCACATGTCATCTCTTCCTATTAGGAGAGCAAAACACTAGTAGTGGCATGCCTAACATACTAAAAGAAGAAAGGCTTGTATTGAGTCAAGCCCATCCTAAGGGCCTAATCCAGCATTTCTTGACCAACAAGCACGCATCGCAGCCAAAATACAGCCTCCAAGATACTTTGGGCATGCAATGCTCACCAAAAGCCCACAGACACTATTGGCACGTACAGTTTCTCTGTTTGAAGTTGAAGGGAGGCTGGAGGGCCCAAAAAGTCCATAAATTTGATGGGTCACTGTGACCTCCTTCTGCTTCTGAAGCCATTTTCATTTTTGAAGTGAAAGAGGACAGTGCTAAACCGTTGCTACACATTTCATCTCTGTAGATTTCAAGAAAAATACTGAAGGAGGACAGCTACTACTTCCACATCACAAAAAAAAGGAAAATGAAATTGTTTTTCATCATATAGTATAAGGGAGGGGATTCGAACACATGAACTCGGGTGCAAAGTAACTGTGTTCGAATGAATACTTAATGAAGCTGACTTTTCACAAACATATATTCTAATGAAACAAATACAATCAATTCATTGTTGAAAATCATTTCCATAACTATATGTATACGCAGTCAAATGAAATTATCCTGTGGTTGCTGGGAGATTGGCTGCAGAGGCAAGGCAACCACAACAGCGACTGCTTACCCTTTTGCATTCATTCATTTAGTAACAACTTGTTTCCTCGAGAGGGACGCATGCAAAATTATAGAATTGAATTCAAAGTATCAGAAAATTGGTGTACACGGAGATGGATAAAATACAATAAATTTAAATTATTGCTAGGAAAATTCCTAAAGGTCAATGATGTGATTGTGTTTATTGGCGGAGACCATTGTGGTCCAGGCCCCCACTCCATTTTTTCCAATTTTATATATATATATATATATATATATATATATATATTGATATGTGATATTGTAATATATTAGACTAGTTTTAGGATATTTATCCTAAAATAAACAATATATTAGGTTCTTATTGTCTACTAATTAACCATTTCTTGATCTCTCATCTACTTATCTCCCTTAAATTTTTAAGGTTAGTTTATGATATTTACACTAAAAACTCCTAAATTTATAACGTTTCTTTCTTTTTATCTTTTGTTTAACTTAAGCTTTGTGAATTTTTTATTTCAGTCCTTTTTTCATGTATGAGTGCATTGGGTACCTTAGTGTTGGGATTTATGAACATTTTTTATTTATTCTTCTTTATGTTGGAATATAAATTTTTAAGTAGTGTAGACGAATTTAAAATATGAAATTCATGTTTCTAAAAATAAATAAAAAATTCATTACAATTATGATTGTAACGAATGTATATATTATTAATTTATATCAAATGATACTATGAAATGGGCCAAAATAAGTAGTTAGTGTCGAATTAGCTTATTAAGAGATTAGCACTTTAACGCTCTCATTCAGATGTGAAGGCCCCCTCTAATATGAAATCTTGGTTTGTGTTCTCTCTCTTTCTCTCTCTATATATATATATATTAAATTAGCTTATTTAAGGGACACCTTTGTAGGGCTCAATCCGTATTGTATTTCACTAATCCAAATCGTCTATTTTGTAGATACTCATTCAAAAATCATCTCTACAAAAAATCACTTGAATCCGATATCATTTGATCACTCAATTGAATTATTAAAATTTTAGTACTTTCTTGAAGCATTGTGTTCATTGATTTTGTAAGAAACAATTGGATATCAAAACGATTTCCAATTTGTCTAATTTTTTGCAAGGATGATCTATGAATATAGACTTAACAAATAGATCGTTTGGATTGTTGAAAAAAAATTCATAATGTACCCTAAAGGATGTCCTTCAAATAAAATATTTGAGGGATCCCTCAGTAGAATGGTACTATATATATGTCAATTCCAACCAATTCCTCAAACAATGTTTAGAATAGGTGTTTATTAACTCAGTCTCGCTTATTTATTAGGTGAAGATCAGATGGGAGAGAGTCACTTTCATCTTACATTCTTCTGTGTAGATAAGATCAACCAATAAGTTATTTTCATTGTTTACGTGTTGTGCCGTCTGAAAAATTCTAGCCATGCTATTCTTGATTTGCAATTGCACACTATGTGTTGAGCATCTTGCTGACAAAATGATCTTGTGGATGAGCTGATCACAAAGGAAAAGACCATGAAGCTTACAAAACTCAAAATAAATTTCATTTTCCAAGTTTAAGCCACTTTCTAGGAAAGCTCCATGGATTTTAAATTAGTGCAATCTGATTGCTTTACCAGGAACAATTCAAAATCCAGTCGCTGTTACTTATTTAACTTGGTTACTTACACCAAAGGCCATCTGCAATTTTTGTGAATATTCTAAGTTGCCCCTGAATTATATAACTACAGATTCTGAGCTGAGAAAATCAGTTGAGGAAGAAAGGGTAATCAAAAGAGTAAAGAGAGAATTAATGGCAGAGAGTGCGGTGAAGTTTCTGCTCGAAAAAGTTGCGCCCCTTTTCGAAAATGATCTGCAACTTTTGAAAGGGGTTAGGGAAGAAATGGTGTATCTGAGAGGGGAACTGGAGCGCATGACTGCGTTCCTGAGGATTGCTGATGCATTTGAAGAGAGTGATGCGGAAGTCAAAGTATGGATAAAGCAAGTTAGAGACATTGCTCACGACAGTGAAGATGTTCTTGATGAATTTACACTTCTTCAGGCACATGATCATGGGGAGGGATTATATGGTTCCATTCATAGGTTTTCTTGCTGCATTAAGAACACAAAAGCTCGATATCGAATTGCTTCTCAGTTACAAGGCATCAACTCAAGAATCAGAAAAATCTCAGAAGTTCATAAGAGACTACGCCACAAATTCAATATGGCTGAACAAGGTTCAGGCTCTTCAACTGCAGGCCATATGTGGGAGGACCACCGAGGGGATGCTCTACTTTTAGAGAAAACTGATATAGTGGGCATTGACGAACCTATAAAGCAGCTTGTAGGGTGGCTTCTCAGCGGTGGTTCTGGTCGGGAAGTAGTTTCTGTGGCCGGGATGGGAGGACTGGGAAAGACTACCTTAGTCAAGCAAGTCTACGATGCTGCAGAAGTAAAGAAGCATTTCAAAGTACATGCTTGGATCACTGTTACTCAGTCTTTCAAATTAGGGGAACTCCTCAAAGACATGCTTCAACAACTCCACAAAGCCATCCGAAGGCCACTTCCACAAGGAACCAGCAACATGAATAACAATCAGTTGAAAACACTGATCAAAGATTTCCTACAGAAAAGGAGGTATCTTATTGTTTTAGATGATGTATGGCACTTGCAAGGATGGGATTCTGTGAAATATGCTTTGCCTAACAATATATGTGGCAGCCGAATCATACTAACTACCCGAAATGCTGATATAGCCTCTACAACCAGCGTAGAATCCGGAGGCAAAGTTTATAATATGGAGCCTTTACCCCAGTTGGAGTCTTGGGAGCTTCTGTGCAAGAAGACATTCCAGGGGAGTTCATGCCCTCCTTATTTAGAGGAGATTAGTAATTGTATTTTAAGAAAGTGTGAGGGACTGCCCCTTGCAATTGTAGCAGTCAGTGGTGTTTTGGCTACCAAAGACAAGCGCAGGATTGATGAGTGGGATATGGTTGGCCATAGCCTAGGGGCTGAAATTGAGGGGAATGACAAACTGAAGGACTTGAAAAAAGTACTTTCACTCAGTTTTAATGATTTGCCTTACTATCTAAAGTCTTGTTTTTTGTACCTGAGTATCTTTCCTGAGGATCATCTAATTGAGCATATGAGACTTGTTCGATTATGGATGGCGGAGGGCTTCATCGAAGCAAAAGAAGGAAAAACATTGGAAGATGTTGCAGAGGACTACCTCAATGAACTATTGAATAGAAGCATGATTCAAGCAGCAGAGACAACATCTGATGGAAGGGTGAAAAACTTTCGTGTCCACGACCTTTTCCGAGAGATTATCACCTCTAAGATAAGAGATCAGAACTTTGCCACAATAGCTAAAGACCAAAGCATGCCATGGCCAGATAAAATTCGACGCCTTTCAATGCATAACTCACTGCAATACGTACAGAAAAACAGGTGTGCTTCTCAACTGCGTTCTCTGTTTATGTTCAGACTTGCTGAGAAGCCATTACTACAAACACTTTTTCCTGGAGGTTTTAGGCTTCTTAATGTGTTAGATTTTCAAAGTGCACCTCTAAGTGTTTTTCCCATAGAAGTTTTCAACCTTTTCTTTTTAAAGTATCTGAGCTTGAAAGATACCAGGGTAAAAACCATTCCAAGCTTTATAGGGAAGCTTCAGAACCTGGAGACTTTAGATCTGAAGCATTCTCTGGTTACTGAACTCCCAGCTGAAATCCTGAAGCTCAAACATCTACGTCATCTGCTGGTATATCGTTATGAATTTGTACCTTATGGAGATTTTCACTCAAAATATGGCTTTAAGGTCCTTGCAAAAATAGGGGCTTTAACTTCCCTTCAAAAACTTTGTTTCATCAAGGCAAACCAAGATGGTGGTGCCATATTAAAAGAGCTGGGGAAACTAGTTCAGTTGAGAAGGTTAGGCATTGTACAAATGAGGAAAGAAGATGGAAAGGTTCTTTGTTCATCCATTGAAAAGCTCAGCAAACTTTGTGCATTGTCCATAACTTCAGTAGAAGAGGATGAAATCATTGATTTGCAGCACCTTTCTTCTCCCCCTCTCCTGCTTCAGAGGCTGTACTTGCGAGGACGATTGGATGCATTACCTCACTGGATACCTTCCCTGCATAGCCTTGTCAGGTTATATTTGAAGTGGAGTAGGTTAAAGGATGATCCACTCTTATTCCTTCAGTATTTGCCCAATCTAGTACATCTTGAGTTATCTCAGGTGTTTGAAGGAGACACATTGTGTTTTGGAGCTGGAGGGTTTAAGAAGCTCAAACATTTGGGTATCAATGAATTTGACGCACTTAGATGCATACAGGTGGAGATGGGAGCAATGCCTTGTGTTGAGAAGCTAAGTATCCAGCGTTGCAAATCATTGGAGAAGGTGCCCTCAGGAATTGAACACCTGAACAAACTGAAGGTGCTTGAATTTTTTGAGATGCCAGAAAAATTAATCAAGACGCTACGTCCACAAGAAGAAGGAAATGACTATTGGAAAGTTGCACATATTCCAGAAGTTTATTTCACCTACTGGAGAGAGTGTGGGTGGGAGGTGTACCCTTTAGAGGGTTTGAATGAGGGAGAAAACTTTCTTCAAACCAGTTCTGTCATGAAGAACCATGAACTTGAAACTCGTTGGAAGTAGTAGTCTTAATGGACTTGAGTTTCATATGTCTGGTGCTGTATATTGTAAATAGCTGTAAATGCTCTTTTAGTTAATTGTAAATAGTAAAATACTTGGTTCATGTATTCTGTAATGCTAGGGGTATCATAGTAATTGTAATTTGTACATTTTCCAGTTATTATTTTGATGCCTATAATTCATGTATAGAACTATGCTGTAAATCTGTACTGCTCAGAGTGTATAATGATTTTTTTCCCTGCAATATCTGGCCGTGTGAATTTTCTAGTGTCATTGAATATCACTTTCAACTATGTTGGTAGTATGGAGATTAAATACAGATGAATGGGAAGAATTAAGATCTTTAAGGCAAAAAATATTGATTTCTGCAAAACAATCTAGAGGATAAATTGGTAAACTGCATTGGCTGCAAAGACAATGAAAGTCAGCTGATCAAAGTTGTGAAAGGATTATGTCTGGCTTCCTTTGCTACCTTTCCCTGGCTCTGCTATTTTTTCGGTTTTTTATTTTACTGTGTGAGTTTCCTCCTAATTATCTGCAACGGTTTTTTTTCCCCTCTTCCATGCTCTTAGAATATTAATTCAATTACCCTAAAAAAAAGATTTAAAAAAGAGACAGAGACAGAGCAAACTGTTCCTGAGTAGTTCACAGTCATGTCCTCAGACTCTTGTGATTATGTACAAATATTTAGTATATGCAAATATAGAATACATTGGTGACCAAATACTGCACCTTATTCTTCAGTAAGTTACATGTTATGAGTATTTAGTATTTACATTCATCTGTACAATGGTGGACAATCTGTAGAAGTTGATTGACTGACTGACTCACAAGCATGATCAGATCTAAACCTTCCATAGCGGACGAAGTTCATGGCATCTCCTGACAGTACCTGCTTGTGAGGTAGCATTTTCTATCTCCTTGAAACTCTCTATTGAATACACATCCCAACCCCCATCCCTCCAACAGGCTGAATAAACATCCGGGACATGTTTAACTTCCCCATAATCTTCGCCTCCTTTTGGCCGCAGTTTCAAGATTAATTCACTTGGCATTTCAAAGAACTCAAGCAACTTCAGTCTGGAGAGGTGTTTAACTCCTGATGGCACCCTCTTCATTGACTTACATCGTTGGATCGTTAGTTTTTCGAGGCATGGCATTGCTCCCTCCTCCACCTTCACGCATCTGAGGTTGTCAAATTTGTCAAGACCCAAAACCTTGAGCTTTTTAAATCCTCCACTCTTGAAAGACAGCATGTCACTATCACAAGCATGAAGCAATTCAAGATGAACAAGATTAGGCAAATCTTGAAGACGAACAAGCGGATCATCTTTTAACCAACTCCATTTCAAAAACAGTTTGACCAAACTATGAAGTGAAGGAATCCAATTTGGCAGCTCTTCCAAACGTCCTGTCAAGTATAGTCGTTCCAGGAACTGAGGAGGGGAAGAAAGGTGTTGCAGATCAAGAATCTCATTCTCTCGCGTTGATTTTACAGAAAATGCACGCAGCTTGGTCAAATGTTCCAGCGACAAGCACAAAGCTAATCCATCTTGTTTTCTCAATTTCATGATGCCAAGCCTCCTGAGGTTCTTCAGCTTACCTAACTCCCTCATTGTCATGCCACAACCATGATCATTTGCCTCAATGAAGCAGAGCTTTTGCAGGGACTGCAAATCTCCTAGACTTGAAGGGGCCTTAAAGCCAAACTTGGAATAAAAGTGTGCATAAGATTCAATCTTAAGACGATAAACCAGGAGATGGCGAAGTTTTTCAAGTTTCAGTATCTCAAGAGGCAATTCAGTGACATTGGTCTTTTTAAGATCCAATGTCAACAGGTTCTGAAGATTCCCTATGCCTCTGGGAATGACTTTCACCTGGGTTTTCCTCAAGCTTAGATAACTTAAATAAAAAAGGTCCAGGATTTCTCTCGGAAACATCTTTAAAGGTGCAGCTTCCAAATCCAACACCTTAAGCAGCCTTAATCCACTGGGAAAATATTTTTGTATGGATGGCCTTGCAACCGGCCCAAACAAAAACAGGGAACGAAGTTGAGGAACTGACCTTTTTGCTTGTACGGTTTGCAATGAATTATGTATGGATAGGCGTCGAACTCTATCAGGCCAGATTGCATTCTGGTCCTTAACTATGGCTGCAAAATTTTGATCCCTTGACTTTGAAATAATGATCTCCCGTAAAAGATCATGGATGCGATAAGTTTTGACCCTCCCATCACTTGTTGTGTATCCCACTAGGATCAAATTTCTGTTCAAGAGCTCCTTTAGGTAGTCCTCAGCTACTTCCTCCAATGTTCTTCCTTGTATAGCCTCTACAAATCCTTCAGCTATCCACAAACGAATCAGTCTCATGTGCTGAATCAGAAGGCCCTCGGGAAAGATACTCAAGTACAAGAAACAAGCCTTGAGATAATAGGGCAAATCGTTAAAGCTGAGAGACAGTACTTTCTTTAAATCTTCAAGTTTGTCATTGCCATGAATTTCAGCTCCAAGACTATGACAAATGAAATCCCACTCATCTATCCTGCGCGTGTCTTTTGTAGCCAGAACACCACCTATTGCCACAATTGCAAGGGGCAAACCCTCACACTTTTTAAGGATACGTTTACATTTTTCATACAAATAAGGAGGACATGGCTTCCCTTGAAAGGCCTTCCTAGTGAACAGATTCCAGGACTTATCTGCAGGCAAGGGCTTCAAGTGATAGACCTTGCCTTTGGATTCTGAACAAGAAGTGAACGCAACATCAGCTTTACGTGTAGTGACTATAACTCTGCTGCCAAAGTTCCCAGTAGGCAAAACATATTTGACAGTTTCCCATTCGTTAGTGTGCCATACATCATCAAGAACAATCAGATACTTCCTTTTCTGCAGAAAGTTCTTAATTATTGCTTTCAATTCATTGCTATTCTTGTCATCCACACCTTCGGGAACTGGCCTCCTGATTGCATAAAAGAGTTCATGAATGATGTCTTTAAGAAGATCTTCTGCCTGAAAAGATTGAGAAACCGTGATCCAAGCACGAGGCTTGAAATGTTTCTTCACTTTCACATCATCATAAACTTTCTTCACCAAGGTGGTCTTCCCCATGCCTCCCATTCCAGTGACTGAAACTACTTCACGTCCAGAGGCACCAGTGACCAGCCAGCTGACCAGTTTCTGTTTAGGCTTGTCTATCCCCACAACATCTGTGTTGTCTAAAAGAAGAGCATCCCCTCGCCGATCATGCCATGTATCACCTGTTGCAAATTAAAACATGAAGGAAGAAAAGAACACGGTGATGCCCCAACTAGTGCAAGAGTATAAGTAATCACATCATTTTCTGTCTTAAGTCAGACAATACCGGTTGTTAAACTTAAAAAGCCAAGATAGCAACTACAAAGCAGGATGAAACCTACTCCTCTTCATGCAACCTTCTAGAAGTGCTACTGAACAACTATTGAGTCCATCATACTGAACAGACGAATTCCATCTATAGCCTAGATGAATTGTAAATCAAATAGTGTAGAGAGGCCAAAAGAAACAAAACATCGAAGATCACTATTAGCTGCCTAGAATGATAATATTTTCAGGTTGAGCTCACTTTTTAAGCAAATAAACCTACTGGTTGTCAAATAATACCTGAACTGGTAAACATTGAACCTTTTGCCGCATTAAGCTTGGGAAGAAGTCTTTTATAAGCTGCAAAAATATGTTGAATTTGGGAGTTGATGCTCCGTAACTGCCAGGCAACCCGGTACTGAGCTTTCAAGTTCTTGACAGAGCAAGAAAGCCTATTGAAAGGAAAATAGAGTTCATAGCCATGATTGTTATGAGCTTGAAGAATTGCAAATTCATCTAGAAGATCTTCTGCATCATGAGCAACATCTCGTACTTGCTTAACCCATACTTTGAGTTCATCATCACTTTCTTCCATTACATCTGCATCCCTCAGAAAGGCTTTCATGCGCTCCAGTTCCCCTTTTAGGTACACAAGTTCTTCTCTAACCCCTCTCAACAGTTGAACCCTATTTTCAAAAAAAGGTGAAATCTTGTTGAGTAGAAAAGTGACTGCACTTTCTGCCATTCTCTCACTAACTCACTCTGTGGAGTCACCATACTTCTTCCATTCCTTTGCAGTCCAAAAGGACTTTTGGAAGTTTGATTGTCTTGTTTATATAGAAATGAAGTCACTTGCCTTCTCGTATAAGCAACTATTATTTTTCAAGAAGAAATTACAACTGGTTTTGCAAATGCTTCATTAACAAGTTATGACGATGGTTAAAAATGATAGTAATGCAGAGTTTGTCTGTGACTTGGTCACCAAGATATTTTGGGAGCAAACATCTAGTTACACATGTGAGCAACTGAGAAAAAACTAAGAGAATAAATCCAGGCTATACGACCAAAGAAATAAAAAAAACAATATCAGAAGTTCAGAACCATCAGTGGCAAGTGTATGGAAGTTTGGTGTCAAAATTTCAGAACAGACAAATGAATGAGCAAGCTCAGTGTGAATGCACAAAACAAGTTGATTAATATCAGAAGTTCATAACCATCAGTGGCAAGTTTATTATGATCAACTGTTAATTAATATATCAATTACCATGTGACGTGAATTAATGTGGAAAAAATATAAGATTGATCTGATATTACTAAACAAAGCAAGACAATACATAACCAATGGGGTGTTAGTTGGATTGGCCCAGGCCTTTGGTGTGCTCCCAAGTGGACCTGGGTTCAAGTCCCCATGGTACCCGTGTGTGTGAGTTTTCCCCCTACCCTTCCTAACTTAGGCAAAAAAATATAAAAACAAGACAATACATAAATCCAAACGTAACTATCATGACAACTTGAGAATCTGGTTTCATGGCACATATATTCTTCTGATGTTCACTTACATGCAATTTGTCAATAGTACATTCACATACGCAACGCTAAGTTCACGTACTCAGTACGAATGCTTCAAGGGTCAAATGTACCAATTAATTGCATCACTTAATGGGTCATGATCACCCAAACAATTGCGGTATTTACATGGTATTTCCCTCTCTGATGATGTATGAACATAACATTAAAATAGCAGTCAAGCATATTCTTGTTCATGAAATTCAGTTCAAAATTTCTGCCATCCATATCATATCCAAGTTGCTTTGTCGGATTCAGGTTTCTAGAAATTTGACTTTTGCTGCGCTCAAATACTTATAATTAAGCAAGCAAAAGAAACAAATTACAATTCAAAATATTTGACTAAAACTTCCTTCATTGTTTTATTGATGAGCTTGCATACTCATCCAAAACTAGACGCCTCTTCACAGGACTAGAGAGGAAAATGCTTCTGTACTTGTAGTAACTTGAGGACGCTACTTATGGAATATTTTATTTTCTATCTCAGTCAAAGATATTAGATATGCAGAGACTTCCTAGCCTTTGAATGTCTGAGTTAAAAATTGCTACACTCAATCACCTTTGCACAAGCTACTATATGTTTGCGCTTAGTATACAAATGGAATATGACACCTCAAAGATACTCAACGAAGAGAGAAGTCATTTTAACAGAACGGAGTAAAGCACATCGAGAAAGAAATTTACTATAGAAGACATCTGTGTCTCTGCTGTATCGAGTGCTCGCACGCATACTCTTGTGTCTGCATGTTATGTACATGTATTTTCAGTAGAGAAAAATCATATACCACAAAAGTGACCAGATTGTGTTATAAAAATTATAGTTTTCCTTTTCCGTAAAGCCAAATACAAAAACCTTTATATTATAAATAACATATAAACAAAGGAGATTAACCCTCTCACCTATCCTATGAATTACAAAGTTTAACTCACAGCCCAAATCTCAATTACACCCAAGTCACTCTCAAGCTAACTGCACACAAGAGCCAAGAACACAGGGATTGTTCTTGTGCTATGTTTCCTATAGGGAGAAGCGATCAAAATATCAAACTACATACTTCATAGAGTGTCTAACACATCCGTGCCTAAGACATCTTTCAAAATTTAGACTACCAGAAAGCCTAGCCTGCGACATCTTCATGTACGAGGTTGCAAGGCTGAAGCTAGAATCTGTAACCCTCAAGAGAAAAAGCTCGATCCTAAAACGATCAGCTGTCATTTCATAGGTTATCCTGCAAGTTCAAAGGTTTTAGATTTTATTGTCCAAATTATGATACCCAAATTGTTGAGACTGGTTGTGCAAAGTTTATAGAGTATGAGGAGAATGCTACTGGGAATGAAGATTTTACTTTTGAAGAAGAAGGGGATGTGTGGTTGTGATTGAGAATGCTGAACCAGATCCTACAACATTGATTCCCATGGTTGATATCGCACCAGCCCCACATAATGATCAATTGGAGCCTCCACAGTTCGAAGAACCAGGTGACCAACAAGAAGAACAACAACTAACCAATTTGATTCAATGGTTAAGAAATTGGCCTCATCCAAAAATCCAGCAAGCCACTGAAGCCCATGTACAATGATTTGCTATGCTATTGCTTGCCTATTACATATAAAATAAATTAAGTTCTTTTCCCAAATGAAAGAAGTGTGTTTCAGAGTTGCAAAGCTTATATGTTAAATTTTAGTTGTGGAGGAATGTCAACCCAACTCTGGCGCAGTAGTTAGGATCACTGTGTAACCTCCTTAGGCTCTCTCAGGAACTTCCTAAACCCTAAAACAATCAATGGATGTTATCCAAAAACATTGAAGAAGAAAAGAAAATTTGCTCTATAGAATATGAATTACTTACTAGCAAGAAAAGTACAGAGGGGGGAAAATGAACCTTAATAGCAAGTATATTCCTTTTGGGTAGAGAAAAGATATAAAAGAAAACAAGAATTGAAGTTATAAGATTCATATGTTTGCAGTAGTAGGAAGCTCAATTCTGATAAAACATGCTTCCAGTGATTCTATCATTTGCAGTTAGTAATTATAAGGCAGAACCAAAAGCTAAGCCTTCCATAGAATATTAGGTTCCAGCCTCCTCATGGCAGAAGTAGTACCTTGATGACTAGTACTCTCCCCATCAGTGATCTCTAATGAATAAACATCCCAACCCCCAACGTTCCAATAGGAAGAGTAAACCTCTGGAATGTGAGCAACTTTCCAACGATCTTCCCCGCCATCTGGATGAAATGGCCTTATTAATTCGTTTGGCATGTCAAAAAATTCGAGCAGCTTTAGGTCTTGTAAATGTTCAATGCCTGATACCTTCTTCAACAATCTGCACCGCTGGATAATTAACTTTTCTAGGTAAGGCATTGCTCCCTTATCCATGATTACAAATTTCAGTTCATCTAGTTTGTCAATACCCAGTAACTTTAGGCTTGGAAACCCTCCTGCCTTAAAATGCAAACAGTCTCCCTCATAAACCTGAAGGAGTTCAAGATGTGCTAGATTTGGCAAACCTTGAAGATGCACTAGAGGATCCTCCTTTAGCCGACTCCATTTCAGACAGAGTCGCACCACGTTCTGGAGAGAAGAAATCCAATGCGGTAAGTTTTCTAAACGCCCCGTCAAGTATAGTCGCTGAAGAAATTGAGGAGGACAAGAAATGTGTGTCAGATCAATTATCTTGTCCTTCTCCACTGAAGATACAGACAATGACCGAAGGTTGCGCATCTTTTCGATAGATGAGCATAAGGTGACCCCATCTTCTTGTCTCAACTTGAAAATGCCTAACCTCCTCAGTTGATTCATTCTCCCAAGCTCTGCCACTAAAGCGCCATTGTCTTGATTTGCCTCTACAAAACACAGCTTTTGGAGCGATTGTAATCCACATATTCCTGCAGGAACCTTCACTCCATATCTGGAATTAAATCGTGCATAAGATTCAACTTCGAAGCGATATACCAGGAGATGTCGCAGTCGCTTGAGATTCAAAATTTCAGCAGGCAACTCAACGACATGAGAGTGTTTAAGATCAAAGGTCTCTAGGTTTCGAAGCTTCTTGATGGAGCTTGGAATTTGTTTCACCCTGGTACCCCTCAAACTAAGATACCTGAGCAGAAGAAGGTTGACAACCTCTTTTGGAAACGTCTCTAGAGGTGCACCTTCCAAGTCTAATACAGTAAGCAGCGGAAGACCTCTAGGAAACAATTTTGGTATTGAAAACTCGGTAAGTGAATCTTCTACCCCAAAAATGAGCAACGAACGAAGTTTGGAAGGAATCCTCTTTTGTTGTACATTCTGCAACGTGTTAAAAATTGATAGTCGTCGAACTTTTTCAGGCCACATTGTGCCTTGCTCTTTCTCTATAGCTGCAAAGTTTTGCTCTCTAGACTTCAAAACAACAATCTCCCGTAAAAGATCATGGATCCGACATGATTTGACCCTCCCATCGGTAGCTATTTCTTCTGCTTCGATCAAACTTCTGTCCAGTAGCTCCTTAAGGTAACTCTCTGCAACTTCTTCTGGTGTCTTTCCTTCCTTCTCAATAACAAATCCTTCAGCAATCCATAATCGAATTAATCTCATATACTCGAATTTATAGAGATCAGGAAAGATACTCAGATACAAGAAACAAGATTTGAGATGGTATGGTAAATCACTGAAACTGAGATACAACAACCTTTTCATGTTGTCAAGTTGGTCATTTTCCTCAATTTCAGCACCAATACTGCCACAAACGGCAGCCCAATCTTCTATGTTTTTCTTGTCTTTCATAGCTAGAACAGCACCGATTGCCACAATTGCAAGGGGCAGTCCCCCACATTTGCTTAAGATGCATCGACAGATTTCCTCCAAATTGGGAGGACATGACTCTTCCTGAAATGTCTTCCTGCAGAGAAGAGTCCAAGACTCTTCTGGAGATAAGGGCTCTAAATGGTAGACCATCACGTGGTTGTTCATGCAAGAGGCAGAGGCTACAGAGGCATTACGAGTAGTGATCATTACTCGACTACCATAGTTGTTAGGCAATGCATGATTGATGACATTCCAGGCATCTATGTGCCAAAGATCATCTAGAACAATCAGGTACTTACTGTGCTGCAGCAATTTTTTTATTCTTTCTCTTAGCTGGTTGGTGTCCATCCTATCAACTTCTTCAGGGACTGGTTTCCTGATAACTTTGAAGATTTTTTCAACTATGTGTCTTAGGAGCTTCTTTATCTTGAATGATTGAGAAACAGTGATCCAAGCATGTACCTTGAAATTTTTCTTAACTCTTGCATCCTTATAGACTTGCTTGGCCAAGGTGGTTTTCCCCAGCCCTCCCATCCCAACGACCGCAACTGCCTGGCGTCCAGCATCGCCACCCTCCTGCATAAGCAACTCAATCAGCTGCCTTTTAGGTTCGCCTATTGCCACAAGATCAGCCTCTTCCAGCAAAAGAGCATCCCCTTGACTGTACTGAGGTTTACGAACCTTGCTTGAGCCAGGGTCAACATCAAGTTTGTAATTCTGATGTCCCTCAGAGAGGGTTCTGACTTTTGATTTTATGCTTTGAATATCAGTAGCAATTCGCTGGCGAGCTTTCAACTTGTTAAAGATGCAAGAGAGCTCATGAAGGGAAACATGGCATCCAGGCCTATGATAACATGAATGAGAAAGCCTGAATATATCAAGCGCATCTTCAATCTGATAAGCCACATCTCTAACTTGTTTAACCCACACTTTGAGCTGGGGGTCACTGTCTTCCTTTGCATCAGCAACCCTTAAGAAGGCCTTGATGCGCTCTAACTCCTCGACGATGTCCTCCATCTCTGCTCGGGTCCCTGACAGTAGTCTCACCTCATCTTCTATTATGGAGGCGAGCCTGTCAAGCAAGAAGCTCACCACACTTTCTGCCATCTCCTCTCCTGCTGCTACTGCTGCTACTGCTGCTAGCTAGTGCTTTAACTTTTGGGTTGAAACTTGACACTGAAAAGATGAAAGAGAAGAGTGGTTGCTAGAATGATGTATTGATAATTTTGTATGATATAGTTTGATATTCTTGAATGAAATTGTTTTATGTGGATCAAATGGCCTTCCCTTTTATCCTTTAATTTCTAGCACCAGGACCAGGACCAACTGTTTAATTCTACCACAGAAATGGTCAGATTGATCATTTTGTTCTTCTCTACCTGCACTGCACTTGTCAATTTTTTTCATCAGACTCATTACCTTGTAGTTTCCTCATTTCTTTTTTTCTTCCTTCGTAAATAAATCATTGAATATAACAAGTGGCGTGACTGATAAAACAACGTGTTGCCACATATAACAGGAACAAGTTGACTGGTATAAATTTCATAACAGTGCACGGGATTGTGTTGATTTAAATCTAACGGCTCAAAGTCTTTGTACCTGAATGTTTAATTTGTTCCACTCAAAAATCATCAGCAGTCAGCATCCATCTCTGTCATTTCATTAATCTGAATCAGTCTGCAATCCGCTGCAGCAACTCGTACCTGAATGAATATAATCCCTTATGATTTTCCCAAATAAATAAACTTAACATGAAATTTGACGATTTGACGATTGCATCACATTTCCCAGCATTCCTCTCCATCTAAGGCTTAGATTTTAAGGCCGATTTAACCACACAAAAATTGAGCATGAACGTTCATAATCTTAGTGAGGGTTTTTATGTCTAATGGTTTCTGAATTTTGACCTAATTCGCATTTTGGTCCCTCAATTTTCAAAATTGTTTCCGTGGTCCTTCAATTTCAGTTTCGTTAGGAAAAATGGTCTCACCCTCACCATCCCACCCAATCCCAAACCTTCTTTCCCCAAGAAAGAAATATTATCTTTTTATTTAAAAATATATATATATATATATATCAACAAAATCGAATATATGATATAAAGTGAGGGGCAAAAGCCATGGCAAGGAGGGTGGGTATGGTTTGGATGGGGTTGTGGGTTGTTGGTTGTGGGATCGCCATCAGTTGTTGTCGGGGTGGGTTAATTGGCTCGGTGTCTGGTGGAGGTTGTACTTGGTTTTGTTGGACTGGAGGAAGGGAGATATATCATTCCTCGATTGTTATGAAAAATTTGTTAATTCTCATAACAATAGCAAATTCCTATATGGCACGAAAATAACCAAACAAAAAACACAATCAAAGAAAAAACTCTAACAGTGTGTTTGGATGCGGTAAAATAACTCGGGATTTTAATAAAAGTCGGGATTTGGAGCGTGGAAAAGGGAAAGTTCAACGTTTGGCAAAACCAACTCAGGATTTGCCAAATTACACGCTGAAAATATTGTGGGAATTGCACATCTAAAATCGCAAGTTGAAATTCCATGGTAATAGGCAGAATTGTACAATTCCCAACAGAGAGGAAATTTTCATCTTCTGCCTGCCAAATCTCCTCTATAACCTATCTTCTGCCCGCCAAAATATTCATCTTCTGCTTGCCAAAATTTCAGGAATAACCTATCTTCTTCAAAGAGAACAAGCCTGCGAGCCATGGGTATTCTCTTGATGGTGTTCTACTAAGTTTTCTGGTGAGTTTCAGTTTTCAATTTCTTTCCTTGTCGTTGGCCTCTTTTTTGTCTGCTATATTGATTCTTTTCTTCCATGGAACCAGGGTTCTGCTTTTGTTTTATTTCTCCTCTCTGTCTTTCAATCTGACAAGAAGATTTGCTCTTTCAATCAAGGTAAGAGTCTCAACTATCCAGACTCATATTTCTCTGTTCTTCCCAAACTCATCTTTCTATGCTCTTCCCATGGCTGTACTTGCTAATTTTGAGTTCTCTAGTTTTCCTTTTTCAATTAATTGAATCTTGTTTACAAGATAATAATTCTCTGTTGTTCTCCTTGTACTTGGCCCTGCTATGGGCTTGGTTGTGCTTTATATGTTATATTCCTATTGGTATTGATCGTATTGTTGATTAGTTGGGATTGAAATGGTGGTCTAATTGCATTTGGAGCTTACAATATGTGATTTTTCCTTTTCTTTTTTGTTTTTTGGTTGTTATTGATGCTATTGAATCTGGAGGACCCATTTATTGCTTTTCTAAAGTTAACTCTTTGTTTGTTTGTTTTTTTCTTTTTCTTTTTGTGGGTTTACAAGTACATCTGTGATTGTTTTATTACAAATTTATAAATAAACCCAATCCTAGACATGTATTTATTAAAAAAAACCCAAACACTATTTAAACATAGAAACACACCCAAAATCAACAATTGTATATTTTTGGGTGTGTTTATCAATGGATTTTGAGTGTGTGTAATGATGGGTTTTGGGTGTATTTATAAAGTGTTTTGGGTGTTGGGTTTTTTTATAATTTCAGCCCCCATTTTGGATGTTTTAGTGAAACTCCCTTGTTTTATTTCAGTTTGTAAGTGGTGAAAAATATGCTGGGTTTATATGTTTTGTGAGAGTTGGTTTTCTGTTTCAATATCACAAAGAAGGTGGGAAAGTGTTAAAATTAGTATAAACGTTGTTTTCAATCACATTGCATATTGGTATCAGAGTACTTATTAAATGCAAATTTTGGACTTTGTTTTGTTCCTTTGGTTTTGGTTCTTTATTTTCATTTGTTTTAGTTGTTTGGGTTCTTCCCTGGTGTCCTTTATTATTTATGGGCTATTGGATGTGTGTTAGTTGTAACTGATAATGATTGCAGTCAATGTTTGACATCTCCTGGAAGTTTGAATGTGCTTAATACTGGTTATATATGGTGAGCCACTTTACCTGTATGTAAGGTGGTATTTTGATTCTCATTGCATAAAGTCACAATTGTCATGCTTGCCTAATTATATTTTGGTCTCAGTAGAACAAAAACCATGAATGGAATAGAAAGATTATGTGGCAATTCTTCTCCTTAACAAAACACTAGGTAATGGCTGGAGTTGGGAAAGATTATAATCAATTTACTTCTCAAGTGTTATCCAAGTGCTTTTTGAAAAAGATCATAATCAAGTTGAAACTAAGTTTTCGACGAAGCTACTTCAAGCACATTCTTGCCATTTTGAGCTGTAACCTGTAGTATTATTAGATCTATCTATATGGTTAAGTTTTCGACGAAGCTACTTAATTTTCTGTATTTGATTTGATATAAAAGAAGCAACATGCAGTATTTGATGAGTCAATGTCAATATGCAAAATAATGACATCTTTAACTTAGGATAAATGTTAAAATAAGGATAGACGTTGTATTCAATCACTTTGCATATTGGTCTCAGAGTACTTAACTTTTTAAATGCAGAGTTTGGACTTTGTTTTGTTCCTTTGGTTTTGGTTCTTTATTTTCAATTGTTTTAGTTGTTTGGGTTCTTCTCTGGTGTATTATTTCTGGGCTTTTGGCATGGTTTGCCATTGTGTTCTAATCAGTGTCCAATACCCATAATGACTAAATTTTCTGCATTTGATCTGATATAAATTTCTTTCTAGTTAAGTAATGAGACTGCAATGCATTTGGTTTAATTTGCTTGTCAGGTTTGATATCATAGAATTGTGTGGATCATGTAATCCCTTAATTTGGTCATTCATTTGTATTTATTTAATTAGTCTTCAGTCTTTATGCAGGGGGATATGAGGATGCTGACATATTTGGTTCTTTTTTGGTATCTTGCTAGCCTCTGTTTTTACGTGTGTTGATGCCGAGTCATATTTTTTTTAGGTGAAGTAGATTGCTTACATAATAAAATTATACACATATAAACAGGCATGGCTAGGGATGATGTAGATAACTTTTTGGCCCATTTAAGTCGCAAGCATGCTAGAGACGAAGAAGAAAATAAGAAGAAAATGACAATTATTCTTAGTACCATTACATGTATCATTGCCATTGTTGGAGCATGGTATAATGAAAATTATTTGGTTAAAGAGCCTTCACGTGATTGGGATGAAGAAAGGCGATGTCGCTTAAATCGTTTGTATAATGGGAAGGAAGTTGATTGTATTGAACAACTACGAGTTAGCAAGAAAGCATTTCAAAGTTTGTGTACTATTTTGCATGAAAAGGGCGGATTGGTTCGGACAAGAAATGTTTCAAGTGAAGAATCTGTTGCTACCTTTTTAAATATACTTGCTCATAACTTGAAGTTTAGGGTCATCGGTTTTGACTATTATCGTTCTAAGGAAACCATTAGTCGGCAATTTAATAGTGTGTTGCGTGCAATGATGAGAATTAGTCAAGAATATTTGAAACTTCAGCCATGTGATATTGGTGGTTCAGAAAGAGAGAAGTGGAAGTGGTTTGAGGTAATCTTATAACTTTAGGAAAACTATGTTCTTGTTATAATGTTACCACTTGTTTTAAAATTATTTTTGTTTTTTCTTCTTCTATGTCATTAGAATTGTATTGGGGCACTTGATGGAACTCATATTCCAGTAACGGTGTCTGCTGAGAATAGACCAAGATATCGAAATAGAAAGGGCGATATTTCCACCAATGTTTTAGGAGTTTGTGATCCATATCTAAAATTCATCTATGTACTATCTGAATGGGAGGGTTCTGCTTCTGATTCTCGTGTTCTGCGAGATGCTTTGGCCAGGGATAATTCGTTTCAAGTTCCAAGTGGTAATTTTTTATACTAGTTGCTAAATAATCAAAAACTTAGGTATAAATAACTAACTTTTGTTTTAAACTTTTTATATTGTAGATAAGTACTATCTTGTGGATGCCGGATATGCTAATGGACCTGGTTTTTTAGCACCTTATCGAGGAACTAGATATCACTTAAATGAATGGATTGGAAACAATCATCCCGAAAATTACAAAGAGTTATTTAACTTGCGTCATTCAATTGCAAGGAACGTAATTGAAAGGTCATTTGGGTTGTTGAAAAAGCGATGGAGTATACTACGTACACCTTCATTTTTCAACATAAAAACACAAACTAGGATTATAAATGCATGCTTTGTGTTGCATAACTTCATTCGAATCGAGCAACACAATGACCATGTGTTACAAGATCAAGATCTGGAGTTTTTAGCTTCTGTGGAGCATGAGATATCAAATCATTCTACAGTAGAGGGTAACGCAAATAGGATTACAAGTGTTCAAGTCACTGATCAATGGACTACTTTCCGTGACACATTAGCAATGCAGATGTTTCTTGATTATCAAGCACGAGGCGCCACTAATTCATGATTTTCAGTCATTATATATTAATTGAGTTGGAACTGTCTCAAGTTAAATTTATGTATGGAGTTGTAAACATTTGAATCTTGTTTTTTCTTATCAGTTTTAATAAATGTGTACTCTTCTTTATTGATCATTTATTTCGTATTATTCAGCTTTATGTGTCTATTTTGTTATATATGTTTTTTTATGCAAATATATGTTGATCATATTTATTAATATTGTTGTTATAATCATTTTAAATACATAAGATGGCAGAAAAAGTAAACAAAATAAAGCAGAGGAGAAGAAAAGACAAGCAAATTAATGACGCGGAATGAGATGACAAAGCCTATTTTCAATGGAATATACAAATGGAGCGTTCATTAGCGGATATACTTAGAGAAGAACGTCAGATCGGTCACAAAGGAGATGGTGGTTGGAAAGCAATTGCTTATAACACAGCTACTGCGATATTGTCTGCACAATTTGATATTGAAGTAAGTGCTGATAACATAAGAAATCGTGTTAAAACCTGGAAAATGTTTTATGGTATAGTCAGTGATATATTAAGTCAGAGTGGATTTAATTGAGATGCAACAAAGAAGATGATAAGTGTAGATGAAGACAATGTTTGGGATGAGTACGTGAAGGTAATTTATAATGCAATTGTATCTTTTTGAATTACTAAAATTGTGGTAAATAACATATGGTTAACTTTGATTTTTTGCTTGATAGTCTCATGAAGATGCTAGAACTTTTCGATTTAAAGTGATTGCAAACTGGGATGATATAGTGGATTTATGTGGCAAAGATAGAGCTACTGGAGAGGGTGCTAAAACATGTGCAGAAGCTGCTGAGGTTATGACTCCTGAGAGTGATCCCAATAATATTGTTGATTTGGAAAGTGATACCCAAGGTTTTGAGAGTTGTCAAGTTGATGATGTTTCACCCAGCTCTAGTTGTCCAAAGAGAAGAAATCAAAATCCTTCTGATATTCCCCCACCAAAAAAAAAGAGGTACAACTAATATTCTTGCTGATTCAGTGGCTAAGATGGCTTCATCTTTGGAACACTTTATCAATTCTACTACACAAAAGCTTGATCCAACAGAAGTATATAATGAAGTCATTGTAATTCCAGATCTTAGTCCAGATGAACAACTAAAGGCAATGTCTTGGTTTATAGAAAATGAGAAGCAGTTTCTCATGTTAAAGACAATTCCAACTGAGAGAAAGAAGGGAATGGTGTTGATGTTTATTTCACCAAGAGCGTAGACACGTTTTATATTCAGTTGACATCTTTAATTTTTGCTATTTTGTTGAAACATTGGTTGGGATGATTAGCTTCATTTTTTTAATTACGTGATTTATGTTTTTTTTTAATTAGACAAGCTACAGTTGCAATTCTTTACATTAGTAACAATTGAGGTATGTGTTGTTAGACAATTTTTGTACTGCGCGGGTCTTTCTAATTATATATATAATAATAATGTGTTGAACTATGCTAATTATTCCTATCCAAATTTTATATACAAGACTATTGTAAAAAAAAATGTTGTTGGTTCTAAGTAAATTCTAATTCTGTGATGTTTGGAATTCTGTGATGACTATCCAAACATGTGAAATTGTAATTTCTGTCATTTCTTAAATTCCGCATATATGACATCCAAACGCTGAAATTTGCAATTGACGGAATTTTTAAATGATGTAATTGGAAATTCCGTCATTTACAATTTCCATGGAAATTAGAATTACTTCATCCAAACACACCATAAAACTACCCTGAATACTGTTTTATGCAGTGAATATATTTTAGGGGTTTTCGGTGTCTGTTTTTAACCCAAAAAACCTTTCCGAATGGGGAAGGGGGTAACTAACAGAACTCACAACTATGCTGTTATATAACACCATTTTTAGGGTTTTAAGGTCATCTGATAGGTCAAAAACGGGTTTAAAGTTTTGAAGACAATTAAAACATTTTTTTCCAAATTCTTTAATATTCATAGTATTTAGAAACATGTTTAATCTGTCATCGAAATTTTAAACATAACCAAAATAATCATGGCATCAACGAATAAAGAAATCGCAATAAGCATGCTTGAAAACGATCTCAATGTGTGTGAATAACCATGTGCTATGATACCAACTGTTAGATTTTCTGTATATGTGTTCATGATCTTTTACACAACCTGAAATACATAAAAGACATACATGGAGTCATCTTCCTTGAATACACGATCTCTGAATTCATCCAATTGCAGCAGCAGCAGCAGCACGAGCAAAAGACACGAACAGCTTAAGACTTCTGCTCTCTCTCAGAAACTATTTCAACTCTCTCTTTATAATGATATTAGGGTTAGAGAACATGTCTAACGAGAACAGGGTCTTAACCTTATATAGGACTAGGTCAAGTCGTCTCTACTCATCATCAAGAGCCGGCTTGACTAACACTCTAAGTCTATCAAGCAACGGTTCACGCAAAAGGAAATAAATAGGACCCCTTTAATTGGCTTCAAGACTTTCCTTATTTCGTAAAGTCTTGGGCTCCAAGGTATAATCTAATTTAAAACTCCTATCAAACTTAATATAACTTAGTATCTAGTGCACCGATCTAAATAAGAATATAACAATCTTGCCTTTGACAATGAACTCAGCCACTCTGTTATGGTAAATTTATACACCTCCAAAGCATCATTGCAGAAAATTTATACACCTCCGAATACGTTACTTGGCAAATTATTTCTTTTTAAATTCCTCCATTCCTATGCACTTGTGTTACTAAATAATGTTATATTCAATTTGACTTGTTACTAAATAATGTTGTTGTATTCAATTCACTTTGAATAAATCTATGTGTCATTATATTATTGGCCAAAGAATTCTTTCTCCCACATTTCAAATCCATAAAAACAAATATGCAGTCCTAAATTGTCACAATTTTTTTCTATTTCCCTCTGAACATATTAACTTTTATTTAGTAAATTAAGAATACGAATTATTATTTTTTTAGCCAATACGCCCCTACCGTCACTTTTTCCCACATTTCATTGATTTTTTCCTTGAAACGAAATCACATGGTATGCACGTGACTCTTTTGAGGGCAAATTTGTTAGAACCTTCTTCCTATCTCTATTCCAATCCAAGGAAACGTGGAAGATCATTTGTATGAAGTGGCGAGGAAAGTCAACTAGCCATATAAAATGGAGATATTGCTAACATTGTGAGAATTGCTGGTAAGCAATGGAAGGAGAAATTGTAGAATTTACTTGGCTTTCAAGGGTTGATGGATAAAGTGATGGCTACATTACATTCTCTATTGGGCCTCAACCTTTCAGAGGCATTAATGAATGAACTGCTCCTCTCTCTGTGCCAGTCTTGCTTGAGAGTTCTACAGTGTGGAGGCCCTTAGATGAGACCCTATTTCTTAATTGTTGGATTAAACTAACCAATTTGATCCAACGACTAACCAATTTGATTCAATGATTAAGAAATAAGACCTCATCCACAAATCCAATGTACAATGATTTGCTACGCTATTGCTTGCCTAGTTACATATAAAATAAATTAAGTTCTTTTCCCAAATGAAAGAAGTGTGTTTTAGAGTTGCAAAGCTTAGATGTTAAATTTTAGTTGTGGAGGAATGTCAACCCAACTCTAGCAGCAGTTAGGATCACTGTGTAACCTCCTCAGGCTCTCTCAGGAACTTCCTAAACCCCAAAACAATCAATGGATGTTATCCAAAAACATTGAAGAAGAAAAGAAAATTTGCTCTCTAGAATATGAATTACTTACTAGCAAGAAAAGTACAGAGGGGGGAAAATGAACCTTAATAGCAAGTATGTTCCTTTTGGGTAGAGAAAAAGATACAAAAGAATACAAGAATTGAAGTTATAAGATTCATATGTTTGCAGTAGTAGGAAGCTCAATTCTGATAAAACATGCTTCCATTGATTCTATCATTTGCACTTAGTAATTATAAGGCAGAACCAAAAGCTAAGCCTTCCATAGAATATTAGGTTCCAGCCTCCTCATGGCAGAAGTAGTACCTTGATGACTAGTACTCTCCCCATCAGTGATCTCTAATGAATAAACATCCCAACCCCCAACGTTCCAATAGGAAGAGTAAACCTCTGGAATGTGAGCAACTTTCCAATGATCTTCCCCGCCATCTGGATGAAATGGCCTTATTAATTCGTCTGGCATGTCAAAAAATTCGAGCAGCTTTAGGTTTTGTATATGTTCAATGCCTGATACCTTCTTCAACAATCTGCACCGCTGGATAATTAACTTTTCTAGGCAAGGCATTGCTCCCTCATCCATGATTACCAATTTCAGTTCATCTAGTTTGTCAATACCTAGTAACTTTAGGCTTGGAAACCCTCCTGCCTTAAAATGCAAACAGTCTCCCTCATAAACCTGAAGGAGTTCAAGATGTACTAGATTTGGCAAACCTTGAAGATGCACTAGAGGATCCTCCTTTAGCCGACTCCATTTCAGAAACAGTCTCACCACGTTCTGGAGAGAAGAAATCCAATGCGGTAAGTTTTCTAAACGCCCCGTCAAGTATAGTCGCTGAAGAAATTGAGGAGGACAAGAAATGTGTGTCAGATCAATTATCTTGTCCTTCTCCACTGAAGATACAGACAATGACCGAAGGTTGCGCATCTTTTCGATAGATGAGCATAAGGTGACCCCATCTTCTTGTCTCAACTTGAAAATGCCTAACCTTCTCAGTTGATTCATTCTCCCAAGCTCTGCCACTAAAGCCCCATTGTCTTGATCTGCCTCTACAAAACACAGCTTTTGGAGCGATTGTAAGCCACATATTCCTGCAGGAACCTTCACTCCATATCTGGAATTAAATCGTGCATAAGATTCAACTTCATAGCGATATACCAGGAGATGGCGCAGCCGTTTGAGATTCAAAATTTCAGCAGGCAACTCAACGACATGAGAGTGTTTAAGATCAAAGGTCTCTAGGTATTGAAGCTTCTTGATGGAGCTTGGAATTTGTTTCACCTTGGTACCCCTCAAACTAAGATACCTGAGCAGAAGAAGGTTGACAACCTCTTTTGGAAACGTCTCTAGAGGTGCACCTTCCAAGTCTAATACAGTAAGCAGCGGAAGACCTCTAGGAAACAATTTTGGTATTGAAAACTCGGTAAGTGAATCTTCTACCCCAAAAATGAGCAACGAACGAAGTTTGGAAGGAACCCTCTTTTGTTGTACATTCTGCAACGTGTTAACAATTGATAGTCGTCGAACTTTTTCGGGCCACATTGTGCCTTGCTCTTTCTCTATTGCTGCAAAGTTTTGCTCTCTAGACTTCAAAACGACAATCTCCCGTAAAAGATCATGGATCCGACATGATTTGACCCTCCCATCGGTAGCTATTTCTTCTTCTTCGATCAAACTTCTGTCCAGTAGCTCCTTAAGGTAACTCTCTGCAACTTCTTCTGGTGTCTTTCCTTCCTTTTCAATAACAAATCCTTCAGCAATCCATAATCGAATTAATCTCATATACTCGAATTTATAGAGATCAGGAAAGATACTCAGATACAAGAAACAAGATTTTAGATGGTATGGTAAATCACTGAAACTGAGATACAACAACCTTTTCATGTTGTCAAGTTGGTCATTTTCCTCAATTTCAGCACCAATACTGCCACAAACGGCAGCCCAATCTTCTATGTTTTTCTTGTCTTTCATAGCTAGAACAGCACCGATTGCCACAATTGCAAGGGGCAGTCCCCCACATTTGCTTAAGATGCATCGACAGATTTCCTCCAAATTGGGAGGACATGACTCTTCCTGAAATGTCTTCCTACAGAGAAGAGTCCAAGACTCTTCTGGAGATAAGGGCTCTAAATGGTAGACCATACCGTGGTTGTTCATGCAAGAGGCAGAGGCTACAGAGGCTACAAAGGCATTACGAGTAGTGATCATTACTCGACTACCTTTGTTGTCAGGCAATGCATGATTGATGACATTCCAGGCATCTATGTGCCAAAGGTCATCTAGAACAATCAGGTACTTACTGTGCTGCAGCAATTTTTTTATTTTTTCTCTTAGCTGGTTGGTGTCCATCCTATCAACTTCTTCAGGGACTGGTTTCCTGATAACTTTGAAGATTTTTTCAACTATGTGTCTTAGGAGCTTCTTTATCTTGAATGATTGAGAAACAGTGATCCAAGCATGTACCTTGAAATTTTTCTTAACTCTTGCATCCTTATAGACTTGCTTGGCCAAGGTGGTTTTCCCCAGCCCTCCCATCCCAACGACCGAGACTGCCTGGCGTCCAGCGTGGCCACCCTCTTGCATAAGCAACTCAATCAGCTGCCTTTTAGGTTCGCCGATTGCCACAAGATCAGCCTCTTCCAGCAAAAGAGCATCCCCTTGACTGTACTGATGTTTTTGAACCTTGCTTGAGCCAAGGTCAACATCAAGTTTGTAATTCTGATGTCCCTCGTAGAGGGTTCTGACTTTTGATTTTATGCATTGAATATCAGTAGCAATTCGCTGGCGAGCTTTCAACTTGTTAAAGATGCAAGAGAGCTCATGAAGGGAAACATGGCATCCAGGCCTATGATAACATGAATGAGAAAGCCTGAATATATCAAGCGCATCTTCAATCTGATAAGCCACATCTCTAACTTGTTTAACCCACACTTTGAGCTGGGGGTCACTGTCTTCCTTTGCATCAGCAACCCTTAAGAAGGCCTTGATGCGCTCTAACTCCTCGACGATGTCCTCCATCTCTGCTCGGGTCCCTGACAGTAGTCTCACCTCATCTTCTATTATGGAGGCAAGCCTGTCAATCAAAAAGCTCACCACACTTTCTGCCATCTCCTCTCCTGCTGCTACTGCTGCTACTGCTGCTAGCTAGTGCTTTAACTTTTGGGTTGAAACTTGAAACTGAAAAGATGATAGAGAAGAGTGGTTGCTAGAAGAAAAGGGTCTTGTTGTGTGAATGATGTATTGATAATTTTGTATGATATATTTTGATATTCTTGAATGAAATTGTTTTATGTGGATCAAATGGCCTTCCCTTTTGTACTTTAATTTCTAGCACCAGGTCCAACTGTTTAATTCTACCACAGAATGGGTCAACTTGATCATTTTGTTCTTCTCTACCTGCACTGCACTTGTCAATTTTTTTTCATTAGACTCATTACCTTGTAGCTTCCTCATTTCTTTTTTTCTTCCTTTGTGAACTACCAGGAAATTTGTTTCTGAAATGGTCCAACATTTGCCAAACTATACAATAAATAAACCAAGTGGCGTGACTGATAAAACAACGTGTGGCCACATATAACAAAATGTGGAACAAGTTTACTGGTATAAATTTCATAACAGTGCACGGGATTGTGTTGATTTAAATCTAACGGCTCAAAGTCTTTGTACCTGAATGTTTAATTTGTTCCACTCAAAAATCATCAGCAGTCAGCATCCATCTCTGTCATTTCATTAATCTGAATCAGTCTGCAATCCACTGCAGCAACTCGTACGTGAATGAATATAATCTCTTGCGATTTTCTCACCGTCCAATCACTATTTAGTGCTGATAGTGATTTCTGATCTGTTACCCTTTTATTTTGTCCTGATAGGGATTTTTAATCTGATAATGATAGCACTTGTTTAAATTCTTCCCTCCAAATAAATAAACTTAATATGAAATTTGACAATTTGACAATTGCATCACATTTCCCAGCACTCCTCTCCATCTAAGGGCCTAGATTTTAAGGCCGATTTAACCAACAAAATCAAAGATATGATATAAAGTGAGGGACAGAAGCCATCGAAAGGAGGGTGGGTATGGTTTGGATGGGGTTGTGGGTTGTGGGTTGTGGGAGCGCCATTAGTTGTTGTCGGGGTGGGTTAATTGGCTGGGTGTTTGGTGGAGGTTGTACATGGCTTTGTTGGATTGGAGGAAGGGAGATATATTATTCCTCGATTGGTGATGGGTTTTAATGGGTTTGTCTTGGGGAGGGAGGGAGGGAGATATATGGATGGGGAGAGTTAAGTTGTCACAGTGGGGAAGTGGATGTGGGGTTTGGATGTGCCAGGAATTACCCATGTACCCAAGGAGTGAAGCAATTTATTATTTTGACCCTCAATAGTACACCAAGTGTCATGCACCATTTGTCCTAACGAAACTAAGTTAAAGGATCACGGGAATAATTTTGGAAATTGAGGGACCAAAATGTGAATCGGATCAAAGTTCATGGACCATTAAACCTAAAATCCCTCTTAATTAATTAAAATGCGTAGTTGTATTTGTTAGAGCATCTCCAATACCCTCTTGAAAAGCTTTGGGACACTAAATTAGATGAGCCACGTCAACAAAACCTTCACCAACAACCTTGTCAAACCCACTCACCAAATTGGAGACTTTTCATTCACTCTACAAAAACAAAAGAGTGCACACTAACAAAAGTGGTCCTGGAACAATAAAAAGCCTACACTGGGCTAAGTGAACAATAAAAGGCAACCTTTGCTTTTCAAATCAAATGGGAGACTTTCGATACTTATTTAATATTTTATTTAATTCATTTATTTTTTGTGTGTGCTGTATTAATTAAATTGAAGAGGCTTGTAAAGTAGTAAATTTTACTCTTTAAATTGCTACGTTAGTCAACAAACAACAACTTGAAAATTTTAGTTTGAAGAGATTGTTCTAGATTTTTATATGAATAGGGAGATTCTCTTAAATGGGAAATAATAATTTATAAAAATTGTTCATTCAACCAATTGTGAATTGTCTAGTGATACAAACGCATTTGCTTAACCAGTCAGACTCAGAGGGAGAATTCTAACGGCAGAAAGTTCTAACAAGACACGCGTAGTCTCACATTTCTTCTCTTTTTCTGTGATTTTTTTGGTTTTTTGGATAATGACCAAGGCTTGTATAAGCTGCCAAAGAAGAAGAGGAACAAGACAATAGTTCTAGATCAAAACTCTATTATTTTCCTGGAAATATCGTAATGAATATAAATTAAATAATTTCCCAAAAATACGAACAGTTGTATTATCCAAATATTCTATTTGTAGTGTCCATTTTCCATAGTAGTTTTTTTTTCGTATAAACGATACCCAACTCCCAGCAGATTTGGAATCATTATTAACATGAGCCATGAGTTTTGAATTTAATTACTTTCCACCCTAACATTAAAATTCGACCAATTTACAGCCTCCGTTAATTTGACTGTTTTGCAAAACAAAACAAAAATTGTTTCAAAATAATCATTTGAAAACAAATAAAATCGCAAACCCCCCACAAGAGTAAATGTTCGAGAACGCTTTCCAAGTGAAGCTTTCAATCTACAAGTTTCAAGGTATTACACAAATTTGTGAAAATAAATACTCATTGAGCATCCATGAATTACAATTTTAGGGAATAAAATCAAAAAGCGAAGAAAAGAAATGGTAAAAAGAACAAAATTTATTCATATATTACGTAGAATGTAGTAAGAACAATATAAAAGAAATAAAAAGCTTGTCCCCAACGAGATCAATGCACATTAACCCTGCAGCCAGGATCCCACGACCAACTTTATGTCTTACCACAGGAGTGAAAAAAAGGTTTCATATCTGAAAGCGAATTAATTTTCGTCATCAGAGTTGTCAAATGTGATTTTTTTCGACTTTGGAGCATCCACAGGAATTTCTCTGAAGTGAGCCCCATATAGTTTGGACTCCTGCATTTCAATACCCCAAAGAAAGAAGAAAACCAGAAAACCAAAAAGATGGTCAAAATGCCAGTCATGGAAGCAGACTAAAAGAAAACATACAATGGGAACATGAATGTGAATTATGCAGCAGGGAAGAGGATGAAAGAGAACCAAATGCATGCCTTTTTCTTAACATGAGTGCCAAATTTCAATAAGTCTTCTGGCACATTTTGCTTGGCTTCTCTGAGAACATTGACCAGCTCCCCAGCAAGTGCCTGCAATAGTCACATAATAGATAGTAGTTGGACTTAGAATTTTTCTCATATAAAAGTTCTACAGAACTTGTAAAATATAGATTTAATATATTTAGTTACCTTGTTGTGATGTGTGAAGAAAGTATGAGCAACACCCTTCTTACCAGCCCGTCCAGTCCGTCCAATTCGGTGGACATAATCCTCAGTAGTTAGGGGAAAACTATAGTTAATCACTACTTCGACATCTGGAATATCCAATCCTCGAGCAGCCACATCAGTAGCTATCTGGAAATATGTTTCAGATCAAATGCACTACATTTTAGCACAGTTCACAGATAAAGCTAGAATAATTTTGAAATATCACTTCAAACACTAACAGACAGGTCCTTCCAAATAGAAGCGTGTGCTAACCACAAGTTGCCCCATCACAAGTTACATTTTAAATCTGCTAAAAGAAAACCATACAAATAGTTGAGTGGATTCTACAAACCTCCCTGGACTTCCATGACAATACAAAAACATTCCCGTGTTTTGGTAAACATACTCACCTTGCTTGTCCAAGCTATTTGGGGGTCCTTGTCATCATCATTATCTTCCCAGTTTCGTTCTAGTAAAAATTTATTCTTTCAATTTACCTTATTTCAAATTTTCTAACTGAGTTCAAAAAGTCTGGATACAAATTAGGAGTCCCTGCTAGAGAGGATCCGTCATTTTAAGAAAAGAAAATGATGCATGCGGAACTCACTCCCAATGTGATCTCATGATGTAAACTGTCCCCATTTCTTAGACCTACATTCAAGAATCATCCTTACAAAAATCAACAAAATCAGAAACGATTTGGTCATCTAATTGTGACCAAATATTCTGATGCATACAGTGTTTCCGATAATATGATGATAATCTAATAGTTAAACAGTTCATATCATTTGATCGCATTACAGAGCAGGCCCTAATAATGTGGACTGTTTATCTTAAAGAAAGGGATCCCTGCTTAGGAGACTAATAAGTATCATCAATTAGGTAAGCACTGTATTTTGTTTTATGTGCCCCAGGGAGGTCATTGTGTTTTCACTAAACTGCAATTAGGCATGTAAATTTACTCCAGTTTCAATTTTAAGCAATGTACTTTGTTTGATGCACCCCGAGGGAGATCATTGTGTTTTTACTAAACTGCAATTAGGCATGTAAATAGATCTCTTATCTAGAACAACATACCATCAAGGGACAGCTTCCTTTCTTGAATAGAGATAGTGCCTTAGTACGCTCGGTTTGTGCCTTATCACCATGTATAGAGACAACCTTCCAACCCCTATAAACGGCAATAAAAACCATCAGTAGCTTTCCTCATATATCTTCAGTATAAACGGCAACAACTACCTGCCTTATCACCATGTATCAAGGAGTTTACCCTTTTGTCAGCATATTTTCAACACGAGTAGCTTCCATTTTGTACAAGACAAAAACCAAAACTCGGTTCCTGGTCAGCAGTGTAACATCGGTATTAGCAGGATAGCAACACAGGAAATCAAAATACATGATCAGGAAAGTAACTAAGAATTGAAGGAGGTCCATTCTTGTGATATATACAGACAAGTAAAGCAAGTGGATTCCGTGACACAAAACACACACACACACACAACACAAGGTCTGAAAAAATCCGCCAGGGATTGACTAAGGTACAACTTACGTATATAATACCAGGGGATAATGTACCAACACTTACTCTTGGGATTTGTGGTATTTTTCTAGTAAAGTAACCAAGCGTCCATCACGTGAACGGTCATCCAAGACCTGTGAGCGTGAAAGGGAAGGTGTCATTGCAGTACACATGTATTTAATTAACAAAATAAACATTTTATCGTCACATAGGCTTCACAAGTGTTGATAATTTGTACCTCAACTATCTGCATGACATCATGATTGGCAGCTAAATCCTCTGAACCAACAACTACCTGAAGCAAATGTTTATTACTTTTCCAAAGGTGGATAGGAAATTGTTTAAAGGTCATGAAAATTGAGAGTTCGCACCTTAACAGGATTGGGATCCATGAACTCCTGAGCTAATTGATGAACTGAAGGAGGCCATGTAGCACTGAACATTACCATCTGGCGTTCTGCACACAGTCAACAGATGTATATCATCATGACCAGAATGAAAATAGACTACGAAACTTACCCAGCCAGTTAGAAAAATCCAGACATATTGAAATATAAGGTATAAGTTGGGGAGACCCTACATCACCCAAAACTTGGGAGCAAACTTAAATACATACAACCTAACTTGTGGTGTAAACTCTTAATAGCCTTCTTTTCCAATAAAATCATGTCACAAACTCAAATTTATCATGGTACTCTACATGACACGGCTGATGAAAATAGGCATTGCTTCTTATTTCATATTTAGGTAAGTTCTCAGATTTCTATACTATCGACTACAAAACACCTTTTGCCTGATTATCTACGGCTTGAGAACATCTACAAAAGCCAATTTCGTAGGTCTCTTGTAACTGAATTGCCTCCAGGCCCCTCCATAATTTAACATCAATTTCATTTATATGATTTTCTTAAAAAAAACAAAAAACAGTTTTCATATAAAATAATGATAACCAACACTGCTAAATCTGTACATGTTACCAGATATGTACATATGCCTAAATATAGGTGAGTGGTTACTCCGAAAAATTGAATAAACAATTAAGTAACATATACTGAAGTTCTTATAATTCCTCACATCATTTCTCCATAGGACTATGGAATACCCAAGAGAAAAAAGTAGTTCATAAGTTAATTAAACAAGTAATTGAAATCTTTTAGACTTCATTAGAGTCCTTTATCAAAACTAGAGGACTTGAACACAGCATGATGTCCTTTGAACCAAAATGTTACCAATATCATGATAGATTGGAAAACAAATTTGCAGACAGTACATCCAAATGTTTTAATTCTAAGAGTCCATTTTGTCGGCCTGAGAATTCCATCTAAACAGGTCAAAAGAATCTCTATTATTAAGTGGGGGCTAAACTGTGGAACTTGGTTAGGAAGACGACAAACGAGAAGGCAGTAACAACTTTCTGGGTCTACAACATGATGTGATCACAAAATCTGAACATCCATTTTTCAGGTTCCCTTCAAGGATCATTCTTGCAAAAGAATCAAAAAAAATGAAAAATCATTTAGCCATTTGATCAGCATCACAATCCTTTCATTGTTTCGTCCAAATCAGTGTTTCGTAAATTTATTTTATCATAGTTTTAATGCATTTTTTTTTTTTTTTTTTTTGATTATAAATTAGAGAGAAGATTGATTTATTAAGGAGGAAATAAAAATGTAGTGATTAATGCCCAACTCACTAATAAGTTGGTATTTGAACACTCCTATATACACAATACAATGAAGAGCCTTTTGAAAAAGAAAAACAAAACAAGAGGTATTGCATGTGAGTCCAACCTCAACATGATTCAATGATCCATTCTTACGGACACCATTCAAGGATTATAATTAACAAAAGAAATAATAAAAATAATAATAACAACAATGTTCATGACGATAATCATAATGGTCAAACACTTCCTCAATTTCATGATTATTCGCAGATATGATACTTACATGGGATCTAAAATTTAGATAGTTCAAGTCACTGGACCACATAGCAGGGTATCCACTACTATGCGATCCCTTTTGGTTCTCATGAGGGATTAAGAAGAGAACTATCCATATATTATATTTATGTATTTATTATATATAGGAGTTGAGATTCTCTGTGCAGGACGCCCATTCTTTCTTATAGGGCAGACGTGTTGACAAAATCTCTTATGCTCAATTTTATTCAACTTTGATCCTATTTATTGCAGGGTTGATTAGGCCTTTTAGAGATTCGAATTTAGGTTTCTTAAAATGTAAAACTGAAATGATTAACCAATCCGAGACTAGAAACCAAAAGTCTAAGCTCTAAATGGTGATCAACCATATCCTGTCTAGACAAGAACTGTATTTATAACACATAAAGAAAGATGGATAAATAGAAAACTATGAATACTATATCACATACCCAAGCATGTCTGGCCCAATATAAAGCGAACTTCTGGTTCAAAACCCATGTCAAGCATTCGATCTGCTTCATCAAGGACCTACAGAAAATTACTGGCCATCTCACTTCTCTGAGATCTATAAAGCTACTATAATATTCCATATATAAAAATAAATAAATAAAAATTCACATCCAAAGGCAATGAAATTTAATCAATACAAAAACGGATTTAAAAAATAACTGCAAGTAAAATGACAAATTCAATGTACTAGTGTCTATTAGCATCATAAAACTAAATCAAATCAAATGTAGGTGTCATCAGATTTTTAGAATGGTGCAAAACAATTGTACAAACCCAAATGAGATATCAAAACCTCAAGAGTGCAGCCATATGTGAAGCATTTCAGGATGTCAAGATGCATTTGATAGGAAAACTGAGAATAAGTTCTCCGAAATCCATTAAGACTCACTACACTAAGAGGGGCTTGGTTTCACCAAGTCAGGTTGACGGTCATATTAAATAATCACTTCTACTATGTCACGGCTTTCTCACTAGACTTTTAAAATAGAGTGCATTAGCAAGCAGTCAATTCAGGACTGGCTTTCTCACTATACTTCTAACTAAAATGCATTAGCAGATAGTCACTTCGTTCCTGATGTTGCAAGTAGATTCAAAATATTATAGGGTCGCCCATCCATATATATAGATAACATTCTTATTAATACAAAGAAATCTTCAGTTAGCTCTGAATTCTAATATGGTAAATTTGGGGACAATCGGCTTATACCATGATCATCTCCAGATCTTCCATACCAAAAGACATTGCCATTATTCCAAGATAGTTTAAATAAATCTTTATAGTGGACACTGGAAAGCATGATTTTCAAATTGCTTCACTTCTAGACTGATTTGCAATTGTTAAACTCAAATCCTAGTTCATGACAATCCAGCAACATTAATCACCATAAGAAAAGGAGCAGACATGATTGAATCAAGTAAAAGCAGATCCTAGTTGATCATGGTAATTGAGAAACAGGTTTCTTTGGGCAATGTTACTTACCGTAAAAGATACTTCCTTTAGGGAACACACACCCATTTCAATGAGATCCTTGAGACGACCAGGAGTTCCAATAACGATGTCCTGAGAGCACAGAAGAGTGTATGGAAACAAATCATAAGAAGATGAACCACATAATCAATGCAAACACATAAGCTCTACAGAATACAAAGATACAAAAATGCAGAACAGATGGATAAAAAATATATACTATACAAAAGTAAGAATTTGTTAATTGCCAGAATGAAAACACCCTTATTAAATATAACCAAGCCATTTTAACAAAATAACCTACTCCGTTCGGATCAAATAAAAAACTTCTGTCTCCTTCCTCTCATTCCCTCCCACTGATATTTCTATTTGAAAAATAAACTTCGCAAACTCTATAACTAACATGCAATACAGTATCAAAGTGCTAGAGAATATAATCTAAATAGTACACATATATAGGCAAACAATTAAGATTTTCAAATGAGAACTTGTTGCCTATTCCTTAGATCATTTTTGAATGGCTTAGATGCAGTCAGTTGCATCCTGCCTACCCACTGTGTTTCTTTGACATTTAAGTTTTAATGTGTACCAATATTTGATACAACAATTTTCCAATATTTCATTTTGGTACTTTTCACCAGAAATGCCCTGTAATTTCTCCGAATATTATGTTTTGTCAATATTACCATCTACACTTCAGTATCTTCAGCCCCTCCATATTTCCGTCAACATTAATATTCAATACAGTGGTTGTTATATGACCCACAAAATAGGGAAAGTAAAAGAGGGAAACTGTTGAGTACATCAAGTACAGGATCAGCTTTGCATAATAGAATCCTCCATCATTTTACCACAATTAACTACAGGCAAAGCTTTCAATCAAAAATATAAAAAATTCCATACATCATAATGGAGAAATTAATAGGTCTCCTCATAATGTCTGTGCAAAGAAGGACAAGTTAGCATTAAAATTTAATCCAGAGAGCCAACCCGATCATGATGACGGGTTTCCAAGTCACAAGATTACTGATCCAGTTTAGAAATTGAGGTTGATTCTGATATTTTCTTATTCAATTGCAAATAGTGTCAACTGTGAACAAGTGTGAAGTCTAAATGAAAGGGAAGGAAGAATTTCATGAAAAAACAAATCAAATCAAATTTGTGCCATATATAATCAAACGAATGGAGTATCTTACAACACCAGACTTCAGAGCAGATATTTGAGGTCCTTTAGATGCTCCACCATACAAACAAACTGATATCACACCACAAGGTTTCCCAGCCTCAAACAGAACATCTGAAATCTGCAACCAGAGATAAAACAAATGGTCAGTCCCCCTTTTCAAGAACTAACCTTTAATTAATCCAATTAACAAAACACATGACAAAGCAGCAGCTAAAAAAGGAATATGTGCAAGAACAACAAGAAAATCAGTATGACCAAGTTCCAAACTGGTAACAAAATCCACAAATTGTTTTCACTCTATTATTCATAGACACACCACCCATATTGAGAATCCTTTGTATGCTTAAAAACAATTCCCCTTTTTTGTTTACATTGGGAGCAACGGAACCCTTGACCTATCCTAATCCAAACCCGTTCCCCACACACCCTCACCACTTGGGCTAACCCCAAGAGCTAAAAGTAACTCACCATCATTGACAAAATAGTGCATAACTATAAATGACTTCCTACATTTTGTCAAGAAATGTAGACATGAAAACCAAGCTCATTATTTGTGCAAATATATGGTTTTTTTTTCCAATAAACTAGATAGAAGCCCATGTAAATCAATAAATACACCTCATGTCTGTGATGAGAGACAACATTTGCGTCAATGTCCGCAGATCATATGCTTCCCTGTTTAACTGAACTGTCACTTCCAAATTAATTTGCACAAGACTACATTTTAAAGCCCTTAGACTTGTTTATGTTACTGCTACAAGCACCCATTTTTTTCTTTCCAGGTTTGATCTATCAATGTGAACATAAGAGTAGCACTAACATTCTTATTGGTTATTAATGAGCAACGATGTAAAAGAAGGTTATCATCTTTTCTCAGTTTTCTGGTAAGTAAATGTGCTATTTGCAGTATCTCTGTTCAAAATTGATCTATGTATTATTATAGTGGAATATATGACCATCTCTACTCACTACGTATGTGAGTGATACCCCATTTCATTTTCTCGGATAAGAATAAAATTCTTGTTAAGATTGTCTGGATCATATACTGTCACATACTATACAATCTTTTTCATTGAATTTACAGCATAATGATATCTCTAATTTCCAACCTTCTTATTTTCTAGGTTTCCTTTAGGTCAAGTATAACTGCAAAACATCCAATCAACATTACATAAGAAACCTAAGCATCACAGCCCATCACCATATACCTATGGCCAGTGATTATAAATGCTGACTGGCTTTACTCAATTTTCAAGGATGTAGGATCTTAGAGAATTTAAACCTTCCGGAAACAACAAAATCTTGGAACCCTATGTTACAAGAGGTGAATTGAATCACTGAAATACTCAATGCCACCTCAGAGACACAACTCACCGCATAGCATATAATTTCAATTCTATGATCCATACCGAAAATAAAAATGAGAATCAAACACTAGTTCACATAATGCATCTTGGGTTAATAAGCACGTACTTGTTGAGCTAACTCCCTTGTGGGTGCAAGTGCAAGGCAAAGAGGAGTTCGGCCCTTCGAAAACTTACCCTTCCTCTTATTTAAAACGTGCATAATAGCAGGTACCCCAAATGCCAAAGTCTTACCTGTACAAAAAGAAACACAGAATTAGCTCGACCAAACAAAACAGCTCACAACACAATCCTAATTTCAACTCCCAAAATCCAAACCACAATACGTACCTGACCCCGTTTTCGCAATCCCAATAAAATCGCGGCCGTCCAATAAGAAAGGCCATGCCCGGGATTGAATCGGAGAAGGACTCTTGAAATTCTCACAGCACCGCAAAACCTCACTCGGAAGCTTCGCTTCCGCAAAGGAATTCAATGACTTGTATTTGGCTTCATTCGCATCTTTCCCAGTAACCACAACAACCTGTTCTCTAGATTCACCTTCGTCGGCATCCCCATTTCTCTGTGGCTCCTTCACATTGTTTTCGGTTTCTTGCTCCTTATCTTTGGATTTCTTGTGCTTCTTGTTCTTCTTCTTAGTAGAATCTGAGTTATCTTCTTGAGGGGCAATTTCTTCCAGCTTTCTCTTGGGACTGAGTTGGGTTAGTTGGCCTTGTTCTTCTTGGTCTTTGTTTTTCTGCTTCTTCTTCTTCCTCTCAGCTTTGGTTTCGCGAAGGTTTTGGGTTTCCTGAGCTTCTGGTTCGCTGAGATTGGAGAGGTCTTTGAGTTTGCGACCCATTATTGAAGCCGAACGAACTGAGCGCACCTGACAACTGCGGAAGCGAAGCGAACACAGGGCGTTTGGTTTTTCAGAGGGAAACCGCCTAAGGGGTTTATTCTAGGGTTTTGACCTTATGCATACACGACCAAAACAACCTTTTTTTTCTTTTTTTGAGTTTTTCTATTTAAACCTCAATTTCTTTGTTCACCCTAACATTCAAAGGGAGCTTTAGTTTTAAAACACAATATAATTTATTAATTTGGAAGATATGAATACAATTTCATCTAATTAATATAACGCCAAAAACCAAAATGTAATACCTAATTTTACAAAAATATCATTAAAAAATATCAAAATTACATATAATGCCACTTCTTCTAAGGCAAGCATACTATGCCACATGTCCATATCTAGCCAACTACCACCACCGACCAGCCACTCGCCGCTAGCCGCCACCGCTTGTCGTCGGCCTGCCACCATTTGCAGGGGACCAACTCCATTACCCTTTATTGACCTTTAAAAAAAGATTGTGTGTTATTGAAGGGACTCGAACCTTGAGCCTCAAAGAAAGAAGACTCACTCACAAACCATTACACCAAACTTTATGTTGTAATATTTATTCAGTTATACAATATTTATATAAACAATCAACAATTTTTAAAAATAAAATAAAAATCATTTCAACACCTATTCACACAAAAACTACAAATAAAAACAAAAACTGCAACAAAAATACTATAGATATCAATTATGTTATAAAAAAAATAAAAATGAAAACAGCTACAAAAACAAAAATTAATTTTATTGAAGCAAAATGAAGGAACCAAGATGAAAGTACTAAAATGGAAACTGCAATGCAAAAACGGAAACTGCAATGTAGAAGCGGAAACAGAAATGCATAAGCATGGAAACTGCAATGCTGAGTGCAAAAATGCTCAGCTCTAGAGTTAAACAAAACACAACTATATTTTTTTTATTCAATACATGTTGGTAAAACTGCAATGCAGTTTTCAAAAGTCCAATTTTGAGTTCTCTTGCTCTTGGGTAGTTCTACTCTTCCCTTGCTCTTCGGACTTGCATCCTTCCCTTACTAAGCAGCCAAGTAAAGAACTTGACTTTAGGTGGTTCTCAAGCTTCCACATTTTCTTAAGTAACTCAGCTTGAGGGGGAGTAGGATTGTCTTGCATTTGAATATTATAAGCACTCTTGATGGTAAAGAATCCATTTGGGTTAGGACCCCAAACCAATTTACATTAGAGATTGGCGCAGACACATATAAATTTTGTCAACCACATCTTCATCAAGGCTCCGAAGAAGTTTAGTTCTATCCCAAGTTTGGAGCATTTTGCTTGGTAGAAAATTATGAAACTTTGATACAATGATTTTCAATGTCTTTAATTTCTTCTCAATTGGCCTTGTGCTAAAATTCATTCGAAAAATTGATTTTCAGTTGAAATCCTTCCAAGAGTGCAAAATATTTAAAAATAAGGAAAGTAAGGTAATAATGCTCTTTTTAATTAACTTTCCCTACAAAAACCAAATATAAGAGGTATAAAAATATAGGAAATAATACACTTATCAAAAGCATTGTGAGAGATCTTGATGTTATTAAATCTAAGGGCAAACGTTCAACGACCAATGCTCAAGGTGTCCAGCGGAAGCGGAAAGATCCTCGATTGTGACATAATAGTGTTTGTTTGTGGAATATTAAATTCATTTATTGGGATGCCACATGTATCAATTCTAATATTTGTGAGAATCGGATTTCGAAACTCACATTATAGTGTCCAATCAAAATAAAATTGGAAAAATTAAATATTAGAATATTACATTCATTATACAAATTCTTTTGGATTTTTCATGACAAATAAGAATTAATAATTCTTAGGGTTAGGGTGAACTACAAATACTGAACCACTCTCACGTGGCAAAGCAATATTTACTTTCCCCCTCTTCACTTCCTTTCCAGCTCTCTTCTCTCTGATGGCTTCTCCGAGCTCCGAAATTTGTTTTTGATTAAGCATGGCAACACCACCTCCCATAATTGGAACAAGTGTTGTTGGAAACTAAGAATAACTAAGTTTCTTACGTAAGAAGTTCATCAAGTACATGGACTACACATCTAATGAGCATGATGTATAAATTCTAATATTATAATATGTGCCTATTACTTCTGCCTTCAAAATACCATTTTGCTTATCATAATACCATAAAGTTTCACTCATTATGTGGCTTAGAGAGGTCGACTTGCAGACGATTTCACTATGTTGGGGTCGACTATTAAATTGCCTAGATGGGGACCAAAGTACAGGACACAATTTGTTAAGATTCCGCAAAGCTTGAAAACTCCTTACTAGATTATACCATAAAATGCAACCTATGTAAGTCATTAAACAATACATAGCTCGTAATTTGAATTTCAATTAATAATGGTAAAGGTGTTTTGGTTTATTATCATTTGGTTTTTTGTGATCTAATAAACCATGTGGTTTTAATGTTGAAGTCCACATTGGAACATATATTATTGTTTCCATTTATAGGTCAAAACTGAAATTGTTTCAAGGATATTGCAAATGATTGGTGGGTTGACATCCTTACTTTATGACAAGTGTGAGGAAGCAAGTAACGAAATTTGGGCTTTGAGAAATGCAAATGTCCATGCCTAATATGGATGACTTACCTCATTAGCTTAGTTATTGGGAATTTTAATTGTAATTTTTGTTTATTGCAGCAACAAGGTAGAGGTCGAGAATATCATAGTAATTCTCAACCCAACTATGGAGACATAGAGATGAGCTCTCGTGTAAATAGCAGTTTGAAAGACTCAAAATTATTCCAATAATTGCAGGATACACGAAATACAAACTAATATGGTTGTCATACTTGTTGGTTGCAGAAAGTACGGTCAAAAAACAAACATGATGGTTTCACTAGCAAACAAACATGATTTGGAATTGAAATGCTTGACAAATTGAGGTTATGAATGCTTGAGAAATTTAACTTTAATTGGAATGCTTGGAATTGTAACTTTAATTTTCTTCAGGTTGTGAATGCTTAAGAAGTTGAGGAGGTTGTGAATTTATTTATTTAGGTTGTGAATTATATTTTTGGGTTAAAGTATGCTTGAAATCAAAAGGCTTTAAAAGAAGCATCAAAATTAGGACTAAAATGTGGAAGATTGGATTTGTATGACACAAATAGAACTTGCAGTTTTAAACCGCTAATTCACGGTAACCGACCGCTTTTTGCGGTTTCAAAAATCACCATACAACAAATAGTCGGTCGGTTTGTGATTTGGACAAAAATTCGCGGTTACCGAACCGCAACCACCCCTAACTGAAATACACAGATGCAATGCACAAAGGAGCAAGTGGTATAGGGTTTAGGGTTTATGATTTATAAATTACCGACTTTTTTTAAAATTTCCTCGACGTCGTTCCACTGCTGCCCCAAATGAGTTTTAACACTCAATTCAACCTTCAAACCCTATGGGGTCATTTGGTACGGCGGACTGTCTTGGATTAGCTCGGATTGGACTAAGCTGGATTAAGTACTGACTTACGTTTGATGCTGCGTCGGATTAAGAAGCTGGATTGTAAAAATAGTGAAGACCTATGTTTGGTGCTGTGTTGGACTAAAACATAATTATTGTAATATTTAAATTTAATTGAATATTTTCACTTAAAAAATATTTATATTTAATTAGGGATATTTAATTGGGGTTGATGTGTGATTTTTTTTTATAAAAATTATTTTAAAAAATTAATTTTTTATTAAAAAAATAAAAAAAACCATTATCTCGTTCTTTCCTCTTCCTTCCTCTCTCTCTCTGGCTCTGTCTTTCTCCTTCTTTCTTCTCTCTTTTACCTTTCTTTTTTGAGATATTTAGTGATATACCCATTCTTAGCACTAATATTATAGATAAACCCTCCATCATTGAATTTCTATAAACAAACCCAAAAAAAACCCCAAAAATGACAGCTGGCCTTATTGGATTTAATATTGATTATTAAATTACTTTAATACCCTATTGAGTGTTTTGGGTATTTTGATGAGATTTTGAGGTTGAGTTTGTTTTAAGAAATTTATGGTAGTTTTGTAATTTATAAGAAGTTAAAGCCTCTTTGTTATATTGTAAATGGGTTTTGGGTGTGTTTATAAAGTTCATTTCATATGAGGTATTTTTATAATTTGGGTCCCCATATTGGGTATATTAGTGAATCTCCCTTCTTTTTTCCCCCTTCTCTCCTTCCAAGTAGAGGTGTCAAACGGGTCGTGCCGTGCCGGCCCATCCTATTTAAACTCGTGCTTTTAACGTTTTCATGTCGGGCCGGGCCAGCCCATTTAATTTATCGGGCCGTGTCGTGCCGGCCCATTTAGTAAAATTATTGATCCCGGCCCGGCCCAAAGCCCATGTCCATATTGAAACGGGCCGGGCCGGGCTCGTGCCGTGCCCGTGCTCGTGCTCGTGCCATACTCGGGCCTAAGAACCAATCCATTTAATTTGAATTTTTTTCACTTCATTTTTTTTTCACTAGATAATTCAAATTATAAACATTAAAAATATAATTAGATGCAAGAAATGATGAACTATTTGAAAACATTAATCAATCAAACATCCAAACAATATGAAAATGGCATAGGGCAAAAAGTGTCAAACTCTACAAAGTCCACTTCAAGTTTTCATCTTTAAACAACTTATTATTTTATATGTGAAATAATGTCTTGCTTTGATTATAAGAGAAGCATATATGTCATATGTACTGATTAGATATCAAGTCCAATATTGTTTAATTAATTTGTAGTTGATATGTTTAATTAATTAAGGACCCAAGTAATTTCCCTAAAATGAAAGACATCAAATATATATTTATGATTAAAAAAACATATAAATAATGACATTAGATGTCAAATTATTGCATTTTGACTTTTGAGAAAGACAAAAATGTTAAGTGGGCCGTGCTTGGGCTCGTGCTTGGGCTCGTGCCGTGCTTGAAGCGTGCTCGGGCCAAGCCCGGCCCATGTTGGGCCATGGGCCGGCCCGATCCATTGGACCTCATTTTTTGATCCCGGTCCGGCCCAAGTTTTCGTGCCGTGCCGAGCACGACCCATTAATATTCGTGCTCGTGCCGTGCCGTGCCTCATTTAAATGGGCTGGGCTCGTGCCGTGCTGGGCCGGCCCATCCCGTTTGACACCTCTACTTCCAAGTTCACTTTTCTGTCCCTCTCTCTTCCCTTTCCTTTTTCATATTTTATTTTTTTCGTGCCATTTCCCTCATCTCCCTCTCTGTCTCTTTAGAGCATTTCCACCAAGGGGCCCAAGAGGAGGGTTGGGGGGGGGCAAACCCAAAATGTGGTTTCCAGCAACAACAAGCTGCCAGGGCAAACAGTGGGGCCCACAAACCTGGGCAAGCCCGAGGGGAAGGCTGGCCCGAGCTCCAGCCCGCGGGCTGGGATGACGTCAGCGCAGCTGTTTAAATTTTTTTAAAGCTGGCGCGTGCAATACACGCGCCCGGTTTAAAAAAAATTTGACGCTCTACAGTAGCCGCACCAACGGCTTGAATCCACGCGTCGCATGCTGGGCCATCCGATCTGCTTTTCAAACTTATCCAACGGCAGCCATTTTTTCGCGAATAAAAAAATCCGAAAAGCAACCCCCAACGGCTCTATGCCACGTGGAAGCTCCTGGGCTCTCCGATTGGGTTTTTCCAGCAATCCAACGGCCGGGAATTTTTTGCCCAGTAAAAAATTGAAAAAAAATCGGAAAAAATTTAAAAAAATACGAAAAAAATACTGAATTGTTTTTTCTATAAATACCAACCCATACTCTTCACTTTTAACACCAACTCTTCATACATTTTCTTCCCATTCTACTCTTTTTCACTTTGTAGTCAAATTTTTTTCACTTTCAAGTTGTTTTTTTCTCTCTTTCAAGTTGTTTTTTTGTCTATCATATTATGGGTTCTTCTAGTGAAACCGGAGGAGGGGCATGGAGTATGACGGAAGATATTAGCTTGTGTGAGGCTTGGCTCCAAGTTAGTCATTGTCCCGTAACGGGCAATGAGATCAAATTCTGTCATATGTGGAAAAAAATTCATCATGAATTTTGTGAAAGGGTAATTGGTTCGACCCGTACGGATCAAGCATTATCTAGTAGGTGGAAAATTCTTAATAAAGAGTTGGGAAAATGGAGAGATGCATTGACAAAAGCGATGAACAACCAAAGAAGCGGGGAAAACCTTAGCAGTGAGGTAAATTATTTGTAATATTTTTATTTATTAATTTCTATGTCATATTAAATTTTATTTAAATGTTTCTTGCAATTTATATATTATGTTCATATTTCTTGTATTTCCAATGTTAATATGAATGTTTATTGCAATATTTATATTTTGTTTTGCATTTCTAATAAATGGTTAAAGTTTATTGCGTTTCCATTAATTTTTTTAATACTTGTTGCATTGCCAATATTTTTGTTTTTCTTTTTTTTTTTTTTTTTTTTTTTATACTCACACGGTGGAAAAAGAGCCGAGGCCTATTGGGAGGAAGGCGGCAAAGGCGAAGAGAGGGAGTAATTCTACCAAGAATACATCTAAATATTTGGAGGAGCTTTCAAGGATGCAAGCCATGAGAATTGAAATGGATATGAAACAACAAGAGCACGATAGGGCAATGGAAGTAGAATATGCAAAAGAAAGGGAGTATGTACGCCAAGGAAAGATTGAAAAAAATGATCGGGAAACCATGGCTATGGATACAACCCATATGTCCCCCGAAACAAAACAATTTTGGAAGTTAGAACGAAGGGATGTTATGAGACGAAGACTTTTTCGTGACGATGGACCTAGCAACACGGATTGGTTAAATGATCAAAACCATTAAGTTAGTTTGCTTGCCTTTCATTTCATTGTACCATTAAATTAGTTTGCTTGCCTTTCATTTCATTGTACCATTAAATTTGACATTTTGAATTTATCTGAAATTTGAATTTTGAAATGTATCTGAAATTTGAAATTTATCTGAAATTTATCTGAAATTTGAAACCGAAAATCTGATCCGATATAAATAGTATTGACACATAGGAACCCAAAAATCTTATCCGAAAATATTATCCAAATTAATTGTTTAAGTAAACAAAGTTGTGAAAAAAACAAAAAAATGAATAGTATTTGCCATGGCAAGCCTTGCATTGCTGGAAACACAATTTTTTTTTTGCCCTAGGGCAGCCACTATTCACGTGAATAGTATCCGCCCTAGGGCTCCCCTTGCCATGGCAAGGGGCTAACTGGTGGAAGTGCTCTTAGATATACTTGAGAAGGCATGAAAAGCAGAACAAGGTCACTGGAGCCCAACAAAAGCTTGGGACCAAAAACAGCCTGAGCCGCAAGATACAAAACAAGGAGCAAACAAAGTTGGAAAGGTGGTAGGGATTCATCGACAAAATCATCGTAATTTTCTTCCTTTTCTCTCTTCTTCTTCCTATCTCTTTGCTTTCTCTTGTTTTTTTCCCTTCGTTTCTCTAAGTTTTTTTTCTTACGTTTCTCTCTTTTTCTCTGGTTTGGATCTACTAGGAATTGAGTTTTTGTGTTTATGGTTCCATCTTCATATGAAAACAAATAATTTATTTTTTTAGGGGAGACCGCCACTGTGTGGTTCCATTGGGTTTGAATTGATGGTGGTGGTTAGTCGAATTGGTGGTGGTTGATTTTCTCCCAGACGGTGCTGGTTTCAGCCTCGCTGTTCTGCGAGCTCGCTATTTTGCGAGCCATATTTCAGCATCGTTGTATTGGGCCAGCGAGTGAGGGTTTTTTTGGTACTGTTGGGCTATATAATCTTATTTAAGTTGCCCCCCTTTGTTACCAAACATGGGTTTCAGGGGTTATTTAACCTAATCCCATCTAGTGAGGCCTACCAAACACACCCTAAATCCCCAACCCCTAATCCTACCCAACCTTCACCCAATCCGACGGAATTCTCTCTCTCTCTCTCTCTCTCTCTCTCCCCCCCCCCCTTTGTCTTGTACAAATACATACGACCGAATTAGTGAAACTAACTGAAGAAACTTTGACAGCAGCAACAGCAGAAAATACGTCCTCTAATAATAATCGTTGTCTCTTTGCTGTTTAAAGGTCAGTCCCTTTGCTCTCTTTAGTGATCCTTCTGCAATTCATTTCTTATTCTTCTTTGGGCCTTCTAATTCTACAGTTCTTTGTTCCAAGGATCAAAATTTCTGTTCTTTTCATTATTATAACTGGACCAGTCTGATTTGGTGTTCATGTGTGATTAGTGGATTGATTGTTGCAATTTTGAGTTGTACTTACGTTATTTTCGGTTTTCGATTTGATGTTCATTAGTCATTTCAAGTTTGAGTTTGGTCATTGAGATTGTATGGTATGGACCTTTTTGTGCTCCACTATGAATCATCGTTTTGTTAATTAATATTTAAGATCTTTCTCTTCAAACTAAATGCATTGCACTTCCACATTTTGCCCCTGACGTTAAAAATTCCTGGATCCACCACTGGTAGTGCATATCAAACATTGTCTTTACTGTACATTCATTCTTGACATACTGTAGACAAATATATTTAGTTTGGAATCCGGTTGGGAGGAAATTGTATTATATACCTTACTTAATTAAATTGGATTATATATATAGCTTTGTGAGACTCTGTTTCTTTCAGTTGATTGGTTTTACTTGTGTGAGGGTGCAGCATATGCATCATTTGCTTTTTCTTTAATCTGTTTTGTTTATAAAGTTTAAGACTGAAAGGATTATCTCTGCTGCAGTAGGGTAGAATTATGAGAGTGAAAAAGCAGAGGAGGCACAGGAAGATAGTGCGGTTCTACACAGCATGCTATGGGTTGAGACAGCCGTACAAGGTGCTATGTGATGTGAATTTTGTGCATCACCTCGTCGTCAATCGCATTACGCCTGCTGACAAGGCCCTCTCTAATATCCTGGGTGCCCCTGTCATGCTTTTCACCACCAAATGCGCTATCAGTGAGTTGAAAAAGCAAGATCTAAGGCATGTTCCTTCCCATTCTCAGGCTCTTGAAGCTGCAGAAAGCCTCATTACTGCAAGGTATGCCTCTCTTTTTCTTTCTTTGGATATTATTTCATTGTTTCTTACATGGAACTATGTTTATTTCTCAGGTGCGATCATGAGAGAGCCATGAGTGCTGATGATTGCATCATGGATATTATTGGGCAGAATAATCCCGAGCACTTCTTTGTTGCTACTCAGCATGCCGATCTTCGTGAGAAAATTCTCAAGGTTATTGACTCACTTTATTTCTTACCATTATTTTGGCAGTTGTCGTTGTTGGTGTTACTTTTTCCACAGTATATCAGTTGTTGCTCTCACATTTACCCTCATAAATGGCATCTTTGCATTTGCTAAGCAATCTGGTTTGATGCGTATTACATTTGTCATATTGTATATCCTTAAGCATGTATCCACGGAGACATTTTTTCACTTGCAGATACCAGGTGTCCCTGCTATTTATGCTCTGAGAACCGCTCTTTTTCTTGAGTCCCCATCTGCCGCCCAACGGCAATTTGTCAAAACTTCTGAAGAACAACGCTTGCATATGACTGACTTGGAATATAAGATGTTGACAAAGGGGACAAATAATATGTCGACTTCTCATCAAGAAAAGGATCGCTCTGATGAAGATGGTTTTGGAGATCAGAACTTGGAAGTGCAGGCTGTAGCAAAGAAGCACACTGCTAGGAAAGGATTGGGTGTGAAGGATAAAGTTCAGTTTAAGAGAAAGAAGGCAAAGGTATTACCAAACTCATTTCTTTCATTTTCCTGTATATTTATTACGTACATTTTTTTTTCTCTCCTTCTACATGTCTGCTTATACTTGATCTTATGTAAGGTGTTAGAGTTCACCCCATCTAACTTTTTTGATATGGACTGCACATAATATGAAGTAGAATGTTGGAAGGACATCTGTTGTGTTTATATGGATTATGAAAACTCTTAGAATTTTTAGTATACATGGATAGGCCTTGGTTTAGGTGCATCATGGATTGACATTAATATGATTTATTTCTATTACACCATTCTTTATGATGTGTATATGTTTCAACTCTATTCCCCATTTTGCTTACCAAGATATGTATCCCAGTTTTGGCTTGTTTAACTACATAATGCCCGTCTTATGTAGTTAAACAAGGCAAAAATGAGATATTTATATCAAGATATCATATTATGCAAGTAATTGCATGAAAAAATTATTTTTCACTAGGAAGATGCTTCGCCGGATCTACATAAAATTTGAATGCAATCTTATTCATGCACCTGATACTTGAAGGAAGATAATAATGTATGATCGTAGTTAGAAGCCAATTTTGCTGATTACCATGCAAGTCTACAATGTTCACCAAATTCTATCTTCCTCACTTTCTATGCATATATATTTTCTTAGATGGGGGACTAGACTCTAATGAATGCTACAAAAGTGAGTAGTGTTAAAGAACTAAGATAAAATAAGAACTGTTTAATCGTACAGCCTGTAGTTTCCTTATTCAGTGATTAGTTATTCATTTCTTGTTCTGTATTCAAATTTATTTTGATAGCTCTTTTGTAATGGACAATGTTGAAATCAAAATCATTTGCAAGCCAGATGTTTCTGGGAATGTAATCATTTAGCTGATGTTCAGTGTGTTGACATATGTTATTTTTTTCAAATTTGGGTGAAATTAAATAGAAATTGATTGGGATTAATACGTTGTCGATGCATATGCTAATACTGTTAGAAAATGGTTCCTTAAGATGCTGTTTCAATGTTTATGACTTTATTCTTTTGCTTCCACCTTGCAGGGTCCAAACCCCCTTTCGTGTAAGAAGAAAAAGACTTTGAAAAACCCAGATCTTCATTCAGTACAGGTGAGCTTGCAAATATTGTTTCGATGTCTCACTATCCTTCATGAAAATTGCATGCCTTTAACTTTTAGTACATGTGGCCCATGATGAAACTGATTGATATCTCACATTAGTTTACAAAGCTCTAAACTACAATGTAGAATCACCTGGAAATTCAATTTCAATTGAAGCATGGATAGAAACATTTTCTGATCTTTTGGGGAAGAGATAAGACATGATCTCTTTCTCTTGCTTTGTGTGTCTTTTAATATTCTGAAGTTTCATGCAGGAAAGGAAGGATGGAGATGCTACTTTGAGGAGTCGTAAGAAGCGGAATAGGTTGCGGAAAAGCAAAAGGCCTGTCGAGGCAGATGGTTAATGTTCCTTGGCTAAAAGTTTTGAAATTTGGCTTTCATTGGATGACGGGTTGAATGAGCACGCTGTACTTTGGTCAATTTGGAGGGAGATGATTTTTTGGGTTATATTAGCTTATTTGTGTCTCCTTCAAAGTTGGGAGTCATTTTAAACTTATTCATGTTTCCTTCACAGCGAAAATGAAGGGAGCTCGCTCACACATGAAGCCATAGTTATGATTTACATTTAAAAAAAATCAAAAGCAAGTGTACCCTTTCTGTTTTTTTAAATTATTATTTATTAAACAAAGTAGACTCAAAATAAGTGCCACAGTAGCGGGAAAATTACAAAAAAGTGCCCTTGAAAAAACAGACGCAAGGAAAAATTCTACCGTTTAAAAAGAAGCCTTCAGATATCCTTTACCTCTTAAGAATAATATCGATGTCTTAGATTTCAATTAAAACCCGAAAATCTGCTTTCGTAATTAAACATTTGTAATACAAATGTATTGCTACAATTTCAGTTTGAAGAACAGAAGCGTATCCAATAGGATAAGTGGAACTTGACATTTATTTTTGGCCTCGTCCTGGTAATATTTTTGGAAATCATTTTCGCATGACATTCTTAGAAAACAAAAATGAGAAAATGGAAGTGCATTTTGGAAATTCAAGAATTTGGTAGTTAGTTTGAAAAACAGTTTCGAAGAACAAAAATAATGAAAACACGTCTGGCAATAATTCGTAAAATGATAAAACCAGTGAGTATGCCTTGGGCTTGAAGATTTTAAATTCTGTTTTTGACATAATATTTTCATGAATATATATATATATAATTTATAAATTATATATATAAATAATAATAAAAAGCCTCATTTTCTATTATGCATTTAATGAACCAAACATATATTCCTAAACTCAAGTAGATAAAATTTGATAAGAAAAAATAGTAACAAGTAACCAAAACACAATTCCATGATCTATGTGTTCCTCCAAATTATCTCCTTAAACACTAGCTAAAAAAGGGTATTCATAGTCATACAAATCTCTGGACAAAATATTACAAAAACAAAAACAATATAATTAAGAGCCTTAGGTAAAATCACGCCACAAATCTGCTGCAATCTTATCCCCAGGGGTCGCAATCTGTGCAATGTTTCCTGAAGACATCTATATTTGGTGTTGCCATAATTGAAACTCTGCAAACATCCTATCATGAAATGCTTCCATTCTAATAAAATTTTGTAACACACAACATGCGATAGGGATATGTCGTTGCCTACGTGGACAATATTGTAATTAAAAACAAAGAATAATAGATAAATCAAAACAGTAAATTAAGACTGATATTCGAGTTCAGGGAAAACCAGTAATTAAACCAAAAAAATTTCAGGAGTAATAGAATTTCTCTATATAAAAAATTAGGAGTAGTAGATTCATGGTTGCGAGGTATTCCAAGGAGAAAAATAAGAACTAGTAATTTTCATTTTACTACGTTGAAGTTTACTGAGTTTCAGCTTTCGATACATCAAGTTTTTTTCGTCTCAGCCGCATACATAACGTTTATTTTCGTATCACTTTCATACCTATGTTAGTTTGACCATCATGTTCTCGTTTAAATAATGATGTAGTGATTAGTGTTGCTACGTAGACTCACCCATATGTTTCCATATGAACTAAATAATGTAAATATGTTTAATTAATTAATTAGAATAATAATTTTTTTTTAAGTGTGCTATGTTCCCACTCTTTTCTTAGCCTTCACTCTCCTGTGTGTGCTCACTCTTTCTCTCTTCTTCCTTTCCAATCTTCTTTCTTCTCCTTCTCCATCATCCTCAATTTACCAAAATGCCCTTCACTCTCCCCAAAATTCCATCCATGTCTTCGTAGCAGGCCTCCCCAGATCCCTCAACTACAGCCTATGGGACAAGTATTGGGATTTTGAGCCCGATTCCTGGCTTGGTAGCTATGCGGACCACAAAATCCCGAAGACCCATTTGCCCAAAAGCCTTGAACTTCTGCCATATCCTAATAATGCATTGATCAAACAGTATATTGTCGAGTACTATATTTTGGGGGACTTGATGAGCTATAGGGAGCAGAGAACTAGGTTGCTTTCTTAGAAGGTTTTCAGTCTTGTCGAAGGCAACATAGTTTTCATGTTGTTTTTTGTGACTTTGAACGCAGAATTGCAGCTGACTACGGCTTAAGGAGCCTTGAGGAACAAGGCTAGGAATGATGACTATGGGAGGCATAGGCAAGTAGTTGACTTTGTGAAGAACACCAAGACTGGATCAACTTCAATTTCTTTTTGGTGTCGAGCCGCATCACTTGGATTGGTACGTTCACTTGGGAGTATATAATCAATTTTGCTGCCACATAACATGTAATTTCTCATGGGACACATTCATGGGCTCACCATTCTGACATGTGGTCACGGATTGTTTTCGAAGTTGAAACAAATGAGAACTATTATGAGTAACAATATAGGTTTTCTGGGCAACATCCCAAATATCACTAGCAGTATGACCCTTGAAGTTAGAAGATATCTTAATGAAGATGGAAGATGCAACATGTGTTTTTGAACTTGCAATATGGAATATATGTTTTTGCACTTGCAATGTGTTTTGGAACTTATAAATCATATTTTGGAAGATATGGTTTATGTTGTCTTGGAACTTAATGTACACACTTCGTTTTGGAAATTAATGGTTTGTACACATGTTTAGTTTGTTTTGGAACTTAATTTGTGTTCTTAATGGATAAGTGTAATCTATGTTTTGCCTATTTTGGTTCAGCAAATGCTAGTAGAGAAGTTACACCAATTTGCACCACTTCGTAACATCATCCACTGAATTACAAGGCTGAGAAGTTATATAACAAAATTCACTAAACAAACCTTCTAAAACACATTTCATAATTCAAACATGCTTCATCACAACAAACATAAACAAGAAAAACAACACAACTACACATATTTTTCTTTATTTTTCTTGATTTTTTGCATTTTCCTTTTCCAATCTATCTATCTTTCTAAGCAACCCAAGTATCACCATCTTTGAATGTTCACAAATTTTAGGAGCAAACCACTCCCAAAAACCACATCATTTCTACCATCTTCCCTGCATTGATCCACACAAGATTTATCATTTCTTGCTGTCAAATAACCAAGCATGAAGCATCTTATTTTAGGACTCCTTCCTACTTTCGACTTTGGACAGACTAAATCTCCTTCCTTGGTTAGAATTAGTCCGTGAAGTTTGAATCCTCCTTCCTGGGTTAGAATTAGTCCATGAAGTTTGAATCCTTGCCAACTTTCCATAATGACACTGATGCCTTCCTTTTCTAATCTCCATCTATTCTTCGATGAACTAGCACGCCTTCAATATCAACCAATTAAACATGCGTAACTTCAATAGTAGAAGACCCAAATTTGCTCCCCTCGTCGTCAATTGATGCCAACCTTCAATTCCTAGGGCATTGAATCAGCGACATAGGGCAAAATTAGGGAAATATGGTCAACTTTTGCGGATATATAACCAAAGTGCTTGAAATGTTGTAGCTGACAAATATACCCACGTTTTTCTACCATGTGGCTACCACATAAGCAAAGATAACAATTTATGTGAGGAAATGACGGAAAAGGGGAACGTAGGACACAAAAACAAGGCACAGGGGGCATATCAATAACTATGTCTTAATTTTATCTTCTATCTTCTTCTTTTGTTTTCAAATTTTGAAATTTTTTGGTTAAAATATTCATAAAAGAAAATCATGATGGTATAAACGAAAATTAACTTAAGAAAAATTAAACACAAAAAAAGCTTAAGAGTTGAATCATTCTTGAGGGAAAAAACTGTTTGAATTCGGGTAATACATGAATAGTTGTATTTTATGGGGCGAAAATTTTAGTCTTGGAGATGGCAGCAAAAGTAAAATTCAAAATCTTAGGGGTGGATACTGAAAACCGAACTTCATTCCAATTGTTATCCCGCGTAGGCTTAGCAAATAAGCCAGTCTTGCAGATAATAAAGTGGGAGTGTAGTGTGACACATTACACAACAGAGAGATTGCCACACCCGCTTTCTCTCTCTCTCTCTCTCTCTCTCTCTCTAAATTTTCTGCAAAATTTGGGGATCTAACGATGAATCGGCACCACGACCCCAACCCATTTGACGAAGAAGTGGTCGAGGTCGAGGTCAATCCCTTTTCGGTAATTACAGCCAACACCTTTTCTCTTTCTCCATTTTAAACTGTTTTCTTCTTCTTCTTCTTCTTCCTGTTTAGATCTGCCCTCTATTTCAGTTGTAATTTGAATTCCTGGATGTTGGGTTTTTTACGGATCTGGATCTGAACCCTCGGTTTTCAATATTCCGACACTAAAGCGAATGTTTTTATTTTTTATAAAAAATTTGGAAACAATTATATGTAACCTATAAAATTGAGTTGAGAATTTGAAATAACATGTGGATTTGCAGTCTTAATCTCTCAATGACAGTAGAAACAGAGCCAATGCTCGCTATGCAAGAGTCCTTAGCTTAGAGTAAATTTAATATGTTGAAAATCAACTTAGAAAAAGATGACATTTTTTCGAGTTAAAATGCTTAAGAAATCTTAAATGAGTTAGGTTTTTTACTTCTGTTAATTTGAATAAACATTGAAAATTTAATCAGAAGTTGAAAAGTTATACCTCATTCACTTCAAAGTCAGCTTTGCGGAAAAAAAGAAGAAGGTGAATTTGGGATACATTTCTCAACATATTCATTAAAATTAAAAATTATACAATGTCCTGGTCAATTTGGAAGAGAGGTATAATGTACAGCTTAGCGATTGATGTTTGGTTTTGAAGCTTTCTAACACTTTCAGGCAGTAAGTTAATTAATTTTCAGTTAAAGAGTATTTTTTATTTTATACTCTTGCTTTTTTCTTTTCTTTGAAAATTGTCTATCACTGAGTCCCCTTCCCCCTTTTACGAAATGTTGTCCTTTTACATTGTTCTGGACTTCTCATTCTACTGTTTTAGTGTATTTAATCTTTTGCATTTTTCCCATAATGTATTTATTTAATAACCTAGTTATGATTTTTATTATTGACCGCCAACCTCCACACCTTAATATCAACATGTTAGTCTTCAAGAATCATAGATTTGTACATATTCTGAGAGTTTAAAGAACGTTTCTCATTAATGTGTATAGAGTTCAAGCTATCTTGATTTTTTATATATGTAATTCGATTTTGAACCTCTGCTAAACATTATGAAGCCATGATGGTTGACCATTTCAGTGATGCAACATGATGTATTAATGGTGAATTGGAGTTGTTTAACTTGCTTCCAAAAGGTTAATTGGAATGGTGAGGGTTGCTAATGCAATGCTTTGTGCTTCCCTCGAATCTTTATGAAGTCTCAGTTCTTTGTGCATTTGCATTTTAGAAGTTATAAATCCTATTCCATGTCTTTGTGCATAAGCTATTTGATTGTCAGGCTGCTTTTAGATGCAAATAAGTGAAGTTAAAGTCATGTTGCCACTACAAGTGCGTGGTGCAATTTGCATTTTCTAGGATACCATACAAAATCACTTTCGGATTTTAAGCCATATGGCTTCATGGTTAAGGCATGCTTATCAAGACTAGTAAAAAGCTTAGTTGATATGTATTTTTCTTTTCCTTATAGTAATGTTCCAAATGTGCCATAATTTGAGAACTTTGCAGAATGGTGCTGGTGCTCCCAAGTCAAAGTCACGTGTTCCACCATTGGCATCTGAACCTCTGGGTTTTGGGCAGAAGCATGATGCAACAGTCGATATACCATTGGATACAATGAATGTAATGTAGTTTCTTTTTCCTATACTATTTTCTCTACTTATTTAGCTTGGTTACGTATTGTTCGGTATGATATCTACAGGATTCTAAGCAAAAGGCAAAAGAGCTTGCAACTTGGGAAGCAGATCTCAAGAGGAGAGAAAAGGTTAATTGTATAAATTTTATGAGTGATTACTTATCTATAGGTCTGCCTTTATTGTAAATCTTTTGAATTGGAGTTTATTGCATTATGAATCTATAAATTGCTCACATATCTGAAATGTTTCGTGTAATAATCTCTCATTTGTGCTATTCCTTAGTATCTCTCAAGTGTGCTGCTTAATGTGTTCCTATATTTTGTTTTTAATAGTGTTTGTATTTACATTTAACTTTTACAGGATATTAAACGGAGAGAAGATTCTGTTGCAAAAGGTAAGCACTATGAATATGCAGCCTAAACTATTAGTAATTTGGGTTTTTTTGTTGGCTTTTCTTAAATTATGACTAATTACTTTTTCCTTCTACTGTGTGAATCAGCTGGTGTCCCCGCTGATGATAGAAATTGGCCTCCATTTTTTCCAATTATTCACCATGATATAGCTAATGAAATACCAGTACATGCTCAAAGGCTACAATATCTGGCTTTTGCAAGTTGGCTAGGTAATGGAAGTTTATTATTCAAATGTGTTGCTATGCAGTTTTACTTGTATTATTTCCAAGTGTTAAGGTTGCCTTCTTTCGGTGTGCCCATATGGTTGCTGTTCATAACCAGCCTTTTGGGTTCTTTGAATGGATAAGCTTTGCTATTTTCATTTTTATCTCAATAACCCGTTTTTTATTCAGAAAAATGGAAACTGATTGATCAAATGGATGTAGCATTAAATTTTTTCTACATGTCTTTTCTGCCATCAGTTTCTACGTGTCGTGCCCGGAAATACATATCCTTCTGATCCAAAGAGCACACTTTTTTTTTGTGTTGGAAGACTGATTATCACATTTTATTTGATCAAAATAAAGGAAAAGCTCAAGAATAATTTATTTGTTGGAAATTTTTTGACCTAATTATATAATTCTGATCTAAAGTTAAATTGTAAATAGAAAATTCAAATTTATATTTGCAACTCTTTTCTTCAAATAATTATATTTTAATAGAGTCAAAAAACGATATATGAAGAGACAGCCCCAAATTTGTTAACTGAATGAATTATTTAAGTTATTAGTAATAAATAAGGTTATTAATGTATATTCTTACTTTTTAGAAGGATATTTTTTTTTTGTTTTCATTGGAATTATATATAGCAAAAGTATATTAGAATTACTTTCGGTAGAGATGATGAAAAGTTATTTAAAAAATCAGTGTTGATTAACTTAGGGCATTATGAATGTGGAAAACTATTTCAGATAGTCTGGTAAAATTTAGGACTTGTCTTGTTGAGAGGGAAAAGGGCCATTTTGTACCAGGACACGCCCTCATTTTTGGTTATGCTAGCATGTTTTCATTGTTAAGGACCTCATAGTTAGGGGTGGGCGTCAATCCGGCCGAGCCGATGATACTGGCTAATCCAAACCGTAATTACCAGTTTGGTTAAGTTTTGACCAAGAAAAAGTCAAACGGTTTAAAATCCCAAATGGACCATATATGGTTTGGTTTTGACCTTTTGTAAACCGACCTATACCAAACCAAACCGTTTATGTGTATATTCATTTATTTATATTTTATTATACATGTGTAATACTCTAATTAGGCAATAACTATTTATGGATATTTGAATTAAGATTAGTTATGAAATTTAAAGTTTTATGGCATGTTGAGCTTTAGGATGGTTTCGTACTCTAGAAAATTATTTAAGTATGGAGCAAGTTGTGAATTTGTGGGGTTGTAATTGGGTTAACAATGTTGAAAAAATGCAAAAGAAAAGAGAATTGGGCTTAGGCCCAAACCGGCTAAACCAAACCAAACCGTCTTAAATTGGTTTGGTTTCCTTCATGAATTTTGTCAAAGCCGAACCGAACCAAACCACTATGTTGTAATTGGTTTGGCCATGGTTTTGAGGTGAAACCGATCCAATCCGGACCATCCCACCCTACTCAAAGTAATGTTATATAGCAATATATTATGCCTTGTTTTTTGTTTTTGAAATTTATTTTGGTAATGCATGTAAATAGCAGGATGATATGCCTGTCTAATACTTAATAATATTGTCTTTGCAGGCATAGTTCTTTGCCTATCTTTTAACGCAATTGCTATTATTGTTTGTTGGATTAGAGGCGGAGGTAAGCTTTACAGAGTGATGTTTCATTATTTGTAGATTATATGTAGGATTAGCTCTTTGTCTATGATGCTAATTAGAGCTTCTGATGATGTTCATAAACTGCAGGTGTTAAAATATTTTTGCTTGCAACGATCTATGCTCTACTTGGATGCCCTCTTTCATATGTTCTGTGGTACAGGCCTCTCTATCGTGCAATGAGGTAAATATTTAAAGAGGGATTCGTTTCTAGTTTCTAGATAAATATAGGATTTGTAGTTCATCTGGAGCTCACAGAGAAGCTGCTTGTAGCATAGAACTTTTGGCACTACATAGAAATATTTGTCAGAAATATCATGGATCATAGGCATAGCTAATACAAGCTAATAACCAGCTATAAAAGAATAAGCATTTGCATGTCTCACAAAATTATCTGTCTTCACTGCTTGTATTGATTGTTGAGGGGTATTTTTTCCAATTTGCAGGACAGATAGTGCCTTTAAGTTTGGTTGGTTTTTCCTGTTCTACATGGTATGTACTGATACTGTATCCTTTTGAATTCTTACTGCTTAGCTTATTGATCTGATTTGTAATCAATTTCATGAGGCAGCTCCATATTGGGTTTTGCATTTTTGCGGCGATAGCTCCTCCAATTGTCTTTAATGGGAGATCATTGACGTAAGTTCTTCCCTTTAATTTTTTGTTTGTTTCTTTGTTTCTTGAGTATAATTTTCTATAGTAAGATGGTTGGCAAATGAAAATTTAGCATGGAACTTACCACCAAGTCAAAGTACATTTTGACAAGCCATCCGTAAAAGGAAATTTTTTGGCTCATTAGCTGCTGCATTAAACACATGTTTAGCAATTGGAAGTGTAAAACTAATAACTTATGCATAGGTACATTTGCTAATGTATACTTCCTTTCAAATTTCATTTCCTGTTGTCATAATGTTGATTGATTTGAAGTAAGGGAAGAAAGTAACTTCTGCAGTTTGTCATTTGAAATTTGTTTGTAACCATTTTCATATTTAACTAAATATATTTTTTTGAATTTTTACCTTGGTGGAATGGCAAGCCTGGAGAGAAGTTACAACAGTTCAATTTCTGGTGGATTTTAAGTTATTAACAAGTTTCTTTTTCTTACTAAATTACATAGAGTTGTTTCATTGAGTATAATTCTTTTCATGCTGTTTAACTGAACCAGTATATTTTCTTCCTTTATATTGATGCTGTTTCCTACTTTTTTGGTTTTTATTTCACAAAAAATACAGGGGCATTCTTCCAGCAATTGATGTCTTCTCAGACCATGTGGTGGTAGGGGTAAGTTTGTAAACATGCCTGTATCTGTCTTTCATCAGCTTCAAAAGTGTGTGCTTGTGAACTTGTATAATGCCTGCTAGAGGCTGAGTTGCCCTGAGAAGCGTGTGTGTGTTTTCTCCTGTTATTTTTTGTTCATTTGATTTTATAACTCTCTGCAGAGTATTAATAAATAACAGATTTTATGATGAATTATGTTCTTAGAAGAATGTTGTTGGAAATATAGTGTTTCTTTTATTTTCATGCCCATCATCCTTGTGTGTTTAGTTTTTATTACAACTTCTAAAGTTTAAGGAACAGAGTAGACAATATTAGTTAAAAGCTTGTTACATAATACATACGTAGAGCTGTTTATAATACATTCAAGATATGAAACAGCAAACTTTTATGAAGAATTTGGACTACATTTAATCAGGAAAAAAGAAGAAGAACAAGCATGATCTAAATAATGAAGAAGGTCATGAAGTAGGTCGAGAAAGAAATACAAAGATGCCTGCTGGTTTTCTGTGGAAGTCAAAACTTAAACCTGCTTTCGTATCTTTGGCATGTCTTCACTTTTGACTCCAAATTAATGTGTCTTCTTCCCCAAAATACTCTTAACAAATGAAACAGTAACCACCTTCTCTGATGATCTAAACTGGGAGAAAAGATAAAAACAAGCGTTATACGTACAATGAACTTTAACTCACTTCAAAAAGATTCCATTGTCAAATTTCTCAATGCTATGCAAAGAATTCAGAATATCAGATTGTTGTAAAACCTTTGTTTGCTTAGCATAGCTGGATAGTCATAAATTTGTGCTGTTCATTGACAAGGTACTGTAACAAGTTTGGTAAAAGAATATGTGTGCTTTTAATGTGGGACACATCCCTTGTGCGTCTTACTTACGTGTAGAAAGACTCTTAAGACAGAACAGTGAAGGTATATTTGTTTGTCCAGAAAAAGGAAAAAAGGTATATTAGTTGTTAAGGATATATTCATCATGAATTGGATTTCTGATGACCAAATTGCTTGAATGTTTGGGTTATAATATTATAAGATTACTAATATTTTTTATTTTCTTTGTGCAGATATTCTACTTAACTGGGTTTGCCTTGTTTTGCTTAGAAACCCTTCTAAGCTTTTGGGTACTTCAGGTGAGATACAGAGTTTGCCTTGTTTTCAATATGCACTTTCAAATTTTAGTATTATCTTCTTTAGATGTATAGGAAATGCTTTTGGTGGCTCACAAAGAGATGCACTAAAGTAATCTGTAGATTTGGAAACTACTCTTAGTTTATGGAGCTGTAGACCACAGTGATTGTTCCTTGAAAGTGGTTTGGCCCTGATATTTTGCCTCCACCAAATTTAGTCTGTAGTTGGAAACTTGGAATCAGACGATTATTTTAAGCTAAATTGATACTTATTATTTCCCTTGATCTCTGCCACAACAAAATGGTTGCTGAGATCACCTGGGGGTAATAATGAGTGAAAAGCAAATAACTTTCCTGTGTTAAACTGATACTTGCAAGTTATAATTTATATGATTTGGATGAGATTTAGTAAATGGAAATAGATTATTTATTAATTATCTAGTTAACACAAGAAACACAATTTATCACTCACTTTCACCGTATCGCCTTTTCAAAGATTGGAATTTCTTTAGTATGAATGATTTTTTATTTTATTTTGGGGCCTAGTTAGAATGAAGTCATTGTTTACATGGTATTTATCCTTGGTATATATCTGATTGTCTTTTTCCTCTTTGGTTTGTGCAGAAAGTATACATGTATTTCAGGGGGAACAAGTGAGATTTGATCCTGGGGTTGTGTCCAATTGGGATTCAGAGTTACGTTGTTCTTTTCGAGTGATTTTAGTATATTCTTCTGCGGCCTATTATCATGTAGCATTTCGTTGCGATAATTGCATTGCATGAGTAAGTAGAAGAATGATTTGTAAGATAAATATATATGATAGAGAATGTATTGTTCTACCCTAAACTCTAAAAGTCTGTCTATTGCCCCCTTTTCCTCATCAAACTACCTAGTCTTATAATTGGTTTGTTTGTTATATATTCATGTTCATCCTACTACCTGTGCAAAAGCCACTGCGAACATTATGAAAAATATATATGCCAGAAACAAAAGCTCTTTGGGATAGGCAACTTCAGGCTCGTTTGGGACGGCTTCAACGGAAGCATTCATGCTGCTAAATGCTTTTATTAGAAGCGTTATCAAAAATCTGGTGCTTCCAGTTGATGAAGACAATGTCGAGTTTGATTTACCCCAATCATAACTTTGGGCTCCAAAAACTCTAAGGCCAGCTCCCTTTCGTTTCGTTGGAGCTTTCTGAATGAAAGGGATCTGCAAAATCCCATCTACACACAAAAAAAACCTGCAAATGTGTTAGAGCCAGGGATTGTTTGATGAATAAGAACTTCTTGGACATGTAGCAAATCATGGTAACTAGTGATGTCACCTAAATAAATATTAAATCGGGAAACTGGTTAAATGACCAGGCCCAACAAACAAACAAGTCTTCATAAACTATATTTATAAATAAAAAAAATAAAAGAGAGAACTGTAGAAAGTTTATGAATGGAAGGACTTCGTAAAATTAATGTATTTATTTTGGTTAATTTTCACACAATATTCCAATTGTTTACAAGGAATGCACACTTCATAAGAAATAAATGAATACAAAATGATCACAACAATAATCAAGCGGCTAAATATTCTTTGATTTAGATGAAATTTTGCACGAATGATCATTGAACGATAAAACTTATTAGCCGGTTAACGCTTAAACCCTATTGATTAATCTAACTAACAACATTCATTATGCATAATCGTATCATATATGAGTATACGATCTTGATTGATGGTAAAACACACTAGAGTGACGTCGCTCAGTGTAACTCGTCATGCTTCATTGTACACGTCATGACTATTTTCTAAAATATATATATACACGTTCACTTTCTGAAGAATATCATGTGTGTGTGTCGCTGCTGAATCACGGCAGCAGGTTTTACCAAACTGTGAAAACTTTATGATAAAATATTAATAATAGAAACAAGGAACAGTCCAAAGATTAAAGTGTATGGCCACATACTCCATCTCTCTCTGTCTCTCTCTCTTCCATATCTCTTCCATCCCTCACCCTTCACCCCTAATCTTCAACCAGCCACCACTGCCATGCCGCGTGGCACATCAAATATCCAAACTAAAGCAAATGACCACCAAGCCTTCTTCTTCTCTCCATGCCTCAGGTTATCACAATTCAATTCACATAATGCCATCACCTCACCATCGAAAACTTCATCTTTTCTAAATTTAAAAAAAAAAGTTATTTTATTTATTTTATTTATATTTTTTGCAAGTGGAAAAACAAAGCTGTGAAATGACAATTATACCCATCGCCCACTGGTTTAAGCCCATCCTACAACCTTAGAATTAGCTCCAAGGTTGTCCGAAACCAGGGGTACTCAGAGAAACCCACAAACCAGAAGACGCGTCAGCAAGCGGCCTTAGCATATCACCAAGACAACACGACCCCCTGTCAGCAGCAACCTCTTATTTATGTTCCAAACTTTTCAATTTTCTTTGCAACCCAAAAACCAAAAATAAAAAAAAAGATTCAAAACCCACAAAACTTATGTGTCTTCTTCACAAAGCCAAGCCATAACAGAAGAGAGAGAGAGTGAGAGAGAGAGAGTATAGTGCTCCAAAATGGCAATTTGTGCAGTTTACACAACCCAACTGAACCCAACATGTTCGTTTTCCACACCAGCATCAAAAACCCAAACCCAGCTGGGATTTGGATTTGGGTTCTGCCAGAAGCAGCAGGTGGTGTTTTACAAGAGAAGTCAAAGTAGTAGCAGGAGAGCAAGTGTGAGTTTGATAACATGCTCCGCGGGTGGCCAAGAGACGGTGGTGATTGGTCTAGCAGCAGACTCAGGGTGTGGGAAGAGCACATTCATGAGGAGGCTGACGAGCGTGTTCGGAGGAGCCGCGGAGCCACCCAAGGGAGGCAACCCGGACTCGAACACGCTCATCAGCGACACTACGACAGTCATATGCTTGGATGATTACCACTCTCTGGATAGGACAGGGAGGAAGGAGAAGGGGGTGACTGCTCTTGACCCAAGAGCCAACAACTTTGATCTCATGTATGAGCAGGTCAAGGCAATCAAGGAAGGGAAAGCTGTTGATAAGCCCATTTACAACCATGTCTCTGGTCTCTTGGACCCTCCTGAGCTCATCAAGCCCCCCAAGATTCTTGTCATTGAAGGCTTGCACCCAATGTAAGTATATTTATTTATGGAAAAATCTTGGATCCTTAAAATTGAGAAGGAGCTCGAAACAAATGATTATGGACACTTGTCCAATTCCTCCAACATTTTTTTTCTCAATGTCACTTTGTTATATATTCCCCATTCATTAATTTTCTCTTTTACTAATAATAATATATATATATTTTTGGTACAAATTATAATGCAATCCCTTTTTTTATTACTTATTCATGAAACCCTGAAATGTTGTTCTATATTTTTGCTTTTTTTTTTTATATATAAAAAAAAGACATTTAGAGAAGGATGATTTCAGGCAATTTTTTTTTATGTTGAGGAAAACAAAATTTCATATATATATATATATATATCAAAGTATTAATTTATACTATTGAATAAGATTATTATCGTCAAGGTGTGGTCCAAATTCTCAGTATTTGTTCAGGGCCCATCCTTGTGGTAAATTAAAATATTACTATACACACGTGTGTAAATAGGTAATGATAATATAAAATATGTATATATATTTATATTTATTTATAATCTAAAAAAGACACGAGGAAATGAGAATGCTTTTGAAGAATCCAATTTTTTTTGTTAAAAAAACGCTTTCTTATAACTGGTATATCATTGTTTTGCTATCTCCAATCAATAATGCAATGACATGTGAAAAAGTTATTCCTCGTGTCATTACGTTATTTACCGGGAATTTATTAACTAACCTCAATTAAAAAACAAAACAAAGCACAAAAGAAGATTGATAGAGTCATGAAGGCTGGTAAAGGTGGATGGTTTTCAAGGGTCCTTTGTTGGTGGAGCTTAGTTTCTATTTAAATATTAAAAAGGCTGATGCTGATCAAATTGTGTCAAACCTGAGGCAATAAGTCTAGGTTCAAAACCAAGGCGAAAGCCACTAATAAATATAAATAAAAGCATTTGAAGAAAAACAAACAAGTGGAGGGTTATTAGTTGACAACTGGCCTTCATTTATATATATTTCACTATTGCCTTTGATTGTTCAATGATTAATTAATGCCACCAAAGCAAACACCTACATAGTACCTGCTAATTAATTCCAAGCTACTGGCCATCACTTTCAAATCTTTAAAAATGCAAATTTACGGTAAGGCGCTTGTAGTTCAAGTCTAGAACGGTTATGCTTACATCCGAGTTCATGCGTTCGAATTTCCCTTTCTCAATATTTGATGGTTAAATTTACTTTATATTAAATTTGAAATTAATTGGCTATGCAGGTATGATCAGCGAGTTAGGGACCTGTTGGACTTCAGCATCTACTTGGACATCAGCAATGAGGTCAAGTTTGCATGGAAAATTCAGGTGATTAACCTTAACCCTATTTAATTATAAATTTAATTTCATGTGTTCAGTTGGAGTGATGCCCATTGGATTTGAACAGAGGGACATGGCAGAGCGCGGTCACAGTCTTGAGAGCATCAAAGCCAGTATTGAAGCCCGGAAGCCTGATTTCGATGCTTATATTGGTACACCAACTCAGTTAAACTTTGATTTTATTTAATTAAATAAGTGAGAAAAATTAATTAATCCTAATTTATTTAATTTGTTAATTTTTGGTTGAATTGCAGATCCACAAAAGCAGTATGCTGATGCAGTGATTGAAGTGTTGCCAACCGAATTGATTCCAGGGGATAATGAGGGGAAGGTATTGAGAGTGAGGTTGATCATGAAAGAAGGTGTGAAATTTTTCAACCCAGTCTACTTGTTTGATGAGGGCTCCACCATCTCCTGGATACCATGTGGAAGGAAGCTCACCTGCTCTTACCCTGGAATCAAGTTCACCTATGGCCCTGACACTTACTTTGGCAATGAGGTACTAATTTTATTTCCAGTTTGTTTACTTATCAGAATGGGTATTGGAATTATTCGAATTCTTGCTTTCCTGTGTTTACTAACACATGGAATTTGAACTATTCCAATTCTCGACTTCCCATGCGTTTACTAACATATAAGAAATAAAAAAATTTGTGAGTTCTACGTTAAAATCCGGAATCGGATCAACTAGGAGGAAGTAGTTGATCTAACTTCAACTCCTTAATTCCTGAGTTCCTAACTTCCCTTATTCTTAGTAAGTAATTATTATTGGTAACAATTTTTCTTCATAATGCTAGGATCACCAAATTTCTTTAGTGTCTCAGTATCTATATTAGTATCCTACTTTTTAATGTTTTGCTTGTTATGGTCATATTATTAGGTGTCTGTGTTGGAGATGGATGGGCAATTTGACAGATTAGATGAGCTGATCTATGTAGAAAGCCATCTGAGCAACATCTCCACCAAATTCTATGGAGAAGTCACCCAACAAATGTTGAAGCTTTCGGACTTCCCCGGCAGCAACAACGGCACTGGTCTCTTCCAAACCATAGTCGGATTAAAGATCCGAGACCTCTTTGAGCAGCTCATTGCAAGCAAGGCCAAAACTCCAGTAGAAGCAACTAGAGCTTAAATTAAAACTATGCCTTATCTTTATATCTACTGTCTACGTACTTTAAGGCAACGCAGGCCACTCTAGAAAAGCTTGTCTTCTTTCAGTTTTCCATTTTTCCACTCTCTCTCTCTCTCTCTAGTGTTTCTGTTAGTGTTAGGCTATTCCTAGCAAGAACAATGACACTTTGTAATATCTTCATGTTGTAATTCTATGGAACATTTGTATTATAGTGAAACAAATTTTAAAAATAAAAAAGAAGAGAAGAATACAAAATTCAGTTATGAGGTTCACATCCATTGATCACTTCCCAATGCTGCATTGCATTCCATTTCATCACTGATATAAGCAACCACATTTATGATGGTCCCCTTTGTCCTTTACTGTATTTGCTTCTTTTTCTGTTTTCTGTTCTAGTTCATTTATAGGGACTGACCTTAGCATGACACTTTGCTTCTATCTTCGACTATTGAGGCTTCTACCTCATCAAATTCACATCTCATGCTAATTCAGAATCAAAGATTAGACCCTTGTGAAAAGAAAGCACCTTCACGTACCAACTAGCTCATGGTCTATGGGAACCACTCCCACATCATGGGGTGTATATCCATTTCCTTTTGTCTCTTGCTTCATATGAGGATAGAGATAGAAAAGGGATAGACACCCGGGATATGTAAGTTTTTCTTCTTGATCAATAATATTTATCTTGTCAATGTTGGGAAGGGGTCTCAAGCTGAAATCTCCTTCCATGTTAAGGAAAAAAATTTAAAAGTCTAGCTTAATATACATTGTTTAATCAGGCCTGAATCTTGGCAGTCAAGTTATATAGGGAGAAATGGATACACAAAACGGCCCCAAAATGTTCTCCACTTAGTCATCTGTTTGAAACCTGCTAAACTCGTTCATGTTAATCTCTTCAATTCCTCAAGACATCAAATTGAAGGTTGTTCGGTGCAAGCTTATACGTGCGTGAGGAGGCTTTAATGCATGCTGTGTTAGCTTAACATACATTTTTAGGTCGCCTTCCTATAAAGTGCACAGTACTCCATGTAAATTGCCAGTCTTTTCCCCTATAAATTTTGTTCTTTGTAGTTCAGAATAAAATGAACGTTTAGATTTAAACTTGATGTTTTTCGTAGTGTGTTTTTAATAAGAATATACGTACTAAGGGCAGAATTTCTTGTGTACATGTATACGGATACGGTTAACAAAAACACAGTGATTTTGAAGCAGTATCTAATTGCGAGAGCAACTAAGCAGCTGATAATTTCATCCAACTACAGCAAGCAAGCTTTGCCTGACTGCTGGAATTGAACAAAGCAAAGAGCCAAATATACCATTCAGAGCATAAGCAATGGCACAAAATGGGAGAGCCTCGGGTTCCTTGGCCGACAATGCTGCTGTTCCCAATCCATGAGCACTAAAGCAACAAAACAAAAACAAAATACACAGTTACTTGAATCATAGTTTTCAAAACTGCTTGTGATGAGTAATGCCCTGAACCTAGTCAATAGCACTTATGTTTGAGTATAAATAACAATAAATCATAGGATTAAAAAGGTTTTGTGGCACAAAGATAAAATCTTCGTTATTTAATATATCTAAGAAAGAACTTTCAACCACAAAATTTTCCTGCAATAATTCAGATGCTTTAACGAATTCCTTTAATTGTTTATAGTTTGGTCCACTATATTTTCTCATTTATAATTGACCGTTTCATGTAGAGGGTTCAGCAGAGATGCATACCTAGATGCAGTAGCTATCCCTCGAGCTATAGGATCACGGAATTGTAGTTTATCAAGTGCTGCTTGCACAAAATTAGCTCCAACCAGACCAGTTACTACAACCACAGCGGCTGTGAGCGATGGATTGGTACCTACAAAAAGTACAAAATAAATATTATAGAGATGTACATGCATAAGTGTATTTCAAGGATACAAGATAAAGACGTACTGCATGCAATAATTTGTTCCTAAGTATTACTTAGTTGTAGCATGTTGAAAGAAAGAAAAAAGAAGGGAATAGGTTGAGGAAAATGAGACAGGAATAGTCTCCAATTCATTATTCTAATATTTTATAAACTCATGCCAAACTTAGCCCATGTTTATCAGGTGAGAAATTTGCTTGTCTACAACTCCAAAGTATGAACTAGTACCTTCAAACAAAGACACAATGCTGAGTGCTAATGCCACAGTTATACATCGTGGTAGAATTGAGACAGTCAAACCAGGTTCCAACCCAACAAGACGTCCGACAAGAGCAGTTGAATACAACGAGAATATGGTTGACAGGATGACGGATGTGAAAATCTCAGCTGCGTGCCTCTTGACTAGCTGAAAATTTGTAGTTCAGCAATAATCTTCATCAAATGGTTGTAATATGTATTAAAAAAATGTGACAGCTAAGTTGGTTTTAACATCAAATAGAATTTGGGGGAAAATTATGACACCCATTGGGTGAATGCACGGAGTTGAATCAGGTTCAAACTGTAATGAAGTATGTAGGCATAAAAGGCAAACCAGAATTCTTTGATTTGAACAACCATATCTCTTAAATAAATAAATAAAGCTGTTCTAAGGCCTTTTGCAATCAGTTCTCGACTTTTTGCTATATTCCCTATGATATATTTCAGAATACCAAGTAAAGAAAGAAGCTTATTGTGAAATATTGTAATTAAATACGATGAAAGAACTATCCTAGTTAAAGCATTGAAGAGTGATAATCTCCCAGTTATATTCACTCCACAGGTTGGAACGCAATGTTCTACAGAAGAAATATATTTCCAACGGATAGTCCATAAAATTCAGTCCACCTACTCAATTATGCTTTTCAACTCACCATGGAATAAAAAATAAAAAACTAAAGATGACACAAAATGGGAAACCTGGGCTCTTCAAATGTTATTTACCTTCCTCTGTTTGAACATTGAGAAGGCAAATGAGAGGATAACAGACCCCAAGAATCCCATCAGAACATCACCAGCTCCAGGATTAGATGAAACCTTTGTAAGGTAAGATCCTGTGCATATCATTAAGAATGACGATCCACATACTAAAAGCATTTCTGGTCCATTTGGATGGAAATATTTAAAATGAGGGATTTGTATTGGAATTTTTATTGGAAATTGCTTAGTTGGACTAACGACATATTCATTCCTATGTAAGAAAATCCACATATAAAACTGAGAAATCCGAAATATTATGTTCTTATTTAAGGGGGGAGAGAGTTGCAAACATAATTTCAGTTAAAGCAATGCAGAGAGGCTCTTTCTTATCAACGACTTGCCAATTTTAAAATGAAGAACCTAAGAAACTAAGACAAAACCAGAAGAGTATCCTGGACCATCATATATTCTCACACTTGCAATGCTAACCTTTTTCTCCTTGTAAGGGCCTTGAAAAAATTAATTCTGATGCTATTGATGTATTATGCATCCTAATGGATTAGCTCTGTTGTCATACGACATCTTAAGTTCTTCTATAAGTCGTTGAAGCCTCAAAACTTTGTGACGTGAAATTCCTTAGTATATTATAATCCAAGTATAAATTCTTCAACCCTGCCATTTATTTCTAAATCTTGTAGCCATTTGCTTTCTAATGGTGAATAATTTAGAGTCCCAAGTAATACCTTTCAGGATGGTCGGTACACAGTTTCTATCTGTTATTAAGGCAGTACGAAACTAGCAATAGGCTCTCCTTGGATCAATGAAATTACAGACTAGTTGTAAGAAAATCAGATAAACTGATGCAGGGCAGGTGGTGTGTGCCTCTATGGAGCATTGGGATGAAAAGAAATATTGATTGACATCAATGGCACTTAAGGGCTTGCTTCAGTAACTTTAAGAGTGGCAATAAATCCACATGCATGTTAGGGATTAAATGCGCGTCTTTTCTGTTTTCTAGGTTTATCTGATTTTCAGTCTTTTAAAAGTTTCTGCAGGTTTATTTTGTAAAACTTTTATTAACCATCTTCTAATTTTTCTGAGTTTATCTTGTAAGCCTATAAATAATACTTCTTGCTGGAAGTAGAGGATAATTTATCTGGTTCAGAGATGGTTGGCTTTCATTTTTCTAATTGTCCGCAATTGTAGGGTGGTACTAGAAATAGGTAGGTAGGCAATGATTTCTAAGAACCCAAACACATAGATAGTCAAAAGAAAAATCTTGAGAAGCAAGACTAGAGGAAAATTTTGAGATCGAATGATGAAAAACTAACAGTATATATCTAACATGAGGTGACAGTGAAGAGTGATATGAGAATTTATACATGTATTTTTCTTTTATTTATTCTTAAGAAAGGCAGATGAAGAGGGAGAATCAGAAAATCTGCTGGGAGGTGGTTACCAAAAACAAAAAATTGTTTGACCTGAATTTTATAAGAATTATCTTCATTTTATAATTTTTGTTTCAAGAATCATAGAGATAAATTGGAGTTTTTGGGCCAAATATCCTCATTACAAACTAGCTTAGCATTGTTATTTTCTACCCTAAATTTTGAAAACCTAATAAACATGCAGACTTCTACTAACGTACCAGGGTGGCAGAAACTACTGACTTTCATATTACTTAGGCAAACACTCAAAATTTATAATCCTGATTCCTGACATTTGAATTATCTAAGTTTCTGTCCTACAAGTTTGTTTAGTACCTGTCCTTGTTTTTTGTACGTGAGTCAAATGTTTATATCAAAACTATCTTCGTTTTAAGAATATAATTATATTCATGAACATGATACAGAGCATAAAATGCTTCCCTCAAGACCCATTTTCAGTAATTCTTTAACTTGATCTAATAACAGGATGTACATTAACTCCTCTTGATGGTACGTCACGTCATTTTGTAGTCATATAAGATTTATGGAGGAAAAAAGAAAAAGAAAGAAAACAGAAATTAATAGACTGGTGAAGGAGACCACATCCAAAAAGAAAATGAATAAAGAAAATAGCGAAGATGGAAAAGCTAACTTTGAATCTATGAGGTATTTGTCATTGGGTGATTGTTGCAAGTTGTTAAAAGCCTGCCTTTTGTTTTAATCTTATTGCTCAGTAATCAAGGGCGGCATAGTGTACTAGCCAGAACCAAGAATGTGGTTTCAGAAGTGTACCAAGAACAGAGTCAAGCCCAGACTTAGAGAAGTATCCAAAAGCCAATGCTGCCAAATCTGCAGATAGTGCACAGCAAATAATCGGGTGGAAAACCTTTTTCACAGCTGATGGCAATCTGAAAATTAGAAGTCAACAAATGAGTGAGACCTTTAAAAGGGAAAAAATATAGCTGGAGAATTTAAGTAACTTGTATTAAAATGAAAAACTTTATTTGGTCTGCATATTTGTTTAGTTTTCATAATAATATTCTTGTGAAGACAGAACTAAATTGAGGAAAATAAGTTTTACCCAGAACCAACTATATAGCCCAACACAGTTGATGCAAGTAGGAATGGAAGGCATGTTCGAGCACTTGTCCCCAGGGCTGTTGGATATAATAATGCAGAAACAAATGATATCAGGAGGATCCCACTCCAAGACCACACTTCAACCGCAGAAAATGGAGAGGGTTTTCCCATAGGCTCAGCATCTGTCATTTCTGTCTTTACCATTCTTCTAATAGCTATTGCTGTATATCCTGCAACAGCAAGTGAAGCCAGCCAGCCTCCAACTGCAGAAAACCACTTATATGTATAAGAAACAGACTCAAGAAGGAAGAAGGAAGATGAGAGATAGAAGTATAGAGCAATTGAACTGACCAAGATGATTTTGGTCTCTGTATTACAGCCGTATATATCATGTACAGGAGGTAGACTTTGTCAAGTCTATTTTCAGAAAATAAGCAATACAAGGTAAGTAGCATTAATCTTATATATGTCAGAATTATGCACATGTACACCAGAAGGGAGAGCGAGAGAGGTAACTGCTCCTACTACATAATTATTTGCTCAGAGAAAGTTATGGTTGTCATCCGAAGACACCACTCTCTAATTCTTGAAGTATTCAAGAAAGACAGTTTCTAGATTGTGAAAAATGAATAACGACTTTAAGATTTTCCCCAAAACAACAAAGAGTTTAAGCGTTTTTTGTTTTTTTTTGCATGCTTCATTAGTATGGTATAGGCCAAAAAAGTTAAGTCATTCCCATTGATAACCAAAACAAACAATCACCGTAGGGAAATTTAAATACTCTATAGCTTCACCAGAGAAAGTTACGTTAGAGTAGCAAAAACTTGCGTACCTATAATATAGCAGATCTTGATGCCGGAAGCAGCGGGAATACTTTTTACAGAAAGTGGCAAAACAACCAAAGAAGGAACATAGAACAATGGCAGCCATCTCTGGATGAACAGTAGTGCCGGCTCGAAGAAGTTCATCAAGCTTGTTGCCACAGCAGGAACAGTGGAATCAAGAATAATTAGAATGGAGAATATACAAAACATCCCAAAAAGCGCACTGGGGAACTTAATGGAAGCCGCCACAAATGCTTGCTTCAAAAAATTGTCCATTGCAAGAAAAATACCAACTGAAACAATCAGATGCAAAATCCCAAGCACCTGCAGTGCATCAAACTAAAGCTAAGAACTTTTGACAAAAAATCAATGAAATAACACAAAATACATAAACCAAGAAATTTAAATGTCCAAACATTCATTTACTCACACTTTGAGACACAGTGGAACCGCCAGCACTCTCTGCACCAGTTGATTTCACTAAAACATGTCTACTAGAGGAGCTTTCCTCAGAACCAATTTGCAAGAACCTGGAATTCAGCACCCCAGGAACTGTTTTTTGGACATTAGCCTGCTTATGTTGTAACCTGACGCCATCGAAAGCAACAGGTGAAGTCTTGGGATGGCTTCTCTGAATGTTTGAAAGTGAAGGCAGGCAACTTGGATTATAGAATAATGAATTGTGGTGGTTCAGGAGAGAAGTGGGTGTATTGTTGGGTGTGGCCGAGAAGGTAGACATCGAAAGAGAGTAAGGGAGTGAGTGAGAGAAAGGTGAAAGCTGCTGCTGCTACTGCTAGTGTGTTGATGCAGCAGGAAAACCATTGAAATTGTGCGGACCGGAGCCCAGCTAACGTTTTAACGCGAGGATAATGAGGTTTTTCTCCCCACCCACCCAATCATATTTTGTCCCGAGACCACAAGACGCAACTTTTCCCGGGACGTTCAAAAGCAACTTTTCCCGTGGGTTTTAAAATTTTCTTTACCTAAAATGATATCTGAGTGAAAAAAAAAGTGTTTCTATTTCTTTTTGGTTGAAAAAAGTGCTTCTATTTGAACCCCATATTTGTGTAATCTAAAGGACAAGAGGTGTTTCTATTTCAACCCCAAATTATTTGGTTACTCCTGACAATTTGAAGGCTTATGTACATTTTTCTTGGCGAGCTAAATAAAGACATTCGGAGGAAAAAACAACTTGGAAAAGATGTTATGCTTTATTTGATAAACCATCAAATTTTGCTTCACCACAAAGAGCCATATACAAGAAATAAAGCACAAAAGGGGTCCTTGCAAAGCAAATAATCACAAATTATACAAGACAATAAGCAAATTGATTACACAAAACTTTAACTTGGCTCACTAAAAATTGACCAAAATTCTAAATATGCTTTACCCCCGGTACCGTAGTAACAATAGTAGGGGACACTTCTTTACCATTATTGAAACTTGAAACAGAGGAGAGAATGATATACAGAGTCAGAGAGTTAAAAGGGTGCTCACCCCAAAAAGTGTGATTACGTATTCTAGCACTTTGGTATTGTTTTAAAGTTACTTGGGCCCTAGAATGGGCTCAAATAAATTGTGTACATTGTTGTTATAGAGAATTCTATAATAAGGGCCTCATTTGAGGACTAGAAGTATAGCCGCATATTTTGAAGATTTTGGTTGATAAATTTTTGTTTTTTTTTGGTTTTTTTTTTGGGTTAACGTGAAATTCATTAGATAAGGAAATTATGGTAGATAGTCCAATAGCATAGGATCACAAACACAATCCCATAGCGAAAGGCTCAACCACACACAATAAACAAGATCCAACAAAATGAAAAGAAGTAACAAAAGCCCAGACTAGAACAAACAAAAGCCCAACAAAACAAACAAACTAGGTCCAGCAAAATAACAAACAAACATTAAAAAAAACCCTAGCCGCCACCACATGGAAGGAGAACCACCAATCTACACCAGCACCGAAGGAACCCGTTGATAAGTTTTTGTTAGCAAGGCAAAAATGAAAAAAAGAAGAAGACAAGAGCAATAAGAAAACAAAAGCACAAAGACACATCTACTACATAGAACTTAGTAAGCCACTGGATTGGCCCCACCTTCAAGTTTATCTATATGTAGCCGACTGTAACCTCACTTTTATTCCCGAAACCACGAATGCTTGTTTGAGAATGCCCTATTTTTTATAGTGGGATGTTAGCTACCGTGAGCACAGACAGAGGCAATATGTTGACAGAAGAGCCTGTGTCTACTAAAGCTCTCCTTACAAATACAACTTTGATTTGACCCTTCAAGTAAGGTGGCCTCCTGTGATCTTGATACGGGACTTCCATGTATTCGTTAGTGAAGACAATAGCATTGTCATTTTCCAAAAACGACCTCTGTGGTTGGGCAGTGAAGTAATAAGGACCATACTCTGCAGAGATGTTCATAAAGGCTATGGCAGCTGCTTCCCTTGCTTGTGCTCCAAAGCCAAGTTGGTCGAAGAGTGACTTGAACTTTGGATTCATTTGGAGAGCCTGTGAAGCAGTAGGCCCTTACTTCAGACCTAGGTAATGCTCCATCACACTCGTTTCAGCTTCTGTGAGATTATGGATCGTTACTGCAGCTATTTCTTGATAATCTTGTGGCCAAATGGAGCCCTCAAGTGCGTTCTTTTGGCATGTCCAATGTAAATACTTTGCTGCTGGAACCATTCTCCTTGTCACACCCCAACCCTCGGATTTACAAAACCTTGGGTTAAGACGTGATTCACACCTTAATTATAGAATTTAAAAACTATAACTAAAATGTGAAGAAAACATTTAAATAAATAAAATAAATATTTCACATAAAATATTCAGTAGAAACTCGGAAACGATAACATCTGAAACCATAAAAATTTTACATTATTTTACAAGTCAGAACTACTCGAGAGTTCACTAAAATAGTAGCTCATTATTCATCCATAAGCTATAATACTCTTTATAGACATGCCAAAAAAATCATCACAAGCTCTAGATTTCGGGTTCGGTACCTGCAAAATCTATTAGGGGGTGAGCGAAACCACAGCTCAGTAGGGACATAATCCTTTTTACGATAAATTGATATAACTAAATTAAGTGATAAATAATCAAGCAACCAAATTTCACATTATTAGTAACAATGCATGAATGCTCTTCATCTAATCCCGTTAATTCATATAACTGGACAAGCAGACATGCACGTCCCATACCATGCTTATACCACTTGGTCCCGAATGCCCATTTATATGAACTAACACCAATTTCAATCATCCCGTAATTCCCCTTTTGTTAGTCATCTTGTCTAACTCCCTTTCGCCAGTCCCGAATCACCCAATAAAAATCATGTGCACTGTGGGATCCCTAAGACCTGGTACCTGCCAAGAGTTAGACTCAACTACACAAAAGACCATTTCCATTACCCTCTTTTCCACCATTATTTTCTCAACCCAAAAACTCCAAATAATTTCCATAACATTATATAGTTCACATATCTCATAAAAACAATGTAATCATTTAAATATCACCAATGTACATATCATCATGCCCACATTGTTCAAACAGTTAAGAGTACGTAAACACCCAATACAAGGAACGTAAATCAAACAGTACTACATTAACCAAATAGTTAACAATTTATAAACATCCAATATCCAGAACATTATACAATATCAAGAAAATATCCATAATATAGAGCTCACGAAATTTAATTTAATCAATCTTTGTAAAAGGCCCCCGAAGAAACCCCTACCTTATTTCCAAAGCTAACTCCAAGTTAAGAAAACACAAGCTCCGACCTCTAACTCCTCCAAGAATATTATTACCACTCTCTTTCTTTCTTTTTCTCTCTACCAATATTTCTTTCTCGTTTTCTTTGTTTGCATTTGATGTGTAACTTAATGTTCTATATATATACAAGGAGTATGTCGGCAGTGATTCCCTTCCTATTAGATGGTGTTTGGCGGTTTACAATACTTACCATCCAATTTATATTAATGCGGTGGTCTAGCTGTGCAGATAAGGTAGTTCCTAATTCCTCCAATCATATACAACCTTTTTTGGTGAATTGACAGAGCTAGTAAATAGCTATGCTTACTAAGCATTTGTTTTTCTTTGACACATACTACACTAACAATGACTAAGCATAACCACAACAGCAATGACTACACGTAGCTTAACAAAGACTAAGCATGCATACATCAATACTAATTGAATAAGGCATCATATATACATATTTAATAAGATATATGTATATATATATAATAGAATAATAATAATGCATGAAACTCTAGATAGCTAAGGACAAAAATCCTACTATCATTAAATAAAATTAATATTAAAAGCATGTTTTAAGAATATCATCAAAATTATTGAATTTGGATTAAATAAAACATAGAATTTCATAAAATAATTATAATTATAATTATAATTTAATACTTACCAAAATAAAGTATTAACATTTTTAACAATAAGGATTCTCACATTGCACGACAATGGTGGGTACGTTTCCTTATCTTTTCTTTTGCGTGAATTGTAGTCACTGGATGATTTTTCATCCACAGCTAATGTCTAGTGTGTTTCCTTCTTTTCACTCCTTCGGGATTTCTACCCAGCTGGTTTGACTGACATACTTGTTTTCCTCACTACTTCCAGTAATCGGGAAAATTGGCTAATGCCAAAATTCTCCATATAAACTCTATAGTCTGCCACAATGTTGCTGATGCAGATCTCTACAGGTGCTTCCGCATCTTTCTCATCATAACAATCTAAAGCCAAGTCCCAGAATCGGAGCACGAAGTCCACATGGTCCTCCCCATGCCTTTGGCGAGTGTTGTTGAGTTGAGTCGCAATGACCCTTTCTTCATGCTAGAAGTACTTCTTACAGAACCTGCCTACCAAGTCCTCCCAAGAGCGGACAAAGCCTGGTGCTTGTGTTTTGTACCACGTATAGGCACGGTCAGTAAGGCTTTTTGAAAATTCCCGGAGATGGAGATTATGATCACTGGTGTGTGGTCCCAAAGCGTCAATGAAGCAGCTGCCATGCTCCTTTGGGCTTCCTCTTCTTCCATCAAAAAGGACAAAGCTTGGTGTCTCATAGCCTTTGGGGTACGGCTATTGGAGTAGATTTGATAGATATGATGGCTAAGGGACATATTTCCAATCTTCTTGGCTTCAGTTTAATTCTTTTTCCAGCATGGCAATGACATCTTCCTGGGTGATGAAAGACGGCCTCTTTTGCTCAGAACCCTTTCTGACAGCCGCAGACTCCTCCTGAGGCAATCTCTCATGTTCTTTGCTTGGCTTGGAAATTGAACTTTTTAGTTCCGTGATTGTGTCCACAACCTCCTTCTAGGTTTGCCCCATAGCATGAACGGCTGCAATGAGATCTATGAGGGTATAAGCTTCCTTGCTTATAGGCTATTCTTCTTTACGGGAGGTATTTTGCCTTGACTCCAAGTCACCGTGGTCCGGCTCATCGTGGGAGGCCATGATATTCCTTCTGGTCTTCTTCTTTGGAGGCATTGGTGAAGATAGCAGTCTGATCCCTAGTGAAGTAACCAATTTATGTAAGATGACGAACTACATAAAACCCCCCAAATTATAGGGTCAATTTCAAGTTCATACCCAATTTTAGAGACATTTATGAGTACATACTCAAAGTCCTAGAAACCCTACAATTTACCCCATTCGTTAGCCAAACTGTTAGTGAATCTGTTAAATGCTGATGTGGCAAAAGTGGGACCTATTTTTTAATTGACCTGGACTTCACATAAGAAATAAAATTAATAAAAAATTCTTTTGTTTTTTAAATTAATTTAACAATAAAATATAATAATAAAAAATTAAAATTCAACACCACCCTCCTCTAACACCAAAACCCAACAGCCACCACCCCTTCCCCACCAGCTCACTCTTCACCTCCACCAATATCGAAACCCCACCCCACTCAAACCCCCACTGCAGCAACCAACCAGCTAACCCCTCCCAGATTCAACCTCCCCAGCCCCTAAATCCCTCAATCATTCATAGGCAAATCTAAAATCTAAATACCCAAATCCCTCTGAGCATATAGGTTCAATACGTCGTCGTATTGGTAGTAAGTGACTGGGTTCCAAGATGGCCACAAGATGCATATTCGAAGCCGACCATGAGTTCCAGCACCATCGGATGCCTTTGATTGCTTCCAATTCCACGAAATCCATGGAGAACTCAATGAGGGTTTGATAAAGAGCTTCTCTATTTGATTTCATGGGTTTTCCCGTGGGTTCGAGAAGGAGATCACAGAGAGGGTAAGAGACGAAGAGGGTCTGGAACCTCTACCCTTGTCAAATCTCTCTCACCCCCACCTCCAGCAACTCCATACCACAACTATAGTCCAAATCCAAATACTGATTCATTTATAGGAATAACTCACCCAAGACAAAATATGATTTGTGTTTATGAGTTTATTTATACAAACCATAATAAATGAACTCATAAATCCTAGAGAGAGACAAATTCGTCTTATTATATCCTAAGCATGAAAAATTATAATTTTCTATTTAAGACTGGAGAGAGAAAGATGATGGGTCAAATGGGAAAATGACGGAATGATTTTTTGTGAAAAGGAGAGAAGTGAGTGAGAGTAAACTCTGCTCCTATACATGGAATGGCACTGATACACTGACAAACAAAGGGCGGGGAGCCTATAAGGATGGATTCCGATGATCTTGTCCAGTAGCGGTGGGGTTTTTTTATTCCGATCTGTTACTATTTTTAATTTTTTGTTATTTTATTATGTTGTTTAAGCTGGAAGGGAGGGGGGATGGGGAGATGTTGAAGAAGGCAGCGAGGGTTTGGTGGTCTTCTTGGTTTTGCTAGATTAGAGCTATAAGGATGGGGGTTGGGCGTTAGGCTGGAAGGCAGGGGGGATATCGAAGAAGATGAGTGTTTTTTTTATAATTTTTTTTATAGGGTTTTTAGATTTTTTTATTGGTTTTTATTGTTTTTCATTAATTTTTTTAATTTTATTTTTTATGTGGAGTCCACGTCAATTAAAAAATATGTCCCACAAATGTCATATAAGCATTTAATAAATTCACTAACAGTTTGGCTAACAGAGGGGATAAATTGTATGGTTTCCGGGAGTTTGAGTATGTACTCATAAACGTCTCTAAAATTGGGTATGAACTTGAAAATACCCCATAGTTTATAGGGTTTTATATAATTTGTCCTTTTTTTTTCCCAGCAGTTGTAAATGGACCTGGGCTGCCGTAAAGAACAAACAGATGAAGTTGTCCCTATGCCTGAGTTCAAGAATCAGGCCCTAAGAGTGCTTCAAAAGGTTCTTGAAGCCTTAGGAAGCACTTCGGTTCCTTTCACTAACAAGGCAGTCAACTGTGACAGATTAGTATTATAGCTTTGCCTAAGAAGCTTGTGGCATGGGAGCTAAGCCTCCATGAGTTTAGCAATAGAGAGAGAGAGAGAGAGAGAGAGAGAGAGAGAGAGAGAGTGAGAGTGAGTGAGTGAGTGAGTGAGTGAGTGAGAGTGAGTGAGTGAGTGAATTTCTTATGGGAAACAGAGGTTTAGAGCAAGGAGAGAGGGAAATTTGGGGAGATTTTGATGAGGGAAAAGAGTGAGATATGGAGATAAAGGGATGGGTGACTTAAGTTGATCTTCCAGCAGCATGACGAATGCTTGGTCATGGTTTTTAGATGGTTGTTTTGCTGGGTAGGAGGTGCCTTCTTTTATAGGCGTTGGAACTCCTAATTTTATCAAGTCTTCTCCTCCATATTTCTTCACTTTCTTCCATTCAATCCTCTTTGGTGAAATCTCCCCAACCCAAGCACATAAGAGCGAAGCTTTTTGGGGTTCCAAGACTTTCCTGCGGCTAGACTCCTTCATCTGGGTGAGGCGCCTCTTGCATTTCTTTCTTGTTTTCCCACCAGAACTTGCAAATGAAAGAATGGGTAAGGGTACTAGTCCAAAAGGTGATTTACTTCCATCAACACATGGGTTTGCTTGGTTTTTACGATGGTTTGGCTTCGATTTGGTTTTAATAGGGATGTGGGATATTTTCTAAGGTGCTGGGCTATTTCTCTAAGGTGCTTGAAATTTTCTCTCTCATGCTTGCCCATGTGATTGGGCTCAAGAAATGGGCTTGAGTTTTGGTGCTCTCAAACAGCCCAAAACTTCCACTCTTGGATTATCAATGAGCCTCATAAACACTCGTAACCATTCATGCCACAACCCACTTAGCAAGCCCCCGACATTCGTGTGGCTTAAGCCTACTTAAGCTCGTAGCGTAGCTTGATACCAAAATAAAGGTTTTTTCACTCGGCGTTGCGTGTTATTTGGAGTGTTTGTGCTCGGACTTTTCCCGTATTGTAATGGGCTATGGCCGGGCTAAACGGTGCTTGACGGGACAATATATGCGGGTTTATGGAACTAGTACATTTTACAAGCTTGTTACAAACTCCCTGCGTGGCGAGTTGCGTATATACTTGGTGCGGCATGTAGACCATGACTTGTGCAAGCACATACGACAAATTCTTGCGTACTTCGGTCGAGCTCCTTTCTCAATTAAGTGTTGTACTCAACTAGAAATATATTTGTGCTTCAACATATTTTTATCATTATCTTCTAAAATGTTATATAATCTAAAATTTGCCTAATAGTTGTATCAGACCACCTCATGTGACAAAAGCTATTAAAAAGTAGTAAACAGGTTAAAGTGATTACTTTATGGCGAAAAGATTCCAAAACAGTCGTCCTCGTTGGCAAAGGGATCTTCATCCATTTGTTCTTAAGAAGATGCTGAAGTCATGGTTTCACCATCTAAGTCCGGTAATTGAAGAATTTTCCTTTTTAGCTCTTCTTTAGACGAGGAGATTGTTTTATAGATTACGGCTTTCATCTTCTGAGAAAGATCGGATTCACTGACCACAGAGAGAGGAAATGGAGTGTCGCTTGCTAATTCTTTCAGAATTAATTTTAGGATGAAGGTGGAAGTTTGGAGATGATCCTTGACGACGTGACCAGCTGAAAGTAAAGGATTTCAATTTCAGTTGGGTAATACAAAGACGAGCTGGACTGTATCTATAATGGAATCTGCTGTGCAAGGGTGTTGAAATATTACTTGGGAGTGCAAATTTGGATGACTTTAGGCATAAGGATTATTATGATCCCTAAAGGGTAAGAAAGGTCGCAGAGTGTGACACTCTTCCATGGTATGGCGCGCGTATCACAAACTCATCCACATGATCCCGATCTTCTGGGACCATAGAAAGGCACTTATACAAAACCTCTGCATCTTTGAAATATTTATTTCTATTCAGCCAAAAATCAGATTCAGAATATTTTCACAACGCAACTACACTTGCATTAATGAAACAATAATTACATTTATAAGGCACCTGTGAACTCAACAGAAAACATCAAGTAACTAGAAAATAAGGTAGATATCATGGTTAGAGGTCTTGTAAGCATACTAGCAAGTTAATGGTCAAGGTTCTTCGTTGTAATAGGCATAATGTGGTGGGTAGGTTGAATGATACTCATAACTGGGAGGAGAGTTTGAATTATAGACGTATTGGGGTGGAGATGATTGATAATGGGCATAATGGGGAGGAGATGGGGGTGTCTGATGGACATAATGGGGTGGAGAGGGGGAACTGAGTTCGCTTGTTATGGGAGTGGCAGCATGAGTTTGATGCTTGTCTATTCTGACTTCAACCAACTCCTGTTCCTCAAATGACCGGAAAATGGGGTGCAAGTAGGCGTCGGCCAAGTATGACTTCAAATTTAGGTCAGGTTCCGCAGTTCGCTCCATTGTGTCTTTTGCCATTGCTTCCTGAAAGTAACAAGGAAATAATTTCCATCAGAAATTTGAAGAGAAAAATTGCATGCTCCTGTGAAATTGTATTACAGTCAAATGACCTCTAAGAAAGTTTGTAGCTCATAGCATACAGATCCAGCACAAGAATGGTACACTAACAATATCAATTCAACTTAGGCACATCAGAAGGGACCTTGATTAAATAAGTCATAGCTTCGACCATAAAGTGCATTGCAAACATCTGACTTGGTCACACAAACAACCAAGGGAGACTCTAGAAATTATAAAATTGGGGCATTTTCCATTGCCTAACACTGAAGAATTGATTAGACTGAGGAATATAAAGAGAACCTCGACTGTATCAGCAAAAACTCCAACCATACAGTACCTTGTATTGTTTAGATTGGTTACATTGACTTTGGTTAACCTTTTGCTAACATCCAAGAATAGAGACTAGTAGAGTATGTAGAAAGCCAATCCATGTTTACAGTTAACCAGTTTGAAATGATACAAGGCCCTCCAAGATATAAATCCTTTAAATTGTTACAGAAATGTTAAATCAACTTACCAAAGGCCCATTCTGTAATATGAAGCCAATTTGTCACAAAGGGATATTTTATTCGTTAACATGAAAGGACCTATTGCAGATCCCCATCTAACACATATTAGAATCAATTTCTATCGAAAACTAGTAAGTAGGTAGCCAAACGTAATTACTCAAGGTAACTGTGCTTAAGGTTCAATTTAGGATATGCCAAAATGTGGTGCTAGTAGGCATCTTCATCACAACTTTCAATGGAATCCATTCCAATGTGTAAACAAGTTCTCACTTCTTCTGATTCATTTTAGGAAACAGTGCTGCTTATCCCGCCGATATTTTAATAGAATATTAATGATAAGTTTACAATTTTGTAAAATACCTCTAGGAACCACAAAATCGCTACCTTAAAAAAGTATTTGAATAGAAAGAAACTTATGATTGGACAGATAAAAGAATTTAAGAAAACAATACATAGAATAGTCATACGTTTTGATGAATGGGAAAGAAAGGGAATAAGCTTGTAGGATGGGTAGCAACCAACTGGTATAAATGTTTAAGCTTTGGTGAGCTAATAGAATTAGGGTTTATGAAAGAAAAATAAATGGAGATAGGAGATGAGTGAGTGCGTGGGATGACAATTTGGTGGGGGAAGAGTGTTTAATTGGTGGGTGATTAAGTCATTATCTTGGGGTATTAAGTTAATAATGAGGGGTAGGAAATATCTTATAAAATTTTGTGGGGAGTGAGAAAATAAGGTGGGTGGGAAAATAAGACAGGTGGGTGGGAATAGTAGCCAGGAACTGTATAAACCAAGTGTTGGGGAAAACAACCTTTTCAACATGCAACTCCAAATGTATGACAATGGAAAGTTTGGAAACATGAGTACATTACTTTAAAAAATTGAATGCAATGAATCAAAAAATTGATTAAAAGTCCCAAGATTACCTCAAGTGGGTACTCTCTGAATGCAGGTTCAAAACGATACTTGCAGTACTTGTGGAATGATAATGTTAATATGGGTAGAACAACAAGAAATGGAGTTGAATTAGCAGCCTTTTTTGTGCTTAGCAAACCCATCAAAAGTAGTTGAGATATCACTAAGCTTGCTATAATGCGGCTATGGACCTGTGGCCAAAATGCAGCAGCACTTTCATAGTGTTGATTGTACACATTGATTATCTGCAGGAGAAATAGAGAACAGATTACATAGAGAAACTAATAAGACCAAATATACAATTGTTACAGTTGTGATCCAAGAGGAAGTTTCATAGACATCTAATGGCTTTTCTTTCCGTGTTCACCATATCTGCAACCACTAGTGTTATTTGTAAAAATAGAAATAAAAATAAAAATATCAATTTATTGATATTTTTATTTCATTTAGATTGAGATGAAAATTGAATATTTTTTTTATCTTGGATTAGCCATGACAAGTTTACAACCAGTTGCTTCTGAATTTAGGGACACGATGCAAAGTCATCCTTTGGCCCTTTTATCTTATGTTAATGCGTTATTATACTGGAGTTTCCAAATGCTCTTCAAGACATATGCAAAATGTAATTAGTAAACTGACCTGATGACGGTAGACTAAGTATGCAAGGGCAAAGAAGACTAGTATGAAAGGAAGCAGGATTGGGGTAACCACAGCGTACACAATACCCAGAAGGAAGTATAGTTGAAGACTTGGGAGAGTCTCTGGAAAATCCACACTCCCAGGGTCCATTGCCTTCACTCTATCTCTTTCCGTTTTTACCAAAAACATGTTCTTCAGATGAAATATAACTAATGGTTTTAAACGGAGAATCTCACCAGCAACTGCAGCCCACCCATCAACCATTATATATGTAATAAAGAAGGTAGCCTTCGTTGGTATAGAAACTCCAATGGTTCTTGGAATCCTATTGAAAATAAAAACAAGGTTCATTAAAAGTGCATGTTTATCAAGCTCTAAAGAAAGTGAGATATATTTCTGGTATTTAAAATATTAGTAAAAATATTTTTACAAATATTAATTATTAGAATTTGGTCTATGTTCAAGATTAGCTTTTGGTTAATACAAGGATTTCAGTGGATGGATTTTTATCAGCAGTGGTAGTAATTAGAGTGATTTATCATTTACAACATACAGAAATATAAGATTAGATATTGACAGTACAAGAAATTCACTTGAAAGCATGAAAAAAAGTGAGCATGATAATCATGGATGTTTGGAGCCGTTGTATTGTCAAATTCCATTTTCTAATATCAAACATAGAGACCAGATAGAGATGGAATATTACTGGGTAGGAGATTGGTGAAGGAAAGCATGCAGTTGCTGAAAAGCTGTTCCAGTCACTATGCTTCCCAAGAATACGTTCACTAACATGAAGTAATAGTATTTTGCTGCTGTTTTCCGTTCAAGGGTTGATAATGCTATATGCCCCTCAATTTTCGACATGATCATTAATACAGTTGGGAGAATGTACAAAAATATCTTGAGGGCAAGGCCAGGAAGAAAGCCCTGTAGAAATGACTTGATGAATTTCCTGTAAAAAATAATTACATTAATTATTGGTAAGTAAGAACCAAATATTTGAAAACCACATGACATAACAAAACAAAATAAACAATCAATCGCAGCTGCTGGAGGACATATGAAAGGGTCAAAAGCCATGTCACAGAGGTCAAGCCTCTTTTTTCTTATAAAAAAACCAAGTTGTATTATAACTTCATGCAAATACAGATGTGATGGACAAAATGTCCACTCAGAAGGTTGTACAAATACAAAATAACAAAAGTATCTCTAAGTTGAAGCAAATACTTGAAGTTTCAATGAAACAAGGACCAATTTGATTGGAAATGTAAATGCCACGTAAATAAGTACAAGAAAATGCTTTTACCATTAATTATTAGAATAATCAAAGACGTGAAAGTAATTATTTACAGAATTTTCGGTTTTACATAATTAATGAGAAACATTTGAATGCAAAAGTATTATCTCAGAGAGAAAGAGAGAGAGAGAGAGAGATATGCTCTTGCGTTTATTCAATAATGATGAAACTACCAAAAAGCATAAGCATGATATTTTAATGTATTAAGAAAGCAAGCAGGTATGGAACTCCTATAATATTGTTTTATAGTTCATCTGAGCTCATTGGTTAAAAAAGGATGATGAACTTTAAGGACTCTATGGCAAGATGAACAATTGTCATATATAAAAGTAAAGAAACCAAAGAGACAAGATCTATGTACATATTATTCAATCATTCTATTAAAAAATACAAATTATGGTAAGGTTTATTATAATTCTATCATCCTTTGTTGAAGAGGAGCGACCTTTCTAGAAGCAAGCACTAACAGCAATATTACAAGTTTCTATATAAGACCTTGGGGACTTGATGGAAAGAAGAACTAGCTGGCATGAAATATAAAGCAAATTAGTTTAAGTACTATGGTAAATGTTATTTAACAATACTATCCAACAAACCTTAAAATAAGGTAGGTTTACTTACAATTCTATAACCGGCCTGAGAAAAGGAGCAACTCTTTCCAGGCCTTCTAAATTTGCAAGCGATTGCACAAAGGCTATGGGTATCATGTAGAAGAACACCAAAGCAAACACTGAAAGCGTTATTACAAGTTTTCGGATGCTTAAAGAAACAAAAGGTATAGCCAAGTTACGCCAATAAACATCCCGGGGTTCTGGGGCCCAATTTGTCAACCATAGTGTGGGATTCTTGCTCTGCTGTGTCTGTGCACAAACAGCCGCACTCCAGCGTGAATCAAAAGATACAAAAGCAACCGGCAAAATAGACTTGGGGTCTTTGAGAATCTTTTGTTGTTCCAGTGTCATCTAAACATACAACACAAGAATGGAATATAATGCCTATTAATTCATGCATATATATATATATATATATATATATATTTATGATATAGAGAGAGAGAGAGGTAATCCAACTGAAAATATAGACCCCACTACACAGCAAAACCTAACCCCTAAAGAAGAAATGCCCCACCCTAAAGAAGATAGATAAAGAAAACTGAAAAATGGTAGCTTATAAAATAAAAAGTACAACATTATCAATTTTAATCATAACTTACTATTTTATCAAACTGCTTTATCTGTTGTTTGTAGTACTCGATGGAATCAACGCTTTCACCCCAAAGCCCCAAAAATCCTTTCTGAAAATTCAAAGAGTGTTAAATGATCAGCATCCAAGGTGAAGAATTGCACTCAAACTGTACATGCCACATACATTTATTGTCTGCTAATGTCAAACAATATCATTAATGATTAAATTTGAAATGTTTGCTCAATTTAAGTACATATGAAAACACTACCTTTGTAGTTGGTTTTTTGTCTGGATGCCTTTCGAACTTAAGGAGGTTATAGTCTAGCCAATTTTGGAGCCTATCTCGCTTTCTTGCAAGTTTGGCAAATTTGTTTGCATTGTACACTGCCTGAATGAATAAAAGTCAATTACAAATAAAAACCAAAGAAAATACTTCCAGGTATTGTATATATTGTTCAGCAATCAAACTCCTTACTAGTGAGCTTATTTACCCACAAACAGAAAAAATTTAGTACCTGGTGACAAAGATAATTATTTGGGTGGTTCTTTTGAAAGAAGTGATCCACAGTATCTGATACTGAGCGACCAGAGACATGTGGTATACTCCTAACCACTACCTGAAAGAAATAAAAGAAATAGAAGGTGAAAATTATAGCATTAACCTTGAAGTATAAAGAGATTTTCAAACAAAAAGTTAAGAATATATTCACTTTACCTGATCAAACTGTCAAATAAGAAAGAATTACAATAAAATAAAACATTACCACAATCAATATTTTTATTGTCGGTACAAGAACTTGATCAGAATACGAATCATGTGAGAAAAAGGATTTTAGATCCTGAAAAAGTTAAGACTGCATTTTTCTAAGTAGCAGCAGTATTTATGTAAAATAATTTCCTGAGATGGAGTCTATGAGGGCAAAGCAGGGATCAGGAACAGCAACACATATAGTCATGCAGGTTGCACTCCGTAAATTTATGACTGAAGATCATAAAGATTCATACAAGCACCTAATCACCCCTAGAAATAAAACCACACTCTAAGGAGGTAGAAATGCAAGCAAACTGAAATAAGGTGACTGTTCCTCCTCAACGAAAAACATGCTTAGTAGGTTTACACAATTATGCGGTAATTGATGATTTTACTCACTGTGAACTGTTCTGCACGCCTGTGTTGAGAAGCTAAGAATTGTAACCTCATTGATGCTACATAGTCATACTCCTTGTATAACATGTAACAAGTCCAGAGTGTGAACAAGTATTCCAATCCTATGTGGAAAAAAAACCTGAAATTTATAGATTTCAATTCTTAAGTAAAATCTGCATTCGTATATGATAAAATTGAATACAACTGCAAAAAATTAAAATAAACAAAACAAAACAAAAACAAAAATATAGTAGCAGATACCAGATCTTTAATTTCAAGATACAATTCTAATTCTCCCCCCTTCCACCCTAAATATGCTCGTAATATTGTCTTGAACTATTACTCTTTCTTTCTTTCTTTTTTTCTTTTTCTTTTTTATTGATTTTACATGTGTCACAGTACACCATGGATAATATGTATAACAATGAAATCCCTTGACTAGAAAACACTCTAGTACTTGCTTATTTAACAAATACTTGGAATAACTTATAGTTGGTGAAACTAGAATTAATATCGCTCCTATTATATTATTGGCTCAATCTATTTTTACTGGATTAATAGAATCACAACTTCAACTGTCCAAATAAACAAAGAACTATCCAACCAAAAGGAATTTTTGGCATGTTTTAATGTTAAATTCAATATTAAAATCCAGGCACAACAATATTCTTTTCATCTATGTGCTATCATCAGTAAGTAAATAATTACTGGATGTATGGGTTGAACATGAAAAAATAAAAAGGTATTCATAACAATGGTGTTATTTTGACCTTCATTTACTCATTAATATCAAGAATGTCATCTTTTTTATGCATAATTTAAGAGAAGATTAAAGAGAAGTCAATGCTGCACCTCATACGTTAATCAGTTATCAAGCCTGAATATTTGTAAAAGTGTAAAAGAGTTACAGAGTTACCTTATGGATTTAGGGCGCACATTTGATATAGAGAGCTTATCAATGTCACTCAAAACTAATTCTCTCCTTAGGAAAAATAATGTTCCACTTGATACATTGACTGGAATGAGAATAAGGAGTGCTAGGACTGCCATTGGAACAAAAATCTTCAAGCTACAAGTACAAGGTGGAAAAAAAAAGGGTTCAGTTATGTATTGATAATAAATATATATACATATATATTTAAACGAATAATAATAATAAGAACTCTTTGGGGTTGCAGGATCAGGGAGTGTTATATAGTGGCTTGTCAACACTTCATAGTTTAGCATTCAAACACTGAGCAATTAGAAACTAGAAAGTCTTATAAAGATGTGCTTACACCTCCAAAGTACCAGGATAGATGATGAAATGCAGTTCTATTGAAACATATTGGTATATGCTTGCTCATTTGATGTTTCAATTAAGTCTAAGTTGGCTTAAACAAAGCTGAAAAGGCAAAAAGTCAACACCAAGTATATTCTCTGAAGTCAAAAAACTACTAAAGCGTCGAGAAATAGAATTGCTCACAGAATTAACAAATGAAGCTTTAGAATACTTTTTTATTTGAAAGACAAAATGGAATTGTTTGAACAATACAAACTTTGTGAGTCTGGATGCAAACACAAGTGACACTGACAGCCAATCCGCACAAATAAACACACACAGATTTACATCCCGAAGTTTTTAAAATAAAAAATAGTACTCTAATGTGAAGACCAACTAATGTTGAAAGCAAAATATTGTAACCCATAGCTTATCATGGCAAACAATTAATTAATTCTAAATAAATAAAAAATTAAGCCTACCATGTGCATAATTCCTAAGAAACAGAATGGGAAATTCAAGTTTTTCAAGTCCAACTTCTGTATTCTTTTACTCCAGAGAAAAATATATAACTCTAACCAAAAGAGTCAAAAAGTATTTATTTTCCATCCCGTAGATATTTTCGCTAGAAACAAAGAACACCCCGAGTCAAAATCATGTAATATTAACAGCAAAAAGAAGGAAAAATGATGATTATATGAAAACAACAGGGGAACAGAAAATACAAAACAAAAAACAAAAAATAATTCTCGTCCAAGTCAAACAAAACCCATGTAATAATATCACTTAAAATTCCAAAACTTTCAAACAAAACAAGCAAACCAATAACCCAAATAAATAAATAAAAGTTGAAAAAATGAAATTCAAGGGAAAAAGTGAAGTTACCCGAGAATGTAAATTCTAAGAAAAACAGCAGAGTCAAGGCCAGCATGGTTGATAATCTCAGACTCGCTCATTTTCATGGCCTGAGGCATCCAATTCAAAAAAGTGAGGTAAGTCTTGAAGTTGAGATTTACAAACTTGCCCACAAAGTTGCCAGAGCCCCTTGGGCTGGTCCTGGAGCCATTAATGTACCATTTGGGAAAATAGACCCTGTCATTGACAGGTTGAATTCTAAGAAAAGCAAAGGCCAAAAGGAAAGCTATGGCACTCAGTATATTGATCAATGCTGAGACCCCAATATCACTCAGAGTTGCCATGGAAGAAACCCAGACGAAGAATCAGCTAGAAGTTGGAAGGAGAGAGAAAGAGAAGATAAGGAGGAAAGTGGAGGAAGAAAGGTGAAGGTGAAGTAACAGACTGGATTGGAAGATAGAGGAAGAAAGAGGGAAAAGAATATAATCACTTCACTTTTGTACAATATTTTTTTGTATGAAAGTGGGTTTGCAAATGCGTCTCGTGATCTGTTAAGGAGCCTTAAAAGCTGGCTGTTTATGTCACTTTTTATATTCTTCTCAAAAACACTTTTTCTGTTTTCGCTTTTTGTTTTTTACGACGAAAGAAGACTTTTACTTACAAATAATGGAAATGATTTTCATTCATAGCTTCCCTTAAGTTTACTTGCACATAAGAAATCATTTAATATATGATTTCACTTAAGATCCTAATCAAATAACCCAATGAATGTCGATTGGATTACTACCATCTTCTCGTTGATTTTATTCTCATTCCTTGTTTATCATATTTCATATCTTTTTACTCATAATTAAATATGAATAAAGAAAATTTATCAAAAAGGAGGGTCAACTTTAAATAACCAGAGTGAGAATTTTACCTAATTAATTGGCTCATTCGTTTAAAAAATCACGAGAAATCACTTTTATAGTGGACTTGGTTGAATAAACTCAAAGAATAAGAAGGATCAACCATATAATATAGAAAGTAATTGAGTCAAATACAACACATACAAAACACAAATTATCAAAGAGGGAGAAGGATCATGTGACCCTTGTGGAACTTAATTGGCTCCTCCCATGATTACAAGAAAGACTAGTTAGTTTCACTTTTGTTTTAATTATTGTTGGGTTGTGGTTTTTGGCTCTTTTGGGTGGTGGTTTTTGTTTGTTTTTAATCTAAAAGTTCCCATGACTGGTTTGTTGCATGTGAAAGCGTGCGTGACTGGGTGACGTAGTTGACTACTTGAGCTCTTCTGGTTGCCGCTTTCTTCGTCTATGTTGTGTCGTGTTTGGCACATCAATCCTTGCTGCTAATTATAATTTTGTTTTATCAAATTATTGGTTTTGTATGCTGTCAATGTTTTGCATTTAAACGCAAATTAAATCATTAAAAAATGTCACCATTTTCTTTGTCTCTTTCAGTTTTACGTGTTACATACAGCGGTAAAGCTGGATGCCATTATGGAATTAGCTATAGTTACGGCAAATAATCTGCTGTTAATTTTTAAATATTATTTTTCATGTCCCAAGGAAAGGAAGGAACGAAAATTTTCTAATCGAATCCAATGGAATGAAAGGAAGGAAAGGAACACAATTTATGGTAACGCGTCACTTTTTTCGTTTAGTACAGCAACGCCAAAAGTCCAAACAAACTTTTTTCCGGGTAACCTGAAAGATATTGGGTAGTACAGCATGTCCCCACTCGAGTTTTGACTATGTTAATTTTTCGGCTCCTAATTTTGACTTTGTGTGCTATATACCAAGATGTAAAATCTACCTTAAGTGTATAATGTAATTAGCCTTGCTTGTAGAGGAGGTCAGAATCTTGAAATAAATATGTAATATTATTGAGAAAAGCGATATGAAAACCGAAACAAAATGATCTAATTAAGATTCACTTAAATGTGATGTTTCAATTGCATAGTCATGTGACAATGACACGTATCTTGAAAATTCCGAGAATACAACACTTGCTTGTTAGAGTATTATATTTTTCAAGATATGTTAAGCTCTTTTAGACTTTGAATGAGTCTTAGGCCTAGTTTGGGATTGCTGTCACTTTTTAAAAAAAGTTGCTTCTGCTGTGCTTTGAAAATAATTAGCTGTAAAGTTAAGCTCTTTTGCAAGTCGTCATAATATTGAGAAGCGGTTTTCTTTGTGAATCTGATCATCCCTTATCTTTCTTTATCAACTCTAATTTCATCCTAACATGACTCCTCTCTTTTTGGAGAAAGGTAGTCCTCAATGCATTATAACTCAGCGATAACCCGGAACAAGGTGAGAACAAGCCTTAATAAAGGCTTCGACATAGCATGGGTTCCTTGCAAAGTCGAATGACAAGCCACTTGTGTAAATTATTTTCCAATTAGACCATCCAATTGCTCTCTTGCACTATTTGGGAAAGCTTTCTCAAGAGGTCCACTACTTCCATTCCTTTTTTTGGTTCACAAACTCCTTCATTCATGGCATCCAATGCATCAAAATCTAATTTGTAAGCACTAGCACTTGAGTGGGCAAAGAAATGATCCTAGCTTGGGCATCTTTTATCCTCAATTATGCTGCATCAACCAAGCTTTTGCATTTCTAATAAATTATTTTTGTAACTTTATTACAAGCTCTAATCCCACCTTCTTTATTTTCAACAAATGATGCTTCACCCTAGAGTATGACCTTGAAAGTTGCATTGACAATAATGACACTTGCAACTAACATTTCCTCCACCTTTCTTGTTTGATTCAAAATTTGGAAAAACCTAAACTTGAGGCCAAATACCAGTCCAGTTATTGCTTGGACTGGAATTTTATTTTATTTTTTGTGGAGCCCACACAGGCATGATGTAACCCAAGGAGGAAAGAATAGGGCCCCGCACTGCTGTGCTGCATAATCTGTCACGCCAAGTGTTGTGCGCTGGTTCGCAGCATTTTTAAAAAAATTTTAAATTCTAATAATAATCCAAATCAACGATCCATATTAAATCGAAGCTATTTTAATGGTTGAAATTTAAATCCAATGGTTGAAAAAAAAAAAGATCCAATGGTTGAAATTTAAATCCAACGGGTAAAATAATATTTTAAATTAATCAAAATCATATCCAACTCCAAAACTCACTCCAAACTCAATAAATACCCTCATATTTCAAAAATAAAATTATATTTATAGAATTCAATTTTTTTAGGTTAGATTGTTCAAAATATTAAATTATGAAGATATTTAAAAATATTAAATGAAGAAAATTTATTTATGAAAAAAGTTTAAACTTAAACCATTCTTAGGTCTCGTTTGGGATTGCTTTTTTTGGCCAAAAACCTGCTTCACTTTAAAATTAAGTAGTTTAAGGTGTTTGGTAAAAATAAAATATCCCGATTATTTTAAAAGCAGTGGCCTTTTGACAGCAGCTTTTAAAAGCAGAATCTGGGTTGCTTTTCAAAGCCGCTTTCAAAAGAAGCAGAGATGAACCTTTAATGAATTTTTTTAATTCCCAAAATACTATCATTCATTTTAAAAAATGACACCACATTCACTTCCACATCCAACTCCACCACTTGCACCACCACATTCACTACCTCCACAACCACCGCCATCACCACCACCACCACCACTACTACCACAACCATCAACTCCACCTTCATCACCACCACAACCTCCACTCCATTACTAACACTACTACCACATGATTAGTACATAACACTTTTAACATCATGTCTATTTAGTCATTATTCACAGTTATAACAATTTTATATTAAAATTTATCAAACGGTTTTGACACTGCTTTTTGTACTAATAATAGTTTAAAAATATTGTTTACCAAACATGGAGCTACTTTACTTTACAGCTAGTTATTTTTAAAGTACAACAGAAACAACTTTTTTTAAAAGTGACAGCAATCCCAAATTGGGCCTTAAACAATTTAATAAAGTTGCGGACTTAAAATTTGAGTATGAAGGGTTAAGGAAAAAAACGGTTTGAGTTCGAGTAAAACCTAAATAGTTACTTTTTAAAGAGGAAAATTTGGGTTTAAGTCCAAATGAGTTGAAGAAGGCCTTAAGAGCGGTTCCACCGCTGCAGCCCAGCCCAAGGCTAGGGGGAAAAAAAAATGGCGTTCCAGCGGAGCAGCCCAGGCTCGGGGGGGGGGTGTGGGACCCACCTCCTCGGGCTGGCCCGAAGGCAAGTCTTACCCGAGGTCCAAAACGAGGGGGGTTACTGTAGCGCTACAGTATCTGCTACAATAATGCTACAGTACCCCTCGCTACAGTATCGCTACAGTACCTCGCTGATTTGATTTTTTTTCCTGTTGCCACGTGGCGTCGTCTGGGCTCTCCGATATGATTTTTTCCTCCAATCCAACGGCAGCCAATTTTTTTGCAATAAAATACTGGAAAAAATTCGGAAATTTTTTTTAAAAATACCCAAAAATTAATGAATTTTTTTCTATAAATACCGGCCTTTTTTTTATTTATAATTTATCTGAAATTTGAAATTGAAAATTTTATCCGATTATGAGATATGAATAGTATTGACACGTAGGAACCCGAAAATCTTATCCGAAAATATTATCCAAATTAATTATTGAGGTAAAAAAAGTTGTGAATAAAACAAAAAAATGAATAGTAACTGCCCTTAGCAAGGGCAACGGGTGGAAACACAAAATTCGGATTTTGCAAGGGCAACCACTATTCACGTGAATAGTGGCTGCCCTAGCTCCCCCCCTTGCCATGGCTAAGGGCAAATGGATGGAGTTGCTCCAAGGTCGGAAAAATTTGCCAGCCTAATTGTGAGTGTGAGTTGAATGGTTGAGTGGCTTTCCAACTCGCTAACCCGTCCGAATTTTGGGAAACCCAAACCTACAAAGGAAAAATCTAAACCCAACACCGGAATACAATGACTCAATAACCAAACACTCACTCACATTTTGCATTCCCAAATCCCAGTCCACCAAGGGAACCAAAACCCACGAGTTCAGTAAAACCCTTTACTGGCGGACGAGACGATGGCGATGCAGAGATTATGCACCAAGCTTCGGTCTTTGTCCGTACACTCAACCCAAACTCTACCATCTTTTTCTTCGTCTTTCCTCTGTTCTTCTCCTCTTCTTCACCAGCCTCTCCCTTTCGCTTCAAATAACAACAAATGGAGCTTAAGGTCACTTTTCAATGCCCATTCACCAACCCAACCTTCGCTAGCTATCGCCACTCTTCGCCATTCAACATTCCCTATCTCGGTAAGCTGGGTGGTTTATTTATTTATTATTTTGTTTGAATACTGAGAAAATGCCTGAGAAAGATTAATATCCTAATTCTTGAATAATAAGGAATGCATAAAATTTCGCAGGAAATACCTGGGTTAGTTGGGTTTTCATTTAACATTTTTATTTTGCCTTATTATGTAATCTATCAAACGGAAGTGTGAATTGGGGATTCCCATATGGTGTTGTTAAGTGCATTTTGATGTACAATTCCATAATAGTGTTTAAAAGAGAAATGTTGTTTTATGTGTGCATGTTAAGATGCTTCAAGTGCGGCATGTTTCTTCAAGAGAGCGTAAGAAGAGGAGAAAGCCAATGACACCAGTCACTTCCAAGTTAAAGAAAACCAAAATAAAGGCTTACTCGTAGGTTTATGTTTTCTCAGTCATCAAGTAATGTCATTATTTTCTTTTGGAAATGTTGATAAAGTTTTATGTGATAATGGTTTTGAAATTTCTTGGTCAGGTCTTACAAGTCCAGGTTTAGGACAATGAATGATGGGAAAATTCGACGGTGGAGGGAGGGCAAGCGTCACAACGCACATTTGAAGGTGTGGTTTGCATTTTGATTATTCAAAACTTGGGTTCCATATGCAGTGTTGGTCACTACTCATCTAGCAAGTCGTTATATCTCAATCATGTTTAAATTCTGTATGGTTTAATTCTTTAATACATTTGGGATGATGCATTTAAATTCCCACAACATACACTAGAAAAATCCTTTAGTGTGATTTTCTTGTTTGGGCCAAATTTCTTTGTTATGTTAGGAAGCAACTTGAGTGGGCTTAGCCCGAAGTCCGTGAATCCAATCCCAAAATTTCATCTCCTATGGTCAGGTTAAAGGTAGGTTGAGATTTGAGTTGAGAAAATACCAACCCCATCAAGTTTGAGCCGATCCAAGAGTTAACTCGAATTACTGATAAACTGGTGAACTGTTTCAAGACCTATCCTAATTGACATCATCACTAAATTCATTTGAGTAATACATGTATGTGCAGCGCATTGTGAAAATTAAAGTGGGAAGGGACGGCAGAAAGGAAAGAAGGATCACTTGTAAAATGGGATGTGATGTGACTCAAGTCAAGGATAAAGGAGGCTTAGGGGTGCAAAACTTAGTAAAGAGGAATGAAGATTTGCTTGAGAAGTGGTTGTGGAGATTCTAGGCCAAGTCAAATTCTTTTTGGTCTACTGTAACCCGGAGCAAGTGTGGGCTGCATGAGAATGGTTGGGATCCCTAGATTTTGGCTTGAGCTTCAAGTTGATATCCATGGACAGATTTTTAAAGGGATTGTTTCTTTCGCTGCATATTGTTGTTTTGGGGTGGGTGGGGAATGTAACGTGAGGTTTCGAGACAAGAGTTGGGTACGGGAAACCGATTTTTGTACTCTTTATCCTTGTCTGTATAGATTTTCCTGATATCATAATTATCCCATTGCTAGAATACGCGTTAATGTGTCTTGTTTTCCACCTAGTTGGTATTTTGGGTATCGAAGACATTTTAACAAGCAGGAAGTGAGAGAGTACTTGTCTTTGCTGTCAGATCTAGAATCTGTCTTGCTTGTCCAAGTAGAGCATATAGGAGAATTTGGAGATTGGAGTCATCTTGCATTATTATTATTATTTTAATATTTGTGTAAATGTTTCTTAAGGTATCTTGTGTAAAATCTTACTTTCTACTTTGACACCCTCCCATGTAATATGGAAAGCTAAAAGTACCTCCTAAGGCACAAGTGTTAGCTTGAGTAATTGTTCATGGGAAGATTAATACTTGTGACATGGTTCAAAAAAGGCGTCCGTTTGCCCCTCTCTTTCTTCCCTTTGGTGCGTTATGTGTAGGAAGGAAGGATGCTGAATTGTGGTGCGTTCGCGAACCAAATCATAGAAACTAACCAGAGAGAGGGAAGAAGATGGCACACCTCTGTTGCAATACATCCATGAAGTCTGAGTCAGATTCTTGAGAGATGAGAAGAAGATGAGTCTGTCGACTCTGTTGAGTAGTGAGTCTATTAACTACTGAGAAGTTAGAAAGAAAAAAACATAGAGAATACGAAAGAGGGAGGTGCTTGGGATGCTGTGTCAGTTTCATCTTCCAAGAGGAAGGTGCATGTGTGGAGAAGTCCCCATTTAATACAAGTAATTGGGGGTTGGATAAAATAAATAGACAAAGTTAAGTGAGAAAAATTAAAAGTTAGGTTGAAAATTATGACGTTTATTACGCAGGAAACAACTTGAATTAAAACAACTTGAAAAATTAACAATGACCTGAATTAAAGTCTCGAACGAATTGTGATTTGAAACACAGTACTGACTATGCCTACCCCCAACAAATCCGTACCATAGAAACTAGCAAACCCCGTACCCATTCGTGTTTCACAAACCGTATCGTTCCCTGTACCAGGTAACACTGCTTTTTTTATGAGGCCACAAGGATTTTGATGGGAGAAGGCAAAAGTTTTGTAGAATAGTGGTGTGTTCGGTTGTTTTTGGTATCTGTTTGGAGAAGAATAAAAGGATTTTTGAGGATTGTAGCGGAGCGGGGTTGCAGGGTTGGAGGGTTGGTGGGACGAAGTTAGTTTTGGTCTTCGCTGTGAGTTTCAATGTCTTTCTGAATATTGGGATTTTCCACTCTCATCTATACTGGCAGATTGGAAAGCTGCTGTTTTATAAGACTCTAATTAACACTTTGAATTTTCCATTTGCAAGAAAGTACTTGGTTTTTGTTGCTGTTTAGCCTTTTGTGATTCATATGTTGTGGTGGACAACTTGTCCACTACTTCATCTTGTTTATTTATTTATTTTTTTCATTTAATAAAATTCCGTTTCATATTGAAGAATAAAGTTGAACTCTTTCAAGGAGGTTGAAAATATTTCAGAGTCTAAAGTTCTAAACAACTGCACCAATTAAAGTGTAGGAAAAAAAAATACTGTCTAAGAAAACAAATTATCAGATGTCACTTTTATTTCTTTTTATGGTAGAATGGAGAAAAATGAAAAAGAAATAGAAAACAAAGATAGATATCAATAGATAAGATGTTTGCACTTTACATGAATAGAAACATATATTAAACATCAACATTTGTTATTTTACTGCTAATAATCCTAATGTGTTAGGTTTACATGATATATAACCACAACCAGATTTACATGAATTGATTTAAATTATTATTTGAAACTATTGCTATTGTTATAAAACCGTAGCTAGATTTTCTTATTTTCCAATATATACATATATATATATATATTTATACTAATAGCCTGCATATTTGTATTAGACCTTTTTGTTCCCTGAAAAAAGGCCTACATATTAAATTTTTAGCCCCTTAACATTGAGCGCACAGGAAGTAGTGCCATATTTGATGTGGAACAATTGGATGGAGAAGAATAGAAAGGCAATTCAGGGAAAGGAATGTAGATTGGAAGATATTGTAATTGGTCCTAAGATGACCTCTCTTGTGTTTGATATGGTATTCTTTCCTTGCTTTTTTTAGGGTTCACTAAGCTATGCCTGGATTTCCTATGGAGGGAATGCAGAGTTAGTAAGGAGTTCTGCAATTGTTTGCTGACAACTCCCTTCTGTATATGTAGGGAGTGAAACATATACTACTGAGTTTACTAACTTCTCGTACAAGTTTCAATTAACCCTTCCTATATGATACTTCCCTAGACATTTGCTAGCCATAAATTGTAGAAATTCAGGCTCTATATCTAAATATCTTTATATTTTCATATCTACTAATAAAAACTTGATATTCTATATCTTCCTTAATATTTCTTTTTAATTTGGCGATGCTGTAGCTACTGGCCCAGAATGGGATATGCAGAATTGATAGCCAAGGAGCTTTAAAATGAAATTGCTGTGTTTGTATTAAGTTTCATTTTACTAGTCAGAGTCATCATCTTGAATTTATTTTAGGTCTTATTTGGTTTAGAAGTATTGGTGGTATGGCAATAATGATCACTACATAATTGGAGTTGAATCCTGGAACAGACAAAAGTCTATGGGAGTTGAGATGGACTGCTGGAAGTTGGGTCATTGTCTGGTAGAATTCTTAATAGAAGTCATCCATTCTTTGAGTTTTGGGGAAGAAAGGCAATGTTGTCCTCTTAAACCAATTTTTATTGTATTTTCTTTGTGTAATCTTTTTCTAAATGGAATATAAGTATAATCCTTTTCTTTTGTTGAGACCACAATAGCGATGGAGGACAACCTAGTGAAATGAAATGAGGCTTGAAGTAAAAGAATGGTGTTAAATGCAACATTTGGTTGATGATTCATCAAACCTCACACAGAAGAAATCTGAGTCATTTCTTTGCGTGGGGTTTTCCTGTTTTTACCGGAACAAAATAGTATGAACTTTCAGAACGCAGGTATTTTACAGCAATTAGGAGAAAGGATTTAAGAAGATTTGACCTAAGGATCTTAGACCTTTTACCACAAGTTATGGAGATGTCTAGAGTCTAGTGATCACCATTGCCAAGCAAGAAGGGAATAGAAGGTCTGTTGAGGAAATATTTTGTTATACATAATCTGGATACAGGGGTCAACTTCAAGCATCTGAGTTTCTGTCATTTTCTTTCTGGTCTTATTTAAGCATCTAAATCCTAACATTGCATCATCTCAAAATCTGTTTCTATACATCAGCCTGGATGACTTTGTTTAGCATGTAGGTAATATACCACTTCAAATGGAAAAACATTTTACTCAATCTGTGAGATCTGTACCTCAGAAGAAAATAGGTGGTCCTCTGTTTTTATTTACTGGTGAACACAACTTTATTAACAAAGAAAGAGAGGTACAACACAAGGTGTCCCCTGTCAGAACAAACATGTATTTTACATCTAATGTTAGTACAGCTAAACGACTCTTAGTGGCGATCTCTTGACCTGCTTGATCAGACTTGAGTTCCTTTTAATCATCCATGTACCTTTTCCTTGTAATGGTGCATTCATGATTTACTCTTTTTCTTTTTCTTTTTTTCGTAATTGAGCAGAATTCTGAACGTATCAATTTATTCTTGAAATTAATGAAATTTCATATTTGTTGCAGTCGAAGATATCTAAGCGTAGACTCAGACTACCTGCCTTAGTCCATCCTGCTTATGCTAAAGTGATGAAGAAGCTCAATTTCTGCGGTTAAAACTTTCAGAGTACCATGTAGGTACTGCCAATTTCCTGGAATGAAAGAGAGTACACTTTTGCATTTTGAAATGTGCTCTTTTCAATAGTTTACATTTCTGTTTCCGTCAGACAAGCAGGTGTTATATGCTTTTAGCGGCTAGATGTTGACTAGTTCAGTTTGAGGCCATAGCTGATTAGCTGATGAAAATAATCAGCAGCTATGCATGTCCTCTAAACTTGTATTCTGTGGACAACTACTTGCTGAGGAATTTTTTATGAGAGTTTTGCATTACTGTAATGTATCAGAAAAGAAATAACAAGTTCTCCGTTGACACGGTGAATGACTCAAGCTTGAAGCCTGGTATAGATGTTACTAAAGAAAATCTGGAATGTTGTCTAAACATCAATAGATTTGCCGATTTGCATCATATAATATTCCAAAATTTGTGATCTCTTGCAGCACTTGTAGAAAATTCTAGTGGGAGTTTTGCAGTGAAGGGAGAAAAACATTTATCAATTTCTTAAGAGCATCTCTTACTTTTCCCCCGCCACTCCTAGCCAGCGTAGGATAGAACAGGATAGCAATTTTAGCAAAGGCCCTCAAAACACAAACAATGAGAAATTGTGTACGTTAAGCTCCATGCACAGGGACAGGCGCATGAAACAAATAAAATAATACCCAAAAATTAGAAATGTCAAAACGCTTTAATCCAAATTTAGAAAGTTAATATGTTTATTAAAAAAAAATGTAATGGAAGATGAGGGAGATCCTAATCTTCCAGAAAACAAAATCATATATCCGAGCTGATTATTGTTATTCCTAAAGAATGAAAGGCGTAAAGCATAACAAATTGAGGAAATTAAATGCCACAGATTCCCTTTTAATTCGTCTTTACTGAAAATCTTTCACCGGGCAGATTCTTGCATCTCATAGGCAGTAGCTGCAGCATCAAGTCCCTGAACAGGTGAACCTCCTTCCTCACTATCATGCCTCACATGCCCTGCTGCTTTGGCTCCTCCAGAGTCGCTAATGTTCCCAAAGATCAAAACTAGCACTCCACAGACAGCGGTGATAAACGAGAGCCCAAAAGAAGTGGACACATTTCCTGGGATTGCCGATGCAACTGCGAAGCCAGCACACGTGCCAAGAGCTTTTGTCCAAGAAAACCAAGCAGAGAAAGCACCTTCTTTTCCGGGAGGGGAACAATCCATCAACAGAACGCGCCCGAAAGCGTGTAGGAGCCCTGCGGAAGTGCTTTGAACTGCGGCGAAGAGCAGAACATGGTGCTGCTTCCAAACTGAGCCCCCGAAAAAGAACCCGTACCCGGAGGTGATTAATGAGAGGAAGAAGCCCATGAGTTGCATTTTGACAGCATTCGCCTTGATGAAATGCTGCAGGGGTTGCAGCAGTGGGAGAGAAAACAAGGGGAAGATGAAATACATTAGCCAAAAGCAGAGCAATGATCTTGGATCATAGCAAAGCTGCCCAACTAAGTAAAGCACCCCTCCTGTGAAAAGACACATTGTCGTTGCCGAGGAGAGGAAAGCGCCAACAAGGCCTCCTACTGCATGAGGAAACTTGAAGATTGATAATGCATGGGACTTTGAGATTGGTGGGTTGACGCAAGGCCTTTTAGTGACAAAGAAATGGAAGATTCCACAAAGCCATTTGATACCGCTAAAGATGGAGACAACCCAGAGGCTTATGAACTCCTCTTCCTCTCTAAGCATGTGGTACGTGAATGAGGACATGATGGCGGCGCCCAAGGAGCCTGCGGCAGCTGCGTAAAGCGAGAGCCAGGCAGAGATGCCTCTGCGGTCTTGGAACTGGGATTTTTTAAGAGTTGGTCCAGTGAAGCCGCGGACCATTAGGCTAAGGTGGCGGGTGTGGCAGGCGGTGGAGATGACGTGGGCGGCGGTTATGGCAGCGATGTATGGGGGGAAGATCCAGAGGGTTTTGAAGAAGCCGGCAGGAAGACAAAAGATGGCGCCAATGGCGGTGGCAGCTGCAGCAATGATGGGCTGGTTGTAGCCGTGGTCAAGAATGATGGAGACAAAGGCAAGGACTGGAGAAGCCAGAGCTAGACCTATGGCCCATGAAATTGAAGTCCACTCTAGAGCTGAGTATTTGGAAAGTATTGACTTCTTTGTGAGTGAATGGTACCTGCAATATAAACACATAAACTTCACCGTCTAAGCTATGGAAACTTAGTTGGAGTGTAGTGATCAATAGCTTAACCCATAAAAAAAAATTGGTGAACTGTAAGTAGGAAAAAAAAATGTTGAAGTTGAGTCTATTTCTAGACATGACATATTGAGAAGTCTGATTTCTACTCAACTGTTTTTTTTTATTACGTTTATCTCATTTATTGACATGTGATTGTTTAGGATGTAAAATCACTATAGGTTTTCAGTATGAACTCAAAGTTTGAAATTTAACACCTAACTTCGAAACTCTAAAGGGTCATTGTATACAATATCAATAAATAAGACCACGGTCCATAGTTGTTGTGTTTTAAAAAAAAATAAAAAATAAAAATACAAGTGATAGTCTAAACTAGAGGAGAGGGGGACATCTCACACGAACACAACTAAGATATCATGAGAGTTCGAACTTGAGACCTCTTGTCTGCAAGTCTAGGTCCTTTTCCAATAAGTTAAACCCATTGGCAACACCACGATCCATAGTTGAATAAAATTTAGTATAACTAAGATTTTCTTAACACATTTGTAATTTAATAAAGAATAAACTTTATGTATAAAGAATCTCTGATGACTTATAACAAAGCATAATAATGATTAAATGTAAAATGATGAGCACAAATATTTTCATCTAAAAAACTCTGACCTTTAATGGCCTATGAAGTTAGACATACAAAAGCAAAGGACCATAGACATCTCCATAGGGAAAAGGTGCCAAATTAGCTCATTTCGTTCGATACGAAACAAAAAAGATAAACAGCAATGATAATTAAAGATAAAACAAAAATTCTCCATAATCTATATATAAAACAAAATGTAGAAAATGGTGAAACATTCAAAATATCAGAAAATGCCTTTAGTTAATTCAAACATTAATAATTGAAATTATTAATTAAATGAGAATAATATGATAAAGACATATTTTTTCATATTAAAAAAAAAGAAAAAAGAAAACAAAATCAGATAATAAATCCTACTTTTATGGAACATAACTACCCATGTTATTTTTTCTTAATTCTAAAAATAAAATATAAAATATAAAATAAAACCAATTGGCACATGCATGAGCGTGTGCCAAGGGGCCAGATAAAGATAAAATAAAAAGTTGCAAAAAATTTTTGGAACATTTTGGAAAAGGCCAAAGGAGAGAGAAATATTTTTAAAAGAAGCAAAAATGGACAAAAATGCCCTTATTTATTTTTGAATTTTCTAAGGAATCTTTTACATTTGCATGTCTTTGGTTTGAAAGTTGAGGGATTTTTCTATCTTTTTCGGAAAAGTTTTAACTTTTTCCTAAAGTGAAAGTTTTTTTATGGCAAAAACTTAAATTTACTAAAAGTTTATTGACACGCGTGTGAGAACAGGTCGAAAAACTAGTATACATAAAAGAAAATATCTGATGCCGCTAAACAATTAGAAGAATCCCTTAAAATATCCCTACTTGGTAATATAGACTTTTCAAATAGTTAACAAAAATCTAAGAAAAAGAAAGGGAAATTTTATTGCCACCCCCAAATCTATTGGACTCCCCTTCAATTTTTAATATGAAGAGACAAAGACTGATCCAAAAATAATGTAAGACTAACAAATTATTTTTCTTTAAATTGAACTGTGGTTTTATTTTAATTTTTTTTATCAGTTTACTCTTTTTATTTAATTTGAAAAGGCATTTTGAAGCAAGCAAAAGGTCAAGAGACTAGCAAATGATATCACAAGTACAGGTCGTCTACTTACAGTTTGATTTCCTTTTGTTTGCAAACAAAGCCCTTGTCGCTGAACCCTCCCTCCACAGAGGCGAGTGGTCCGTTTGCAACCTGGCTGATGATGAGGGGGAAGACGATAGGGATAAGAACTGTAAGAATGAAGTAAGAGCACAACTCATAAAAATACCAACTCAAAACCTCCACCTTGTTAGGCTTCTCTTCAACCCCTGCATATGCTTTGTACACATCCCTTGCCCTCTGAATCTTCATGCCCGCCCCATGCACATCTGGAGTAGTTCCAATCCCCATATATGCTTTCTCCTCCTCATTCTCGACCGCTCGCAGCGCAGAACTGATGATCAACTCTTGTGCACTGCTACTTGTTCCAGTTTCCGGGCTAGGTTCAGCCATTTTTCTTTCAACCCCAATTTATTAATCAAGGGAAGTGCGTGTGTGTTCATAACTTTTGCAAGCTTCTTTTTATAAATACTCAAAATACGAAAATGGTATATACGCTTGGTGAAGAAGACTAAAGAATGGAGGATGTTGATGGCTGGACATGAAAAACCAGCTGGTTGCGGAAAATCCCAAGGGCTTCAAAAGCCTCGGTATGTCCATATATATGTAAATGCGAATAGAGGAAGGGTATAAATTTGGCATCATTCTCAACTCTCATTGTCTTTTATCATTTTTCTACCCCATACAGTCCAATTACTAATCTATCATACAACAAGGTGGCACTATATTCTTAATTTGTTTTCTTCATTAGGGTTAAAAAATATTTCACTCCATTAATATATTGTTGGTTGGGGTTTTTTGAGTGGACAGTTTCTTCATCTCAAAAGGAAGACACACAATTATTAAACGCGTCTAATTTTTGTTATTTAACACTTTAATTATTTATTTTCTTATGCCTGCTATTCAAGTCTTTAAGAGGTAAAAGTACAACGTACAATACTATTTCTTATCTTTTTTTTTCTCGAACGACCTAAATCAGAAATTAAGGTCGTGAATCAACCGATGCTTTCACCCTTTTAGTGCGATTGCGGAATGATTATAAAATATTTAGGGTCAGTTTGACATTGCTGTGCTGTGAAAATAATCGCTGTCAGATTTGCTGTGAGAAAAATCAGCTGTAAAGTGAAGTAGTTTGGCATTTGGGAAACTTTTTGTTAAATTTGTTTTTGGTACTAATTTCTGCATAATCATTAAACTTAGCACCTCTTCGAAACTGACTTCTTCATAATCAGAAAATAAAAGCACCTAATTAACCGTTTTCCCTTATAGCTTTCTCTCACAGCAATTTTTAACAATAAGTGATTTTCTCATAGTTTACCAAACGGGTTGGGCTTTCCAAAAAAATTTAAAAATCACTTATCATCCCAAATAAGTAATCCAAACGAGCACTTAGGGTTCGTTTGAGAGTGATTCTGGAAAGGTCAATAATTACTTATATGGAGAATCACTTTTGGATAAGTCAATAATCACTTTTATGGACAAGTACATAGGAGGTAGAGTTGTCAATGGATCAGATTTTGATTCGGATTAGATTCGAATCCGATGTCATTAATATGAGATGGATTTGGTGGCATAATTCAATAACCCGATTATGATCCAAATTCATTAACCTGTTAAGTTAACTGAACAAATATGAATATTGCCTAATATAATCCGATAATTATCCAATTTGATATAATAAATATCTATTAATTTTTTCACTTACTTAATATATATATAGTTTTCTCTAATACGGACGTCCACATTTTGTTAAACTACGGTTGTCCACTTTGCAACTTTTTGTTTTTTGTTTTTTTTTGCAGAAGAGGTGGATTTGATTCATGCAATTCCAATTAGCACTGGAAAGTTGCTAGATTCATTGATTAAAAATGGCAGTTTAGTATAAAGTGCTTAACACGTTGCAAGAGCCCTTGAGAGCAACCGATGGTACTGCTTCTTCTTTTGCGTCTCCATATTCCCACATTTGGGATACTTTTTGGAGGGCCTACACCTCTGCCAAGGTGAAAGTAATCTTGCAGCATGTATGCTTTTACTTGTATATATATTGGCAAATTTATGGACAACCGTAGTTTAACAAACTGCGGACGTCCGCATTAGAGCAAAACTATATATATGCATATGTAACAATATTGTGAATTTTTGTAAATAAATTACAATATTTTCAACTATTTGTATTTATGACATAACAAAATTCGGATCAGGTTATCGGATATGATATTTGATAATTCAACAAATCGCATATGGATCTAGTTGTGAATGGTTCGTCGGATTTTCGGATCGAGTTGGGTTGAAATTTTTTTGATTTTATATTGGGTCAAATTTCAAGTTCAAAGTTCATCTCCGACCCATTTACAAGTCTAATGGGAGTGCTTCTCCCCATAATCTTTTAAAATCACTTAAAGTAATTATATGGAGAAGCACATAGGAGGTGTTTCTCCCCTACTAACTAGGTGATTCATCGACAAACAAAAGTACCCAGTTTTCTAAGTTCATTTCTTGCTTTCAATTAGGTTCAAGGAGTTCAAATAAACAACTAAGAAAAATAAAGAGAGCTTGACTAGGCCCTTGATGACTTTTCAGGATACTAATAAATTTGTGGGAGGTCCACTGGATGTGAAATTTTGATTCCGTCATTGCTCCAAAAGTACGTTCTATAATGCTCTTAAGGGAAGAATGTTTGTGGTTGAATACTTTTTTGTGACCCACTGATTAGATATTGCCTCTACAAAAACCACAAAGATAATACCTTTCACCTTTATATGTCTCTAAATACCCTTTTCATTTGTGGGTACCATGCATTCACTAGATAAAAAAAAAGAGTCCAACAATATGAATATTTCGCGAAAGAACTACCATTTGGAGGTTTAGGAAAAGTCAAAAGTTTTATAATGTAAAACCAATAAGAAACCCTTGCATTGTAGGGCGTGTCATCCCAAATTGCATATGTAATTATGAATTGCATGTCAAAATTGTCCGCATGCATAATATTTTGAGTTTGTATTCCCCTCCTGCCAACAGTGGCGGATCCATAGAGGAGGAAGGGTGGTCAATTGACTCCTGAAACCCTGGAATCCACCATGGGAGAGGAAGAAATTGACCCCTTCAACTTGCTCAGAACCTGCTTGATGAAATGCCCCAAAGGGGGAGGCACACTTTTTTTTTTTTTTTTTTTTTTTTTTTTTTTTTTTTCTAAATTACATCGTCATCGTCCACTTTATTTTTTTTTGTTTTGGTTTAAAAAAAAAATTTTAATTTTTTAAAAACCTGGTCAAAACAACGTTGTCCCATTTAGGGTTTTTTTTTATATAAAAAAAAAAGGTATACAAAATATTACCTGCTCGATAAAACTCATTTTGGGAATGAGTTTCAACACAATTCTATCGTTCAAACCCAAATTCCCCACCCCAAAACCCCAGCCACCATCCCATTGTTGAATCCTTTATGGATGGCTTTTCTTTGCACAAGAACTTACGGTCTATTTTTTATTTACCCAATAGAAAGTTATAGTTTTCCTTGCCCTTGTCATAGGAGATACAGTAATCTGGTGAGAGAGCAGGTAAGAAGTTTGGCATATGATTGTAAGTGATGATCTCATTGTCCCGTGATCTAATGGTAGACCTTGCAAATTAATGATTGAAAGTGAGATTCGTTTTTAGGAAGAAGGGAGATGTGCCATTTTGAGTCAAATTTTTTTTCAAAATAGAAGACAAGCTTATATTAATAAATGGTTGTTGTTCCACAAATTCCAAATAAACCCTGAAGACTAATCAGTTTTTTTCAGTATATTGACTCTCAATAGCTTTTAAGTTAGTTTTAAGCTTCTTATTTTTTGTTCCTTTGGTTTTCACTATAAATCCATGGTTTTATTTGATGTCTATCATCCATCACACGTTTTAGCATATGCATTTGAGTGGTGATTTTCTCAATTACTGATCTTTTCCATCACACGTTTTAGCATATGCATTTGAGTGGTGATTTTCTCAATTACGGATAAAAAAACTTTACATGTTGAATCCTAAAGAGAAAATTCATGGATCCACCACTGCTTGCCAATATAATAATAAAGAGGTATCAAAGCATGTTGCGTACATCATCTACTGCACCAATATAATTCTTTAAATAACATTAATAAAACCAACATAATAATAGATACAATTAGCACAAAGTACTTAAGCATTTTCCCAAATCCAAATAGACAAGACTAGAGCTATTAAACCCCAAATACAGGCGATAGTCTAAACTACGGGGGGAAAGGGGGGTGATGCATCAGTGCTCAAGAAAGGGTGTTCAAAAACACAAACCACGAACCACCAAGCCCCGTTTAGTCTAAGAATACCCGGACCTAGGCACAAAGTACAAGATAAAACACTTAAACCTATTGATTCTTAGTACCCATATTATGAGCAAAGGGTGAGAGAACTCCCTTTGTTTTCAATTTCAATTCTCAACAACTACTGCCCTGAAAAGTCTGAGCATACAAGTATTTAAGGACTTGAGCTCTCATATCATACATTGAAATAGCACCCAAATTAATGAACACCATTAATCTAGATACATTGAGCTCATCTAAATAACTATGACTCTAGGTATTCCAAATTCATGGAACTTATTAAAAGTAAACTCAGACTCTTAGGGCTTGTTTGAGACTGCTTCTTTAGAAAGCACTTCTGCTCATAAGTGTTTCTCGCAAAAACGCTTTTGTTATAAAGATGTTGAAATTTTTATAAGAAACCCAAGTGCTTCCATGAAAAGCACATGGGAGTGCTTCCTGAAAAAGCATATAGCAGATGCTTCTCCAGAAAGCATTTCTACGACTTAGAAGCACGTCTAACATTTTCCGCCAAATGTTGTCATAAGTGCTTTTGATTGTCAAAAAGCACTTTTAGCCCTCCGAAAAGCACCGAAAAAGCACTCCCAAACAGGCCCTTAGTAAACTTTAATGCATTATATCCCAATGCTCCATAAACTTTAATACCTCCTCATCTGCATCATTATGCACTGCATCTAGGGTTTCTCACACACACAAATTAGCTACTACATTACTGTGCAAAACCACCATCACGCTTTCCTCTCTTTGCATAATTTCTTTTGATTCTTCTATCCTTAGACTCATTTGGGTCCCGAACTTTCTGTCCATGGGCTCCATATTAGAGAACCTACAATCTCTAATCTCCAACAAGATTTCAAACAAAACCAAATGACGTCAAGAAAACTAGTTGAGTTCTAACTTTTAGAAATATGTAGGCTCAACTCGGTCCTTCATGTCGTTATAGAGGTGAACCCATGTGCCCTTTACCAAGCTAATAAGGCAGGCTATCAGGGAAAAGCGAAGGCGCCCAGTTATTATTATGGGTTACATGGAATTCCTATCTTGCTCAAGGACAACATTGGAACAAAAGATAAGCTTAACACCATTGATTTGCTTGGCTTAGTCGTGCCTCAGGATGCCAACATAGTGTGTAAGTTGAGGGAAGTCAGAGCCATCATATTGTGGAAGGCTAGCTTGTAAGCTTTCGGGTTCCATTATTAGTATATGGGCATACTGTATGCTACCTATTGGTCCATGATATTGGGAAAGATAATGTCGACTGGTAACTATATAATAGGTGGATCCAATATCTATTATGTGGTGGATTCTTATTATTGGCTCAGAGCTCATACTTTTGTTGGGATTAAATCTTTCCTTAATGGGTGGGAAACCTAATTGACACAATATATGAGTAAGGTCCTCTCACTAGTAGTCGCACCCTGGTGCTTTTCACATTCTCCCGCTTTGTATTTATCTAAAAATTTGATGAGAATTAAGAAAGTGGTTTACAAACCACCTTATGTTGCAATATGTGTACCCCACATGCTTCTCAGATAGAAATTAATAAAAATTCTTTATTTTTAAAGTTAAAAAAATCAATTATTTTACATAATAAATTTAAAGAAATTTCAAAATTAAAAATTTCTTCCCAACTTGGCCAAGCCTTTCCTTCCTTTCTCCTCTCATCTCATGACTTTCCTATCTTGGTGAGATTTCATCTATCTATTTGCACAAAATTAGGAATTTTGGGAGCTCAAGGCCCCTTTTGCAGCAGCTGTTCAGTGGGAAGCTCCATTCTTAGCTACTTTTCTTCTTCTTTCTTTCCTCCTTCCCTGGCCAGATCTGATGAAGGAAAGGAAATGGGTGTACATGCTGGTTTGAAGGGTGCTCATCCTCCTGGCAGCTTACATGCTAATATCCCTTGGTTCCTTGAATGTTTTGGCTTTGAAACTTGCTCCCCCATGTGCTGGAACTTCCCAACAACCTTTATTCAATGAATCTTCTAACCCTCTCTGCGTGGCTTCTATTTTTCTAGCAAGGGGCTGAGGCTTTTGTGGCTTATTGTGAAGTTTTATATCGGCCAAGGTGGTTTATTAAATAAGTGGGCTATTTTATTAAACATTGGGCTTTTTAGGCTATTTTGCTTGGGCTATTTGGGCTATTTCTTCTCCCTTGTGCTCACCCACATATTTGGACTTAAGAAATGGGCTTGAGTCCCGAGGCTCCCAAGCAACCCGAGACTTTCTATTTCTCGGCCCATCAATGGGCCTCATGTTGATTTATTACCATCCATACCACAACGCACTCAAGCAAGCCCTGGGCATTTGAGTGGCTTGGGCCCACTTAGGCTTGTAGTGTGATTGGATGTGAAATAACGATTTCGTGCTTGGCATGGCATATTACTTTGCAAGTTTTAATTTTATCATCCTTGGGAAGAACTGCGATGTTTAATTTCGGCATGGGCTTGTAAAGCCGGTATACTTTATCTCGACTCCTAATATGACGACTTATTTATTTAGCGTGACATGTGAACTATAACTCGCATGTGGCGGGTTTTCGTGTACTCCGTTTTATGTCTTTTCTTAATAGAGTGTTGTTTTGGGCCGATAATTTATTCGGGCCCAACCATGGATTTTTTTGGGCCTCAACATTACTCTCCACCCGAGCTGCCCTTCTTTTGTTTCTCCCTTCCCTGATGCACACTCCTCCTCTCCTTCTGATGCTCTTCTCATGTTCATCTGATTTCAACTCTCAATCAACCCTAGAATGCAAAATCAAACTTCATGGGTGATCTTGAAATTCGTTTTCACCATTTGGCTCAACATTGAAATAAAAGAAAAAAAAATAAATTTTAAGGTTAGATTAGCTGTTGGATGGTTTTTATTAGGCTTGGGCTCCGTTTGGGTTGGTTCGGTTTTGGGCTCAACCCGAACACTGAATAGGCTTCAGTTTGGCTATTTTTAAAACCAAAACCAAACCATAAATGACAAGAAGGTGTGTAAACGGTCACTCTATAACTATAAGGTATCAATTTTTATTTTTAAAATCAGAAAAGAGAACGAAAGAAGACTACTTCGTATTAAAACCGACCACTTCGGTTAACTGGACTTGGTGGTTTGGTTTGGTTTGGTTTCGGTTTTTTGGCTTTATGAGAGAGAGAGAGAGAGAGAGAGAGAGAGAGAGAGAGAGAGAAGAAATAAAGCAATGGAGAGGAGAAGAAAAAAAAAGGGAGAGATGGAGAGGAAGAAGAAGAAGAGGAAAAAAAGAAAAGAGAGAAGAAGAGGGAGATGGGGAGAGGGAGTGAAGACAGATAAAGAGGAATGAGAAAAAAAAATAGAGAGAGAGGGACTGATGAAGACAAGACAAACGGAGAGATTGAGAGAGAAGAAAAAGAAAAGATTGAAACTATGTATTATATATATTTCTTATAATAATATTATATATAATATTTTTTAATATATTCAGTTTGGTTTGGTTAAACTGTTGTTTTGAATATTGCAAACCGTACATCAAACCATATATTTCGATTTGGTTTGGGTTCAAACCGATGACCCAAAAAAAATTTAAAAAAAACCAAACCAACCCAACCCATCGGTTTGGTTTGGGCGGTTTGACTGGGTTACCGGTTTGAATGCCTAGCCCTAGTTTTATTATCAAGGGAGATGAGGAAGATCAAGGGAGAGAGTAGAGTAGGCTGGGCTGGGAGGGATGTTAGTCGTGATGTGGAGAAGATAGTTTCTGCAAAATTCTTTTAAATTAAATTTAGGATATTTCTTTTAATTATTTTAATAGACTAAGAATATTTTATTATGTTGTTGGCTCCACTTTGACATATCATCCACTTAGATTGGTGGGTGAATAAGCCACATATATGAAATTACTTAAACACCCTTACCATGTTATCAATTTTGACAATTTGGATGTAGTTAACGGTTGGGAGGTAAAGTGAAACAAACCCACGGTTAAGAGGGTTGAGGGTTAAGTTGGACAGTTTAACTTTTGGGGGGTGTGGGTAAAGTGAAATTTGACTGAAGTTTCATGGGGTACTACAGTAAATAAGCATATAAAGAAAACCTGTAACTATCTCTCAATCCTACCCTTCCCTCCCCATCCCCTTTCAGCTGCTTTCACCTCCCATTCCCTGCCCTTCCATCCCCCTCTGGTCCCTTCATGCTCTCTCTCCCACTCGCAACCCACCCCTATCCCTACCCGCACCCCTCTCTCCAACCCACACTCTCTCCCTCTCACCTTCTTTGTCTCTCTCTCTCTCTCTCTCTCTCCTAAGCACACCAGTCCCCTTGTGACCCAGACCACACCCCAACGCCACCCTCAACCTACCCTCCATCCCTTCGACCTAACCCCTGTCATCAAGAGACCAAAAAGAGGGAGTTTGTTCAAGAAATCAACCCCCTCTCTCCCTCTGTGTTCTCTCTACCCTCTGCCTTTTCTCCCTCTCTCCCTTTCTCCCTCTCTACTCTCTCTCTCTTTCCCCTTTGCATTCTTCCACTCCCATCTGTTCTATTTCTCCACCACCCAACCTCGACCCCTAGCCCCACTCACAATAACCCATCCCCAGCTCTGAGCCTTACCTAGAATTCTGGCTCTTGTATCCAATCACAGTGACATAGAGGGACAAGGGGCTGCATGGAATTTGAGTGGGGGAGGGGGGCTGCGTGGAAATGGAAATTGAGTTGGGGAGGGTGGTGTTGTGTGGACATGCTTTAAAAGTTCTAATTAGGCTAACAATATTGAAAAAATGCAAAAGGAAAGAGAATTGAGTTTAGGCCTAAATATGCTGAACCAAATGGTCTTAAGTTGGTTTGGTTTGATTTAGGTTTCTTCATGGCTTTTGTCAAAATCGAACCGAACTAAACTGTTATATTGTAATTGGTTCGGCCGTGATTTTGAGGTGAAACCGATCCAATCCGGACCGTATCCACCCCTATTTAAAACTGAAAAATTCAAAAATAAAAACTAAACCCTAGACTAGTCCATCCACCGAAGTATTTGATATTTTCTGCGCGCCCCTACTCCTCTAGTGCTGCCTCGTGAGATGTGTCAGTTGAGAAAAAGAGTATTTCCTTTGTTTATTATGTCTTTGAAGTCATCGAAAGGAAGACACTGTTTGGATTCTTTTCTATTTTCCTCCCCTAAACACAGGCACCCATTTTTCTTCACTTTTTTGTTTTGTTCTTTGGTCATTCATTTCCTTTGTGGCCTTCTCATTTTTAACCCAGAAATTCCCAACCCAAACAATAATGAGATCAAAACCCAAATGCAAGTCCAAATCCAACTCAAATTCCAAATCTAAATCCAAATCCAAATCCAACTCTAATTCGAAATCCTTGGCATTATCGGTGTTTGTAGAAAATGTGGTTAGTGAGGAGGAAGCAGTGCCATTGAGCTCCTACGACCCAGAGCTCGTAGCGGCTGAGAAATGCAGCCAACCCAAAACGCAGCAGCAGCAGCCCAAGTGCCTGAGGAGGTCGCCGAGACTTTCTCCGCTGCCCGATTTGCCTCCTGAGACGGAGTTCAAGAGTATTTTGGGAAATGTCGCTTCCAGAAAGTTCGAGAACAAGTGTACGACGAGCATAAGAAGGTCTCCCAGATTTACGTCACCAGTGGCGGAAGCTGAGAATAGCAAAACTGGGACTGCATCGCTTCAGGTGCACGCGTCACTACCCTATTCTTTCTATTTATTTATGCAATTTTTGTTTTTCCGCGATGGAGCTTTCTTTTATTTCTCGTTCAAAAAAGAAAATAAATTGCACCTTCCTTGTCCTTTTTAAAAGAAAAATATAGTATCTATATTGCCATTTTTACTACTTGCCCACCAGGTGGGACCCATTTTCATTATAGTCCGTAAATACGGTACAAATAACAGCACAGTCATTCCTTTTTTGTTTTGCGGGTTTGTGTTTATTTTTCCTTTTCTGAGCTATGCTTTATATTTATTTTGTGGTTTTGTATAATAGCATAGTACCGTGGGCCCGTGGAAAAAATACCTACTTGTACAGGTACAGGGAGAGCCAATAATATAATGACATGGGAAAGGTTATCTAACTTGTCGTTGTATTATTGGCCGGGATAAAAAGTGCTATACTTGTTGCATGAGATTTTCTTTGGGGCACGTGGCCATGCACCTATTAGATGTCTCTCATCCATCTTGTCTTTGAATTAAAAGATCATGCGGACCTTAATAGGATCCCTTCATGTTTCATTAATTACAGCCCCGCACCACTGTTCACATATAATGTCGTTTTTACGCTTTTCATAATTTAAAAGCAAATTCTTATGGGTAAATTGGCATTTAGCCTCATGAATTGTCACGCTAATATGACTTTACTTCCGATTATTTTTTAGTTAATCTAAGAATTAAACTAGAAAAAAAAAGCCAATTTAGGACTTATGGTTAAGGTTTCAAAACTCCATAGACATGCTAAGTTGGCTAGAGCGGAGGTATTCCTCATTATGCACCCGAGTTTAAATCTCCCTTCCTGTAATTTAGATTAGATTAAAGTAGAATATTGATTGTATAAAAAAAAAGGTTTTCAAAACTCCATCCAATTTTGCCGTCAATTGTAAGGGCAAATTTGTCATTTCAAGGGAAATACTTTGGAAAATTTGAAAAAAAATAAAGAAAATGTGAAAATTTAAAAGAAGGGGTAACTGACGTGTCACTTTATAGAAAACAAAGAAAACAGTTACTTATATTTAAGGAAATGTGAGTGTTTTATTTTTCTATTTTTTGAACTTTTCAATTTAAAATATTGTTAATTTACTATGTCGTCCTCATTTAAGATTTTTTTGGCTTTTTAAACATATTGATTTTTTATTATTTATTTTAATTTTTTGGTGATGCGGGAAAGAACAAACTACAAGAGAAAAACCCTAAGGCATGGGATTTTTCGAAATCCACTTGGCACACGTCCATTTTATGCACATATATATATATATATATATATATATATATAGAGCTTCTATTGAGGGACACTCTTGGCACACGTCATTTTTATGCATATATGTGTATATATATATATATATATATATATACAGAGCTTCTATTGAGGGACACTCTTATAGGGCCCACTCCGCATTGTGTTTCACTAATCAAAATCGTCTATTTTATAGATATTCATTCAAAGATCATTTTTACAAAAAATCACTTAAATTCGATATCATTTAACCACTCAATTAAATTATTGAAATTTAAGTACTTTCTTGAATTATCGTGTTCATTAATTTTGTTGGTCTCAATTATATGCGTTAATGATTTTCAATTTGCATGATTTTTTGCAAGGATGATCTCTGAATGAAGATGTGAAAAATAAATGGTTTGGATCATTGAAAAAAATTAGTAGGGTATCCTAAAGGGTGTACCTCAAGTAATTATTTGAGGGATCCCTCAATAGAAGGGGATTGGTCCCATTCTATTGAGGAGGGCTCAAGCTTTAACGGTTTAGTGTGTTAAAGTGATGCTAACGACCCATTTGGGCCAGCTCCACAACTCCATCCCATGACCCGAACCATTTATTTTTTAGGTCGTCATTCAAAAATTGGTCAAAAAATTAGCCTAATTTTCTTCCTTAAGTTTTCATTAACTAAGGACATTATGGGGTATTTTGAAAGTTTCACATTGAAGGCCCTCCCCATTTATATATACTAACCCCCCCACCCCCACCTAGGCACATGTCCCTTTTTATTATTATTTTTAATTTTTTATACAAGCGATATTGGGGGAGTGGGGGAGTCAAACCTAGGACCTTGGGTGTAGGGGTAAATGCTCTTAACCACTTGAGCTACAAGCCCCCTTGCGCACACATCACCTTTTGTAATGACTTTTACAGTTTTTACTTGGTTTTTATGTTATTTATGTGCATATATATATATAGGGACTTTCTCTATTGCGAACTCCAAGTGTGCGGACTGGATGCGAACTTCTATTTGTGACCATTAGATGCCTTGTACGCTCTAGATTTAAAACATCATTGAGAAGGGTTTCAGTCTTTTGGTAAGAGCCAAAATTCCCGCGCTTACACCTCCAATCTACTAACCTCTGTTTCCTTCTTCCAACACAACACCTTCTCTTCCCTGTGCTTTCATCCCTGGCAATATCACAGCTGCTGCTCTAGGTTATAATATTTTTATTTCTTCTTTTTAACACCTTCTCTTCCATGTGCTCTCATCCCTGGCAATATCATAGCTGCTCCTCCATGTTGGAATATTTTTATTTCTTCTTCTTCTTCTTCTTTTTTTTTGTTTTTTGTTTTTATCTGTTTATATTTTTTCTAAACTTTTGAAGGTATCCTGTATACAAACTTTGCAAATCATCCGAAGAAGGCATGACTCTTTGAATCATATCACGAGATCATAGTTAGCTTCAATATCCTCATATGCAAATGAAATGTAGTTAGTAATTGTAAACGTCAGGTAAATACAGAGTATAATTAAACAACAGATCAGCCAAGGTCATATAAAAAAATCCCACCCAGCAGTATAGCAATTGATGAAAGCATCGGATGAATGCATAGGGAAGAGAAGGTCTTGTGGTGGAAGAAAGAAACATAGAGAGATTAGTAGATTGGAGGTATATGCGCGGGAATGAAAGCAAAAAAAAAACAAAAAAAGAAGAAGAAGAAGAAGAAGAAATAAAAATATTCCAACCTGGAGGAGCAGCTATGATATTGCCAGGGATGAGAGCACATGGAAGAGAAGGTGTTAAAAAGAAGAAATAAAATATTATAACCTAGAGCAGCAGCTGTGATATTGCCAGGGATGAAAGCACAGGGAAGAGAAGGTGTTGTGTTGGAAGAAGGAAACAGAGGTTAGTAGATTGGAGGTGTAAGCGCGGGAATTTTGGCTCTTACCAAAAGACTGAAAACCCTTCTCAATGATGTTTTAAATCTAGAGCGTACAAGGCATCTAATGGTCACAAATAGAAGTTCGCATCCAGTCCGCACACTTGGAGTTCGCAATAGAGAAAGTCCCTATATATATATATATATTGTCCCCTTCTATTGAGGATGGCTCAAGCGTTAACTGGTTAGTATGTTAAGACGACACTAACAAGCTGTTTGGGCCCACTCTAAAACGTCATCTCATGACCCGAACCATTTTATTTGAGGTCATCATTCAAAAATCACCTTGCAAAAAGTTAGCCTAATTAGCCAAGTCACCCAGTTGATGTAGCCCATTGAGGTGAACAACATGCTTCTTGTGTTTTGTGTTTGTGCCTATCTCTTAACCCCCTCTCCATCTCTCACCTCTCTTGTTGATCCGTTTTTGGATATGAACATGTTTAGTTGACCATTTATCTTATTTTGCACTTCTAATTCCAAAAATGGATCCTTGCCTTATGCAGCATAGAAAAAGCAAGCGCGGATGCATGGGATCAAAGTGAGTAGCTGTGGTCGTGGGTAGGGGGGTCTTCACAGTCTTCATGTGCTAATAATATTGACTTTTTCATTTTCACTTGTTGCAGTGCTTACAAGGATAAAGATACAGTGTCAAATGTAGAGAGCTCGGTAGAGAAGTCTGTCAGGAGATCTCCAAGGCTGATGAATCACTCTGAAGCGGAAAGCTGCTGTCTGAAAGTTTCTTCACAAGAGATATCCCTGCGAAACTTGGAATCCCTTGAAAAAAGCTGCTTCAAGGCCATGTCCTTAAAACCTTCTGATGTCGAAGCATCATCAAGAGATATAGAAGTCCAGCATTTATCTCTCTCATGGCATGAATGTGGTGATAAAGAACCTATGCCCTTGAGGAGGTCTTCAAGGCTAATATCAGCCCCTGGAAACAGTGTTAGTGAATCATTGAAAAATTTTGACCTTCAAAAATTGGATGAAAAGCACATACGGAAATCTCCTAGATTTTCTCATTGTGTGAATGAAAGGCACATAAGGAGATCTCCTCGATTTTCCCTTTCTGTGGCAGCAGATGAGAAAAATTCTAATCTAAATTCTAGTATTGTTGGATTGTTTGATTCAGAAGATGAGAGGAGGTCTTCAAGGCTAATGCCAGCCCCTGAAAACGGCGATAGTGAATCATTGAAAAATGTTGACCTTGAAAAATTGGATGAAAAGCACATGCGAAGATCTCCTATATTTTCTCATTGTGTGAATGGAAAGGAGATAAGGAGATCTCCTAGATTTTCCCCTTATGTAGCAGCAGCTGAGAAAAACTCTAATCTAAATTCTATTATCTTTGGATTGTCTGATTCAAAAGATGAGTTTCCATCCAAGAAGATATTGATGTCATTAGGAAAATCTGATTCAAGAATTTTTGATGAAAAATACTTGAGGCAATCCCCAAAAGAAGCCACAGCTATGTTTGAGAATGAAGGAAGAGAAACAGAATGCTCTTTGATTGAATTGCCCGAGACATATGTGAAACAGCAACCAAAGAAAAGGAAAACATTGGATTCATCAGAGAACAGGCAAAATAAACAAAGGAATTGCAAAAGTACTTCCTTGATTGGGGATCCAATTCCTGATGTTGAAGCTCAAGAAAGATGGGGTTGGCGGTATCAAATGAAGGTGTTAAATCAACTCAGATACTATTTATTCCTTTGCATTTCTTTTACTCGACTCTTTTTCTCCTTTAAGGACCTCAACATTAAATCAGAGGTACATTATACTATTAACAAATTTTCGTCCTGGCCATTATTGTACTTAAAAAATGTAAAAAAATAAATTCAATGAATAGATAGAGTCAACGGTACGGCAGATTGGGGGTAGAGTTTGATGAGAGCCCCTTTGTATTGGTTCTGTTGATGACTTAAGTATTGAGTTGTCAATTATTGCAAAGCTTAAGTAGACTTCCTATAAGAAAAAAGGAAGAAGCTTAAGTTGATTTCCTATAAGGAAAAAAGAAGAAGCTTAAGTTGATTGGGAATGCATACATACACCTCATTGAATTGACTCACTACTTCACGACTCAGCACATATCTTTCTCTCAATTGGACTTCCTAGTGGTCCTTTGAAGAAGGTTTTGGGTTGGAAATTTGCTGATATAGATACTGCTTCTAGTTATAATACGTGGAAGTCAAAGCTTATCTAATAAGGGTTACAAAAAAGTTATATCAATATGTTTCTTGGTGAGGAGTAAGAATAAGATATTTGAAAGATAAAGATATAGAGAGATCCGGGAACTGGTAGAGACAAAGAAAGAATCAGAAAAATCTAGGGAGAGGGGCATAATGAGAGTTTGTTTTAACGTTCCAACACCCTCTGTTTAATGTTGACTATGTGCTACCTTATTTCCTAATCAAATATGCATTTTTAGTGAACCTTTTGCAGTGGAGATATTTCTATTATATCTTATACAGTTATATTGAAATTTTATATGCATTTTTTTATACGAAAATTTTATATGCATATAAATATGTGCTCATGAACCTGTTTGCATTATATGTATATAAATGAGTGTGCATGTTTTAATGCAAATTTGTGCATTTTTGTATGGTGTGGGTAGAATAATTTCTGGCTCTTGAGCATTTAACTTGTACCTTTGATGCCATTTGACGACTTGGCATGGATTATACTCTGTTATAGGGTTTGAGGTTTTATGCTCATTGTAATGAGACTATTTTAAATTTCAGCTCATTATAGCGTTTAATATGTCTTAGATTTGTTTGTGGCTGTGTTGGAGTTTTGCAGAGTCAAAGATCTAAAAGTCAAAGCTTGAAGTTAAAGTGAGTAATAAACAGTTCACAATTTGTCTCTTTGATGGTTTGGTTGTTGTTTTCTTCAGTTCTATGCTTTGCATGCTGTGATGCGTTGCTCCTCACTTGTCAAGAGCACATTGTCTTGACTGGTGAGGAGGTACAAACATGTAACAGAACATTCTTACCAAACCTTCTTTTCCTTAAAAGCAATATATTCTCTTTGATCACACCCTTACTTCCACTGTTTCTCTTTTGACTTGCCAACTACGAGATAAAAAAAGATTTTTATTTTTATTTTATTTTACTAAAAAAAGCGTGTTTGTGATTCATTTTACACGGAATATGTGCCCTTACATGATTAGACCTGACCTGAGAACAATGTGCTCCTGACTTAAGCGAAGCATGATCGTTTTTAATATAATCCTCTTTGGTTCAATGTTTTTTTTCTGTTCATGTCATGCTTGCTTGTAGTGAAGATGAAGAAGATGAGATAATTTTGAATGTGGAATGTCACTTTTCTCAAGCTAAAATTGGCAATTGCATCTTCAGTCTTGGAGATTGTGCATACATAAAGGTAATTGCTCTCTTTCCCCAAGTATGTACTGGTTATGGGCATTTCTTCCTATAGCCAATGTAGATGTACTAGTCCCTCCACATGCTATACCTGCTTGAGATGGCTCCTCTTCAATATTATTGTTTTTCTCTTACTTTTATTTTATTTTAAATAAATGTTAATTAAGAAATAGAAATGTAAAAAAAAAAAAAAAAGTTATGGGTGAATTGTGACATAGCTTATTCTTTCGAGTTATGCTCATGTCGGATCTATGATATTTTGAATACATCCAATACACCCTTAAGTCTTCAGAGCAGCTCTGGTTACAGTTTGTATTGGACACATCCAAAAGAATGCTCATGCACAGTTTTGGGTATTTCTGTTGGCATTCCTAAGATGAAGGCAGCATTTGAAATAAATGTTGAAGTAATGTTTACAGGGTGATGGAGGAAAAAAGCATGTGGGAAGGATCTTAGAATTTTTCAAGACAACTGATGGAGAAAATTATTTTAGAGTCCAATGGTTTTATAAAGTTGAAGATACGGTGAGTTTGTAAAAACTGTTTCAAGTATGGAATGCCATGAGCAGAATATCCAACTAAGTACTAACCATTCTTTGTTCTTTGTATTTGTTTCTCAGGTTATCAAAGATGTAGGGGATGTTCATGACAAGAGGCGTTTATTCTATTCTACTATAATGAATGATAATTTGATAGATTGCATAGTTTCAAAAGTCAATGTTAAACATGTATCTCCTAGGGTATAATTAAATCTTGATTTTTTTTCCTTTAAATTTGACTTCTGTTATATAATTGCTTTTTGTTTTTGAAATTTCCAGGCCTATGTCATATATTATTTTAATCAACTTTATCTATGTTTTGACTTTTTTCAGGTGGGGTTAAAAGGGAACTCCATTTTGTCGTCTGACTTCTACTATGATATGGAATACTGTGTGGACTATTCCACGTTTCGCTCCTTGATTACTGGTGAGTGGATCATACTGTGGCAGTGATAGGTGCTTATATTTGTTTCTGGTTTGGTGTGCAAGATTTAATTTGGATTGTTACTTTGCTCAGGGATTGGACTAGATTGGATATGATTGTTTTAATACCATGCAATGTTTGCTGTAATATAGGATTAATTAAGTAATACTATCTTCTGTTTTGTTTCAGTATCTTGGTTTCGGGATATCCAATTCAATTGTTGACTTATCAATTTCAGTGGATAAATTTTTTGAGAAAGTCTTTTATTTTCTTATCTTTATAGACAATACCTTCCATGTTCAATTTCAGTGAATAGAAAACTTTGTAGTATGGTTGTTTTCTACCACATGGCCCTCCAAGATCTACCTAAAATGTGAGACGTTGACATTAAAATTTGCACAAAAATTTCTTCAAAGGTTTGACAATTCCTACTTGTCTAATTTTACTTCAGATAATTCTCTTAAGAACCAAAACTTGCCAGCATACAATTCAATCGAAGCAGTCTCTATACTGTCAACTGCAAACTTGTTGGAGAATATGCCCAGCTCTGAAACTTACAATGCAGAGTTGGCAGTCTTAGATCTTTATTGTGGTTGTGGTGGTATGTCAACTGGATTGTGTCTTGGTGCCAAACTGTCTTGTGTTAATCTTGTCACGGTATTCAACAATTTTTTTTTTTCAATTTTCATTTTCATTATATTTTTTTAATTACTATCAGCTGCCTCAAACATGTTATGGCTTTAAGTGAATCTTACTTTCTGGCCTTTATTTAGAGATGGGCCCTTGACAGTGATAAATCTGCCTGTGAAAGCTTGAAGTTAAATCATCCAGAAACGCAAGTGAGTATACTTTATCCTTTGCTAGGCAATAGCCAATTTTCTCACCCCTTAATGTTCAATGACATTACAGAATAGTTCTATGTTTTTCTTTGTAGGTCAGGAATGAAGCAGCTGAGGATTTTCTAGAACTGTTAAAAGAATGGGAAAAGTTATGCAGACGGTATACAGTCAATGATGTTGAAAGAACTCATCCATTAAGATCAAAAACATCAAAAATACCCAAGAATAGTAATGAGATTGCTACAGACGAATATGAAGTTTCGAGGATTGTTGATATCTGCTACGGTGATCCTAATAAGACAGGAAAGCATGGAGTAAACTTTAAGGTAAAAGACATTCCTTTAAGATGCCTGATGACAATGTCTGCAAGGTCATGATGAGATTTTATTTTCACTTACATTCAAAGACGATAACTCATTGCCAGTGGGTGCGAGATTCTTAAGCAAAGTTATGCATGCGGCTGTTCACACTCTTTGTTTAATGAATTTTTATGAAGAAAACATGATCATGGCTGTATATATGGCATTTTTACTTATACCAAAGAGATAGACATGATAGAACATCAGTTCATGAACCTAGATGAGCAGATGATACTGCAACTTATGGTCCCAACATCCTACCGAATGTAATTTTTCAATGGTTTAAAGGTCATCCTTAGTAAATAGCTTAAAAGGTTTTGTTGATGGTGCTTCTCTTTGGCTGCCTACCTGGTCCCAACATCTATATATGTACGCATACCGAATCATGAGATGATGTTGTAGAGTGGGACCAAACGAGTGATTAGCACTGTATTAATTTACTAACTGGTTAGTGCTTGGGTCCTCCTATATATATATATATATGATGTGAAACCAAAAAACTAAAGGGGAAAAATGTAATTTTCTTAGTAAAAGATTTAGGGGAGGGGGATAATTAAGCAAATTTGGTAATTCATACGGACTCACTGTTTTATATTTTTTGTGATTATTTCGTTCTAGGGGTTTTTCATGCGAAATTAAGAGTCAAGACACTTGTTTGAGTCTTAGGTAGTCCTTCTATCTCAATATGCTTTCTCTATTCAAGATATAAGAATGTGGCTGGGCTTTCCCAACTATTTACGACCATTTGTACTGGATGAGGCTAGAGATTTGAAACTTTGTCATTTCCAATCATTGAAATAAAAGGTTCATATGCATAATTTCTTTATATCTTATGTTATGGGTATATGCAATATGTCTCTTACATTTAGTGCCCTTCGAGTAATTACTTTGCTTGTCTTTCAGAAAGAACTAAAAACATTGCTGATCAATTGACATGCTAATGTATATAATGTGAACAGAGCTATATGTACATTCCATCTCCTAACTATTTCCAAACCCTATGAGTAGTTCAAGTGCTCTAGACTATTCAATAGCTGAACCTTTTTTCTTTCTAATAATTTGTATCTCTGATGGAAGGGTCAACTCCCCTTCTATTTGTGGAGTTCTCGAATTGCAATAATATTTTTTAACTCATGTTTGATATTGTAGTATCAGGGGCCAGAAACAAAAAGCGATTGTGGATGTTAAGTTAGTGGCGAGTGTTTTGTTGTTCAGATTAAAGGATTTGGTGTTTGCTCCTTCAAGGGGTAGATAGTAGGCATTGTAGTGATGTGGATCACAAATCATGTATCGGTTTTGGAATATGTTGTAGGGGAGTTCTTGGCATCCATAAATAAAAGGTTCATGGAGCAGACTGGTGGCTTTGAGGAGTCTATGGCCTGTGCAGACATAGGAAAACGGAGAGCTTTTGGGAAGAATCATGTGCTGTGTGGAGGAGACTTTAATACGGTGAGGTTTGTCACTGAGAGACAAATGATGGAAGGATGACTAAACAGGTAGTCAATGTGTCTTGTAGGAATCCATGGCGAGAAATTTCAGAAGGGTATAATTCTTTTCTTCAATGCTGCCCTTTTTTTGTTGGCAATGAGGAGAATATTAGATTTTGGAAGGACTCTTGGCTGAAAGAAGGGTTACTGAAAAATTTGTTTCCTAGACTATTTTCCTTGTCCAGGAAAAAAATCTAAGTATCTCTTGTTTTGTTAACACTCAAGAGCTGCCTCTTAATTGGGATTTTGGCTTCAGAAGAAATTTTTCCGAGGCTGAGATTGCAGAAGTGGTAATACTTTTGGATATATTGGGGAAGGTAAGATTAAGTAGTTCTAGATTGGATCGGACAATACGGGAGATCGAGGAGCAGGGTTCGTTTTTGTGCAAGTCTTTGAGGTCTTTTCTTCTTCCTAACAACATCAGGGATGTCTTCTCCCCTTTCATCTCAATCTAGAACCCGAAGACACCTCCGAAAATTCAATTCTTTGTGTGGTTGGTAGCAAATGGCAAGATTAATACTTGTGATGTTATTCAAAGGAGGCAACCAAAGATCTGTTTATCTCCTTCTTGGTTTGTTCTTTGCAAAGAGAATGCAGAAAACATTGATCACTTGTTCATTCACTGTTCGTATTACTCGGAGCGGAGTGGGTGATTCCTAAAAGGTGTTTTGAGTTCCTAAGTATCAAGTTGGTGGTTTCGGGGAGGGGGAAGAGAGTTCGAATTCTATGAGATTGTCTAGTTCATGCTATCTTCTGAAATATTTGGATGGAGTGCAATCCAAGAATTTTTCAGGGACATATAGGAGTAAGGGTTGAGGAATTATGGGATAGAATTAAATTTTGGGCATTTCTTTGGGCATCCGTTTCAGGGCATTTCAAGGATTATCATTATTCTATCATCATGAGAGATATGGTGGCAGTCTTAAGATGATTTTACATAAGTTGTTTTCTAATTACAGATTTATTTTCGGGCATAGTAGGTTAGTTGTTTTTTATTTAGGTATTCTGGTGCTTAATGAGTCCGAATTCCTTTGTTGTATGATCGAGGATAATTTCTCCTCTTGATTATCAATACAAATGTTTCTATTTAAAAAAAAAAAGCTGGTTTTTTTTATAATGATTTTATCCAAGAAACAAATTTGAGAGATCCAACTTTTCTAAATGCTGATTTTGTTTTAGAGAAGAAGCAATGTGTCAAAGATTTGACAGGTTATATTTGCTGGAATTTTAGCGTAAGAATTCTTATTGATTTGGAGACAGAAGTTGGAAGGGGTTCATTTGTCAATTTCTAGGGTGGATGATCAGTGGCGGATCCAGGATTCAAAAGTCAAGTAGGCGAAATTTACCTTAAAAACTTGACGGTACGAGTGAATTTCATTCATAAAAATAAAAAGATACACCTAGTCGAGGAGAGCGTAATGAGATTTACCCTAAGATGTAAAAACTTAACAAAACAAAAAAAACTAAAAAAAAAATTAATGCAATGCAACAAAAAATTAAAACTATTTAAATCTAAAACTAAATTAAACTATTAAAAAACTTAAGATGTATACATTTATTTTAGGAAAAAGCCAATAGAAGAATACTTATTGGCCTTAGATATGAGAAAATGCTGCCAAGAGAGAATGTCCAAACTCAAGAAGAAGTTGCAAAAGAATGATTTGGAACTGTCGACTATTGCACAACCGAAAGAGAATTGGCTGCTTACTTATATTGTTTCCCCCCCTTTTCTTTTTTAAGTTTGACTGGCCATATAACACGTGGGTTGCTTTTAAGTTTGGGTAGGCATGGGTTCACACCATTACATGGGATGGGTAGGATTAGCTTTGGTTACATGTAGGTTTTTTTTTGGTGAAAAAATTTGGGTAGGCAGCTGCCTACCCTGCCCTTTCTGTAGAACCGCCACTGTGGATGATAGGAGATGGAAGCTAGAGGACTCTGGGATTTTTTCTATGCATATCATACAGTAGCGTTTTGTGGAACAAATCAGAGGTTCCATATTTTTTACCTTCTAATGCTAGTTGGGTCATTCCAGAAGGGTGTTATGAGGTGTTGACTACTCAGTTTTACAGGCTTTGGGAAGAGGAAAGAAAGATAAAACCCTATGGCACTGTCTGTTGTTGCAGTGTTTTGGGCCATTTGGATGGAGCGCACTATAAAGCTTTGTTATTTTTATTTTTTAAAGGATTAGTGAGATTTTGGGGTGGAAGAACTTTTGGATTGAGTTAGATTTTAGTCATCTTTCTGGGCATTGGTTACTTCAGATTTTTAGGCTCTTCATTATCAAGTATTATGCTGGATTTGTTAGTTGTTGTAAATTGTTGCTCCATAGTGGTTGACTGTGAATTTCTTATCCATGCTTGTATGATTAGCATTCACGATTTAGTAATATCTCGTTTTGCATAAAATAATTAAAAAAACATTTTAATCATAGCTGTTTTAATAGGTGCATTGGAAGGGTTATAGTAGCAGTGAAGATACATGGGAACCAATTGGAGGGTTAAGGTATTGCGACTTGTTATGATTTGAAATATGTGTGTGGTCTTCAGCACTAATTGTTCCGTCTCTTCTCAGTAACTGCCTAGGAAGCATACAGGATTTTGTACGATATGGGAAGAAGGTGAAGATCTTGCCACTTCCAGTAAGTATTTACTGATTGTACAAGTTAAAGTAGTACCATATAGGTGTTGATCTTGTATTATCTGAATCCTGATATTTATCTATAATTCCAGGGTGATGTTGATGTAATTTGTGGGGGCCCTCCTTGCCAAGGCATTAGCGGCTATAATCGCTACAGAAACGTTGATTCTCCATTAGATGATGAGAGAAATCATCAAATTGTAGTCTTCATGGACATTGTAAATTTTTGAAGCCAAAGTATGTGTTGATGGAAAATGTAGTTGACATTTTGAGATTTGATAAAGCTTCTCTTGGTAGGTATGCACTTAGTCGTTTGGTGCATATGAATTACCAAGCAAGGCTAGGAATACTTGCTGCCGGTTGTTATGGCCTTCCACAATTTCGGTTGCGTGTTTTCTTGTGGGGTGCTCATCCTTGTGAGGTGGTCTCTTTGTTTCATTGTCATTGTCTAAATAAATGTTTGAGGGTAATACAAAAATACATAGGGGTCACATGAGGCTCCAAACAATAGAAAAATAATAAGAAAGAGAATAAATATACTGCAATTGATAATGAATCAAGCTCAATCAAATTCTTATGGGACACATTGAATAGTGTATTCATTCATGTTGGATGATGGAACAAGAACATGATGTGTTTTTATCCTGTTTGCTTGCAGAATCTACCTCAATTTCCTCTTCCTACACATGATGTCATAATTAGATACTGGCCTCCACCAGAGTTCGAGGTACCTATTGTGTTTTATGGAATGCTTAAACCTTCTTCAGTTCATTCTTTTCGAGTTAAATTGTTTACCTTTATGTGCAGCGCAATACTGTTGCTTATGATGAAGACCAACCTCGTGTATTAGAAGAAGCTCTGGTTCTTCATGATGCCATCTCTGATCTTCCTGCTGTGCGTTCATTGTATTTGAAGCTTAGCTATTCTCTTAAAATTGAACAAATTTCTGATTTAGTTTATGTTATAGGTCACAAACGATGAAACAAGTGAAGAAATGTCGTACCAAAAGCCTCCTGGAACAGATTTCCAAAGATATATAAGGTCAACGCAATATGGTATATCACTATTCTCAGACTTTGTATGCAGTTAATATTCATATAAATTTTTTCATTGATTTAGGGTTTGTCTCTAGATTTGGTATTCAGCATAGTTGCAGATGTAGGATAAAAAACAAAAATAACTGCTGTGATGTGAAGTGTTTTTTTGCATCTTGTTTTATTTGGGTCTTTCTGGTGTAGCAGACTGTGTAGTTTGGCTGGTGTCTTTGTTTTTTAAGTCTGTTTTTTCTGTTGTTGTTCGTTTGGCTTGTGGAAAGAGCATGATGGAATAAAACAGACTGTACAAACTTGATCTGTTTTTGAACTACTTTAGCATGGTCAGCATATTGCTGAACATTTATTGTGGCATTCTAGTCATGGCCATCAACCTCATCAAACTTGATCAATTGGCTGTTTGATGAGGTTGATGGCCATGTTGGGTGTCTGGAGGTTTATTGATATACCAATTGGTTATGCTAATCTTTTTATATCTTCCATCCTTCCAACTGCATATATTTATATGATTTCCATTTTTACTTTCATTTATGCTGGTTCTGTAGAGATGATGGGATCTGTGTTAGATGGCACTATGAAAACAAAGTTTCACTGTATGACCATCGGCCTTACCCGTTGTTCGAAGATGATTACTTACGAGTTTGTCAAATTCCAAAAAGAAAGGTCAGATATGTATACAGCATGGATAAGTGTAACATTACGTTTGTGCCATTAATTTTTTTATCCATCTGTTATTTCTAATCTATAGCTATTTTCAGGGAGCAAACTTCCGGGACCTCCCTGGTGTTGTTGTAGGAAATGACAATGTGGCTCGGAGGGATTCAACTGAAAAGCATTTGCTGTTGCCATCAGGAAAACCATTAGTAAGTGTTGATGCTCTTTATCTGCAACGGAGAATGATGGACTTAATCTTATCATTGCTGTTTCTTCAAAAGTTTCCTGCCTTGAAACAGTATAAATTTGAACTTATGACATGTTGTCGAAAAGGTCTGCTGAGGTAGTTGTACTTGTATACATATCAAAGCAATCTGTGTTATCTTGTTTTCTTTTTGTAAGCCTGGAAATTGTGCAGAAAATATACAAGATTGCCCCTGACAAATTGAACATAACCTGAGTGGTTTCCTTGTCAATCTTTCAACCTGCTTAGTCAAAGTTTGTGTACCCTACTTCTAGATGACCATGCGTTGAGAAAATTATACCCTTTCCAGGAGCAGACTAAATACCTTAGGATTCGATAAACATCTTCCTTGTGGCGAGTGCACAAATTGGCTCACCACACCAACTGCATTAGATTGGATCATGTGCTAGATAGATAGATTAACCTCCTAATTAGCTTCTAATATCTCTCCTTATCAGTTGGAACCTGACTAGGATAAATTGCAAGGTGCCTTGTACCCTTTAATGGATCCATCAGCTCTACGTTTCACAGTAAACACCCCTTTACACCCCACGGTCTTCTTATATTTCTCCGCAATATCTCACGAAGACTTTTTCTGGAAAGCCTTCCTCTTCTGTAGCATAGCATTTTTTTCACTTAGGATTGCCAAGAGCTTCTTGTACATTCTTTGGGATAGACACGACAGATAATTGATTTTTGAAAGCTATATGGTCGAGGGGAAACCATACCTATTAGGAGACAATGTTCACAGAAAGGACTGAAGTCCTTGCTAGATGGAACCAAAGGAGTCGTATTTGAATTGATATAAGTGGATTAAGTTTGCAGAAGTTGTGTGCATACCAAAGGAGTTGCAAGAGTAAGTTATTTGAGAGATCAGGAACACCCACCCCATAAACAGGAGTAGATACCTCATTAGCAACCCTGATAGCAGTACAACAAGGTAGAGTATAAGAGACAAACCGAGAGGGATCATTAGTCTTTGATCAGTGGCGCCTGAATCAATGATCCAACGCTACATGTTTCCAGAGGAGGAGTCACCGGAATGGTGATAATAGGAGCAGCATGATCAGTTGAAGACTCATGAAGAATATTATCACCCATAGTAATTGGAACCAAGTGATGTAGGAAAAACAAATCTGATCAAGATTGTAGGGGAAAACAGAGCTTGATTTTGTGTGGAAGAAGACTAGAGGGGAAAACAGCACCTAGATGGCAGCTGTAGCAGATTTTAGGCTTCTGTTTTCAGAGAATGGCCCACGCCTGCTCTGATACCGTGCAGAATATTTTGTAGGAATTTGAATTGTTTATTCTTCTGTCATGGAGAGGCATATAAACATATTTACAAAGGATTCCTAAAAAGGCTAGGAATCAATAATAGGAGCGTATTTACAAGGTCAACTCTTATAGGGCTGAAAGGGGCTCAGAGGACGAAACTGCCTATAGGAACCAGAGTGGGTTGAAATAAAGGGCATTATGGAAGAGGACAATGTCTGTTTTGTCATGAGCATCTGGCTCAAGTGGAATGAAAATTGGCTCGTATTTAACCAAAATCTTCTCCTGTCAGGTACCAGATTATGCCTTCACTTATGAACAAGGCAAGTCAAAAAGGTTAGATCTCTTGTTTTGGTAGCCTTCTCATGTGTTTCTCCATTTTTTTTTCTTTCTCGTATTTTCTGATTCTTTTATATTTTTAGACCATTTGCGAGGTTATGGTGGGATGAGACAGTGCCCACTGTACTGACGTTCCCAACTTGTCACAGCCAGGTTTGACCATGGTCTCAAATGTTCTTAATGGCATCTCATGGTTTGAATATTGTAGTGACCTATAAACTTCTGTAGGCAATATTACATCCAGAGCAAGACCGAATCCTCACTTTACGAGAATGTGCAAGATTGCAAGGGTTTCCTGATTATTATAGATTCTGTGGGACGGTTAAGGAGAGGTATACTTTAATTCTTGTGAATGTATAATTTCATATTTAATTCCTTTTGACTGTTTCTTGAAAAAAATATGAATTTCATTTTTTGAGTCATGCCCAAGTTTGTGATCGATGTTTTCAGATTTCTGCAGAAAATGAAAATTGAAAACAGAAAACATTAGAAATTAAAATGAAACAAAGAGATTTTAAATAACAAAATAAAATGAAACCTTAAAGTTTCTTACTATTCAACATTTAATTACACTGAAAGCATGCCCACCTACACTTCTCTCTCTATAGTTTCATTTATGTTTTTGATACACTTTTTAGTATATATATTTAGTGTGTAGTCTCAATTGTTATATATTTTCATGTTATTTTGACATAATTTGGTTTATGTAAAGTTGGGAGTGCTAATATGCTCAAATGTTAGAACCTAACGGAGAATATATGATTTCTTATTTCATTATTTATTATACCTCTCATGTGCTTGGCTATTCAGTTTTCGTACTTTTCCTATGCAAAATCTTATATGAAGAACTCTATAATAATTTTGACGTTCTTCAAAGTTTTGGTAAACTTTTTAACATAGCTGTTGATTTCCGAAGTTATAATTGATATTTTATATCATAATTTTGACGTTTACACTTTATTATTGTGTTTTTCAAATCTGTATTTGAACTTAGTTTACATGTTGTGTAGAGAACAAATTTCTTTCACGGCATTGCTCCTTTAAGATATTAAAAACTTGCTTGGGTATTTTGCTTAAAAGCAGCTTTTCTTTTCTTTTCTTAATCATTAATATACAAAATTGTTGTAAATAAAAAAGAGCTACCAAAACAAACCATTTGTAATTAGGATAGAACTGAAATCATTTTTGACACTGTTTTCTAACCGATAATCTTGTTACATAATATTGGAATTTCAGTGCCCATATTCTATCCAATGAGCTCGGTAAGTGTTTTTGAATAATCATATGATGTGTATTGCAAATTCTGTGTACTTTGTCCAGATATTGTCAAGTTGGAAATGCAGTTGCAGTCCCCGTTGCACGAGCTTTGGGATATGCTTTGGGATTGGCAGTTCGAAAGCTCAGCGGGGATGAACCACTCATGACTCTCCCCCGAAATTTTTCTCATTCAAATTATTTTCAATTCACAAAAGTTTGGCCTCTTGAGACTGAAGAATAATGATTCTCTCCATCATCACCTATAACGTACTCTCATAAGTTGCGGCATTGACATGAAATTTTCCTTTAATTCTTTTTGTCAAGGCTCACTGTGGATCCTAGTGGAATGGATAGGATTTAACCATTTTTTTCAACTCAGAGTGCCCAATTTATTTGCACTTAAACCCGAATTGGTGTCTTGTTCCTATGTTGTATTTATTATTGTCAGGCTTGTAATTGTTATCATTCATTATTTGCCAGGATAATTAATTTGATGCACGTTGTATTAGGCAATAATACTAACCTATATGGAAAACTTGCAACATGTCACTTCTTTATCTTTGAACAATCCAAAAGTAATAATAAATGTTGTCCCCGGGAACGTAGAATCCAGTCTTACGTTGAAGGGGTTCTGGAGCTCGCATGTCATGGAAAGCAGCTATATGCAGTTTGGCAATTTTTATGCGTTTTGTGAAATATGGCAAAATGCACTCTTGTTGGTTCACAAATCGGCCTATATTCAAAAGTGAGCTTGATCTGCTTGATCTACTAATAAAGCTTAATGAACTCGTTATTTAAGTAGGGAATTCAAAAACTTTGATTTTTTTTGTTCTAAGATTCATTTTTTTAGAAAAAAGAAATAAAAATTCGAAAAAAATAGATTTGTTATGAAAGTAAGAAAGTGTGAAAAACAAGAGCCACAATAATCTTTTAGGGTTATATGGATGGCCCAAAAGATCTCTTGTTATACAAGGAATATATCTCTAAGTGGATAGCCATGTTTACTAGCGATTTCCTAACACTCCCCTTCGGTATCCATTACAAATAGCATACGCCTCATTGAAACCTAACTAGCGAAAACCCTATGGGACAAAAATACTAGCTAGGGAAAAGAGTACATTATTCATGTGTCAACTTATAGCGCATGCCAACTTATTAGATGATGCTTTTACAATAAAACATCATCTTCACAGCTAATAAACAACAGTTTTAAGTCATTAATTCACATGCCAGTTTATTACACGATGGTTTTACAATAAAAACGTCGTTTTCATAACTAATCAACGATGATTTTAAGTCATTAATTCACATGCCAACAACTTGGGAACTTATTAGACGGTGATTTTAACAATGAAATCGCTTCTTCATAAGCTCACGAATGAAACCAATCTTGGTGAGCTTGTCAACCTCCTTTTTTATGGCAGCGTACTGTTTTGCATCATAAGCTCAGCGTTTAAGGTGGGATTAGTACTTGGACGGTGTGATATGATCTCAGGACTATTCTAGGCATGCTTTCATACGACCCTTTGAAGACCTCAACATTCTCACGTAGGAAGTTTATCAGGTCAACACGAATTTGAGGTGGTAATTGGGCCCTGATCTTGACGACCTGATATGGGTGACTATCATCAATTGACACTTTGAAGAAGGGTCTCTTCATCCTTTAATATCATTCTAGATGACCTAGTCCTTCTCGGAGTAGAACTCTAGAACAACCTAGCCCTCCTTGAATTAGGGCTCCAAAACAACCTAGTCCTCCTCGAACTAGGATATATTGTGTTTTTCTAAAAACAAGGTTCATTTAGACATCTAGATTATCAAAAATTCATTTGATAGGCAACGAAAGACTTGAAATAAAACCATAAAGCCTAAAAACAAAACCTTTCAAAGGATCTTAAGGTTCAAAGAGTTGATGTGAATTGCAAACTATTATACTTGAAATTAAAGATATGAAGGTAGATAGAAACTCACCCTTGGAGCGCAACTTGAGTCCAACCCAAGTATTCAACCTAATGATGGTGGTAGGATCCACTTTCTACTTATCTTCCAAGCCACAAAGTAGTGACCTCCAAAGTCTCCACACCAAGCTTTCTCTTCGGAATGAAGATGATACACAAGAGAAGTATATGGTGCTAGAAACACTTCTCTTGGGACCGATTTTAGCTTGCCTTAGGAAGAGATTTGATGCTTTCTCTTACTTCCTCCTCACCTTTGCAAGACTTAAAACCATAGGGAGAAAGATAAGCTAAGTGGTGAGTATATAGAACACATGGGAGAACCCTGTGGTTCTCCCTCTCTCTACATTTGGACGACATAGGGGGTGGGGGTGAGGTAGGCTTTCTCTTAGGCCTCTTGGTCTAACTTGAAGTTAAAAGGATCAAACTCCGGCAATTGTGAAATGACAGGGGCATCACTGATGAGTCGATTTTATATTATATATTTAGCCTCATTCTTAGTATATTTTGGTTAATATTTTGGAAGAATTTTGATACTTTGAATTATATTTCCAATATAGGACTTTCGAATTCCTCTGGAGCAAAACATAATCAAATGGACGAATTTTGGAGTAATTCCAGTTGGAGGACGTTCGTGAGCCACTTAGCTTGATCGTATCAAAATATCAGACTTTTCCACCAAGCGATGATTTCCTGGCGAATAAATGAAGGAGCGATGTGCAGTGCTGGAATAATGACGTTTTGGGCTTGTATTGCGTTTTTGGAGCCCAAGATAACCTCGGATGGGTTCATGGCCTTCTGGAGAAGTGTTCGGAATATTTTTATCTTTAAAACGAGCTATCTTGGGCCAGATTTGGAGGAGATTTGAGGCCAAAACGTGGCTGACCAGATTATTGGCAGATTCTCCTAATCCCATTTGGACTTTATTTTATAGTATTATTTTATTTTAACTTAGTTTCCTTGTGGGGATTGGGGAGCTAGGTTTTAGGAGGTATTTAAACTCCTTTTCACAGCAATTTAGGGACTCCCTTTTTTACTTCTTTTTGGCTTTTGAAGCAATTGCTAGGGTTTTGGATTTTCACGACTTTCAAGTGTTTTCATTCTTATTCTTCTTAATGATATTTTCTTGGATTTCAATTGTGAACATGCGTAACTAACTCTCTTTTGCTAGGGTGAGGCCACGAGCCTTAGCAAGAATATGTAGTTTCTGTCCAATTTGCTTATGATTATATGCATGTAGGTTTTCGAATTATTCATCACTGGGTTAAACTATCTAAGTGTCTTGATGCTTGATCACCATTAGGATGTTTAGAAAAGTAATTTGATGCAGTTTTGGTCGGAGGGTTCTTGTGATTAATATGTGCAAGTTCACTTAGGATGAATACCACGTCTTAAGGGTTGCATGGTTTTTCAAAAGGTTTCACAGAACTTAATGAGTCATGTATGTTTAGATTCGATCTGAATACCACAGACGGATTGCATGTGTGATATACGCTCTATGTTGGGGGTCCAAGTAGGCATATATTAGGAATACCTAACCTTCGAAATATGCATGTATAGGTCATAAGTAATTGGGGGAACTATATAGAATTGTTAAGGTGACGGCGGATCCCTAGTGCTTTCTTAATTTGATTTCTAAAAACACAACTGTTTCTCTTGCTCTTAGCTTTAATTTTGCATATTGCCTTATTTTTATTAGTTAAATTCCTTTTAATTTAAGGTTTTCAAATCAAACATCTCAACTTTCTCTTTTGCAATAATTAATTAGAATTTGGTTGCTACGAGTTATTTAATAATCCTTGCAGAGAACGACCTTGCGAGAATCATTTATACTACAATAACCTTGTCATTCTTGCAAGTTTTGTAGGAGTTTTAACCCTGTTTGCGCATGTACTAAAAAGCCTATCAATCACCTCCACCTACTAGTATATCAGCATCTCTTTCAGGGTCAACAATTAAGGGTGCCGATGGTTCACAGCCTTAACTTGCGACGCACTCTGTTCCTTCATTGCCATCGACATCAAGGAAGGCAAAGTAGGGAAAACTGCAGTATCAACTGGCCCGGGATCACCAATTTGCCATACACCATGAATATGAAGCCTAACCCGAGCCATCAGATTACCAATAGAACCCAGCATATGGTTCCGTCGATTCTTGCATGGAGACGATGCAAATCAAGTAACTCCTCCTTTTTGCGGTGATTCACACGGACAGTGGGGTGCGATGAGGATGGCCGCCAAGGCCCATCACTTGGGAAAAATGATAACTACCCCGCAATGTAGATTGAGGAAGGGAGGAATGTTAGATCGAAGTCCCAATTCGTTCACCAAGAAGATTTGTAAACTGATGCAAAGATAACGAATTAAAACGCCCATGCCCTCATGCGTCTTGACATAGACTTGGGTCGAGTGACAAATCGAACCACAAGCAAAGCAGTACTCCGAAAGGTATTCATATTTAAAATCCACCACCCTCTCCCCAACTTTCGAAAAAGTGATCGGTATTCGACGTATGAGAGGTAACTCCACATCAAACTGAACCCGAATACGAATGAATCGACCCACACAGTCATCCCCATCATGATTATACACACACTTCACGTCACCCAACTTTGCTCCAATGGATTTCACAATAGCCACTATCATACAGAAACCCGGGACGCCATGTAGTTCAACCCAAAAAGTCCCAAACTTTAACGGCAAGGTATGAGGACTACCATCATCTAGCACTTCCGCAAGCAAGACTAAAGAGTGACGGTAAGCCCACAGTTCCATATCAACAACTCGGCGTTGGTCTTGATCACAGACAAAACGAACCCAGAAGCGGATCTATGCAATCTCCTTAATCGAAATATCCTCCTTGCCTTTCCACAGACTGGAAAAGTTCTTAATAGACGCATCTCTATTCACGTCATGAAGCGTGATAACTTTGGCAACAAGGCCATAAATAAATCCCACAAAATGATCGAAAATTACAGAAGCTACAATGACCACACCCACCTTCTCACGATTTGTAAGCATTAACTGACGTTCGAACGATTGACCAATCTCATCAAGTGATGGCCCCCTTGCTGAGGTCGGGGTACCCATCCCAACAAGAAAACCAAAACCAAAACTTCCGTTAGACAGACACAGCCAAATCCAAAAACAATGGCCTCTAATTCCAAGCCAAACCGAAGGGAAAAAGGAAAACGAAGTCCAAACCCTAGCCGTAAGGGGAGTCCAGACCAAAACCCTAAACTATTTCAGAGCCTTCCAACCAACACGACAAATAGAAACCCAAACAAACTAGGAAGCCAAAGTACAACAGGAAACCGAAACATATAGCATGAGAAAACAATCACATCAGAAAACCAAAGAGAAGTAGAATAAACTTTTTGTGAGAACCACGGAAAAAACCCTAGTCGTCAAAAACTCTCCTAATAGAGACGAGAGTGCGACCCCTCTGTCATTAAATTAAAGGGAGTTTCACTAAAACACCCAAAATGGGAGCTGAAATTATAAAAAAACCCAACACCCAAAACACTTTATAAACACATCCAAAACTCATCATTACACACACTCAAAACCCATTTATAAACACACCCAAAAAATATACAATTGTTGACTTTGGGGTTGATTTTGGGTGTGTTTCTATGTTTAAATAGTGTTTGAGTTTTTTTATAAATACATGTCTAGGATTGGGTTTATTTATAAATTTGTATAAATTAAAAGCCTATCTATGTTATTATGTAACTTTTCTACTTGTTTAGTTAATGTTTTTTTTTGGTACTAATTGTATTTTTTACACTTCTATTGTTAATTGCTCAATTATCTCTAATGATTGAAGTTCTTCTTATTTTGGCTTATTGTATATAAGATCTATGAGATCTTTTATTTCTTTCTTGCTAGGAAATCTTTGCATTTTTTTTATATTTATTATCTTCTATCTTCTAATTGAGATGTTATATAATCTAAGTTTTGTCTAATTGTCTTTCAATTTTTCCACCGTAGCTCTGCCCTTAAGGTTTTGTTTATGGAAACTCACGAGCAACTCCCTGGTGGGTCACCCATCCTAGAATTGCTCTAGCCCCAACTTGCTTAACTTCGGAGTTCCTATGACTCCGAAGCCAGTGAGCTCTCAAAAGGCCTCGTGCTAGATGGAGATGGGCATGTACATATAAGGCACATCTCCCCCTCTCCGTTGGTCGATGTGGGATGTTACAGTCCACCCCTCTTAGGGGCCCGACGTTCCCGTCTGCACACTCGCACCACAAGGCACAGTGGCTCTGATACCAAATTGTCACATCCCCGAGATCAACTATATCGTAGCATGATATGTCCGCTTTGGGCCCCCTCTCTACCCTCACGGTTTTGTTTCTGGGAACTCACGAGCAACTTCCCAGTGGGTCACCCATTCTGGGATTGCTCTAGCCCCAACTCGCTTAACTTCGGAGTTCCTATGACTCTGAAGTTAGTGAGCACCCAAAAAGCCTCGTGCTAGATGGAGGTGGGCATGTACATATAAGGCATATTACCCATTTCCATTGGTCAATGTGGGATGTTACAAATTAAAAGATCAATAATACTATTTTCTAAGGGATTATTAATGCTATGTAATAGATGTCTATGTTCTTTTTATGGAAAATAACAAACTAATGTATTATTATCTAAAGTTAATTTTCTCTTTTGTTGTTCACTAATTTCCAAATTAAGATACTCTATCATAAAATTAATTAAAGTCTACCTAAGTCTACCTTTTGTCTTTTAGTATGCCTAAAGGCTCTTGAAATGCTTCTATGGATTCTCTACAAATTTCTAGATGGTACTCATTTCTTATTTTGCTATTTTGTACTTCTGATTTTCTTTTTGGATAATTACTTACTTCTTCTTATTTTAATAATTCTTATACGTTCCTAAGTTCTTCTTTGTATTCAACTTTTTTTCATTTCTTTTAATCTAATAGGTGACCACCAAACCAATGTCCAAACATGCAAAGGGTTCACTGTTAACTGGTAATTCTGGTGATTAACAAAATTTTAACAGGTTATAACACGTTGGTTTTTAACAGTTGTATTGGGTGACTTCTGTCCTCAAGGTACTTTAATGTTATAATTATATTATTAAGGAGCTAAACTAAGCTTTGATGCCAAATTTCAGTAGAGTCTTGCCCAAGGTCTCAAAAGACCAAAATAACAACCAGATACCATGCTTAGAACATGGAACTGCAAAGATGCTAACCTAAAGGGCTATGGAGTAGAACTCGAAGGTCCTCTGAACTCAGAGGTTCCCTGGCAGACATCTAGTTGCTGTTATGACAAATATCAAATATGACCAAGTGCTCGAACAAAGTATGATCGTCAGTATAGCAAGATAATAACATAATTATAACAGAGTTCCCCTGTTTTGAACAAGAAGTCTACTAAGAAAAACAAAAAATAAAATACAAAAAGATTTACTTAAGTATTGATACTGCTGGTAATTGCTAGCTTTGAGTATTAAAGTAATCTAGAGTCTACGTATTAACAGTCGTCGGGTATTAACGACATATTAAAAATGATTGGTGTATGAAGAGAGAATAAGTAATAAGGGAAGGTATATGAATAAAGGTGTTTTATTTATTGAAAGCTGAATGAGAGTACTAAGATTTATTGATTGAAAGCTGAATGTACTAAGATTTATTGATTGAAAGCTGAATGAGAGCACTAAGATTTTTTCTCTAGTATTGTACTTCTCACTTTCGGAGTTTACTAACTATATACACCTTCAACTACTATCCTTTCAAGGCTTCCGATGCCTTATGAATTTACATAACACCCTTCACACTACTTCACACGCACACACCACTTACATAAACAAACAAATTCATATGCACACTAAGACAAAAGGCATTCAAACATATGCACAAACAATTAAATTTTTTAAACATGGACTGCTACATTGCTAACACTGTTGCTGCACTTTTGTTGAATAAATACAAAATCTTCACATGTTGCTTTGAGCCTAAGACTTGCATGTCTTTGGTGCTAAAGATAAGGGATTTTTTTTTTTATATTTTTAAAAATATTTTGGGTTTGTTTAGAGCAGGCTGCTACTTTTGGGTTTTTTACTTGTACTCATTTTACTATGTTATTGTACACATTTTTATTCACTTCCTTGTTGTCTTCATTTTTATGAAATACATTTTTTTTCTTCAAAATTTGCATGTTTTTAGTTTAAAACTAATTCAAAGAAAGTTAAGAAAAAAAATTAAAATACTTTTTAAACAATTAATAAAGTTACAAATTTTGAGATTTATGGGAGGAAAACCTGAATTGAATATTCTATCTATATTGAGAATTCTATAGTGAGGGTCTTACTAAGACCCTTAGATGACGTCCTATCTCTTAACCGTTAGATCAAACTAACTAATTTGATTCACGAACCAATTGGATCCAACGGTTAAGAAATAGGTCCTCATCTAAGAGCCTTAGGCCATCCTAAAATATCCCAAATCTTAGCCCAATTCCTCTCCCAACCCAAGAAAAGTAAGGGGCTAAAATTTGGGAAAACCCAAACTTGATGCCAAATACTAGTCCAGCTATTGTCTGGACTGGTTTTTGGTGGAGCCCACTCGCAGCCTATGTGCAATGAGGACAAATAGGGCCTGTCGCTACTGTGCTCCAAAATATCTCTCGCCATGTGTCAGCTACTGGTGATGTTATCGTTGGACAATTCAAATATCTCCTTCTTCTTTTTTTATCCAATAGTAACCCAAATTAACGATCCATATTAAAGCGAAGCTATTTTAACGTTAAAAAGAAAGATCCAATGATTGAAATTTAAATCTAACAGTCAAAATAATATTTTTAATTAATCTAAATCAGATCCAACCCCAAAACTCACTCTAAACTCTATAAATACCCACCCATCTCTTAAACAATTTAATTTGTGGAATTTCAATTATTTAAGGTCAAATTGTTCAAAAAAAAATTAAATTATAAAGTTATTAAGGTCAAATTGTTCAAAAAAAAAAAATTATAAAGTTATTTGAAAAGATTAAATCAAGAAAAGTTATCCATTTAAAAAAATTAGACTTAAACCATTCTTAAATAATTTAATAAAGTTGCAGATTTAAAATTTAAGTCTAAAGGGTTAGGAAAAAAAACGGCTTGAGTCCGAGAAAAACCCAAATAATTACTTTTTAGAAGGGGAAAGTTTGGGTTTAGGACCAAATGGGTAGGAGAAGGTCCTATGTAAGACACTTATGGCTCATTTAGTACGTCAGACTTGCCGGATAGTATTAATCTGTTTTGAAGAGTGCTAACTATTTATCCATAATATTATAAAGAGTTTGGTGTTGTTCCAGATAAATAGTCAGACTAAGTTATACTGTGTTTGGTGCTTCGTCGGATAACATTGGATCAAACTATTTTTTTAAAAAAAATTCTTTGATACTTTAAGTGGAAATTGAAATTCAAATGACACAATTTTTTTGGATAAGTTTCATATGACAAAATTGTTTTTCATTTGTTTTTGCCAAATCATTGGCAAATCATTTTCGCCATTAGATACATCGAATGACTGCCTAATACTAAAACAAGAAACCTCTCTCCCAATTCTCTCTTCCCTCTGTCTGCTTCCTTCATTGTCTTCTTTGCCGGCCCACCATATCATTGATGCAAAACCCCCCACGTTAAATTTGGAATATGGGATTTTGACCAAAAAATTAATATATAAAAAATCTGGAATCTGGTTAAGCTTTGAATCGAGAACCAATTATACAAACCCATAAATAAAAAAATTAAAATAGGATTGAAAGCCAAACTTGTTTGGCTGAGCTTTGAATCGAAACAACATAAATGGGCAAGAACGAGTTTCAACACTAAGCAAAGCTGCAAACTTGGGTGTTCAAAATTCAAACAAAAAAACCACCAAATAGCCTCTAAAGAAGATAGCAGAGAAGAAAATGAGGAGTGAAGAGGAGAAGCATATTTTTTTTTGGGGGGGGGAGACAGAGAGAGAGATTTATATTTGGAGAAGAGTGAAGAGAATAACCACTGGAAAAGATAGTAGAGAAGAATCGGGGAGAAGAAGATGAAAATATAGCGTTTGATTTTTCACGTGTGTTCTTTTTTTCCTAGTCTTATAATTAAGCGTGTATTATGTAAACCAGGGTGTGTAGGTTGTATTAGTTAGTCAAGTAAGGAGAGTATTAAAAGCCCAAACTGTTTAAAATAGTCAGGTAATTAAATAATACAAGTTGACACCAAACAACTGACATGTACTATTTACTCCTATCTAGAGTCTAATACGGTATACCAAGAAAGCCCTTAGAAGTCGTTTGGTACAGCGAACTGTTATGGACTGGACTATATTCTGGGATTGTCTTGGATTAACTCAAATTGGCTTAAGTTGGATTAAGTACTGATCAACGTTTAGTGTTGCGTCAAACTAAAAAATAATTATTTTAATAATTAATTATAATTATAAATAAATAAAATTCTAATATTCATTTTACTATTTAATTAAGGATTTTGACCTAAAAATAAAAAATAAAAAAATAAAAAAATAGTAATATTTTTTAAAGGCTAAAACTATCTTATCTCTTTTTTTCCCTACTTTTTCTTTTCTCCTTTTTCTTCCTTCCTTCCTCTTCTCTCCTTTGTCTTTTCTTCTTTCTTTCCTTCTTGGCCCGTTTCTCTTTTTTTTCTTCCTTCCCAGGCTATCCCTTATTTTTTCTTTCTTTCTTCCTATTCTTTCCTTTCTATTTCCTTTTTTCTTCCCCCCTTTTTATTCTATCTTCATCCACTTCTGGGTATGTGGTGGCTGCAAACACCCACCCCCCCTCTCTTTGGTTCCACTAATTAATGGTTGTGGTGGTTCGATTTGGTGGTGATGGTGGTTGAGCTGGGTATGTGATGGCTGGTTATGTGTGATGGTGATGGTTTGATTGACTGATTGGGTGGTGATGATGGTTTGTTGTGTTTGTGGTGGCTGGTTATAGGTTTGATGATGGTGGTCAGGCTCGCATGCTTGATGGTGGTATTGGTATCACCATCGGTATTTTGCGAACCACGTTTATATTAGACAAGCGATTCTGATATTTTTTTCCCCATTGAACTATACAATCCCATTTAAGTTAATCTCCTCCTTTACTGAATATGGGTTTCTAGTAGGGGTGACAATTTTCAATATGACCCGTTACACGACTCGAAACCCACATATAAAAAAAACATGACTTGAACCCGCATGATTAATAATTGAGTTATTTTTCCGTTGCTATTGCTGGCTTTACGCAATCAATCGAATCATATATATATCCCTTCAACACAACATAGGTCATTGGGTCAACCCGTTCTGACCCGCTTATTAAACGGGCGGGTTTCGAGTCAACCTATCAACCTACTAAAATACCTGTTTAACCTGTTTATTAAACGGGTCGTGTCAACCCTTGTAATTCCTACCAACTTGCTAAAAATGAAGGAAATGGAGACTTCACCACACACACAAGGGGTTTTGAACCCTTGCCATTTACATTCCTCTCTAACACCTTATCCACCATGTTACATACAATTAGGGATGGCAACGGGCCAGTTAGGGCCCAGGTATGGCAATACCATCCCCTTCCCCACTCACCATCCCCGTCCCTGTCCCCGGCCCAATCCTCGTCCCCATCCTCGTCGGGGAAGTGCCTCCTATACCTGCCCCAATCTCCGGTTTTTAATAAGATATTTCTTGTTAAAATAATATTCTAAAGCACAATCACATCATTGTGAAATTTTAAAAACAACCACCACAAGATATTTCTTGTTAAAATAATAACTCAACAAGCCAAAGAAGGTGGACACAAAACTTGAAATCATTTCTATCCAAATATTTACAAACTTTTTCAGTAAGCACAATAAATCCATCTAGTATATAGGATATTATATTAATAAATATATTGATTATAAATAAATATATTACTTATCGGGGCCGGGTATGGGGATCCCCGAATTTGCAAAATCCCTTCGGGTCCCCGACCCGACAGGTATTATTGCCATCCCTACATACAACTTTGTGATTATATAATACACTATGTGATCTTTATAATGTTTGTACAAGAAGTAGAATTTCACATGTCTTTTTTCTTTTCTTTTCTTTCTTTTTTCTCCCCCCTTTTTTTCCTTCTATCTTCTATCCTCTCTCTCTCTCTTTCTTTTTCTAATTAAGTGGGTCGAAGTGGAAAACCAGAAAACATGGGTGTACAACTTGAGGTGGAAAGTGAGAAAACATGGAAAGCGAAAAACACGGAGTGGAAATCACGGAGGCGAAAAGCCAGAAATTACGGGTGTGGAGATCAAGGAATGCGGGAAAAATCATAAACAGGTGTCATAATGGACGTCTATAAAAGGAGACAAAGGGAGAAAAAAATCACAACTCAGAAAACAAAAAACCTAGCTCCGCCAATTTTCTTCCTTCCCATTTCTCTCGATCTAAACCTATCTCCTCAAACTCAGAAATAAAATGGCCTATTCATTCCCATTTTCTATTGATCTAAACCTAGCTCTACCAACACAGGCATGGGGCCAAGGGAATGCACCAGTGTGAATGCCCTACTTTGCTTCCTCTCGAGGACCAGTTACCGTAAACGACTCCTTACTCCTTGATAACGATGTTGCTGTTGGAATTGTGAGGTGTTTGGTGACTCCCAGGAATGTGCACGTGCTGGGAACGAGGGATGATAACCGAGTGGTGAGTGATGTCATGGCACTGAGCATGCAAAGTGCTGCATCTGTCGCAAGCGTGGGACATCACCTAATTGCGAAATCCCATGAGATGTAGGTGCTAAGAGCTTAGTTGGTGGCAGAGCGAAGTTTGGTTGAAGATTGTTAGCGTGTTATAAGGAGTTTGAAGAGGGAAAGGACAAAGACGGCGAAGGTGAATCGACGTCAGCTTGAAATATTGCAGGAAGAGAATCAAAAGCTATCAAAGATGGTAGATTTTTACTCTCAAGATATGCAAAAGCAACTGGAGGCCCTGGATCGACCGAGTCGCAAGCAACAAGATCACGACACAAGTTATGCTCAAGCTAAGGGTGTGATCTTTGGGAGCTCAAGTGATGAGCCCCAAGAAGCTGCGTGTGAAAACCCAAGAGAAGAGGTCCAGATGGCCAAACTAAAGGCTCTTATTGCGGAATCAAGAAGCGTGCCATGATGTTGTCTTTTTAAAAATTTTAAAAAATTAATGCAGTCCCTTGTTTTTTGTTTTTTTTTAAAATGTGAAATAAATATTTTTCTCATTTTTTATTTATTTTAATTTTAACGACACAAATTAATGTGTTAATCATCCAACTATAAATACTCACAAGTGTACGAATCTATTGGAAACTAGGAATGAGTAAATAGGTTATTAAACAGGTTATTAACCAAGTAACCTGTTTAATAACCTATTTAAGACGATCCGAACCGACACGACACGTTTATTAAATGAGTCAGGTTCAGGTTGAGTATTCTTGACACATTTATTATTCCGAAACGACATGAACCCGTCACCTAATTTCTAGTACTATTGAACCCAGTCCCATGAGGCATAGTGTGCCAAACATGGGTTTCACATCTCTTTCCAGCCCAAAATAGGGGTGTAAAATGAAAAATGAAAAATGAAAAATCCTTGAAATAAATTCTAAAACCTTGAATGGGTTTAAGCACTCACTACATTCTTCAGGCGCAAAAACATGATGGGTACGAGATTCATACTCTCAAGAGCAAGAACATCAACTAAAAATCTCAATCTCCATGGTTCCTCACCACTCTCTCAATTCATCAGAAACCTCTCCTCCGTCGTTTCCCGAGAATCCAATTTCCGCAACCTCAAGAATCCTCGTCCCGGATATTCCAGGAGCATGGTCTCTGCTTCAAACTACAATCTCGACCAGGACTCGGCCTTGAGTCTTGATACTCGTGTTCCAGCCACCGTCATCACCGGCTTTCTTGGTTCTGGAAAGGTTGGTTTTTAATTTGTACTTTTGTAACAATGGAGAAATAGAAATGGTGTGTTGTACTGTACCTGCTTAATTTGAAGTTCTGCTTGTTTCTTGGAGTGGGTATTTGTTGGTTTTTGCTAAAACAAAGAGATAGGCGTCATCTTAACTGTACGATTCTTTTTTTTGTTTTCCCATTTCTGTTTGAATTTGAATCGAATTGTTACTTATAATGCAGACTACACTGCTGAATCATATTCTGACATCTCAACATGGGAAGCGGATTGCGGTCATAGAAAATGAGGTATTTTTTCTTCTGTGCCAATAGAAAATGAAGTTGATTTTCACGATTGCCACTATTTTTGTGCTATATTTTTTCTTTGTATTGATTATATGTGAACATTCACAGTGAAATACGAGAAATGTATGCATTAGTTGATTAGATTATCTAAATGTTAATGAAGGAGTATGGGATGACCAAAGAAGGATTAGACTCAAGTTTCATGGTGTGCATTTCTGCGACTTCTACACTTTTGGCTTAAAACAAAAGCAAATGATTTTATTTTTGTGTCGTTTCAGTTTCTTTTTCTTTGGGGGTATAGCTCTATGATTTATTCGAGTTTGGAATAAAAAACTTTCTTGCTTGAGCAATCTTATTAGTGAAATTGCGTGGTGGAGGGGTCAATATGACAAAGTAATTTTTAGCGTGAATATCCAAAATATTTTTTTCCTTTTTCTTCGTTGTTTTCTTGAATTAACCCTAACTTGGTGTTTTTATATTAAGCTCCTACCTTATGTTGTTAATTTTCTTTTTAAGTAGTTCCATATTTTTTTATGGAATATTTACTATTTTTTAAATTGTCCCTAGGTGCGAGTATCTTTTGTCCTCAAGTGTGTTGGTCATTATGTTGATATGTTTCATATTTATTCTGGTATATGCTTATAATATTAGGCATTCAGTACAAACTGTTTATTGTGAATACTGTGTGTATCTTTTATGTGAAGCAAAGTCTTTAACCATTTAATATTATCCATACAAACAAAAGACCATTTAACAAACTAAATCAATAAGCATCTATACAGTGAACAACAAAATTTAGTTGAATTTGACCCCGGCTACATCCACAACAAAATCAATGGATTTAAGTTAACCCAAGATGCAGTACCAAAAAAACTCCTAAAGCTTGACGATGTCTTGATTTGATTATGACTATCTTGACGTTATCTTGACTCCCCCTTTAGTCTTTGATCTGATTGGATCTCAAGTCCGTGCACTGATGCCATCATTAAGTGCGCATTTGACCTTTCAATTGGATGTGTACATTCAACGCATATGCATGTCATCAGATTTTACCCACATATGCCTTTAGTCTTTGATCTGATTGGATCTCAAGTTTATGTTAGGATATTTTTTTTACCCACATCTTTATATGTTTTTTTTTTTTTTTTTTTTTTTTTTTTTTTTTTTTTTGGTGTTTATGTATTAAGTTGTAAGTGATGAAAGAATTTAACATATATAGTGATTTTTTTTTTTCATACAGTATTTGTATCTGTTCTTGATATTTATTTTTTTCTTTAATTGGAATGGTTTGTTCTTAAGATTTTTTTAATAATAGGATTATGTAAATGCAGTTTGGTGAGGTGGATATTGATGGATCATTGGTTGCTAGTCATTCATCTGTGAGTGAAGACATTGTCATGGTCAATAATGGTTGCCTATGCTGTACTGTTCGGGGTGATCTAGTTAAAATGCTGTTGGAGTTGGTTAAGAAAAAACGAGACAAGTTTGATCATATTGTTATAGAAACCACGGGTATGTTGGATTTCTCAAATTTTACTCATAGGTGGTGGTGTAAGTATTACTCAAATTCTAAATGATTAAAGATTTGAGTCCTATGTATGAAATCCATTTGAACTAGATTTTGATCCAATTTAAAGAAGTTCTATTCCAAATTGTGTTTCGCATTAGAAGGAAAATACAGAACAATAAAGAGAAAGGGGGGCCAATAGTGTTTTGAGTTTAGGGTGCCAGAACTCAAGATTGACATAAAATCTTTTCTGCAGGCCTTGCTAACCCAGCTCCCGTTATAGAAACATTTTGTATGGATGAACTTGTTTCAAGACGTGTGAAACTGGATGGAGTTGTTACTTTGGTTGATGCCAAGCATGCAATGCAACATTTGAACGAAGTGAAACCAAGATTTGTGGTGAATGAGGCAGTGGAACAAGTTGCATATGCTGATCGTATTATATTGAACAAGGTGGGTTTTTATTTCTTACTCTAAAAGTGCTGTTCTTTTCCTTGTCTGTTGTTCTTTCTGTCTTTCCCTTCCTTTTTCTGCTGTCTAATTTCTGTACTCCAGCCATTTCTTCCCAATTAGAATGCTATTTTCTGCTCCAAACTTATGAGATTCTATCAATTGTTTTGGCAGATAGATTTGGTGACCGAGACTGAATTGGAGGTATTGACTAACAGAATCAAGGTATGTTGTTCCACTACGCAAGAGTTATGCAGTTGGTTTGTTTAAACAAAGAGTATACGGGAGTATAGTAGAGAGAGAAGAAAGATTTATGTTAGGGTCTAGCATCTAACCTAAAATCATTTGGCAATGGGCAGACAGCAGACCCAGGATATTATACATTGTGGTGCATGGCTTGAAAATTGAATATATTATATAATCCTAGGCCCATTCAAATTTCCATTGGATGGAGTAGGATGAGGCATTGGAGTCGAAATGTGAGGTAAAACATCATGGGGGTAACTGATATCTAGTGATGTTTTGCACACTTTGACTGTCTTGTTCATGTGCGCCGAGGTGAAAGAAGGTTTCTAGGTGTTTATAGAGATCCCAGTAAGCTCATTATCTTTCTGCCTCTTGATCTGGGGACACTAACTTTGCTCCAACGCGTGCTTAGGCATGCCTTCAAGGCTTTCGCCTCACATAGCGGACTAAAAACACCTCGTCTCTACGCCTCGCCTTTTAAAACATTGAGTAGTATATAACTTTGTCCACACTCCAAGTGGTATAAAAGTTGGCCTGGACAGAATCAATGCTAAGCTCGTGGAATCATGGATACCAATGGGTCCAATATCCTGTGCATACTAATCAGCCTATATTCATGTGAGTTACAGAGATCATATAAACATTGACTGGAGCCTTAGATAAATGAGCAAGATTGTTAGCCTTTAGAAGCTACAAGGGCTCTTATCTTGTCACCTTGTGAAAAAACTTATCCTAGGGTATAGGAACTTGCAAGCTGCAAATAGTCAACATTTAATCAATAACATGTAAGATGCATGTTATTCATAATTTGAAATGTGGGACTATTCTAATAGTGGAATTGCATATGCTAAACTGGGTTAATCACTTGGCTTGTAGAAATTATTGCTTAACTTCAAACTAGATTGGCAATGCTTCATTTCTTTCTGTTTTATGCTTTTGTTGCATGTATTTGGATTTTTTAATTACCCCTTAAAAAGAGAGAAATATTATTTATTTATTTATTTATTTATTTATTTTGCAATACTTGTGCATGGATGCTAGCATATCAATGGGATGGCGCAAATCAAGCTAGCTAAATTTGGATCTGTGGACATGGACTTTGTTTTGGGTGTAGGAGGATATGATCTCGAAAGGTCATTGTCTAATCTTTGTGTGTGTGTGTGTGTGTGTTTTTTTTTTTTGCCATCTCAAATTTGTTCAACATTTTAAAATAATATTACTCTTGTTGCTTTGTTGCTATCTTTTATTCTTTCAAGTTCTAGAAAAAAGAGATTTGTTATGCTTATTCATATTTAGTGCATACTGTTGATTCCCTACAATGTATTTCAATGATCGAAAATCTATTCTTTAGTTCCTCCTTCAAGGATTATCCCTACAGAAAATCAGACATACCAGAAGTTGTGTGGTCTTCTAAACTGTACAGACAAACATAGTGTGTTTGATAAAACTTCAGTGATGTGGAAGGTAGTTAATCAGATAGTTGAGTTATTGCTGATTGTTGATTTTGTATGGTATTTTTTTTTTTTTTTTTTTTTTTTTTTTTTTTTTTTTTTTTTTGAAGGAAAAAAATTGATTGTTCCAGTTATTGAAACTGCAAATTGTGAAGGACATCCCACACTTTTCACACTTTACCTTCCTCTGATTCCTCTCTTAGAAAAGGGTGTCTATATATATGTATAGATATATTGTTTACGTTAAATGAGTACCAATTTTTACTCGATGTATATAGTGTATACTAATCTTTGTAGCACGTTAAATGCCCTGATCTGCAGGATCGATAGTCAAGTTCAAGTAGATAGTTCCTGTTCTCCATCCCATCACCATGAAGCTGGACATGGTGCCGGTCTCTTTGTCTCTCTCTCTCTCTCTCTCTCTCTCTCTCTCTCTCTTTTTTGTTCTTTCTTGCATCTGAGTGTTTTGTGTCTTGATTTACTTTTCCCCTTGTTTGGATTAATAATAGAAGTTAGGATTTTAAAAAACTTTTTATAAATTTGCTAAGGTGAACTCATAATCTGTTCTCATTTATGCAGGTGAAGCTTCCTATTTCTATAGGATCTAGATAAATTTATTTTATTTTATACGAAACAGTAATTTTATAAAATTTATCATTACATGTTAGGGGTTGTTTGTTTATCATTAGTGTTTGTCTTCGTTGTAACTCATCTTGCAAATTGTAGTTTCATCTCTGTTGCTTGTCCACATATTGTAATTTCCTTTTCTTTAATAAACTTTTTATATGATTAGAAGTGTAGCGAAATCAAACTACATGTGGTTGAACTCGAGGGGGATCACTTAAACTTGTTAGTTTCTGTTTGAATAACACTTTCTCCTTGAGTATTCCTTTTTTATCCTAATTCTATTGTTTTTCTTGTTAGTTAATTGAATCATCTACTTAGGGTCTTCTCTAAAGTGATTCCAAGCTTATTTTCTCCTGTTCGATTTATTTCTAACATGGCTGGAATTTTACAGAACACCACAATCATCATCACGACCATGTACATGATTCTACCGTCTCAAGTGTCAGCATAGTTTATGAGGGAACCCTTGATCTTGACGAGGTAGCAAAATTTTACTTTATCATTTTGTTTACATATATTTATATTGGCAGTTTGGTGTCTGTTTCTGCTTCTGTCTAATTTACTTTGGAAACATAAGCTCATCTTGGAAGTTAATTGGAATTTTTACTCGATCAAATATTTAAGCCATTAGTTACTCAATCAAAGCATAGTTGCACAATACTTCATAACCAAAATGAGTACCAATTTAAATGAATTGAGTCTAGGAATACATTTGTTTTTCATATACATAGAATGATCATAATTCCTGGGATAGAAGGTATTGAACTTTCTCAATTGCCATACCCACTGAAGATGCTTTGTTTAAGAAAAGAAATTTTATGAAAACGATAGGAAAAGGCAACAATTTTGTTTTCAACTGTTTCCTTACGGAATTAGAATTTATTCCACATTTGTTTGATCAAATGGATGGACCAGGTGGACGATTGGCTTGAAAGGTTGATTGAAGAAAAAGGAGAAGACTTGTACAGGATGAAGGGTGTCTTATCTATAAATGGTTCTGATCAACGTTATGTTTTCCAGGTTTTCATTTTTTTTTCGTTTGTTTCTATTTTATGATTTGATGAAAAACATTTTATAATTTTTGCCAAATCTAAATTTAGCTTGTATTTTGGCCTTCCGCCATTATGTTTAATCTCTTCAGGGAGTGCACTCCACATTGGATGGGTGCCCAGGCAGTACATGGGGACCTGATGAGAAGAGGATTAACAAGCTTGTGTTCATAGGAAGGAATTTGGATGAAACTACTCTTAGAAAAGGTTTTAGAGGTTGTCTAGTATGATGTTCTTATAGTGGCTAAATGCAGTGGGGATCATAATGAGTTCAATGCTTCTTAGTATCACCAGTGAGTTCGTTCAGAGTTTTGGCATCAAATGATTTACAATCTTGTTCGGACTCATGACCCAAACATGTTTATGCAGCATTATAGTAGTGTTTATGAAGCCTCTGAAGTTTCATTTTTTGTTTTTATTTTTTTTATTTTTAATGGATTTTTTATGTCTACTTTGATGTGGAGTGTGTTTTCATAATAGTGGCGTGTGGGCGTGGCGGTTGATGAATCATAGTGGATTCATATTGCAGATGTTAAAATGATCATTTCTATTACACAGGTCCCTTAGCAGATCCTCCATTGACAATGTAAACTTGTAGTTTGTATATGAAATTGATATGTATTTAGTTAAACTTTAATAACTAGTGAACATTTTGTAAATGACAATGGCTGACAATGGGCGTTATATTCAAGTTTAGTCACACACAATTCCGCCATGCAACTAAGTCTTGTCAAATTATTTTGTCAAACTTCCATTCAAAACTTTCATACTATTTTCACAATTTCTATTCAAGTAATTTCTTATCGAAATTTTTGCATTTTTGGATCGTTGATATTTCCGTTGCAAAGATGACATGACTATATCTAGTGCAATTTATTGATAACAGAAATAACCGATTAAACTCTTGAAGCATCATTCTCCATTGTTCCCCTTGTTGGAATAAGTCATTAAATATGAAGACTCCAAAGCTGACCCTCATAGTTTATTCTGTGTTTCTTTGTTTGTTGGCCTCCTTGGAGTTTTAAAACTTGCACCGGCAGTGGCCTATCAAAAACGATAGAACCTTTCGATCCGTTTAAAAATAAATAAATAAATAAATAAATAAATAAATAAAATAACTCAGATGAACTATGTCTAGGGCTCATCAATGAGTCGGGCCGGGTTAGCCCAGCCCAAATTCAATGGGCTTGGCTGGGTTGGGCCGAGAGAGAGAAAATATCGGGTCGAGCCGGGCTGGGTTTTTTTAGAAAATTCAAAGCCCAAGCCCGACCCATGAGCTGGGCTTGAGAAAGCCCATCGGGCCGGGCCGGGCTAAACCCAACGGGGCGGGCCTAAACGGGCCTACTTCATTAAAAAAAAATCATAAACTTAATCATAAGGGCATTTTAGTCCAAATTTGAGATTAAACTCACTTAATTCCAATATTTTCACATCAAACCGAATTCATAAAACACCCAATAAAGTCACACAACTTAATAAGATTTTCCACAAAAATAATAAAATCAAGTATTATTTTTTAGGTTATTACATAATTAGACCGTAATACGTTTTAAGAAATAATTTTAAAAAATAATAAGTATCAAACAAATATTTTTTTTAAAGGATGGTATGAATAAATATGCAAATATTTGGTGATGTGTTCAAGAAAAGTATGATTATATTTGGTGATGTGATATCTTGTTTATCTTATTTATATATATATATAATTGTTGAATTAATAATTTACACAAATTAATGTGCTAATCATCCAATTATAAACTAGGAATGAGTAAAGAAAAGTAAATGAAACGAAACAAATTATATATGTGATTTAAGTGATAAAATCCTAAACCTAAACTCTTATTTATACATAATTATATATGTATGCAGGCCTGACGGGCCGGACTTTTGTGGGCGGGCCGAGCCGGGCTTTCTTGGGCTTAATCGGGCCGGGCTGGGCTTCAGACACCCAAGCCCAAGCCTAGTCTGGCCCAAAACGGGCCGAGCCATCTCAAAGCCCATAATGGACCGAGCCGGGCTTTTTTTCGATGAGCCGGGCGGGTCCCCATCAGCCATGAGCCCGCGGGCCAAATGATAAGGCCTAACTATGTCAACCAAATCTAACAAGTAAACCAACAATTAATAATATTAATAATATTAATAAATTAATTATTAATGAAATTAGGAGAAAGCATGCAGAGGACTAAAATAGGAGAAGGCAGCAGAAGGTGGAAAGGGGGGTTGGATGGACATGACAGCTTTTCACGGGACAAATGGCCCCATTGCGCCCCACCGTTCCCCTTGGGCAGTGGGAATATTCTGCACTCCCGTCGCATGCGGAGCTTTCGCAACGTGTCTTTCTCTGCACATGTGAACCTTTAGGTCTATCATCATTGACACTGTGAGACAAGACGAGAGGAGCCAATGGCTTGCCGTCGAATATTCCACGCTGGCCTCCACGTGTTCCTCTAATTCCTTAATACTCACCCATTCAGCCGAGCGAGACGCCTTTTTTTAATCAAACTATGCGCAAGTTAAAATTTTCTGGTAGGCCTAGCTATTACATTTCAAAGAAGCCCATGCATCATAGTAAAACAACGTGTTTTACTCGTGATGCCTTCTCTTCAAAACGATAGATTATGGGCCAAAATTCGAGTTCGGGGTTCAAATTCGTAGTTTTTTAGGTTTAGCTTTGTTCGCGCGTCTCTCCAACTCCTCTTTAATTGTTTTCGCCATCTGTTCTACATTATAATGATGTGGTTGTAGATCAGTTTTTATTTACTTGTTTTGTGTTACAGTTTTTTGAAGTTGTAATAAGTGCATCAACTTTTTTTTTAGTTTGTTGTGTGTTTATAGTCTTTATTAATAAAGAGTTATATGATTGGTTTTCCCGAACATTTCTTAGGCTATGCATGGCTATTAGTGTAGGCATACCTTTCACCCAAAAAAAAGTATATGCGCTTTCTGTTGTTGGTGGACTAGTGGTTACTCTGCTTTGGTTATTTGTATTTGCATTGGTTATGGTTAGCGATATCCTTTAAGCCTGAATTATGAATGCTTTTATCTAAAAATATTTCTGATTTTGTTTATTAATATATAATATATACAGCCCACCACCAGCCCCCCCCCCCCCCTCAATGCATTGCTGCTTCCTCTTCAGATTCGTCGCCGAGCTTTTCTCTACAAAAACAAATTATACAATTCTTCTATTGCATAGCTGAAATTATATGCGCATTATTCAAATAAATAAATATATAAATAAATAAATGCCACTTAAAAACAACGCGTTCTCTGTGTTCCGTTCTGTTCTGTTCTCTAAAGTAACTTATTCCCTCCTCTTTTTTCTCTCTGTGTCCCTGCTTCTGATTCTGTCTTTCTTACAACCCAATACACTTCCATCACTCTCACCTTTCTTTTTTTTGGCTTCTGGGGGGCTTTTGGTTTTTGAGAATTATTTGGTAGAGAGAGAGAAGCAAGATTGCTGCTTGAATTTGGGAAGTGGGATTTGGGGAGGCTTGCATTTGTTTGTTAATGGAAAGGAATTATGGAGGTGCCTGTGATGGGGAAGGGAATTGTGGATACGAGAATGGGGTGATGATGACAAGAGACCCCAAACCAAGACTAAGGTGGACGCCTGATCTTCATGACAGATTTGTAGATGCTGTCACTAAACTTGGTGGCCCTGACAGTATGTCTTCTTAAATTCTTATAATTTTGTTTTTTTTTTCTATCAACTACTTGTATATATTTTTCTTTTAATTCTTGATGCAGTAATATTTTGTGGGATTTTAATTTAAACCTGAAATATGAATAAATATTGGGTGATCAATTTGTCATTTTGGCAGAATTTTCAATGGTATTAGTGCATGTAATTTGCAAAGCTTAATTATCTGATCCAGCTAATTTAATTTTGAAGAGGGTTTCTGTTTTCAGAAGCAACTCCCAAGTCTGTCTTGAGGCTAATGGGCTTGAAGGGATTAACATTGTACCACTTGAAAAGCCATTTGCAGGTATCTTTTGCCTCTTTCTTTTAATTTTTTTTTAATGGACAAATGCATTCATTACTAAGCTAGTCAATTTGCAGAAGTATAGGCTTGGACAGCATGCTCGGAAACAAAACTCTGGAGAAGAACACAACAGAGAGAATAATCGTGAGTTTATTATAAACCTAGAAATATTTGTGTGTAATTTTGGTAATATGTTCTTTCAATATCTTTTGCAGTTTGACTGATGCTTTTTGTCCTTTTCAAAAAATTATAGGGGATTCATATGTACATTTCAGTAATCATCATTCAACAGGTTCGAGCGCCAAATCGTCGAGAGGTGGTAATGCGGAACAAGGGTATGTGAAACCATCACTCATCATCAACTGCAATTTGATTACTTAGCTAATACGTAGTTTACAGTTTGGTTCATGTGTTAGCATTAGCTAGCCTTCCTTCTGAGGTTTCAGTCACTAGCTTAGATAAGAAAAACTGGTGGTGCTTTGGATATTGTTATGCTCATTTTCCTTATGAACCCGCTTGGATACTAATGAACGAAAATGCTGAAAACAGAACACTTCCATTTTCTGAGGCACTCAAGTGTCAGATTGAAGTACAAAACAGATTGCAAGAGCAGCTTGAGGTATGTTGTTTTGCTATCAGAAATCTCAATGGCCAAATAATATGCTAGCATTTTCTTCTGATAAAAATCTTTTACAACTTTCCAAATAGGTTCAGAAGAAGTTGCAGATGAGAATAGAAGCGCAAGGGAAGTACTTGCAAGCCATATTGGAGAAGGCCCAAAAGGGCCTCTCCCTAGACATGAAAGGCCCCACTACTATAGAAGCTACAAGAGCCCAATTAACTGACTTCAATTTGGCTCTATCAAATTTTATGGAGAATATACATGAGGAGGATAGAAGAGGAAAGAGCAGTGGTTCAACTTTTGAGATTTATGAAGAGGGAAATACAGAAGAAAATAAAGATGCAAAGCTTAAGGTTGAGAGGGGCTCTATAAATTTTGACTTGAATACTAAAGGGAGCTATGATTATGTTGGTTCAAATGCAGGTGATTTCGAACCGAGACGCTTTCGTTTACAAGATACTACACTTTGATGACAAACACGCAACACTGAGCTTATATTCACATTCTATTCAAAAGAAGAGGCTGCTAAGTGCAATATTTGTTGCCAAAAAGAAAAAGAAAAAAGAGCTGTCTTTTGTTGAGTTCTCATTGTTTATGAGTTCTTTCAACTTTCATTTTTTCTGAGGTTAAAAGAATGCATGTGTTATTATTGATCACAATATCATCCGATTACAAATTAGATTACTATTATTCAGAATCTCCCCAGACACTTGATTTACATCACTCGTACAGTTAGAGAAATATACTGTGTTCTAATGAATTTTATTTGGTCTTTGGGGTTAGGGTAGTTGGTGTGGTTTTGTGTTGTAATTCAATTTCTCTCAGTAAAAAGATTATTGTTCTTTAACGATAAAAGCTCTAGTTTATAAGGGTAGCAGAAGAACTCAAAATCAATTGAATATACTAGCATTGGCCATCAAAACAGATGCAATATCGATTGGAACCATGCAATTGCAAAAGGAGAACACAACCAGCAAATCAGGGTTCTTGTTTTTTGTTTTTGTTTTTGTTTTTTGGCTAAAAGCCTTAAGGGTCCATTTGGATGAAGGGATTTGAAAGAAAGGATTTGGATTTGATATCAAGACTAAATTTTCTATAAAAACAACATTGATTGACTAAATTTGAAGAAATACATAGTTGGGCCATAACTATATTTATCAAAAGCAAGGAGTTGGCCTGCGAGAGTAATTAAATACCCAATTCAGAAAGCCGAAGCATGGCCACACAAGCCTGGATCCAAGAAAGAGTGATCTTCTTCCATTTTCTCACGTGGGTTAGGGCCAGTTTGGTATTACTGTGCTATGAAAATAATCGCTATCAAATTTTCTGTGAGAGAAATCAGTTGTGGGAGAAAACAGTTGGGAATTTTGTAAACTTTTTGAAAACTGACGGGGTTTTGTAAAGATACTATAATCCTCATGAGGTGTTAATGTAAATAAATCATTTTTTTTTCTAGTTTGCTTCTATTTTTTTAGTACAAGCGATAGTCTAAACCACATGGGAGGGGGATTTCTCATACACACAAAATTATGATGCCATGGGTATTCGAACCTAAAACCTTCGGTCTACAAGTAAATGTCATTTTCCACTTAGCTAGACTTCGTTGGCTATTGTTGCTTCTTTGATTTCTCTCTATAAGCAATACATACTACTTGTATGTTTAGGGATCCTGTTGTAATTTTATGAGGTATATACCTATTATTAGCATATAGATAAATCCTACACCATTTAATTTCTATAAACAAACCCACAAAAAACCCAAAAGAACAGCTGGTCCTATTGAATTTAATTTTGATTATTAAATTACTGTGATGCCCGTTTGAGTGTTATGGGTTTTTTTTATGAGGTTTTGGGGTTGGGCTTATTTTAAGAAATCGATGGCAGTTTTGTAATTTATAGGAAGTTCGAAGCCTCTTTGTTAGTTGTAAATGGGCTTTGAGTGTGTTCCTAAAGTCCATTTCATATAGGTTTTTTTATTTTCTAATTTGGACCCCTATATTGTGCATAATAGTGAAACTCCATAATTTTATTTCTTGTTAAAAAAGAAAAAAAGATGTAGGACACCTTTTTTGGTTCAACGTGTGGTAGTAATTACGGTTTTCGTTTTCTTAATAAGAAATTCATATCCCATACAAATGCATAGAGGCAAGTATATTTGTCCCAGTTTGAGACCTCACACTGAGATCACCTAGGAAACTATAACCTCACTAACAATACATAATAATAAGTTATTAATATGCTGTATTACATACACAATATAGAGCATCAGGCACGATTACTAAACACCTTGTTTTGTTCTCTCATGTATAAAGTTTCAAGTATTCATCCATGCGGGTGTATTTCACTTCTGGGTAAAGCTTTGAAGCTTCTTCTCCTTCTTCCCCGATTTCAAAGTTTGTCAGAGCGCCTTCATAGAACATGTGGTATAAATGCCCCACTCCTACCTGGCCTGCATAGTCCATACCTGAAATATGGTATTACATATATGAGATCAAAAGAAAGCTACGCATATCGAGATTAAATTTAACTTTCTAATACTGGCTAACCACACAAGCAGTTTAGAATGCCGATTATTGACCATTGCCGCCACAGCTCAACATCTTACAATTTTTTATGTTCATTTATGGATTACTTCAAGGTTTGAAATTTCAGTTTAGAGTTTATATTTGGTTCAGATCTTTGATTTTAGGCTACTACAACTCAAGAGTTCAAACCTAAAATCCGAGTAATGAGTGAATGTCTATCGATCTGCGCGTACAAAAAATCATAGAATTTTATTGTGTCGATGGATAAAATCCATGAGTAGAGCTGATGATTAATCGACAAGGTTAACCATAGATGCAATTTGGTAACTTTCTTGATACAATACATTTTATTTGCGTACCTTTCATAGAGGCAAGGAAGTCTTGTTCAGAAATGGAAATATGTTCTAGTTTCTTGCCTATTAGGTTCTCCCACATCTCGACCAATTGCTTTTGACTGAGTTCGTTTTCTGGTGGACGAAGGTACAATGTTTTGTTCAATGTTCGCGGATCATCTATTGTTTTGATTGTATATGCTGCGATGTCATCTTCATCCAAAATAGTTACTGCATAGTACATGAAAAGCATAAACTAAGACGATTAATTCTATGTCATATATACTTAAATCATTGCTCTTGCATGCAGAAACAAATATAGAAGTATATATTTTCTATATTTTTTTTAAACAGGTGATATTGAGCAAGAGGGAAATCGAACCTAGGACCTCGGATGCAAGGTTGAATGCTAGAAATATGTTGCTAAACATTTTCTATCTATGAACGCCTATAGTGGTAAAAAGTGATGTTTAACTTAATTTATTAACTTTTACCTTTAGCGTTACCATCTCCATAAATAAGCACTTTTTGCTTTGGAGGGAAGAGTGTTCCCATCTGAGAAAGGTTGCCGGCAAAATAGCTGGCGAAGGCGGCGCCACATACATAAGTGAAAGGGATTTTAGCATCTTCTATTGCCTTTCTCACTATCATTTTCTCATCAAATGTAACTCTTCCAGGTTCAAGTGCATGTCCCATACGTGCTGGATCGAAACCAAACTCTGATGGCAAGAAACGCTGCACAAAAAAAGCCAGTGAAACAAACAGAGTAAGAAATACAGTGTGTTTGTATCATACTTAATTAGTGTTCTTTTAAGTATTTAATTTGGAAACATTTATATGTAATTCATTATTTTCCTCTTTTAGGGTAGATTATTGAGTTAGGCGAATTAACGAGGACAATGGGCCTTTGTACCCAAGTTTTGAACCGTGGTAAATTAAATTCATAAGTTTAGTATCAAATAATATTTAGGACTCACTTTGTTTCTTTTCATATTGAGGACTTGGAATATCACTATTAACCACCCACCACCCTGACCTTCGATACCATAAGCCACCTTTTCTTTGATTCTCTTCCTTATCAGGAAAAAGTTAAACCACTTCTTAAGCAAAATCGTATCATTTCTATTAATGGTAACTAGATACTTACAAGTGCCACCTGACACGAGCAATAATGAAAAATAATTAGAAGGTGTACTCCAAAAAATGAAGGGTACCTATAAAGATAGTTAAAATTGTCGTGACTGAGAGTTTGAAAAAACTTTTTGGTGCGACCAGAACACCAGTAGGTGAAGAAATTTTTGATGTGAGCGTCACAAGTAATCCGTTTATCTTATAACATGTGTATATATCTATTTACTAATAGTATATCCTCAATCTCTTAAATATATCGATGTCATTCACCAACATTATAATACGTGGGTTTGTAATACCACGTGTTGGGGTGACATTAATAACCAATAATTTTGCCATCACACGGTGTTGCTAATCCATATGATATAATATGAATGAATAATGTGTTTATATTTTAGGTATAGGATATTAATAAGTTCAAAAAAATAAAACATGATGTGTAGTAACATGAGAGTGAAAAAGCACACAGAGCAAATGAACATCCATCCATTCATTTGTAAATTGTATATATGCCTATTACACATATATGATTTTTGGAGATTGATCACTAATACCTTAATATTTCCGGCTTCTTTGATAGCTTGAACAAGCTTGAGCTGCATCAAAATGTTGTGACTCCGAATATGAGCCCCAGACATGGGGCAGATGACAACATCAACAAGCTTGACAGCATCAACAAGGCTTTGGAAATCAGAAAATGAACCCTCCACAAGGTGAGCTCCTTGCTTCTTAAATCCCAAGAGCATTTCTAACTTATCAACGTCGAGACCAATCTCTGGCCTTTGAAGGACATAGGTTGGGTGGCCTTGGGCTAGGCTTGCCCTTACAATCCTTCTCCCCACGTACCCAGTTCCACCTACCACAAGCACCTTGCTCTTTCCCATTTCGATCTTAATGTGTTTTTTCTTGCGAATATGAAGGACTGAAGAGACCTATATTTATATAGACACTTCTCACTTGGTGGTGACCTATGTTTCCTTTGCAAGCTAGGGTTTGTACTTTTGTAATACAGTACAAGTTACTCTTCATCAAATAGTTGGTGGGCTAGCTAGCTATATATAGACTCAAGTCAACAACAAAAACAGCAAAAATGTTGAATCAAATTTCTAGTGGTTGACGGTGCACGATAATACAAGGGTTTCGAACAATAAAATATAATATATTAGTATTCCAGAAGTGGTTGATGTGCCTAAATATCACAGAAGTGGTTGAGGTGTTAATTCAAGTTATGAACCCTACGAGTGCATTGCAGGTTTCAATCATGGACTGTAATAATATTCACGTATTACGAATTTTAGTTTATTAGTATGATTTTGTGGTTAACGTAATAAGATGAAAATGTTCAGATCACATCGCAGCTAATGATTGATACATTGCATAACATTTCATCCTTTGTTTTTTTGTTTCGCAGGCTGTTCAACTAACTTGATATATTGGGACTTACTAACTTGATATACCGGGGCGGATCCCAGACACTATCTTTTATACAAATTTTGAACCATTAGATTGAAGTACTGTTAATAGCTCTGATTAAATCTCACAACTAATTATTATTATTTTTCTGATAATTCTTTTACCTTCCTACATGCCCACTGTTGGGTAGTCTCCATACCCCATGTGCTAAAAATCTCTCTTTCCACTACCTACTACTACTACTAGTTGTTGTTGGAATCGTTTTGGCCAATTGGGTGGATTCTTCAATGATGGTCGTGAAAGGAAAAAGAGTGGTATGATAGTGAGCGCCTTGATCTTGACTTCATCAATCAATTTGGGCCAAGTTAGGAACATTTTCTCGGTCGCTGGGTGGTCCTTTGGAAATCTTTAAACAATCGGCCATCCTCCCATGAGGCCTAAATCTAAAGACCACTGCCAGGTCTAGGATTGATATGGACATTGGACCAACTCCAAAGTCGAAAGTGTTGGTGGCACTGTTCCAAAACATAAGTGCTAAGCCCATAAGTGGAGCACTAGCTTTAAGCTGGATGGTGCGCTTAATGTGGTATGATAGATCCCATTATTAATCTAGGACTGTTTAACATGGGTTTTCCATCCTTTTCACTCAGTGTAAGCCCATAAATGTTCACGCTTGTTTATTTCTACAAAAGGGAAGAAGTGTGTGTTGTGAAAAAACACTCCAAGACCTGTCGTTTGATGGACTATGCAACTATCACACACAAGCCACATAAAGATAAAGCACACACATCAACCGAAAAGTAAACACACACACACAAAGAACACAAGAATTTATAGAGGTTCGGCATTGTGTCTACGTCATCTTTGGTGATCCCTAAGAAATTCACAAGTAAGAAAGAACCTCTTTGGTTACAATGAGAATCCCCTTTGCTCTCTCACAAACTCTAGCTCTCTTTTCTCTCACCCTTGGCTGAAACCCAATTTGATGCCTTAGTTTTTTCTATTGCACTCGTTAGATTAAACCCTAGCACTAAATTAGGAAGAAATCATACAAAGGAATAGGAAACTTAAAAGACCCCAAAATTAGGAAGAAATCTATTCTAATTCGCCATGAATCCGCGTTGGATTCGCACCTCCCACTCGAACGCCTATGTCCGCTCAAGTTTGAGATCTCCTCCCCGTACATTAAAATAGTGGAGCATCGACCTTACGCTGGATGGTGGAGCTTAATATGGCATGATAGATCCCATCTTAGATTTAAAATCATCCATTAAAAATGGAGTAATATATTGACCCAAAAATTATGTCAAAACTTGTGTATAAAATATAATGTCACTAATCCGCCCCCATTTATAACAATAGATAATACGTGTTTAATATGCTGTATTACATACACAAAATAGCTGCAAGAAAGCTGTAATATCCTTCATGAAAGTGATCACAAGATAAATGTATTCTTTGAGAAACTATTATTAAACATCTTGTTTTGTTTCTCATGCATAAATTTTTATGTATTCATTCACGCGGGTGTAGTTCACTTCTGGGTAAAGCTTTGAAGCTTCTTCTCCTTCTTCCCCGATTTCAAAGTTTGTCAGAGCGCCTTCATAGAACATGTGGTAGAAATGCCCCACTCCTACCTAGCCTGCATAGTCCATACCTGAAATATAGTATTTCATAAGGTGTGAAATTTCTTCTTAGAGCTTGTATTAGGTTCAAGTTCTTGGATTTTAGGCACCACAACACAAGAGTTAAAATTTAAAATCTAAGTAATGAGTCGGAGTCTGATCGATCTGCGCAAAAATAACCTAGGAATTTTAAAGTGCTGATCAATGAAATCCATTTGATTGGCGAGGTTAACCATATATAGATGCAACTTGGTAACTTTCGTGCATTCAATAGATTTCATATGATATCATGCGTACCTTTCATAGAGGCAAGGAAGTCTTCTTCTGAAATGGAGATATGTTCTAGTTTCATGCCTATGAGGTCTTCCCACATCTCGACCAATTGTTTTTGACTGAGTTCGTTTTCTGGTGGACGAAGGTATAATGTTTTGTTCAATGTTCGCGGATCATCTATTGTTTTGATTGTATATGCTGCAATGTCATCTTCATCCACTATAGATACTGCACGATACATGAAGATGATCAACAAAGATGATTAATTCTATGTCATATATACATAAACCAGAGTATCTATATACTATTAGCCTGCATAATAGTAAATGCCCGTGGAGGTGAAAAGTGGTGTTTAATTTAATTTATTAGTTTTGGTGTACCTTTAGCGTTACCTGTTGGAAACAATCAGTAAGTTGAATAATATAACAGAATATATATATATATATATATATATATGTATATAAGGCTTTTGAAAGAATCAATATATAACAACAGAAAAATTACAGATACAACAGTTTGTATTAAACCATAAATACTAACTTGCAGAGATGATAGAGGCTAGCAAATTTGCTATGTCCTTAGACAGTATTTTGCCCCCACTCCTATGCTTGTGGTTCTGCAGACGACTGTCCACCAGGATACAACTATCAAAACCAAAATTCTAGCATTTGAATTTTGGTATTTGGCGAACTACAGTATGGATACTCTCAATGGTTTTTCAGTGTTGTGTGAGATGTATTGGGTTTCAAAAGTTGGTTTTTTTTACTTTGTACGTTTGGCTATTTAAATAAGCCTAAGACACCCCTTGGACATATCTGATATGTCTGAACTTTGAATTTCAAACTAACAGCAGTTATATGAAGTTATCAAACTTAAATATATAAATATATATATTTAATTTAAATATATAAATATATATATTTAATTTAAATAAGGCCAACAAGTCCAAAGCCTACTTCAGAAAAACCCAATTGTGTTTATTATAGTGAAAGATCCCTACTCTTATAAAGAGTGTAGGAAACTCTTTTCTCACTCAAACTCTAACAATACCCCACATTTGAGTGGGAAAAGTAAGCCTATGTGTAACCACTGAGAATATGCGTTAGATGTAACATACATCAGGAGATGTGTCTTTTGGACTTGAACCTACCTTAGTGAATACTTATCGGATATACAAGGTGACGCAGTGGATATCCAATCTTGAACTGTTCACCAAACCAGTATACCAAGACAACAAGTATCACATATGTCACATCTAGACACACTGTGCGTTCATACATTTGTGTTCATTTTGGTCCTGAAAAAATCCTGGATTCATGAGAGCTTTAGAGAATGTAGCCATATAATTCTCATAAATGTGACCCCACATTTACTCTCATATAGGTGACACCAACTTGGGAATAGTCTGCCATATTCCCCTTAAATATAAGTAATTAGTGTCATTAAACATAAGTACCCTAAAAGACTTCAGTAGACAACACACTCTTCCACCATAAGAATGCGGCATATAGTGTGTCAACAACTTGATTTATACCTAACCAGTTTGCCTATTAAACTTAGACCATGGGATCTCCAATCAGTTAGGTTAGGTTTCCGTCAGGCTAAATCATTTATTTTGTTGGCTGTAGCCCCATTCCCCTCGACGTAAATTTTATTTGCTCTCTTGATAAACCTTTAGTGAGCGGATCCGCAAGATTCTCTTTTGACCTTATATAGTCAATGGAAATTATTCCACTAGAGAGCAATTGCTTTATTGTATTATGCCTTCATCTAATATGCCTAGACTTTCCATTGTATACATTGTTTTTAGCTCTTGATTGAGCTGCTGTACTATCACAATGTATACAGATTGCTATTACAGGCTTAGGCCATATCAGAACATCTTCTAAAAAATTCCTCAGCCATTCTGCTTCTTCTCCTGCCTTGTCTAAGGCAATAAATTATGATTCCATCGTCGATCGGGCTATGCATGTTTGCTTAGAAGATTTCCAAGACACTGCTGCTCCTCCTAATGTAAATACATATCCACTTGTGGATTTAGTTTCAGTATTATCGGAGATCTAGTTAGCATCACTATATCCTTCCAATACTGGAGGATATTTAGTATAATACAATCCATGATTCAAAGCATATTTTAAATACCTTAACACTAATTAAGGCATCCCAATGATCACGTCTAGGATTGCTAGTATACATACTCAGCCGACTCACTGAATATACTATATCAGGTCTTGTACAATTCATAATGTACATTAAACTCCCAATAATTTGGGAATATTCACGTTGTGATATAGCATCTCCAACATGTTTTTTAAGTTTGTAGTTGGCATCAAATGGCATAACGGCATGTTTGCAATCATATTGACCAAACCTTCGTAGTGTTGTCTCTATATAGTGAGACTGTGAAAGGATATAGCCATCTGAATTTCTCTTGACTTTTATACCAAGAATCACATCAGCAAGACCCAAGTCTTTCATATCAAAGCTTGAATTTAACATTTTCTTTGTTGAATTAATTATATCATTATTAGTTCCCATGATGAGCATATCATCCACATACAAACATACTATGGCACATGAATTGTTATGTGTTTTAATGTAAACACATTTGTCACATTCATTTATTTTGAAACCATGCTTCAGCATAGTATGATCAAATTTTTGATGCCACTGCTTGGGTGCTTGTTTTAATCCATACAAGGATTTGACAAGTCTACATACTTTATTTTCTTGACCTTCAACTACGAAACCTTCTGGTTGCTCCATATATATTTCTTCTTCTAAGTCTCCATTTAGGAATGCAATTTTTACATCCATTTGATGTATTTCCATGTTATAAACTGCAGCTATAGCAATCAACATTCGTATAGATGTTATTCTCGTTACAGGAGAATAAGTGTCAAAGAAATCCAACCCTTTTTTTTGACGGTAACCTTTTGCTACTAAACGAGCTTTATATTTATCGATTGTACCATCAAGTTTCAATTTCTTCTTGAAAATCCACTTATACCCACTTGGTTTGTTACCAGGTGGCAAGTTCACCAATTCCCATGTATTATTTTGTAAAATGGATTCAACTTCACTATTGATTGCTTCCTTCCAAAAAGGAGCTTCTGGACTAGACATGGCCTCTTTATAAGTTTGTGGCTCAGTTTCAGTTATAAATGTCAAGAAATCCGGTCCATAATCCTTTGGAACCTTAGTTCTTTTACTTCTTCTAGGCTCTGCCTCATTTGCAGACAAACTAGATGAAGTTGGATTAACAACATCATCATTCTCTTTCGAATGGTAATCACTTGGTTTCATTTTTCTTGTAAATGACCTATCTTGTTTATATGGATATATGTCTTCATAAAATACAACATTAACAGATTCTAAGATAGTGTTTGCATGTATGTCTGAAACCTTAGATTTAAAAACTAAAAATCTATATGCAGCACTATTAGATGCTAAACCAATAAAAACACAGTCAATTGTTTTTGGTCCAAGTTTGGTTCGTTTTGGCAAAGGGATTTGTACTTTTACTAGGCAACCCCACACTTTTAGAATTTTATAAGTGGGCAATCTCCCTTTCCAAACTTCATATGGACACTTATTAGTATTCTTTTGTGAGATTCGATTCAATATCACATTTGCAGTAAGTAAGGCTTCACCCCACAGATTGTGTGGAGCCCCTGAACTGTTTAACATGAAATTTATCATATCTTTAAATGTTCTATTTTTTCTTTCAGCAACACCATTCTGTTGTGGTGTGTATGGTGCTGTTGTTTGATGAACAATTCCATGTAATGCACAAAATTCAGCAAAAGCAGTGGATTCATATTCCCCTCCTCTATCTGACCTTAATATTTTTATTTTTCTATTAAGTTGATTTTCAACTTCTGCCTTATATGTCTTAAACATATTCAGGGCTTCATCCTTGCTATGTATTAAGTATACATAACAGAATTTATTGTAATCGTCTATAAATGTTATGTAATAGTTTTTCCCACCACGTGTAGGAGTTGATCTAAAATCACACAAATCACTATGAATTAATCCCAACAACTCATTGGACTTTTCAGGTATAGAGTTAAAGGTTTGCCTTGCAAATTTTGACTTTGTACACAATTCACATTTATTGTTTGAAATAAAACCAAACTTGGGCAGCAAACCTAAATTACACATCCTATATAAAGAACGAAAATTCACATGACCTAATTTAGCATGCCATAAACTAGATGAGTTAGCAATATAAACAGAAGCCTTATTCATATTATTATTAATAAGATTGGCAGATACATTGAGTTTAAACAATCCATCAGCAAGATAGCCTTTGCCTACAAACATTCCCCCCTTAGTCAATACAAATTTGTTAGACTCAAACACTAGTTTGAATCCCTTATTGCTAAGAATTGGACCAGAAACCAAATTCTTTCGAATTTCTAGCACATGTAGCACATCTAGGAGGGTTAGTTCTTTTCCAGAGGTAAACTTCAAATACACCTTGCCATTTCCCATTACTGCAGATGCAGAAGAATTTCCCATGTATAAGTGCTCATCACCATCTATTTTCTGGCAAGTAGAGAACATTGCTCTATCACCACAAATATGGCAAGTGGCTCCAGTGTCTATCCACCAGTCAGAAAAATCTGAGACCATATTTGTCTCAAAAACTACTGCAGCCAAATCATCTTCTACTTCTGTAACATTTGCTTGATTGTTCCTGGGCTGGTTGTTTGAATTTGCAGGATTGTGGTCCCTTCTATGGTGACATTCCTGTGCTCTGTGACCTGGTTTCCCACAAACCCAACAACCACCTTTTATCCTCTTGAAATCCTTCCCTTTAGCCGCTGGTACAAATTTCTTTGTAGACTTCTTATTTTTCTGGGAATCAGATTTCTGCTTTGAAGGATTGCTCTCAACTATATTTGCCTTGGCTTCCATGTTTGAAACCACACTCCTTTCTTCTCACTTATTCTGTTATCCTCTTCAATCTGCAGCCTTAAAATCAGATCTTCAAGAGTCATCTCCTTTCTTTTACGCTTGAGATAACTCTTAAAGTCTTTCCAAGATGGAGGAAGTTTTTCTATAATAGATGCCACTTGGAAAGAATCACTTATTTTCATGCCTTCTGCAAGAATATCATGAATGATCTTTTGGAGGTCTTCCACTTGATTGACAACAGGCTTGGAGTCCGTAATTTTGAAGTCTAGAAATTTGCTAACAACAAATTTCTTCGACCCAGCATCTTCTGTTTTATATTTCTTCTCCAATGACTCCCACAGTTCTTTGGCTGTTGTGAAGACTGCATCATACAACGAATCATCCAAGGCATTGAGAATGTAATTTTTGCAGAGGAAATCATTGTGTTGCCAAGCAGAAATTGCATTCAAAGTCTTTGCAAAAATATTGTCTCCCTCTGCCTTAGGTACAATTTCTGTCACAACATTAGCCAAATTCAATGTTGTTAAATAAAACAACATTTTCTGCTGCCAACGTTTGAAATCCTCTCCCTTGAATTTTTTAGGCTTCTCGGAATGAGAGTTCTTCCCTGATTGTTCCATTGAATACTGTCTAAGATTGTTGGAAACAATCAGTAAGTTGAATAATATAACATAATATATATATATATATGTATATAAGGCTTTTGAAAGAATCAATATATAACAACAGAAAAATTACATATACAACAGTTTGTATTAAACCAGAAATACTAACTTGCAGAGATGATAGAGGCTAGCAAATTTGCTATGTCCTTAGACAGTATTTCGCCCCCACTTCTGTGCTTGTGGTTCTGCAGACGACTGTCCACCAGGATACAACTATCAAAACCAAAATTCTAGCACTTGAATTTTGGTATCTGGCGAACTACAGTATGGATACTCTCAATGGTTTTTCGGTGTTGTGTGAGATGTATTGGGTTTCAAAAGTTGGTTTTTTTACTTTGTACGTCTGACTATTTAAATAAGCCTAAGACACCCCTTGGACATATCTGTTTGAACGGATATGTTTGAACTTTGAATTTCAAACTAACAGCAGTTATTTGAAGTTTCTCGTTTGGAGCAACGAGTGTCCTCATCTACGAAAGGTTGCCGGCTAAATAACCAGCAAAGCCGGCACCACAGACATAAGTGAAGGGGATTTTAGCATCTTGTATTGCCTTTCTCACTATCATTTTATCATCAAATGTAACTCTTCCAGGTTCAAGTGCATGTCCCATAAGTGCTGGATCAAAACCGAACTCTGATGGCAAAAAACGCTACACAAAAAGCAGCACAGGAAAAAAGTGATACATATGAGTCACGAGCAAAAAGATCAAAATGATCATTCACAGTTCTTATTCAGACTAAAAGGACAAGTCTGACTACTCCTATATAAAACACTTTCTCTTCCTCAACATAAATTGGCTAAGACATTTAAAGTCGTGCGCTCTATTGTACAATAATATCAAGGGAGTTGATTTTCTCATCCGTCTTTTATTTACTTACACTCCCTTTACTTGGAAATTGTATGTTCCCACTTCTCTTTTATCCACTTACACTCCCTTTTTTGTTATAGTAAAAAGTATTTTTTATATATAAAAAGGAGTATAAATTGGCAAAAAGGAAGTGGGAAAATCAACATCCGAATATCAATTATGGTTTCGAATATTGAAGTGGACCCTAATTAATGAAAAAGTTAAACCACTAATAATTAAACTAAATCGTTGTGACAAAAAAAAATAATTAAGTTAAATCATCAACGCAGTCTAGCCTAATGGTAAAGAGCCTTAACTTGAAGATCAGTGATCTCAGGTTCAAACCATCATAGCACCTTGATAGTTTGTGTATGAGAAACCCTGCCCCTTGTAGTTCAGTTGCATTTATATAAAACAAAAAAAGATAAATCATATCATTCATATCAATAATGAAGAAAAAAGGGTGCTCCTCCATAAGGAAGGACCTATACAGGGAAATAAAGCTGTCTTACTAGATTATTTGAAACTTTTTTTATGTGATCGTAACCAATCCCCTCAGAATGCGTATGTCTATTAATTAATGTTATATCCTAAGTCCATGAAATATCAACCATGTCATCCAACTAACACTTGAGTTAACTAGTAACACCACGTGTTACACACCCAAGAATTTTTATGTCATTAGTGTTACTAATCCATGTGTTATAATATGAGTGCACAATAAACAAACCCCGTAGAATAACATGAGAGTAAAAACCATTTGAGAAACAAAAAGCACATAGAGCAAATGAACATCCACCCTTGCTTAATTCATGTAAATATGCCTAATCACTAGCACTGGCCCTACGAGTATATGCATGATTTATATGAAGCTTTTCTAGTGGTGTTTGTACCTTAATATTTCCGGCTTTTTTGATAGCTTCAACCACTGGCGGACCCAATACATGCCCACTGTAGGCAACTGCCCACACTTAGGTGGTTTCTTCACCCACCTAGCCAATAAAAATTAGAGACTAGCCTAATATTTTGCATGCAAAATCCCCCACTCAGCACCCTAAATAAGTAAAGCCTTCAAGGTTTTAGCCCAAAACCTCTTCTATATTGAAAATATCAAGGCCCAAGACTTAATAAACACATGGTCCAATATATAAAGCCTTAGATTTTGGCCCCAAAATCATATATTAAAAATTTATTGAAATAGATTATGTGTTATAATATATATCGTATTGCTATGAAAACCTAGACTTTGTAGGAGTCAGCTATGAAATTGTTTTTTCTGCCCCCAGATGGAAAAAAGTCTAGGTCAGCCACTGGCTTCAACAAGCTGGCGCTGCAGCAAAATGTTGTGACTCCGAATATGTACCCCAGATATGGGGCAGATGACAACATCAACAAGCAATTGACAGCACGGACAAGGCTTTCCATATCAGAAAATGAGCCCTCCACAAGGTGAGGCCCTCGCTTCTTGAATGCCAAGAGCATTTGGAGCTTATCAATGTCAAGGCCAATCTCTGGCCTTTGAAGAACATACGTTAGGTGGCCTTGGGATAGGCTTGCAGAAACAATCCTACGCCCCAGGTACCCAGTACCACCAACCACAAGCACCTTACTCCTTTCCATATCGATCTAATTGTACCACTTTTCCCTCTGAATGTGTATATATATACCTAGTGTTTTACTTTTGTATATATACAGGGATGGATCCAGGAATTGCAAATCGGATGGGCTAAATTTACCTTAAGTACAAATGTATTAAGAAAAATTGGTGAGTTTTGTCGATTTTGGTTGGTTTTTGTAGATTTTTAGGCTTGGATAATAGATTTTAGGAACTAAAAACTAGAGTTAACCCACATGGGATGGCTAAATTTTTTTGGGGTAAATCATAAGCCCTAGTTTGTTATATTTTTATTTTATATAAGCACTCTTTTTCAGTATATTTTCTTCATTAGAAATTTTTGTTATTATACGACATTTGAAATAGAGAAAATGTTAGAATTATTGACAATATTGTTGAAATATTTGGAAGGGATTGAAGGGAAACGAAAGGAAAAAAATATATTTATAAGGAGTTGAAGTTAAAAAAGAAAGTAATAATAAAATAAAAATATCCCATTTGTGCGGGAGGGAACCTAACAAAATAAAAACACATCTCATCCCAACACGTATCTCCCCTGCTCTCTTTTTTTAATTATATTTTCTTGTCTCTCTCTTTTTTATTATTCTTTTTTCCTCTCTCTCTCTCTCTCTCTCTCTCTCTCTCTATTCTTTTTCCTCTTCTCTCTCCGTTTGCTCCATCTCTCTGTTCTTTTTTCTTGCAGCTTTGGGATGGGCTATCTCTATTAAGTTTTTTTTTGTAAATCTTAAGAATACTGGTATTACAAATACAAAAAAATATTTGTATGGCCTGTAGCCCAGACAGCCCACAACGTGGATCTGTCCCTGTATATATAGCGATAGACACAAGAAGACAAACATGGAAAAAATATGTCGAATCAAACTTCGAGTGGGTTCCTAGATATCAGAGAAGTGGTTGATGTGTTCGGTACAAGTCCAGGTATCAATGGACTACAATATTCGGAGAAATTTTTATATGTTCCGGGTACACCACGTGGTTGGTGTACTATTCAATAAACATAAGACATGTGTAATTATTGTCTAACTTATTGTATTTCTTTTTATAACATGTGGCGGGCTGCATTGCAAATATTTCATATTTCTTTTGTCTATTTGATGGTACACCTCCAATATTCGACGTATTAAGAATTTTAGAATAGTGACGATGCATGGTAATTATGGTAACCAAATTAAATCAAAACCCTAGGTCAAATAATTCATTCCATTTGGGGATTATTTGACCTAATTGGGAATTAATTAACTTGATTGGGAGTTACTCAATTTAATTGGGGATTACCTAATTAAATTGAACGTTACCTAAGTGGGTTGAAAATTGATTTGATTAATTACCACGATTCCCAATTAAATGAGGAGTTACCTAACTGAATTAGGATTTGATTTGATACCTACCACAATTAGGGATTTGATTTACCCTAATAAATCAAATCCCTAATTAATTAAATCAATTCCAAAAAGGGGAGGAATCATTCCCTTCCATCTACGGAATTATTCCTTTGAAACCCTAGCCTCCATTATAAAAGCATAGCCACACACAAGAGTTGAGGTACGTCGGAAATCCCTACTGAAACTCTGCAGAAAATTCCTCTCAAACCCTAGCCACCTCATTTCTCTCTCTCTTTTACATAAGGCTCCAGCCACCCAGTTTACACCATAAACAATCTCTGTACACTATTTAGCTATTGTTTTCTATACGATTCAATTGAACTAATTTAGGTATCGGAGGGCCTTTGTCCAACACCCCCCGGGTGTGGCCCTCTCATTTGTTCTATTTTGCAAGGAGAAAGACGAGGCGGAGAAGGAAGAGGAATCTTTGCAACTGAATATTCTCGTGTGGAAATTTGTACACTCATATTGGTGTTTTCATTGAGAGCACGAGTTATACTCAACGCATGCTCAAGGAATCCGTTCCTCCTATTTTCCAATCCACCGAAGCCTTCCAAACAATCATGGTTGGAAGCATGAAGACGAGAGGCAAAGCCGCCGCGATGGCTAAATCCACGACGGCCCAAAGCCACTCCACCCACGATCCCGCAATCGACATGGTGGCACCACCACCTCTCACCACTGTACTGGCCACCGCAGCCGAACAAGGTGGGCTTGTTACCACTGCCGACTTAGGTCCGGTCTTGGAGCAACTTCAAGCGTTCCCTCCATTGCCTCCATGCTCGACACATGCTCCCGCGCACACCTCTAATGAAACTCTAGCCCGTGTGCAATTGGGCTCCACACACTTCTCTCCTCTCGATCCACGAAGTCAAGCATACCTTAGTCTGAGAGTTGACCAACTAGCTCAGAGAATGGACGACCAAAGCGATTTGATGAGGCAACTCCTCCACCAAATCAGCTTGGCTCAAAACCTTGGCCTTGGACAACCGGGCGAAGAGAGAAGGATGGACAAACGCACCCGGTAGGCAGCTCAACGGGTACCCAGCAGGTCGAGTAGGAGTGGGTAGACAAGGCGAGGGACAACAACTTGATCGGCCTGCCGACATGTCACAAGCATCTGCGAGCCCCACTGAGAGCAGATTAAGTTTGAGGAACAACATGAGCGAGATGCTAGGCTCACGACTTGACGTCCACGCTCGCTTGGGCCCGCAGGGAAATGTGCTTCAAAGGCTAGGGCCCCAAGGAGGTCAGCCAAACAACCATCGCAATGAGGATCATGAAGAAAGACGCTCAGCTGTCCACTCGCAGAGGAGCATTCACGAGAGGTTAGGTCCCCAGGGTGGTCAACAGGATAATCCTCACAATGAGGACCACAAGGAAAGGCGCTCCGCTGCTCACTCTCGAAGAGACGGTTCTCGTCAACAAGCTACGGAGTATCTCTCGCAAGTGCAGTCCACCAACACGCCCCCTAGGCAGCATAGACGAGAAGGTCGACCCTCGCAGACCCACTAGGAGGTCAATTAGCGTCGCCAACGAGACCGACCAGCAATGTGTGTAGAGGACATAGAAAAGCTTGTGAATGACCGACTTCGAGACTTGAAGACCGGAGGGAATTTCAAAGATGTACTACGTAAGGAGATCGACTAGGAAAACTCCACACCTTTCACGGCCGAAATCGAGCAGGCTGCTTCCCCGAAGCGGTTCTCAACGCCTTTATTTACCCACTTCAAAGGGGATTCCGATCCCGAGAGCCACCTAAAACACTTCAAAAGTGTCATGATCCTCCACAAGGCCGACGACGCGCTGATGTGCAAGGTATTTGTAATGACCTTGCGAGGGGCAGCCCAAGATTGGTTCCACACCCTACCATCCGGGTCGGTCAGCAGCTTCAAGGAGTTGGCTTACGGCTTCACCAAAGAGTACACCTTTTACTGGGCGATCAAGAAGAACCCTGCGCAAGAAGTCCGACGAATCCCTTCGAGATTACATCAAGAGATTCAAAGCAGAAAAGGCCAACATTGTAGGATGTGACTATCGGATCGCGTCATCTGCCTTCAAGAAAGGTCTTCCAGCTGAACACGACTTGTATCGCGAGCTGACTATGACTATCACTCCCAACCAGACTCTGGCAAAGGTCTACGCGACCTCGGAACGCTACACGCTCTGGGATGACGATCGAATCGCCGCAAAGAAGTCTATAAAGCAGGAAGACCAGTCGACTAAAAGGGTAGGCCAAAGAAGCAATGAATTTAGCAACAAGAGTAAGGACAAGCGCAGGTCACACCCACAAGAAGACACTGCAGCAGGAGAGAACTACACCAAGTTCACCATCCTCATACATCAAATCTTAGCCCAAGTGAAAAACAAACCTTGGGTAAGAAGACTGCTACCCTTGAAAGGAGATCCAGACAAGAAGGATACTAGCAAATACTGTGCCTTCCATGGGACACACGGGCACACTACCAACAACTGTTTCGCTTAGAAAGCACACCTTGAAGAACTCGTGAGAGAAAGTCACTGCACGAAGTTCATCGCGAAGCAGGCCATCCAGCAAATTGAAGATCAAGACACCGCCAAACCAACCCAGAAGGTCATAAGGATTAACACAATCCTAGCCGATTCCAAGGAGTCAGGGTTGACCAGCAAAGAAAAGAAGAGGAAGATCAAATAGGCCACTATGATCTTCCAAGTCTCGACTGGCCTTCCACCAGCAGAAGACGATCCTGCAATCGGCTTCCAAAAGAAAGATCTGATCGGCCTCGACATGCCACATAATGATGCCTTTATCATCAGCATTCAAATCGCTGAGGCCATAGTCAACCGAATCCATGCAGACGAGGGCAGCGCAGCCAATATCCTGCAGCTGGCTATCATCCAGCAGATGAGCTTGGAGGCAAAAATCAACAAATTAGCCAAATCGCTGACCGACTTTAGGGGTGCAACAACGGTTACTCCCCACCTGTAGTCTGCTTGCAAACATTCATAGTCATTGATGAGGTCTCACCCTATAACGGCATTCTGGGCAGGCCATGGATTGGCAAGATCAACCATCACCTCCCTGTGAGCCAGGCAGATCTGAAGGAGGTTGAACAACCAAATCTTGCTATCTTATAGCAATCAAAGCGTCAAGACGAAGCCGAGGAAATCCGTCTAGAGGTCTTTCCTGAAGAAGGATGGAAACTTGAGGAAGACGTCGAGTTAATACCCTTGGATCTGGATCAGCCAGACAAAAAAGCGCGAATCTGCTCGCGCTTAAGCCCAGATGAGAAGGTGGAGCTTGCCACCTTCCTCCAGAATAACAAAGATATGTTCGCATGGTCGCCGTCAGACATGCCTGGCATTGACCCGAAAATCATTTGTCACCGACTCCATGTCAACCCTACCTGCAAGCCAATGGCGCAGAAGAGACGCAACTTCGCACCCGAGCGAGTCGCTATCATCGAATCCGAGATTGACAAACTACTTGCTGTCGGCTTTATTGAATAGGTCTCCTACTCAGAGTGGCTTACCAACGTTGTTCTAGTGGCAAAACAAGATAAGGGCAAGTGGAGAGTTTGCGTCGATTACACTGATCACAACAAAGCATGCCCAAAGACAACTTCCCATTGCCGAGAATCAACCAACTTGTGGATTCCACTTTTGGCAATCAGCTGCTCAGCTTCATGGACGCCTACTCCAGCTATAACCAAATCTTGATGCACACGGATGATAAGGCGAAAACTTCGTTCATCATCGAGAGAGGGACCTACTGCTACAAGGTCATGCCCTTTGGGCTGAAGAACGCCGGAGCAATCTACCAAAGGCTAGTGAATAAAATCTTCAAGGAGCAAATCGGCAAAACTATGGAGGTATATGTGGATGACATGCTGGTCAAGGCCCCAAAATGTGCAGATCACCTCAAAAACCTCGCCGAGGCATTCAGCCTGCTTCGCCAGTATCACATGAAGTTGAACCCAAGTAAATGCACGTTTGGTGTATCCTCCGGTCGATTCTTAGGATACTTAGTCACACAACGAGGAATCATGGCACACCCACGTCAAATCAAAGCCATTCTCGAGATGAAGTCGCCTTCCACAGTGAAGGAAATACAAAGTCTGACGGGCAGAGCAGCGGCCCTCAACCGATTCGTCTCGAGATCAATCGACAAGTGCAAACCATTCTTCAAAGCTTTGAAGAAAGGACAAAAAGACAAATAGGATGAGGAGTGCGAAGTAGATTTCTAGAATCTGAAGACTTATCTCACTTCACCTTCCCTGCTCTCAAAGCTAGTCCATGGTGAGGACTTGCTCGTGTACTTGGCAGTGTCCAACTCAGCTGTCAGCTCAGCTTTCATTCGAAAAGAGCTAGGGGTACAACATCCGGTATTCTACATTTCAAAAGCTCTCCTCAATGCAGAGACTGGCTACTCGAAATTGGAAGCTGCGACCCTACTACCAAGTTCATCGAGTCATTGCCATGATTGACTTTCCTTCGAGATCAATCCTCCACAGCCCTGATGCTTCTCAGTGACTCATGAAGTGGGCTATAGAGCTAAGCCAATATGACCTTTTCTACAGGTCAAAAGCTACAATAAAAGCCTAGACTTTAGCAGACTTCGTAGCAGAATTCACCCCATCGGCCGAAGAAGAGAAATTGGTCAACAAAAAGAAGTTCACAAACAGACGGGACCTCTGCTAAGCAGGTGTCGTCATCATCACCCCGGATAGAACCTTGTTTGAGCAAGCTATCACGCTTGGCTTCTAGGCCTCGAACAACGAGGCAGAATACGAGGTATTGCTCACTGGCCTGCACTTGGCAAAAGAACTCACAATAAAAAAGCTAGCCATCTAGTCAGATTCCCAGCTGATCACGAATCAAGCGTATGCAGACGCTCCATCCTGGTCGAACACCTTGACCGACCAAGCATTGAAGAAATAGAGCCAATCGACATAATGCAAATTCAGGAGGACCCCAGCTGGCAAGACCCTATCATTGACTACTTAGCGAATGGGAACTTACCAACGGACAAGTCCGAAGCGAGGAAGGTCCAGCAGAAGGCACGAGATACTGTATGCACGATAGCAAGCTCATCTGCATATCATACTTTGGCCCTCATCTCACCTGCATAAGGTACCTTCAAACACTTGAGGTCCTCTGCAAAATTCCCAGTGGCGAGTGGGGCAACCACTATGGGGGCAGATTACTTGCCTGGAAGGCTCTAAACACAAGCCTACCATACGCCACGACTCCACCGAATATGTCAAGAAATGTGATCGCTACTAGCGATACAAGCCGATCCCTAACCTGCCTGCCGAAGTCTACCATTCATGCAATGGGTCATTGACTTACTGGGACTCTTGCCACCCGTGCCCACCAAGAATGACATGATGATCATCGCCACCGACTACTTTACTAAATAGATCGAGGCCGAAGCTCTATCCTCTATTAAAGAAGCCGATGTGAAGCGATTCATGTAGAGAAACATCATTTGCCGGTTTGATTGCCCACAATCGCTGGTTACCGACAACTGCTCACAGTTCATTGACAGCCAGATCACCGCAAAACAGTCGTCCATAAACAGCGTCCTAAGGGAGACGCAGGGCGACGACCAAAGCGTCATTCGGGAGACATAGCCTGTAAAAAGAGTCCTAAGGGAGACGCAGGGTGCGCCAGGAATTTCCTAAGGGAGGTATCCAGGTTCCTATTTGTTTCCTATGAGAGGTAGGATAGACACACAGTTGCCCATAAGCAACGTCCTAAGGGAGACGCAGGGCGACGACCAAAGCGTCATTCGGGAGACGTAGCCCGTAAAAAACGTCCTAAGGGAGACGCAGGGTGCGTCAGGAATTGCTTAAAATGAGGTCTCCATGCCTTCTGCGGGAAGTATCCAGGTTTCTATTTGTTTCCTAAGGGAGGCAGGATAGACACACAGTTGCTTATAAGCAGCGTCCTAAGGGAGACGCAGGGCGACGACCAAAGCATCCTTCGAGAGACGCATCCCTTAAAAAGCCTCTTAAGGGAGACGCAGAGTGCGCCATGAATTTCTTAAAATGAGGTTTCCATGCCCTCTGCGGGAAGTATCCAGATTCCTATCTGTTTCCTAAGGGAGGCAGGATAGTCACACAGTTGCCCATAAGCATCGTTCTTCGGGAGACGCAGGGTGACGACCAAGGCATCCTAAGGGATATGCAGAACACGCCCGAAGCCTTTTAAGGGGGACCTTGACACTCGCCAACTTCTTAAGGGAAACCATCCTAAAGGATGTGTAGGACACACTCGGAGCTTCTTAATGGGGGCCTTAACACTCGCCAACTTCCTAAGGAAAACCATCCTAAGGGATGTGCAGAACACGCCCGGAGCCTCTTAAGGGGGGCCTTGGCACTCACCAATTTCCTAAGGGAAACCATTCTAAGGGGGGCCCTGGCACTCGCCAACTTCCTAAGGGAAACCATCCTGAGGGATGTGCAGGACACGCCCGTAGCCTCTTAAGAGGGGCCCTGACGCTCGCCAACTTCCTAAGGGAAACCATCCTAAGGGATGTGTAGAACACGCCTGGAGTCTCTCAAGGGGGATCTTGGCACTCGCCAACTTCCTAAGGGAAAAATATCCTCGGAATCCCTCAAGGGGGACCCTGTCACTCATAAATCTCCGAAGAAGATGTGCAATCAAGACACAGGCTAGTTACTCAAGTAGTTCACAAATCAATACGCAAATTGAGGTGAAAAATAAACTGAAATTTCCATAACAAGCTGACCAATCGGCCAAAGTTCAACAAAGAGAAGATGGTCAAATAAGACCAATTATTCTAAGCAAGAAAGCAAACTACAAAAGTTGAAAAGAAACAAAGAAGTCTTCATCTACTCTGGGACGCCAGCAGGAGGCCTATGAGCTGCAGCCTCTTCGGCCTCCACTTGATCAGCCACGCATTCAGCGGCTCCATCTGCCTGCTCTGCGACATCTGCCATCATCTCATCTACTGCGTCCTCTCCGGCTGCCTACTCTTCAGTTCCTCCTTCCATAGAGGGTGAGTCAGGGGAGAGCGTCTCGATGTCTACGTCGTCAATTGCATACAAGGGAGTAGTCCCATCTGCGCAGTGCAGCTAAGGGAGATGTCAGCATTCTTACGCTCAAGACAAAAGAAGACATCTTTTCGAGTAACCAAATCAGCGGCAAAAGAGTTGAGCTCGGAATCCTTCTCGGTAAAGGAGCTTTTCAGCTCAGATATCATTGCCCTCAAATCAGACGTCTTCTTCTCATAACGGGCCTGCTGGGTGGCCAATTCAGCGTTCTTCTTCTCCAACTCGCTGAGCTGGGCAGAAGAGGGAGCAACAACAAAGGAGTTCCAAATAGTCTCAGCAGCAAAAACCAATCCTTTTTGAATTAGATGAAATATTGCTTCCCTTTGTTTTTCCAAGAAAAGCCTCGAGAAAGTGCCAAGATCGCCGGCCTGACGGATGTGATCAACCAACTCAGCACAGGAAGACGGGTTTGATAGGAAGTTCGTCTTGAGCAGATCAAACACGCATGCATCCCATGCAAGGCTAGACTTGTTCGCCTTGGGATTAACCGCCGACGCTAGAGAAGAACCCTTAGCCCGGGCAGATGACTCTCTCATCCTCTTAGCCTTCTCCAACCTCATCTCCAAATGAGTCAATGATACTGAATCAACTCTATGCTTGACTGCCCATGACTCAACAGCTGGATCATGAGCAGACTTCCCGCTTCAATCTCCATCTTTTGACTGGTACAGACGACTCAAACTTCGAGGAGGAATGTCTGCATCTCTTTAACGCTCGGCAGACCTAGGTCAGGCACGAGCTGCCTCACGAAGCACATCATGGTTCTCGAGCGTGTCAGCAGGAGGCTCGGGCAGAACACCCCAAGCACCGTGCATACCACCAACCTTCATGCTATTTGTACCCATGAGATGCTTGACCCTGGCAGATGATGATGGAGCAGACCCCACTTGAGTCTTCTTAGTAGAAGGGAGCCTTGGCTTCTTCCTCGATGGAGACCCATTCTTTGCGTGTGAAGAAGTAGCTTCACCCCTTGAAGATTTGGCAGCAGCCTTTCTCTTTGGGGGAGATTCAGCGAAACACTCTTCCTGTCTGGCAAGTAGATCGTCAGGATCAGGGCCATTCTACTTTCAACTTTCGACATCCTCGGCAGTGGGCAGACACCGTCTACCTCTCGGTACTCGCTCAACAGCCAGCGCCACTCGCAAAACTTTAAAGGGATGTTCAAAGCACGGCGGACCTTAGCCATGTCTGGTCCAAGCTCCCATTGCTTGCTGATGTTACTCACTATAAGCAGAAGACAGAAGTTAGTCAGCCGCACTTCAAGAAATTCAAATAAAAAGAAATAGCTCTCACTTGAGTCTTCTCAGCAGAAAGGATCCTTGACTTCTTTCTCAACGGGGACGCATCTTTCGCCAACGAATTCGCAGCTTCATTTCTTGAAGACTTGACATTAGCCTTGCTTTTTTAAGGGGAGTCCGGCTGAACACTCCTCTTGCCCAGTCAGCAGATCATCCAAGTCTGGACCATTATGCTTCCATCTCTCAATATCCTGAGCAGGAGGCAGGCCACCAACTTCCTCCGGATACCCACTTAGCTGACGAGGCCTGCAACTCACGAGGCCCAACATGCTCCAGCCTAGGCCTGTGATGATAGGCAGTAGCTGGTCCATCTGCGCACACCTGCCCCACCACAGTTGCCGCCCACTGCCAACCGTCGCATGTCATGATGACAACTAGCCGGATTTCCCCCAGCTAACTTTCGCCGCAAAAAAGAAGAAAAGACGAAGAAAAAGAAATATACGTGCTTGACTTACTTTCAGATGCACGGCGACTCCTCTCTTCGACAAGCAGTACAAATTCTTCAAGATCTCTCTCAAGCTAGAAAGTAGAGAAGTTAAGTTTGCGATGTGAAGAAGAGTGAAGAGGAGCCCTGCATTTACACAAGTTGGGCATCCTAGGTCAAGAAGGAATCGCAAGCCTATTCCTACTGGGAACCCAACTCCAAGAACAGTCAAAGGCTCATTCCAATTGGGATCCTAATCTGCAAAAGGAGTCCAAATCCAAGAAGGAAGCCCAGTCACAACTAGACAGCCCAACAGATAATTCACATATCCTACATGCCACCGCGCGCCATGCAGAAGCTGGGGGAGCATTTGTGGTAATCAAATTAAATCAAAACCCTAGGTCAAATAATTCATTCCATTTGGGGATTATTTGACCTAATTGGGAATTAATTAACCTAATTGGGAGTTATTCAATTTAATTGGGGATTACCTAATTAAATTGAACGTTACCTAATTGGGTTGAGAATTGATTTGATTAATTACCACGATTCCCAATTAAATGAGGAGTTACCTAATTGAATTAGGATTTGATTTGATACATACCACAATTAGGGATTTGATTTACCCTAATAAATCAAATCCCTAATTAATCAAATCAATTCCAAAAAGGGGGGGAATAATTCCCTTCCATCTACGGAATTATTCCTCTGAAACCCTAGCCTCCAAGACCATTCTAAAAGCATAGCCACACACAAGGGTTGAGGTACGTCGGAAATCCCTACTGAAACTCTGCAGAAAATTCCTCTCAAACCCTAGCCACCTCCTTTCTCTCTCTCTTTTACATAAGGCTCCGGCCGCCCGATTTACACCCTAAACACATCTCCGTACACTGGTTAGCTATTGTTTTCTATACGATTCAATTGAACTAATTTAGGCATCAGAGGGCCTTTGCCCAATACTTCCCGGGTGTGGCCCTCTCATTTGTTCTATTTTGCAGGGAGAAAGACGAGGCGGAGAAGGAAGAGGAATCTTTGCAACCGAATATTCTCATGGGGAAATTTGTACACTCAGTAATGTGTGCCGTTTTGGTAGGAAAACTAAAAATATCAAACGATGACATTACACCAGCAAAGCTTGTCTAACCTAATGATGACCAAGTCAAATCGCACTCCACGAAGGCGACAATTTTCTTTTGAAAAATATATATGACCAATTTTTACGTAATGTCATCGCAAAGCTTGGTATGCATTACCCACACCCAAAAAAAAAAAAAAAAAAAAAAAAATTGGTCCAAATAGCCAAAATTTGCATAAATACCATTTCTGAACTTTAGTAATTCCAGGATTTGAAAGCTAATTGGGCAAAACTTACATACTAAATTCGACGGTACGAGTGAATTTCATTAATAAACATAAGAAGATATACATAGTCAGAAAAGACGTAATAAGTCTTACCCTCAAATGTATCTCTATCCATAAATAAAAGTTCAACAAATACAAAAACTAAAACTAAAACCAAAAGTAAAAATGCAATACAAAATAAAACAACACTATTTTAAATCTAAAATTTAACGATGCGAGGCTTAGAACTCTTAAAATTTTCAATTGTCGATGCATTAGCGAACTCTCTTTCATCCTTTAATAAACCCTACAATACACAATTTTAAATTAAAACTATAATTAAAAATATATTGAAAATAATGGGAGAAAGAAGCTGCTGATGTCGGGAAAATAAAGGGACACTACAGAAAAAGGAAGCAATAGTCACATTTTTTTAAGTCACTAATTTATTTTGGGGACAATTATGGGTGGTCAACGTTCTGAACCAAATTCGTCACCATTATTTGTGTCTAATGATTTAAATATAATAAATTTTGTTGTAGATGATGCATGAATAGTAATAATGTAATAAAATATAAGAGGATAATCTTTCCCATAATAAAATATTTACAATGGTAATTTAATAAAAATATATGGATGGAATCTTTCTCACTAACCAAGGCTCTTTTCCCTTCCCTCTATATAATTAGTAATAGTTACTCTAAATAATAAAATATTATAATAAAAAATGTGAGAGAATGCATGTGCATCTGAAGATGCTCCCAAACCAACCCCTCTTTTTCTTTCTTTTGTAATTTTTATTCTCCCCATATCTCATCTCTCCCAACACCTTCATTTTTTTTTTCCCATCTTCTTCTTCCTTCCTTCACTTTCCATCTCTTCCTCTCTTTTTATTTTTATAATTGTGAAAAATATAATGCGCAAATATAACACAAATAATAATGGAAAGGATTTCTTTAAAAAATAAAAATAAAGATAATGAAATGATATTGGACAGTGCAGTCAAAATAAAATAAAATAAAAAATATAAATATAGTTTGATTAGACATGATGTGGGGCCCACTTTGGAGCAATTGGATGGTCAACACAATTTGTTACAAAATGGTGTTTTTAATCGTGAGAAAACCCAATAGTTATGGCCACAAAAGTCACGGGATCAAAACTTGTAATTGCACCGTTACTAGTGGCTTTAGTCACGAATATTCGTGGCTAATACTGCCAAAAGTCATGAAAAAAATAATGATTGTTGTGTGTTTTTTCTGTAGTGGGAGAAAGAAGTTGCTGATGTCGAGTAGATAAAAGAGAGAGAAACAAGCAGATGTCGCATAGCCCAAAGGGAAAGAGAGAGAAGATATGAGACCACCTAGATGGGCAGCATGTGTGTAGGGTTTGCTTTTAATTTTTTTTTTAATTTTGGACTGGACTTGTTTTTTTTTTTTTTTTTTTTTTTTTTTTTTTTTATTTAAATGTGGGCTGGTCGAGCACCCAACCTGCCATGTGCACAAAACTGCCCTTGCATGTGTATCAATACCACCTTATCTTTTAATAATTTTTAATTATAATTATCTAAACTATATAAAGTGTTGCAATCCACCACCTACGTTTAACTTCGTTAAAGTTTTCGGGCATTTCCATCAATTAATTATAACTAAAAATAATTAAAAACGTATTAAAAAATAAAAAGTGAAGTTAATAACACCAGACTTCCCCTAACCCTTATTGACGCCAATTGTTGCGCACCCTATGTATGTACACCATAGTCCATATTTCTGTTTGTCTCTTGGCGTGAGTTGTCCCTTGCCTGCATTGTTTAGGGTGTGGATCATAATAGCCTATGGTTGTAATGTTTTGGGGTATATATGCATGGATATTATTCATTTCTCCAATATCTTGCAAATACAAACACCCAAACTCTCATGCATAATTTTTTAAGTATTCATTCATGCGGGTGTATTTCACTTCTGGGTAAAGCTTTGAAGCTTCTTCTCCTTCTTCCCCGATTTCAAAGTTTGTCAAAGCGCCTTCATAGAACATGTGGTAGAAATGCCCCACTCCTACCTGGCTTGCATAGTCCATACCTGAAATATAGTATTTCATAAGGTGTGAAATTTCTGCTTAGAGCTTGTATTAGGATCAGGTTCTTGGATTAATTAGGCACCACAACTCAAGAGTTAAAATTTCAAATCTGAGTAATGAGTCAGAGTCTGATCGATCTGTGCAAAAATAACCTAGGAATTTTAAAGTGCTGATCAATGAAGTCCATTTGATTGGCGAAGTTAACCATATATAGATGCAACTTGGTAACTTTCGTGCATTCAATAGATTTCATATGATATCATGCGTACCTTTCATAGAGGCAAGGAAGTCTTCTTCTGAAATGGAGATATGTTCTAGTTTCTTGCCTATGAGGTTTTCCCACATCTCGACCAATTGTTTTTGACTGAGTTCGTTTTCGGGTGGACGAAGGTATAATGTTTTGTTCAATGTTCGCGGATCATCTATTGTTTTGATTGTATATGCTGCGATGTCGTCTTCATCCACTATAGATACTGCACGGTACATGAAGATGATTGACAAAGATGATTAATCTGTGTCATATATACTATTAGCATGCATTATAGTAAATGCTTATGGAGATGAAAAGTGGTGTTTAATTTAATTTATTAGTTTTTGCGTACCTTTAGTGTTACCATCTCCATAAATAAGAACTTTCTCCTTTGGAGGAATGAGTGTCCCCATCTGTGAAAGGTTGCTGGCGAAATAACCAGCAAAGCCGGCACCACATACATAAGTGAAGGGGATTTTAGCATCTTGTATTGCCTTTCTCACTACCATTTTATCATCAAATGAAACTCTTCCAGGTTCAAGTGCATGTCCCATACGTGCTGGATCAAAACCGAACTCTGATGGCAAAAAACGCTACACAAAAAAGCCAGGGCAGGAAAAAAGTGACATATATGAGTTTGTAATCAGTATGTTAATTTGATCACGAGTCACGACCAAAAAGATCAAAAAGATCAAAAAGATCATTCACAGTTGTTATTCAGAGTAAAAAGACAAGTCTGACTCCTATAAAAAACACTTTCTCTTGCTCAATGTAAATTGGCTGAGGCATTTAAAGTCGTGTGCTCTTATTACAATCTTCTATTATAACAATAATATCAAGGGAGTTGATTTTCTCATCCCTCTTTTATTTGGAAATTATATGTTCTCACTCCTCTTTTATCCACTTATATTCCCTTTTTTGTTATAGTAAAAAGTATTTAAAAAAAACAAATGGAGTATAAATAGAGAAAAAGGAAGTGGGAAAATGAGCACCCTAATATCAGTTGTGGTTTCGAATATTGAAGTAGACCCTAATTAATGAAAAAGTTAAACCACTAATAATTAAACTAAATCGTTGTGACAAAAAAATACACCTTGATAGTTTGTGTATGAGAAACCCCGGCCCTTGTAGTTCAGTTGCATTTATATAAAACAAAAAAAGATAAATCATATCATTCATATCAATAATGAAGAAAAAAGGTGCTCCTCCATAAGGACCTA